CTTGAGAACAGGTATGCCGTGACTCTCGCGCGTCCGCAGTGGTTCCGATTGTTCTCCTGTCGTAGTTAGCGTTGAATTCGATGGACCCGACCTCTACCGCCCGACAGTGCCTTCTCCACGATGAGTCCCCGTGCGTACGTACTCACTGCAGCCCGAGCTTCTCGTGAACACTCTGTCCCAGAGGTTTATTGACGTAGTACCAGTTGCACTCGAGCTCTCATAGGACTCGTGCTGTCGACCGTAATTCCGGCTTGCCTCCGCCGCCAGTCCCTCCGCCCGAGCCTCTGCTCGCCTGAGTCTTCCTTGCAGCGTTCCGCTCGCCATCGCCGAGCCCGCCGACTGGCCTCTGGTCGTGTCCTTATCGTCCTCCGGACCTGCTGGATCTTCGTGCTTGTACAGATACTCCAGTAACTCACTGGTGCTAAGAATTGCCCGTCCCTCCGTCCTCTCGAGCTCGAGCCGCCCCGGCTCATCGATGCAACGCCTCGCGAAGGTTCTCGCGCGCTCTGCCCAACAGGGTATCGCTCTTCTAATTCGCGTCGAGCCAGGTCGGATGGGTCTTGAAACCCGAGCTCGTACGGCTTGCCCGTCGTTCCTTCCGAGTCCGTTCTCGCTGGACGATTGTCGTAGCCAGATGCCAGTCGTCTCGCACCTCGCGAGCTGGCGCCACATGCAGGCAAGCCGCTGAGACGCCTCGCGGAAACCATACGCCTCCAGTCTGTGCCTTGAGTGTTTGTTTCAGCTAAGGGTAACACCGTCCGCTTCGCACGCGCGGGCTCGTGTGTCTCGCACGCTGCTCCCTCCGAGTCCGATCTTGCAGTGAGGTGGTCCTCAACCGTCGCTCCTTCTGCGCCTCGCCAAACAGAACAATACGCGGGCAAACTGCTAGTATTGAGGAGATGCGGGGAGTGCGAGAATACACGCGCCAAATCTTCGACTCGAGCGACCAGCGAGACGCCGGTAGGCTGTGCAGACCGTGGTTCGGGCGCTTGAGCGATCGTCTCTCGCCTGAGTCTTCTCTCCACTGACTCTGCCTGCAACGGCTTGTGATCCTCGCGCGAGCTCTCGTCGCACTCTCTCTCATCCATCGCGAACAGGATGCCTTGTCGAACACTCGCCAGGTCAGCACACTCCCAGCCGCCGTCGCGTCCATCACCGCTCCGCTGCGTGCCCAAAAGCGCCAGGTCGTCAACAACTCCGAGCTCGAACGCCTTCATCGCGTGCTCCCGCACACGCAGGCCAGATCTCGCCGAGGGAAGTGAACGTCCCGGGTACGCGTAGTCGGTGGAGGAAATCCCATAGGTGAGCGTCGTCAGATCTGTCGCTCGAGATACAACCTGTCTGAACTCCTGCGCTTCCTCCGCCTGTCGCTCCTGCTGTTCACACGCATCAAGCCCTTCCGCCGTCGCGCCATGCCGCCTTAGGGGTATCTTGCCGAATGTCTGATGCGTGCGTCGCCTCCGTCTGCCCGCGTGGTGCACCTCGTGGAGCTGATATGAAGCCTTCGGCTTGCAAGGAGAGTGAATGGTTTGTCGTATGGGGTCCCCCGGTACGCCTATCCTCTAGCACTATCGTGGCGACTCGCCTGAACACCCGCGGCGCCTGCGCAGCTAGCTGATGTAGCCAGTTGTCTCCGAACTTGCAGACTCGTCTTGCCGCGGCCAAGAACTCTCCGACCTCCTTCTGTTCCCTGTTGCACGCGCTAATGGCTGCGCTTGAACCCTCACCGCCCGCCATCCTCTTCTCATCACGGCCTAGCTCGCCGTCGAAAACCCGGCCTTGCGCAATACCCGTCGCCACTAGATCCTTATGTGCGCGTCCTGTCCGCCGGAAGCCTTGCGCATGCGACCCTGGCTCGTCTCGTCCGCTCGACGCCCCGTCTGTGCCGCGTCCAGGTATCTCCGTGTTCCCGTGGTTTTCTCGTCCGGTGTCGCTTATACTCGAGCCCTCGTAGGTCCACGCTTTGTCGACTACGCGCGGCACATCCGTTCCTCCTCGACCTTTTCGAGTCGAAGCAAGTACAATCGCCGAACGGGGTCGCCTGCCGGCTACTGACCACCGTAGGGGACATGTCGCTCGTCGTACCCATTTCGCTGGTGAGTCTAATCTCTGTCAAAGTGCATCGTGTTCGTCCTGACCGTCGTGCTTCCTCTATAGTCACCGCGTGAACTCCTCGGATCCCCTGTTCCGTTGCAACAATATGCTCCTGTACGTCCGCGTCCTGCGCCCTAGGCACTCCCATCCATTCACTCTGCTCCCTCGCGTACATAGTCTCGTGCTTGATGTCGATATTGCTCTCCGCCCCCGTTGCATGACTTCCCTGCTCGCGTGCTTGGAAGCTTCCTATTCCCCAGGATTCGCAGGTCGAGCCTCCCCGCGTGCGTGTACATCTTGCCGTCTCGAGCAGCACGAGGCCGGCGCTCGATTGACTGGCTCCGCCGAACAAGGTCGCTCGCTCATCTCTCGTCGTGACACGGTCGGAGAAGCTTGATAGATGCGAGGACAGTCGCGGAGGCAGAGTCGCCTGCTCGTCCTGCCCTCCATTCATCGCTTCGGATTGTCGACATTTGGATCCACTGGCTGGGTGCGTTACTGCTCGCTCCGGACTCCGAGTCGCGGGACTGATGTTTGCTCCCGAAGGTCCAACGCCGTTTGACTGCGTCTCGACCCATTCCGCTCTACCTCCCCGCGCTCGTCGACTCGCCCGGATGACCTAGCTGTCAGGCGCCGCGTCTCAAGGAAGGACTCGTCGACCGCATGGCACGAGCCGTCACCCGATGTGGTTGCCGATGCCCGTAGTGTACCGCTCGTATTGACTCCCCGAATACATGACCTAGTCACCGTAGTGCCTCCGGGTCTAATCGCTCGCTCGTAAGTGCTCGGGCTGTCGCCCGATCCCTCTCGTCCGGTAAGCGTGTCTATGTGAACGATAGCCTGAGATTGCCCGGCTACGTCTGTGCGCGTCCTCGCCATTTCCGCGGCAACTCCTCCATGGGCCCCTCGGTGAGAACCTGAGCGCGCAGAAGCCTGCTGTGCGTCCGCTGTCCTCGATCGACTGTAAGCTGCCGCCTCGACAACATGGGGGTGTTCTGCTGTTTGCATGAATACACCGTCGTATTGAGCAGTCCGAGTCGCTGCCTCCATGACAGGCCTGACGTGTACATTCGATGTCTCGCTTCGAGCCGCAGCTAAGTCTGCATGGCGCATCGGCAATACCAGTTCTGTGGGCAATGGAGTGAAAAGATGGTGGAAGGGGTGAAAATCAGCTCGCCCGTGGTGTACGCATGATGACGCGAAGCCAAAGGCTGAGCGGAGGAAGCGGGAACAGGGTACCACCCCTCGCGGTGGGCTCCAGTTGTGTAGCTCGGGAGTGTAGTACCCCCGGGCGCGATGTTCGAGGGGCGGGCCAATCCATGGCTTCCAGGATGAAGGGAGGGTGTGTTGAAACGGGGGAATATGCATCTCGGAGGGGAGTAGTGCCAAAGACGGACCTCGTTGCCAAACCTCTGGCTCGCTGTCCCTATCCTCGGTCCTCCAGGCCTCGTCTACAGCTGTCATCCTGAGTCCTGACTCGTTCCGCTGCTCCCTCGCCTCTTCCGTGCTTCGTATCCTCAACCTCGCTTCTAGTCAACGGCTCCGAGTCGTACCGCGTTCAATCTCGTGCTCGTTCCGTGTTCTCGTTCTCGTTCTGTCTCCTTGTACCCGTTCCGACGTCCTATCATGAACTCTCGTAGTCGCTCGGCTCGTTGCGGAGTAGGCCAGCTCTGTTCCTTAGTCGCTAAGCTCGTTCCGCAGGTCGCTGTCCTCGTTTTGCTGGATCCTGTCTTCCTTCCGCTGGTTCGTATTCTTCTTCCGCTGGTTCCTAAGCTCGTTCCGCGAGTCCTTGGCCTAACCTGTACTCCTTCCGACTTGCCCTGATCTCGTAGTACTGGTGTTGCCCCAACTACGTGGCACTACTTCCGTCCGAATGATTCTCGATGGCCCGACTAGGTCGCTAATGACCAACTCGGGGAGATGCCCCCCAACTCCAGAAAATGTGATAGCAGCGAGACGAGCTGTGCTCGTAGTTGCCTAGATTCGGAGGGGGGAGAACTAACGTATGTACAAGTCTTCGTGGCACTGTATGCCGCCGAAGCTGACTAATAGTAGGTACTTGCTATATATGGTAAGTAATGCGAAATCGCGCGAAGTCCATCAAGTACAGTAGAGATGGGGTATCGGAAGGAATAGCGAAGGCTGTCAATGTGCTCGGAGGGAACGGCACTGACCAGATAGCCCAAAATAAGCGATATACGTACTGTCCGGGCCTATGTGGGAGGCACTCCCCACATCGCGGTCGTCGTCCTCCTTGATGTTGGCCAGGAAGAAGTCGAGCTGGCCGATGTACTCCTCGTACGCGTATCCGACGATCCTCGGCATTAGCGCGCCACCTCTTGCAGCAGTGACAATCGCGTCGCAGTTGTCGTACTTCAAGACGCGTCGGTTGTCATTATTCGAGTATAATGCATGTTTACTTACCAGAATCTTCCCCACTTTCTTGGTGAGGTCCAGAAGGTCGGCAGGCGACGCGTTCACCGCGGCCTTGAGGTGCGCTGCAAAGCGCTGCATCGTTTTGCGCGCCTTGGACGGGTCGCTGAAGTCGAACGTGGGGCAAGACATGGAAGCAAGACGGGAGTGCGAGACGAGAGAGAGGTGAGAGTGGCTGGCAGAGATGCGTATGAAAGGAAGTAGGACGAAACAGGCCAGTCCACAAGCGGTTCGTCTGAGTTTGATCGAGGTGATCGGCATCACGTGTCGAACCTCCGTTCTGTGGCTTGCCACGTGAGCTGTGACGCGTCAGATTGATGGGTGGCTGACCGTCGCCTGGTCTTGTTTCGTCTTTTACTGCAGTGTACTGCGGTCTCAGTAGCCTTCGTAGCACGTTATCGTCAGATCAGTGGTAAGTAATAACATGTGGACGTTCTGGAACCGCTTTAAAACGAACAGAATCTCCTTAGCAGATGTCCGGCAAGCGACCTTCCTCCCCAAGTTCCTCAGCTCCGGGCGCTGAATTCAAGCGGGCCCGTATCATAGGTGAGTTGTGAATCCTTCGGGTATCACCCAATACATTGACAATGTCTAACCTGCTTGTTTTGCTCGCTTTGACAATCCGCGCCTAGACCGCCCCGGCTCAGGCACAAGAAAGGGGTCTGGGACGGGCAAAGATTATCTCGGGCCCGAGCGTCCCCGTCTTGCTCCCATTGGTGTCATAGCGCAAGACAGGACCGCCGCACCGCAGGCCGCCGCGCCTCGTGAGGCGATCGACTATGCGGGTCGCAACCGACCCCGCCTTGCTCCCATCAGTCTCGTCCCAGCGACGAGGACGGTCCCCGCCTCGGACGTCGGCGCGCCACAAGGGCCGATCGACTACGCGGGTCGCAACCGACCCCGTCTTGCTCCCGTCAGTCTCGTCCCAGAGACGACGACAATCCCCGCCTCGGACGTCAGCGCGCCCCGAGTGCCGATCGACTACGCGGGTCGCAACCGACCCCGTCTTGCTCCCGTGAGTGTCGTCCCAGAGACGACGACGGTCCCCGCCTCGGAAGTCAGCGTGCCGCGAGGACCGATCGACTACGCGGGTCACAACCGACCCCGCCTTGCTCCGGTCGGTCTGATCCCAGCGACGAGGACGGTCCCCGCCTCGGACGTCGGCGCGCCGCAAGGGCCATCGACTACGCGGGTCGCAACCGACCCCGTCTCGCTCCCGTCAGTCTCGTCCCAGAGACGAGGACGGTCCCCGCCTCGGACGTCGGCGCGCCGCAAGGGCCCATCGACTATGCGGGTCGCAACCGACCCCGCCTTGCTCCGGTCGGTCTCGTCCCAGCGACGAGGACGGTCTCCGCGCCGGACGTCAGCGCGCCGCGAGGGCCCGTCGACTACGCGGGTCGCAACCGACCCCGCCCTCCTCCCATCGGTCCCGTCCCAGTGCCCAGGACGGCCCACGCCTCGGACGACAACGTATCGCGTCCGTCGATTGACTACGCAGGGCGCTCTCGCCCCGCCCTGCTCCCATCGCCTTGTACCCGCCGAAGAAGATGACCGCTGCCCTGGAGGCCAGCGCGCCGGGTGGGCCTACTGGTCAAGCTGGCCCCTCAGCTGGACCCTCCCGTCTCTACCCTGCCGACGGGAGGCCCGCTGAGGCCCCAACAGCCTCCCTGGCGGTCAAGACGGGCGGTGGAGCTCCGGAGCCCGGAGCCATTGATGGGGAACCGAACCTACCCTCAGACGGTGACGGCGTCTCGCAGAGACAGATACCACGCCCCCCCCATCCATACCGACTGAAGATGATGAGCCTTCAAAAGAAGCACTCGCAGAAGGGCAAGCAAGTCGTCGAGACGAACCAAGGCGGACAGGCCAGTCCCAGGCAGACACCTTCTCCGCCAGCCACTCCTCCTCCTCAGTCCGGCCCGTCGAGAGCACCCTCTGTGGCGTCCAGTTCCGAGCCTTCTTCAGGTATGTAGAGTTTGACCATTTTCTCGTGTGCCTGTTGATTTAACTCATTCACTTACCACCCTCCAGACTCTGACGCAGGTCCGGGGCCGGTCGAAGTCAAGAACAACCGCGAGTGGTACAAGGTTCAAGCCATCGAGTTAGCCTACCAAAATGAGAAGAAACAGTGGAGGTTCTGGGTGAGCTGGGAAGGCTGGCAGCCTCGGTCGAACAGCGAACTGGCCTGGACGGACGTGAAGTGCCTGGAGGCCCTCCCCATCTATATGGATAGCGCGGTCGAGCACATACTCGACAAACGAAACGTCAATGGCAAGTGGGAGTATTTCATTCACTGGAGGGACACCAGCGAAGATTTCGATGTATGGGTCTCGAAGGACTTTTTGAGGGACACCACCTTGTTGACGTTGTATGAAGACTCGTTGCGACGCTGAATTCCCGTCTTGTATTTCCTCGTACCTGTACCGTCTCAATGCGATTGTTTTAGGCTGCTTAGATATAGATCGATGAGGAGCTGACCGCTTTAGATGATTCAGGACGAACAGGACGGTGAGGTCTCACCGCGTTGGACAACGACAGCCTTCCACCGCCACCGTGTGGGCGAGGAAAACTCGTTACTCCATACTAGCGTCATTCAACCAGCAACTCAATCCATTCAGCCAACACCATCAACTATTCAGCCGATCCCACCCACATTCGAGCCGGCGGATGCAACGTTGCTTGCAAGACGGTGAGACTTCACCGCGTTAGCCACCGATTCACTTCTGCCTCGACCGAGCGGAAAACTCGAGCTTGTACGCACTATTCCGTATTACCTAGTAAGCTTTCGAACGTATCCAGCCGATTTCATTGTTTGTCCAGCCGACGTATGCGTTATCGGACTGAACGCTGCGATAGACAAGGCCGTGCTCCAAGACGGTGACGCCTCACCGCGTTATACAATGACTCCCTTCCACCGCCACCGGGAGGGTGGGTAGGACTTATGCTCATCATTTTTTGTTCTTCAATCAAACATTCCATTCATCTAGCCCACTCCACTGGCCACCTAGCCGATCCAACCGACATTCGAGCTCAACGCCGCGATAGACGACGCTACCCGGCAAGACGGCGACGCCTCACCGCGTTAGATGACGACCCCCTTCGACCACCATTGCGGGGGTGAGCAAGATTGGTATACAGCAGCTTGATATTTTCTTGACATCTATGCCTGCCCAGCAGATGCATCCCAGTCCATCTCCACGGTAGTCCGGGCGACGCACACAAGACGGCACCCGACGCAGCCAAGCTGAAGCCTACCAGCGGCCCATTCCTCACCGCGCTGTAATATTCAGAGCGACGCCCACCAATACGCAAGATGGTGGGGCCCGTCCAAGGCGGCTGTCCTCCTTCAATAGGCCAGCCGACACGTTAGCCTCGGCGGCCGACGCCCATTTCATCAAAACATTGGTATCCGAGTACCCCGCAAATTGTTACAGCATTCACGTATTACTACTGATCCACCATACAAAAGTTGCACCTCGGCTCATGGATCATCATCCTATTGGCCGAGTCGTCGGCCGCCGTAGGCTACCGCGATGGTGTTCCACGAGACTGCGCGTCGGCCATAGGATGACTATGCGTGAGAAAGAGCTGCTTGGTGTGTACCAATCGCATCCTTCACGAGGCCATGGACATCATAACGGCCTCGTTAAAAGAGGCTGCTAGGAAGGGGAAGGAGATGGCCGACGGTTTTGGAAACGTACGCCTCGTCTTTCCTCCCGTCGTCGCTATGTCAGGCGATCTTCTTGAACAGCTGTCCATGGCTGCGGTTAGTCCCTCTGCGTCACCCATGTCTATCGCCAGAACTAAACAGTTCGGCGACGGCGTCCAACATCCGCGACGTACGAAGGCCCATACTCTGCGTGCTATCTATGACGTCGCGCAGAGGGTTGATCCGTGGCGGCTACACGATTTCCAAACGGAGTGCAGCAAAGAGGGGCTCAGCGGCGTGCACAAACCGTGGTGGCGCGACTACCCCCTGACTGACCCGTCTCTCTTTTGCGTCCCCGATCTCCTTCACTCGGACTACAAGTTCTTCTGGGACCATATCCTCAAGGCATGCCTAATCCATGTTGGGCCTGCTGAACTCGATCGTCGCTTTGACGCGCGACACAAGCGCATAGGTTACGCTGGGCTGCGACGTGTCTCCGACGCAAAGCAGATGACGGGGCGCATGCATCGGGAGATCATGCGCAGCACCGTCGTCGCTATTCAAGGCGCCGTCACGCCCGGATTCATGCGCGCAATTCGCGCGATCATGGAGTTCCTCCTTGCGGCTCAAAGACCACGGCATACGCCGTCCTCTCTGGCTCACATGGCGACAAACTTACGTGACTTCCACGACAGCAAGCAGGCGATCGCGGACGAGGGCGGACGTGGTACATTGGACCACTGGCACATCCCTAAGTTAGAATTACTATCCAACTTCATCCCTGCGATCATCTCTCACGGCACCCTCCCTCAATGGAGCTGCGACGCCGTCGAACATCTACTTCGTACCGAGGCGAAGAAACCTTTCAACATGTTCACGAGTCGCAGACGGAGCGATTATGGGCAGCAGTGCGCGCGCCATCTGGACCGCGTTGAGAAAATGCGCATGTTCGAGATCTATTCACTCTTCAAGGCGAACGGTGCCTCGCTGCACAACACGTTTCCTGATGACGCCATGATGGACGACGTCGATATCCACAATGCAGCCTCCGTCGGTGTTGCGCGTACGTGGGTGGCGAACGCGTTGCCTGGAACCGGCGCCGAGCGCTGCATTCGCGGCCCGCGAGCACCACGCAATCTCTTCGCGACGGGGTCCCTCGTTCCAGACAACTCCAATGTTGCGTTCCACCTTACAAAAAAACCGTCCGCGACACACTCCATCGGCGAGATACCGACCATCTACCAACTCCCGGACTTTCGTGCCGCCGTCGCCGATTATGTCCAAGGGTTCGACATGGACAGTCGACAGGGTGCGATTCGATGGTCTCTCAACTCTTACGATGCTGGATTCGATGACGTGCACGTATGGAACACGTATCGGATCCAGTTGCTTTCCGTCTACGACGAGGCTGCCCGTTTGGAACCCGAGACACTGCGCGCGATGCCACCAGATGCTACATACCCATGGGGCATGTGCGATGCTGTCCTCGTCGACAGCTTGACAGCGGACGGCCAGCCTCGGCAGAATGGTGGGTAGAAATTCCTCGCGCGCCGACTCATACTAACTGGCGATGCAGGATCTCTAATCGCGCAAGTCCGCATCGTCTTCGAGCCAATCCCTCGCAAAGGTCGGGTTCTCCCTGCGTGGCTGCAGACACCGCTTGTCTACATCCAAGATTTCGTCTTTGCTGACCTGGACGAGCACGGGCTGCCCTGCAAGACTGCCGACATACTCATGTACAAGGTGCAGCGACGTCGTTACGTGGATGCATGGGGAGCTGTCCAGCGCGCGGGTGAGGTCGTCCCGTTAAGAAACATCGCGCGACCTGTTGACCTCGCGCCAGTGCATGGAGGTCCGGTTATGCACGCGTCGCTCACCGAATACAATGCCCTCGAGATCCCGGAAAGCTATTGGTTGAATGATCTTTGGGACGACGAACTACACGCGGTGCTGACGGGCGAATACGAGTAGATAGTGTTATACTGCAATGTATTGTTTTATTCCGACAACCAATTTACTGCTAAGTTCGCAACCGCAACTGTTATCCCCAGGGCTTCGTAACAGCGCAAACCCTTCCTGATATGGTTAGATGCTTGCGATCGGGCTGCTGTCAACAGCCCATTAGCGAGCCTCACGAGTTTCTCCAATGGAGTCCAGTGGGCGGCTATGGCCGGAGCATCTTTCGCGATGCTGTCAACAGCCCATTAGCGAGCCTCACGAGTTTCTCCAATGGAGTCCAGTGGGCGGCTATGGCCGGAGCATCTTTCGCGATGGGGCCGCCGGTATGGATGGAAGAGAACTAATAGCGAGGGACATAATATCCACGGCCGCGGTCCGGGCTAATACAGTTCCACGCCGTGGAGAGTTCTCCGAGTCTGGGATGCCAAGTGAAGTCGCGAGAATGAATTTGTCCTGTGAACGTACATGATCGTGCTGGTCAAATGTATTGTAGATGTTGAACGAGGCGTGTCCAAGTCGCACTGCGGTTGCAGGTGGTGCGCTTCGTGGGAGAGTTCGAGATCGTGGGTGTGATTATACCTCTTTCTGATGCGGCGTACAAGCAATGGAGCAATTGAGTGGTGCGTACCATATTCTTTCAATTGGCAGCGAGACACCACTGTGGATCTTCACGTCCTCCAGACGTCAATGTATTGCAGTCTCCTACAAACACATACGTAGGGAGTAAATAGTACACGTTCTGGTACCACGTACGGATACCCCCGGAAACGCACTCACCGTATCCTGACATATGTCTTCGACTTCCCGGGCGGCCGCACAGGCGCAAGGCCTGACGGCTACTGACAGTCTTTACGCTCAATATCCAGCGCTGAACTGTGCCAAGATTGCGCTCTCTTCTCCGGCAGCCCCTCGGTAGCCAATGCATTGGTCAAATGGGTCCTGCACATGGACAACCCAGTCTGCGAGCGTCCCGAGCTGCCATCCATTTGCAGGCCATCGATAGGACCCACGGGAGCTTGGCAGGGCATACTATGCTGTTAGTAAGGCGTCTTGTGTCAAAGCGAATAGATGTTGGGCAACGGTTCTTCGCGGGACAAGCTACTGATACCGTCTGCAGCCTGGGCACCAGCCTTGAGAAACGCTGTCTCCGACTCGGATGCAAGAATGCATCGGTACTAAACAGGTACCGAACACGTCCTCCGCTGCCGCTCGCAGTGGGGCGCTCTATACCTTGCGAAATCAATTGGATCTGGCAATTTGTAAAGGACCGCTTAAATCACTTACAGCATAAGACTTCGCTGCATTCGATGAACCGGATGTTCTACGTCCAGGGAGAAATATATGAAGCTTGAGCCTCTAATCGCTGCAGTGAGTGGGAATTGACTCGACCTGTCCAATGAGGTGGGTCCGTGCGTCGAATGCCAAACTACCCACCTATTGGCAGTGATTGGATTTCCCTTATTTTGAGAAATCTAGGAGACGCCAGCGCGTCAGCTCTGACGCAACGCGAATACGGGTGCATTTCTTCATTATGTACGGGTGCAGACGGACATATTCGTGCGCTGCACCTGACAAATAGCGGCGGCCACTGTGATTCTTCAGCATGCGTAGCGCTCACACGCACAAAGCCATTACTCACCTCTTCGACTGAGGATTGTTCCGGCTCAAAGTCGTCTGACTGTGGGAAGCGTTGGGGTGCAACGCTAGTCTGAGGGTATAACAGCACCTCGAGCCGCTTATGATCACCAACGGATGTCCGAGTCGACGTCGTCGCGGCCGTATCCGGGTTGCCACTCATTCAAGCGCTCATACCGATCGGATCTAGCGTACCACTAATACGGCCAGTAGTTAGTAGTTCTAAGGCCGGCAAACTTGCACAGCTCACCTTGCGCGAAAACGCGTAGGATCCATGAAGCACCGCCTGTAAATTCCTCCGAATCCTCTTTTTTGGCCACGAAGAACGAACTGGATGCAGAATGAATGTAGAAGGTGCCCCCAAACACCGGTTCTCTCATGTCGACGACAGCTAACACGGATTTTGTTTTCGAGATGCCTCGCCCTCTGGCTGCAGTATGCGAGTGGCCATATCTGAGAGCACCCGCTACTGTATTGTCTTTGATCGGGTATCCGTCTCGGAACTGCAGGGCGGTCTCGATCAATACAGAAGGCACCCCAAACACAGGTCTCTCAAGTCGACGAGAACTCGAGCAGCTCAGAAAAGCGCACCATGACGAAGGGGCATCGGTGGCTCTCAATTATCTGTATTCTACCATTGTACTCCATGCACAACGACCGTATGCTCACACATCATAGAAGGCGCCCCAAACGCATGTCTCTCATGTCGACGAGAAACTCGAGTGGCTCAGTGGAACCACTGGAAACAGCTCACTAGACGGAAGCGTTGCTGCTCCTCGAAAGCACAGAATCTAGAACAGCTCATAATGGTGGCCATGACACGATCCGGTCAGCTGCTCTATTCTAAAAGGATCGATGAGTCCTACCAGTTCTCTCGCTCGATACTTCGTATCCCGACGACTGAATGGACATGCCTCGGCAAATTCCTGTGAAATGCCGCTTCTCTGGCTGCGCAAATTCAAACGCCCGATTTTGGCAATGGTCATCGATATCCCGAAGGGAAATGTACTCACGAAGGTTCGTTACTTGCTAAGAGCTTCAATTGTAGTAAACAGAATACCCACAGCGGGCGGCCCGCCTTCGCCATCGCACCCTGTTGCGCCTACAGCTTGTGCCCCACGCCGCATGAATGCCAGTTATGAATGTACGTCTGGGCGTAGACGACGTGTTCTCGGCTGTATTACGGACAACACTCGACATGGTAGGACTAAGCGGGAAGATGTCCAATCCGAGTCGAGCGACAAGGGTGGTAGGCTCGGCAGCGCCGCGTACGGTGTGCTGGGCGGCTGCGGATACTCGGCGACGAGAGAAAGAAGCTTCGCGCGCCACGGGCAGCGGGGAAGAGAGGGAAGCCGAATATGGGAACATCGTGGCCTAAGCGGAAGAAGCGATCGCAACCCTACAAATGACGCATCGAGTGAGCGAGCCCTCTCTTCATTCCCTCCTTCCTCATCCCCCGGGGCAGCGCCCTCTAGTCATTCATTCGCTACCCACCCCGGGCAGCGCCCTCTCCCACCGGTCATGGCCTCCTCCCCTATCGGCCCGCTTGTCCTGGTTGTCTTTGAGGTATGTCCTTGGGCTCACCGCGAACGGAGCGGATGCTGACTAGGCCCGCAGTCTATCCTCGAAGTCTTCATCATCTGCTTTGCTGGATGGATACTGGCTGTCCAGGGCATTCTCGACAAGAAGACGCAGAAGGTGTGCCATATCGGCGGATACATGACTGTCTACTGACAGCCATGCTGCAATAGCAAATCAACCGCGTCAATGTCTCCTTGTTCACGCCGGCGTTGCTCTTTTCAAAAGTTGCTTTCTTCCTCACACCAGGTACGTTACAGCGGCCACTCAGGTCGTGGCAATGTCTGAGTGCAATGCAGCCAAGCTGGCCCAACTATGGGTCATCCCTATCGTTTTCATCATAGTGACTCTGGTTTCGATGGCGGTCGCGTATTTGCTGGCATGGATGCTCAAGCTCAAGAAGTCGCAGAGGTGAGTGTACTCCAATCCGGATCCGTTTCAGCGGGGCCGCGCAGTCGCTTGGCAGACTTCATCCACTACCCGAGGTCCTTGGCGTCCTCGGTACGGTGCCGAGCCCAGGATCGCCGAGAAGCCCAGGATCGCCAGGGATTCGCTCGCCTGTGGCGTACCCTCAAACGTTTTGGCGTTCCACTGATCCGAGGCATATCTGATATGATAAGATGGCATCGCGGTCCATCTCTGGCACCTTATCTCGTCGCGGGAGCAGATCAGAGGCATTTTTGACTTGCCCATCAAATGCTAATCTGTACTCGATCTCGTTGGTTGTGGCTTACCTATCCGAGCACTGTATGCTGACTGGCTCGTCGCAATGCAGGAACTTTGCGATCGCAGCCGCTATGTTCATGAACTCGAATACGCTCCCAATCGCCTTGATGCAAAGTCTCGTCGTCACCGTCCCCAATCTCAAGTGGGGAGACGATGACACCCAAAGCGATATGTTGGGCAGAGCATTGACTTATCTCGTGCTATACTCTACCCTGGGCATGATTGTACGTATGACATGCTGCGCATTCCTATCTTTTATCCTCACAACTGGTTCCATTTAGGTACGATGGAGTTACGGTGTCAGGCTCTTGGCGGATGCGGATCCAGAGGCTATACCAGACGCCCCGGCGAATTCTCCCGTCGGGCAGAATGACAACGCGCATACCAGTTCGATGGAAGCTGATCATACCCTGCGTCGTGAACCATCTTCCCTGACTGACTCTGACGACGCGAAGACCCTTACGCACGTTCGCGTCATCGAGGAGCCCAAGTCTTTGCCAAGCTCACGATCCATATCGCCCCAACCCCAGGCATCGACATCCGGCACACCTTCCTTGTACGCCAGCGAGGGCGAACGGACCAATGTAGATCTCCTCTGGGAGATGTGGTCCCAGAGCTGGAGGCCTCGGTCCCGGACTCGCGCTCGCGACGCGTCTGGAACCGCATCCGCAAAGCCTGGGCAGGGTTCTGCGATTTCATGACCGTCCCTTTGTGGGCCGCGCTCGCCTCCATCATCGTCGCGTGCATCACACCGCTACAGGTGTTCATCGAGGACCACGTCCCACCCATCACAGGCGCGCTCACCCAAGCCGGTAATTGCTCCATCCCCCTCACGCTCGTTGTCCTCGGCGTATACTTCTACACCCCACCCGATAAGCGCCAACAGGACGAGCAGCTCCCTACGCATAAGTCTCGGGCCGCAAGCCGAGCTGGGCAGCACGCTCGCGCGAACGGATACGCAAGGCGTTTAGCCGGAAGAAGAGTGGAGAGGGGAATCAGGCGCGCCCGGGGAGACGAAGACGGTCCTTGTGGCAGTGCTGGCGAGGATGGTGATCACGCCGATACTGCTCGTGCCACTCATAGCAGTCGCGGCGAAGTACGACCTACAGCGGCTTTTCCAAGAGTGCGTTTCCTTCCCGTTCCTTCTCGAGGCCTGCTGCTGATTATTTGATAGCCCTGTATTCATCGTGTCGAACGTGCTCCTGATCGCGTCGCCGCCTGCGCTCACGCTTGCGCAGATCACACAGGCTGCGTCGGGCGACGCTTTCGAGCGTCTCCTCAGCAAAACGATCTTCTGGTCGTACTGTGTCCTGACCGCGCCCTCCACTATCATCGTAGTTGTCCTTGGGCTGATCCTCGCCAAGCTCTAATCCGAGCTACGTTCTTTTGCTTGAATTGCTCTGCTGTTGTCTCGTCATGCTCAATCTTGCATCATACAATTCTCAACGGCATACATGTGAATCCATATGACGGACTTGATTTGTTTTTTTTTGCTGATCTCGATTGTTGAATTCTCATACAAGCGCGGTGTGTCCTCTAGCCTTGAGAAGCTGCGCCTGGTACGTACGTATCAGGCGTGTGCGTGGGTGTATACAGGGACTTAGAACGTGTTGCCGATCCATAGACTGTTCTGGCTGTATTGTAGGCCTTTTCTACACCATCCCCGATACATTGCATCCAACATGTTGGGCAGCGCAGACGAGGCTCGCTGGTGCGTTTGCTCAAGGCAAATAGGCGCTGATGGCATATCGCCACTACGAGAGATGCGAATTCGGAATGCGTTTGTCTCGCCGATGCACACAGTGCACGCATGCATTGACCCTCCATTTCCGTCGTCGACCGGCGGATAAAAGCTTGCATGGGTTTTGACAGTTGCAGCAGAGCGGGCGGTTGCCAGGTCCGAACAAGGAGAACAATGTAGCCCACTGAGAACACTATAGTAGCTGGGCACGCGTATGCCTCGAGACTCGTGCAACAAACGCGGTACGCGTCTCATAGTGATTGGAACGGCCAAAGCTCTCTTCGAGACGTATAAAGAGCGATATGCCGTCATTGCTCGACGACTGTCGCACTGTCCCCTTGATTTTACTTCGCTATGGCCACTAACTCGGATCCTGGCCTCATCAGCGTACATACGCCACCGCACTGGACGAAAGACTTGGTCAGGAACCTCGAATGGGGAGCGAACATCGACAATTTAGATCTGCTAAGCAAGTTAGAATCCATCGCTCCGGAATACGCCATCCCAACAGTCTTGGAAGACCGCATCGTACCCATATCCGTGGGTACCATCTCCGAGCTCTGTATTGGTGCCACATACGTTGGATCTGACGAGCATGTGTCAAGGTGGGACATCCCTGCAGAGTCCGCGTTCGATACTTCACCGAGAGCCAGCTCAGGTGCAACTGGCGCATCGTCATGCCGGGACACATCGACCCTACCCTAGCTTCCTCGGGGGTTCAGCGAGTGGATGGACGCCACTGTAGAGCGGGTGCTGCTCTCGACGACTGTGGTTAGTGCTGCGATTAAGGACAGAGTGCCAGCATTTGTAAGGACTTACGAGCAGAACGGAGCCTTGCTGCGGACGTACGTCGTGCTCGCCAAGCGGATCACAGATGGACAGCCCGTGAGGCTGCAGGTTGTCCCGTGGGTGGGCGAGTTCATGGTTGAGGGTATGATCATACCTCTCCCCGATGCGACCTACGAGCAGCGAAGTGAACGTATGGTGCGTACTGTAGATCGTCAGAGGTACCGCAGATCTTGATGGCCTCTAGACGTCGGTGTATATCGGCCTTCCGGTTATCGCGGAGCCTGAAGACGCATATCCCGGGAGCAAATGGTACACCTTCTGGTATCGGGCGCGGTTAGACGTACGAGTCTCACTACAGTGTACACACGTTATCCTCACCAACGAACGCAGGGCTACAACACCCACCAAGGTCGCAAGTCTTTCAAGCTGACAGTCGCCGAGGGGCCTTACAGTCAGTCCCCTGCACTGGAGTGCATCACTCTGCGTGTCGCACTGTTGCCTGGGAATGACTCCGTGGCCGATATCTTGGTCAAACGGGGATATCTTGTTTGTGGGCGTTCTGAACTGGCTGGGATGAGATACCATCGATTGGACCTATGGGAACATGACGGGACGCTGCCGATAACTTACATACCTTAGAAGCAGGAGCCGGTGGAATGACTATCGTCTGTCAGCGGCCTGTAGTGACAGCAAGGTATCTCACTCACTGGATGCCTTCTGGGAGCACATAGTATGCCGGTAGATAGCACGGCGCGCTATTGGCTCTATAGCTGATCATGTCATTATAGTGTATCATAGCGTAGAGAGCGATCATTGTATGGGGGTTGTTCAACACTGGCTAGTAGAGACGAGTTCAAGCTGCTTGGGTGACGGCGGCGCGGTGACTTGGTCTGAGTGTAAATATAAGATCGCATCGGTACGGAACGCATGGGATCCAAGCGCCCGCGACCACTAGTACCGACGTAAGCCATAGAGTAGGACGGTTCTAAACAAACTAGTAAGGTGGATGGAGAGCTCCATATAAATGTGGGGCCTCAGTCTGTCTGTTGATACCAAGTTCATCCGTAGACCTGTCCTCAATTCTTATACGAGATAGAGATATGATAGCAGAGATAGAGTTGAAATAATTATTGCGCTCGAGTTATATCATTGTTGCACTGAAAGCACGACTATGAATGAAAGAACGTTGAAGCAGGAATCGCTACGGTGCAAGGCGGATTCGTTGGGTTCCATAGTGTTGCCAGTGGGTTCCTAGACCGTAGCAAGTAGGCACATGTAAGTCATCAACGCTCCGACTCAGACATGCTCGCGAGGGCGTGAAGCTGTCCATCGAACGAGATTGTCAGGAATGGGAAGCCATTGAGAAGGCAGGAATGGGTCCCCGTTTGGATTGAGGTCCTTACGTGTGAATTGCCAAGAAATATGACCCTTCAAGACGCAGATTCGAAGCGCTGACAGCCTGGCATGCCCCAGCCATTCGCCCGAGGAAATTCAACTGAATGCCAGATCCTGGCGCAATGGTGCCGAAGTCTTGAATAGAGATGTGAACAAAGATGATGGAAGGTGCAACACTGACTGAGAAGATCTGGGAGTGCCACGATTAAATGGCCGTGCACCGCGGAGCACAGACTCTTGAGGCGGAGAATGCGAGTTGTGGTTGTGGGTCCACATGAGCGTGACGCCCCGGTGATGTTCGCAGCGCCGACACGTTGCTGGCTTCCCAGGCTCGCTCGCTGCGATCCCCTTCATCGTGCCCGCCGCGGACGTCGAGCATGGGCCCGCCGTCGAGGAGAGACGCGCCCGAGTAGCGCCCACGGATGTGGCGAGAACAAAGTTTGGCTCACAGCCTGCGACACGTGCACCCTTCTTTGCGCCTTTGACCATCAAACCCTCGCGCACGTCGGATTGCTCAGCACGCTCTCGTCCAGAATCCGGACTGCAGCCTATCCAAGCATACGAGGGCACGGACCGACGGGCTGCGGAGACGGAAGGCAGTTGAAACGGAACAGAAACGGAGAGGGAGGAGTGAGTCGGTGAGTTCTGAGCGGCGACGAGATCGGGAACGAGATTTGAGTCGGAGTGAGCAACTTCCTCATGTTCTCCGCTCCTGGTCCTCGGGCCCTCTCCCTCGCCCGCAGACTCGTGCTAACAGCCCGCCCCAATGTCTGCAGAGTCCCAGAAAAATAACCGCCCCCCGCCCCCGCCCCGCCGGCCGAGCCCCCACCTCGCCAGCACCACCCGCCGACATGGCGAGCGAGCCGGCGAAGTCCTCCAACCCCGGGGCCCCAGAGCACCTTCAGCCACATCCCATAGTCTCCTATCCTCCCAGCAGTACGGCGGCCAGTATCCCCCGCCCGTCCCCTACCCCCCTTATTATACCTACGCCGCCGTCCCCGACGGCAGCCACGACCCCAACGCTGCGAACGGCGCCCCGCCGCCCCCTCCGTACTTCATGGCGCTCCCGCCCCCGCCTCCGGGTATGGTCTATGCCTATCCTGCCCCTCCGCCTGGACAAGGTGATGTGATGAGTCAGCTTGCCTGGCTACCTAGTTACTGACGTTCCCTCGAAGGCTTTCCTCCATATCCGCCTCAGATGCAGCCCACACCGGTCCCGGTGCGGCAGAAGCGTAAACAAGTAAAGATGGCGGTACGTATCTTCCACTTGTGGCGTGTCGATCACCGCTCATGGTCGTATAGTGCACGAACTGCGCGACCGCCTGCAAACGCTGCGACGAGGCGCGTCCCTGCGAGCGTTGCGTCAAGTATGGCATTGCGGACAGCTGCATCGACGGCGTCCGCAAGGAGCGCAAGAAGGGCGTCAAGCGTGGCCCGTACAAGCGCAAGGAGAAGTCGGGTGAATCGCCCTCGAACGGTATGCCTTCCATACCCTATCCCACAGGCTCACCTTTGTACTCATCCAGTCTGTGCGCGATGAAGGTGAAACGTCCGCCCCGCCGCCCTCGCCATACTCTGTGCCTGTGCCCCCTGAGAGCTACTATCCTTACGTCTACCCGCCGCATCCCTACGCCCCGCCTCCGCACGATGGGCAGCCGCATCCCGAAGGCGGCCATGTACCTCATCCGCCATACTATCCTGGCTATCCCGTCTACTCACCGTATGGAGCATATCCCGGCGCCCCGCCTATGCCGTACCCACCTCCTACGATGCCACCGCCTGCTGTATCTGCCACCTCGAAGCCTCCGGAGACTCCCACTGTCGCGCCTGCTGAGATGAACGGCGACGCCGCGAACAAGACCAAGAAGCGGTCGCGCGTGAAGAGCAGTGAAGATGGCGGGGCAAGAGGAAAGAAGGCGAAGCATTCCGGGGACCCGCAGGCGGACGGCGAAGGCCCACGGGGTATTGTCCAGGGCGATGCGGCTCCTCTCTACGCGAGCGACGCATCGAGAACCATGGTGGCCGTCTAATTGCGGGTCATGTACATGCCCACGCGCGTCATGCAGCACGCGGCCAGCGTGTTCTTCGTCAAGCCTGACAAGCAGTCGGACAGCTCTTCCCGCGATAGGCCCTCAGGGTCGACTGTACTAGTATCATCGTCATCTCCGTCCGTCGTGTCCGTTTTTCTCTATCTTCATCTACTCGGCTTTGTACGAGAACTCTCAGAGATGGACACTCATGGTGTGGCATCGTTGCCTGAGGGATTCTCCTGGTTGTGTCATTTAGCCAGTATTAGGGTCTTCCATGTGGTTGATCCTCTTGGTGAGCCAAATGTGCGCAGTAGGATCCCGGGCACCGGTGGCCATGCCATGTAGCTTACATAGATTGAACCCATCTCCTGTCCTGATAGTCGTGCCTCGTGGTCCTCGCTCTCGCTACAAACTCGTTATGGTATCTCGCTCGTCGATTGGTCGTGCTTCTTGAAAGCGTGTAAAACTAAATATGTGCCTGTACTTGAACAGATGAATGGATGTCGATATTTATCGAAAATTTTCATGAGAGTGTCTGTCTCCAATCACAGTTCTGTCGATTGTGTGTCTGATATGTGGCCTCAGGACACTCTGGCGGCGGATTCAATGTCTGACTGTGCCGCCGCCACCGCCGGACGGAACAGACAATAATAAGGCCTATACAGGTGTAGTTCGCCACGAAAATTTTCTACTGTGACCGCCGCGCGCTGGAGCCTGTGCAGAAATAGCACTTCGCGAGGGCGATGTGGCTGGATGATAACGGCTATGAGTATAGACAGCTGCATGTGCTTCCCGTCCCTCTGCCTCACGCAGCTGGTGGGCAGCCGCTTATGGTAAAGGAACCTACCACGTCCTATGACCTTAGCATGCTTCTCGCGGATGACGTCTAAGGAACGTGATGCCAGGCCACGACCCTGGACTGCATGACTGGAGGATATTGACAGTGAAATTGTGTGGCACAGCGGTCGCGATCAATGCCAGGCGATGTATGCTCGGCAGTTGCCCACTTGAATTCTGCGCAGGCGCCCAGTCCGGTAGCGATCCGATCTGTGGCTGCTGGCTACTACTAGTCTCCATCTGGCACCTCGGCGTAAGTATGCTTCGACCGGCCAACTCATGCTGCGACTCCATCAACTTTCGGCGTGTACGCTCGCTCGTAAGAGGGATTGTGTCAATTGCATCCCCGCTGGTTCGGATCTGTCGCGAACATTACGGGACTGACGTGCAGTACGTACGTGGGTACTTCGGACCGTGATGGTGTCGGGGGCCACCGGAAGGTCACCGTCGACGTCAGTCGGAGCGACCTGTGGGCAAGGCGGCAGCTGCAGCCCTCTACGCTCGACGACCTCTACTGCACCGTCCAGCAGAACACACCAAGCGTTGTGCAGATACCCGCCAGCGACCAGAATATGCCGTCTACCTGGGAGAACGCCCGGGTCTCCGGAGCCATGCTTCTCCGCGGAGGACTCGCGCTTTCGCCGATCATAGCTGCCTACCAGGTGCGTCCAAAGACTTCGCTGCTTGGCGTGTGTGTATCGAGTGATGATGATATGTTCCATCAACTCTAGGGCACCTCGTTGATTCCTCCTGGTTCTCCAAGTATCGCGACCCAGGGCATCCTAGCGGGCCTCGCCGCCTCCAGCCTGCCCGCTTTCTTCTATGTCGTGCCGATGGTCTTCGGCTCCAGGCCATGCCCATCTCAGTCGCCTTTGTTCCTGCCTGTGACGACCTTCGTCGTCACTACGGATGTCTTCTCCTGGGTCGCAGCGCTCGTGCTCGCTCGGCAGCGCAGGACCGGGCGCAGCGACTGGCTTCTGGACACGATGGCGAAGCTGCAGCTGACGTCTTCGGTGTTGCTTGGGATCGGGAGCGTCATTCGAAAGTGTGAGTACCCTCAGGCTTGCGGTCGATGCGCCATATTCTCCGTGTCTGTTCGATCCGTCCGTTGTTTGGCCTTCGGGTTCTGAATGGTTGCACTCATTCCGTAACGCCAACAGACCTGAAGGTGGGTCAGATTGATCCCAGCCTGGCATGGACCGATAAGGTGGAATGGCAGCTTCTTGGGACGACCCTCTTCCATATCGCTGGAGCGACTGCCGTCTTGACCAGACGTCGCTGGGAATACAAGCAATGATCTTTGCGTCGGCGTTTGTCCTCTCGAACAACTGTTACGTTGTATCCGTTATGATATGTATCATACTATACCTTTGTGTGTCAGCCGTTACTCAGAAGTGCACTGTATATGCTGCGATATTGCATTCGTCTTGCTTTGGACACTGGTTTCGGCTCTTACTCGATTATCGTAACTCAGCAGCCTGAGTGCTCCGCCGTGTCATCGAGCTCTCGTCCAGTCGAGGCATATCCCCGTGGTGGATAATATGACTAGCTTTGAATGAGATGACTATGTATCGACATTCGACCAACGGAAGCATTTCGATAGCTGGCCTAGACGGCACCAGACACGGACGAACAGAGACTCTGAGAGAGCGTTTGTTTGTTTCTAAGGCTCTTGGCAAACACCGCGCCCAAATCCGGACACTGCACGTGGCAAGCGCCGTTTCTCCCGGGCCAGCTCTCGCCGCGGCGCACCTCCAGTTTTCGACGCACACGTAAACGTTCTCCTCCCAGCCCATCACCACCACCATGTCTGCCATCCGTGCCCTCCGCCACATCTCGCTCTCCTCCAGCCGTGCCTTCGCTGTGCACGGCGCCGCGCGCGCTGTGTCGCGCGCCGCTCTCCCCGTCTTCGCTGCTCGTGCCGGTCCGGTTGCGTCAAGGGCGTTCTCGGTGTCTGCGCGCAGGTTTGGCGAGGGTGCTGGTGAGTCGTTCTGGGCTTGCGCTGACGGCGTGGGGTGTGGCGGTGCTGACGCGTGCGTTGTGGCAGCTGACGTCGCGCTGTCGCAGAAGCTCGGGGAGGAGTTGCAGTACGAGAAGGACAGCGCTGCCGAGGCCGAGCCTGATTTCTTGCGCGCGTTCAAGGCGAAGGGTGTCTGGGAGGTGCGTGTCATCTTCGTATGCAATGCACCCGCCGGGTCTCATCCCTGTCGACGTAGATCGAGGACACCGCCGGGAATGACGAGGTTGCGCTGAGGCGGAAGTTTGGTAACGAGACGTGCGTCATGCGTGGCGATCCGCTGGCTTGCGCGCGCTGACGCCTTGCCTGCTAGCATCCGGCTGATGTTCTCGATTGCGGACATTCAGAACGAGCAGGAATCCGAGTTCGAGCAGGGTGAGGAGGGTGAGCAAACGCCAGAAGAGCAGCCCATCCACTCCTACCCCATTCGCTGCTCCATCTCCATCACAAAGGTGCGCACCCAGGTCACCCGACATGGGCTGTCCCTTCTCTAATGCCGCTGGTCACAGGCGGGTGCGGACGGTGCGGTCAACGTCGACGCGCTCTGCCAGGAGGGCGCGTTCCTGGTCGACAACATCTCCTTCTATAAGGACGCTGCTGTCGGCACGGAGCTGACGGCGGAGGCGGACTGGAAGCGTCGCGGCCTGTACATCGGCCCACAATTCGACACGCTCGATGTCACCGTGCAGGAGGAGTTCGAGCACTGGCTGCGGGAGCGCGGTATTGACGAGGAGCTGTCCACGTTCATCCCGGAGTATTCTGAGTTCAAAGAGCAGAAGGTACGTCCTGTCATGGCGTATGTATGGCAGATGCTGATGGCCATTTGCTTTTCTGTAGGAGTATGTCGGCTGGCTGCAGCACGTCAAGAAGTTCATCGAGGCATAGATGCGCTGCTTCTGCGTACTGCGTGCAACTCGGCTGGGTTGCTCACACAAAAGTTGATGCAGTGTCTGTGCTGCAGTCCTTACCTACACGACCGTCCTAATCGCAATGTGTCACTAATAATGCACTTCCCACTCATGCATATGCGTTTCTTTCCGGCTGCCCGTTCGCCCATGACAGGGTCACATTCGTGTCAATGTCATCCCGCAAGAGGTTTCGATTAGGTAAGCAACCAAGTCGGGAGGAGGAGGAGGAGGAGGGGATTCCATTTAGTCCTCACGTCTGCGTGCCATAAGGCTCGCCACGTGTGACAACGCTCTCTATTTACATGACAACCCCCATACTCCATAGACCCGTGTACACTACTTCCCGATCGGGATATCCAGCACCTACTATCGCACGATTGCAATACTACTCGATAATTCACAAACACCCCGGCTCATCTGCCTTGCAGCATGGCAGGATCCATGGCTAAAACCTGGTAGGAAAAAGCTTCGAAAAACCTCCAGGCGTTAGTGGTGGTTCCCCATCGCACTAACATAACTCACCATGGTCCAGGTGGTACCATATGGTAGCGCTACTGCCGTCCGCGATCATGCGGAGGGCACGCGAGGCCCCCTATTGGCATAGTAGGGGCTGGACACGCCCGACCTGGTCATAACACACAATGACTTTGGTATTGATGACACCGCCGTCGTGGGCGTAGAGCAAGCGGCTGCGGTGATATAGACGCACGCAGGGGACAGCGCTGGCCCGCTCACCGCATGGCGTAAGAGTGGAATTGCTCCACGCTGGTGACCACCAGGATGGGGACGGCGTCACAGCATTGGAACACGTCAAGAATGTATTTTGCGGCGATCTGCTCCGTGCACTCCTCCGCAATCACCGCATTGAGGAATGCAAGGGGGACTGCTCCGGCAATGCTCGTTTCTGTGAGCGCAGAGCGACGTCAACCGCCCGCATGAAAGCGGCGCGTCGTGACCGAAGAGGCTCCGCATGACATAGCATCAGCACATGTGCCTCGTCCTCGACCATGTTTCGCCCTTGGCAGAATCTGCAAATTCGCCAGTGGGGTGGAATTGGCGGCGACCGTCGTCGCAGACGTTCTACCGCAAATGGGTGGTCGGAGGCGAAGAGCCTGCATACTGCCTTTCGGGCGTCACGGCCTTCCAGCGTGAGATATTTGCGCCGAGTGAGGACGCCTGCGCCCGTTGGGCGCGCACGCAGGACACATAGCCGTTGGGATGCTTGAATTTCGCGTGTAAGGTAAGTCCTCAGGGAGGCGAGCATTTCTTCTGCACATTTCTTGACAACATCCGATGTTAAGGCTTCTGGCAACGGGAAGTCGACAGGGACTGGTAGCTGTTGCAAAGCATACCGAAGGTCTCCGAGCCATGAAGCAGTGCCACTCAGAGCCATGCGGCGAGTCTCGGCCAGCGCTGCCAAGGGGAGCACTGGTCGCTGCGTTACCACATACATGAGGTAACGGAGCGCCAACGAGAGTCGTCGGTAACGGATTGGCCACAGGCCAGTCTCCGTGAACAGGACTGCAGTTACAGACCTGGGGTTTAGTCCGAGGGTGCGGCGCAGGAAGGTCAACTGCACAGCCGCGAGGGTGTTGTGCGCCCTCAGTTGGACATCAATCGTCACTTCGCAACCAGAGATCAGGTGCGAATCGATGTGGGTGTTATATAGAGTCAGAGCCGCCCAGGGGGGCAGGTCTGCAACATACGACTCCACGGAAAGGCATGCATTCGCTGTCTTGCGTGCGATGTCCACACGGCGCTCGATATGCGCCGCAAAGATGTCTCGCGCCGTGGACAGGAACGTGATGCCGACATAGGTGTATCTGTCAACAAGGGCAATGCGTGCTCCATTGACAGTGATACGGGGCGCGGACGTCGGGAGGCCTCCGAAGATCATCAGCTGGGTCTTCGAGACATTAATGGTCGCGAAGTTCAGTGAGCACCATCGAGCTAAGTCATCTAGTTTGAGTTGAAGCCCAGCCTGGGATGTGGAGAACAACGCGATGTCATCCGCCTGCTCGAGGTGGGACACGCATACTCCTCCTAGACGGATGTCGTCTTCATGGTTGGAGATGCATAGATCGGCCAGGAAGAGGATCCAGAGGATGGGAGATGCCGGGTCGCCTATCAGAATGCCCGCTGCCGCTTTGAAGAAGTCAGATGTGCCGCCATCTGCGCGTACCACATAGCGCAGCCTAGCATACAGCATCCGCAGCCAGTCAAAAAGCGGGCCTGAAAAGCCCGCCGCGTGCAGCTTTGCCCACAGCGTAGGTTGGTCCACCGATGGAAACGCGTTTGACAGGTCTACAAACGCGACATATAGCGGTCTGCCCATCTGTCGTGCTTTCTCGATAGCGGCCCGCAGCACAAACGCATTATTGTTTGTCCGGCACCCTGTTCGGAAGCCATTCTGGGAGGTGGGAATCTGCGACGAGGATTCGGCCCACGCCCGGATGCGACGTTCAATCATCAGTGTGAGCATCTTCACGAGGCAACTCTCCAAGCCCACAGCGCGATAGTTGGCCGCATTCGCTGTGTCCTTCCCGCGCTTCGCAATCCCAATGAGGATGGCCGTCAGCCATGTGGAGGGCGCGTCGAGGCTATCCACACACTCCTGAAAGAGCTGCTGCAGATCCCCATTTTCGAGCGCGAGCACCGTTGCGTACGAGACCCAATCGCCTCCGACGGCGGAGCGACGTGAATGCAGGCGGATGTGCTCTTTCGCATCCGCAATCTCCTCAAGGGTCCACGGCCGCGCGAAGAACTCCTGCTCTGGGGGTGTCGCTGTGCGCTCCGGCAGCGCCTTGCACCACTGTCTGTTTGCCGCATACCGCATCACATCGAAGTTGTCCGGTAGCTCCACTGGAGGGTTCATCCGTGGTGTGAAAGCCAGTCTCAGCTCATCGACGGTGACCCTAGATGGGCGAGGAGCAGGGTCAACCATCCCTCGGAAGGCTTTCCAAAACGCTGCATCCGGCTTCCCTGGCTCCAGTAGGGCACGGATGTGTGCATGGCGCAACCTCATCATGTTCTGCGCCTCCGGCGTCGTCGGCCCAAACTCCTCATCCCCCCGCAGTTTCAGACTACGCTCGTCCGTGTCCATATCCAAGGTGCGCGGCGAGGTGTGTGGAGGGAGGGAGGTGTGCACTTTGGCGACGTCCATATGCACCCGTTCTAGTACCGTCGAAGCGGGCATGGGCTCCGCTGTCAGTGGCATGAATGGTGACAAGGGCCCCGCCTGCAAGCAACCTTCCCGAGCGAGTGTATCCGCTGCATCATTGCACTCATTCTGTGCATGACCCTTCACCCAGCAGAACACTACGGGCGCCGAACGCGCCCGGACGATGTCGGTTATGTTCTGGAGTATATCAGCATTTGCGCAGCGCCATCCAGCCGCTGCAAAGCGAGGCGCCCAGTGGCAGATAGAACGAATAGCATACTCGGAGTCTGTGTAGACACGCAGACATACGCAGGCATCCGCCTCCGCGAGCGCCACCAGTATAGCGAACAGCTCCGCGCGATTGTTTGTTGATGGGAGAGGCGCCAGCAGGGAGCGGTTTGAGACGTTTCCGCGACCCCAGAAAACACCAGAACCGGCCCGCGAGGCAGGCCCAGTACGCAGTCCGTGCGGCTTCATTGCTGATCCGTCTGTGTAGACATGTAGGATGGCCTGCGTCACGCAACGGACCGGTCCATAGAGGGCGCACAGGGCGTCAGGGAGGCTTCGTGTCACCGCCAGTATGCGGTCAAGCATTGGATCCAGCGGGGAGTAAGGCGTTGTACTCTCTGGTCTGTCTTCGGTAGAGCGCTGCACATGCGCTGAAGGCGGCGGTCGTTCTGGCGGGCAGACAATCTGTCGACGCAGGGCAATACAGACAGCAGCATGATCTGACCATTTCGGCCAATGGTCCAGTATGCGGAGGCGTACAACAGCATCGCGTATAACACCCAGAGACGCAATCGCGTAGTCGATGACCGTTGATCCGAGTGGCTGGAACGAGGTGAACCTCGAGATGCTGTCCGCATCCTGTAGGTGCGAGCCGTTGATGATCTCGAGCTCGTAGTCGCGGCATAACTGCAGCAGTGCGCGGCCATGTTGCGAGACCTGTGCTGCATCTGGGGATGAGCGGGTAATTTCCACGGAGGCCGTTATTGTCCCAGTACGGGCGTTGAGGTCGCCCACGAGTATGACCGGGACGTCAGGATCGCTAGTGGTGATAGCGAGCACTCGTTCCAAGAGCTCGAACGGACCGAGGGCGGACAGTGTGTACCAGTGGGATTGAATCGGGGGAACGTACGCATTCAGTAGCCATAGTCCCTGTAACCGAAGGACCATCACCTCTGACCCGCCCAAATCCGCGTGGTGCACGCACGGTAGCTCCGTGCGCACAAACGCGACCAGGCCTCCGCCAGGCACATTGAACGAGGGCGTGTCGACTCGCCCGCATGCGAAGCAGTCGTATCCTGCTGGCAGGGGTAGCTGCATCTCCTGATCTTGCCGCAGATGGGTTTCCTGCAAGAGCACGACGTCGAACTGCGCGAGCGCCTTCCGGAACTCATCACTCCTCATTTTCAAGGCCAGGTTGCCATGCACGTTCCAGCTCGCCACGCGGATCGGCATATCATTCGCGGGCGGGCTAGGACAGCACATTTAGCATTTTATTTCAGTCGTATAGTAGTAGTATTTTACTGACTACTGCACGACCGCGCGAACCGAAGGATACTCCTTGGGGCCGTTGTTCCAGGCATTCGTGAAGCTGACCGCCTCCTCCCTAGAGCGGAACAGAGCCCGGACGTACGAGGGGTCGCTGTCCACGAAGACGCCCAGGACCCACGAGTCTTCGATGCGAACACCCGCCCTGACGGAGGTCGTGACCTTGAGGAATTGCAGTCGAGCCACATCTGGCTTCCAGGACATCTGTCCGAAGCGCACCTGCGTCGTCACCGCCTGAGGGGCTGGCCCACGAGGTGTCGAGCGGTGTCCCGAGCGTCCCGACGCCGGGCCCGGCCCTGGAGCCAGCATTGGTATGGGCATGGGCATGGGCACCGACGCATGCTGGTCCCAGTAGGACCCATCACTCCGCATGGAGTTATTCGCCTGCGCCGTTTGGCCCTCCCGGCGATCGGCCTTCTTTTTCCCTCCTCCACCACGCTTTGCGCGCTTCGAGGGAGGCCCTTCCTGCATGGCGTCGTTGTCGTGCTCGAGGGGGCGGGGCGCAACGTGAGGCGGGCTCGGGAGGGGCAGTATCATCGGCCTCTGTACGCGAGATGGTCCACTGGGAGGCACAAAGGGGGGCAGTGGCGGAGGCGAGGGGCAAGCAGGTACGTAGCCATGCGCCATGTCCTCGTTCCATCGGCGCAGTAGGGATGCCACGGAGTCCTCAACCTCAGTGAGCGTTTGCGCGACTCTACCAACTTGGCCCGCTACGTCCTTGACCGTACCCTCGACGTGCTCCACCGAGCCATCCAGCTTTCGTAGTCGCACAGTGGCATCGTCGGTCAAAGTTACGACGGTGTTGTGGGCGTCGCGCAGCTCGGCTACCTCGTAAGCCACCGACTTATGAGCGTCGCGAAGCTCCAGCAAGTCATGCGTGCGGGCAGTCCGCAGTTCCACTATGTCTTGAGCCGCCATCGTCGTGTCCTTGCCTAGGGTCTCGAGGCGTGCACGGAGCTGAACCTCCTCCAGGCGATAGTCGACAGCATTAGCGACCACCTGAGGCAATCCAGCCTTCATTCCCGTGAGGACCTGCGTCGCCATATCACCGTTCACGAGGTCGACCGAGGCCATCACGCGCTGCATAGTCTCCTTCAAGCCGTTTAGCTCGGAGCCCACCTCAGCACGCAGGGCAGTGACGTCGTCAGACACCCGCCCGATGTTTCCGGCGAGAATGGGCACAGCCTTGGCGGCCGACTCGCCATTGAGGGCGACGAGACCGTTCTTGGAGACGGGCTCCTGCGCGACCTTGGCTCTTGCTTTTTCTTTTTCTTTGGTCGCCCTCTTGGCCGTGGTGGCGGAGGGCGACGCAAGAGACTGCAGCGACGCTGCCGATTGCGACCGCATCAACCTCTGAGTCGTCGGCGGAGGCGGCGCCACTGGCGTCGTCGGGGCAGTCGCTAGCAATGCATCCATGTCGGCCATGGCGGTACTGGCCTCCACGCCGCCACTGATCACGACATCACGACATGACCCATCAGTGCTGTAGGGTATCCAGCCAGTTCATCGCACCCACCTAGGACGCTGGGAGCCGCTGGGGGATACCGTGCCAACAGTGTCGCCGTCACTCTCGTCGAGAGGAGGTGGTACGGGCAGGGAGGGGTCCGGCGCTGATGCAATGACAGCCATACTATGTGCTCGTCTGCTCCCCACGTCAAGCGATCTTTTGTCAGGCGGGCTGCGAGCACAAAGCAGTATCTTGCTTACCCGTTCCTCCGGTAACCACAAGCCTCGGGTTGAACGCCGCGACGACTGCAGGCGGCGGACAGTAATCTGTTTTCCGACAGTGTGGCTGGCCATCTGTACAGTTTTGCCATAGCACTGTACAGTTTTTGCCGTGAAGGTTCAGGGTGTCGTCGGGAGCAGACGGCGGGATTGGTGGCGCCACGGGCACCGACCATTTATCCGGTGCGGGAGGACGAGTGCGGGGTCCGTCTAACGCGGCACGGCCAGTCGGTCGATGCATTTCCGGATGTTCCGCCCAGCACCCTGCGACCAGTAAATGTGCAGCCGTAGGATCGGTGCGACGGGACAACCTTTGCGGTGGTATGTCAGTAACCCAGGGCCGTGGTCGCCGGCTTAAGTTCCAGACGGACTCAGCTCTTGTCATGTCCACCCAGGCGGCGCTGGTGACCAGTGCATGCCAGACAAGTCGCGGGTTCGTATAAGCGTAGCGAGGATGAGCAGAACCTGGCGAGGAGCAGGACAGAACCTGGCGAAGAGCAGGGGAGGCGGAGAAGGAGGTGGCGGGTCGATAGTCAACCTTCTGATCGCTCAGCTTTGGGCGGCCGCGGTGATCGCCGTGATGCGACACGGTCAGCCCGCACTCAATTCATGGGCCATCGAGCTCGAGCTCGCTCCTGAGCGTGTAGCCTCGCACTGTGTGTACAGGACGTAGCTGCGCAGGAGGAGGAGCCATTATTGCGACCGCACATCGCTGTTCCCCGTAGCACCCGCCCCTATCTGAGGCTCATCCACTCGCGCCGTTCGGCATCCACCCAACCAGTAGATCGTACGCCTTCGCGATGCAGCGAGCAGAGTCATAAGGCATACACACCCACACATCTACCTGTATTGGCGTACGCACTTCGCGTAGTCCATTCACATTACGGTGTGTATATGTACACAGGCAAGAGTGTCTGCGATCAATATTTCCCGGTACCATCGGGTCTCGCGCACTTTCGTCCCCGAGCTCCCAGCTTCCACGCCACGCCCACTCGCCCTGTCAGCTGCGTTGCCGACCATAATGTGTACGACGGTGAGGAAGGACATCATCGTCGGTGTTGGGGAGCCTGTGCAGGCCGGCGGCGCCGAGCGTTTCCGCTACTAAGCAGCCTCGTCGTACACGACGATGAGTAAGGGACCGTCGTCGTCGTCCACAGAGCATCAAAGCAGTGCCGAGCGTATACGCTACCAGGCAGCATCGCCGCGCTCTGGGTGCACGATGAGGAAGGAGGTCGTCGTCGGTGATGTGCAGACCAGCGGCGCCGAGCGTTTCCGCTACTAAGCAGCCTCGTCGTACACGACGATGAGTAAGGGACCGTCGTCGTCGTCCACAGAGCATCAAAGCAGTGCCGAGCGTATACGCTACCAGGCAGCATCGCCGCGCTCTGGGTGCACGATGAGGAAGGAGGTCGTCGTCGGTGATGTGCAGACCAGCGGCGCCGAGCGTTTCCGCTACTAAGCAGCCTCGTCGTACACGACGATGAGTAAGGGACCGTCGTCGTCGTCCACAGAGCCGTTTATAGACTTCTGATAACAAGCTCCTTGTTAAGGTTGCCGGGGGTCCAGATACGGTGAGCCTCGGCTACGGTGGCGGTGGCTGGGTGGTGCCCGATGCTGGTGGAACGTCCGAGAACATGCCCTCCGTGTCCTGCGCCTTCCACGTCCTCCTCGCGCCCGCTGCGTCATGCTCCCCCCTTCGCGGCCGAGCCCACCCGCGTCCCACCTGACGGGTTGCGCCATAATTGGGTGGCTCGGGAGGCTGCGTACGAAGCAGGAACTGCGTGTCGGCCACGTCAGCTCGCAGCTGCTACGGCGCCTTCGGTCGCGTATAAGAGGTGAGCTCGAGTCGGTGTGGGCGGTATCGGCATTGCACCTCGTCGGTCGGTGTCCCCTGCAGATAATTATAGACTCGTCACTCGCGGTGTATATCCGTTGCACATCTGCACCCTCGACAATACCTCTATTCAGTCATGTCTAGCCCTATCGCCATCCCGCGCTCGTCCCCCGTCGCATCTCGCAGCCCCTCGGGCTCTCCGACGGGCGTGTATGTCCCCGTCCACAAGCGCAAGGCGGTCGACCCGCACGTCAGCGCCATGGCGCACGTTGGCAGCGCCGCGGCGGCGGTCATGAACGGTCAGTCACATCTCCCTCCACAGATCCCTGAACAGCGTCCTGAATAACGATCCACATGTATCAGGCCCGATCCGCAAGCAGCCCTCATTCGTCTACGGGCGCAACCAGCTCCGCGCGCTCGCGGCCTCCCCGCTCGTCGGCGCCTCGCTCTCCCCCGCGCAGCAGGCGCGGCTCGGGGAGCTCCGCGCGTTCGTCTCCGCCCCGACGAGCGCGGGAGGGGAGAAGGCCGTGCGGAGGAGGCGCGCGGCGAGGAGGGCGAGCAACGCGAAGAAGCTGCAGACGGAGGTGCATGTGGACGTCGAGAGCAGGCGCCGCCGCCATGGGCACGGCGCGTGGGGGTGGACGGCGCACTCTGACGCGGAGGAGAGCTGGAGGCATGCGCCGGAGCTCGTCGAGATGCGGGCGTGAAGCCCCGGTTGCATACCTGAACTGAGCTGGAGACCTGGTATCATTGGGTACTGAGGACTCGTGAGGATGGACGCAGGATGTGCGATGTAGTCATGATGGACTGCTTGCCATGAACAGTCGTAGTACGCATAGAATTGTAGTAATGATGCATGGATGATACCCACTCTCAGAATCTTGGGTTCGAACTTGTGAATCGTCGACGTACCTTGCATTCAAACCACACGCAAGGTTACAATCGCAGTACTATAAGGAACGAGAGAGGCACTGTCCGAAGCGACTTATCGTGACAGGGATGCAGTAATTACACAAGATGGGCAAGGTGGGCAAGCTGGCGGTTAAAGTCGTACGAAGCGAGTGACAAGCATGATTGCCCAATTAAAGCTGATTGGGGAGGGGGACTGTATGCTCTGCATGAATGGCAATAACTCGGAAATGAACCCATGTGCCAGTGCTTTCACTGTTCAATTTATAGGCACTGGCATGAGATGACGCGTCGGTAGTGTACTGACGAGCATCTAATCGAGGACAAGTCATGTAGACCGATTTGTGGAAAGGCATGATACGGACGTACTTCAGAACAAGAGGATTAGACGGACCAGTAGAGCATTGGCGCCGCAGAGGATCTTGACGTAGGTTATACACAATCCTGCGCTGCTGATCACACCCTGGACGTCGATGCGAACCAGATCCACAGGTCTTTGTCGGAGAAGCATCGCTATGGTGTGGTTGTTACGTGTAGTATATGTAGGTAGGATAGACTGATATCTCGGAGGCGAGAAGCATGCTGTTCTCGACGATCTATGCTCGAAATAAGCTTTGACGATAGAGGGATCGGATCGGAGAGTTGGCCTTTCGCGGCATGGTTGGGGATCGATGATATGCATGTGCGGGGTGCTAAGGCAGTAAATGAAGAGCACGTTTCGCTGACCTGGAGCCATGGCGTGATACAGCTCGACAACGCGTTCGCCGTTTCTGGAGTTTCACGAGTTCTATCTCTGCTGGGGAAATACTGACCTTAGTATATTCGCCCATGGCCCTCGCAACGTTCGGGGGTTGTGCTGGGCTGCATCCCACCCTACAAATTCGCGGCTGGCGAGAACGCGAGGACGGCTCGGGCGCGAGATTGGGCAAGGGTGTGCAGCAGGAGTGCGCCGAGGATATACCGCACGATGAAGGCACGGTGGAGGGTCATGCGTCCGCGGGGACGTACGTGCGCGAAGGATCTAGACGGCGGGAGGCTTGGAGGAGGAGATTGAGGCGATGGCCAAAGATGGTAAGCATGTTCGCGACAGGGTGATTGGTGGCGAGGCGGCGCGCCTGGAACGAGCAGATCAAAGACGATTGGCCCGCTATGGCAGGTGCTGTCGTTCCGTCGTGAGAATGCGCACCGGGCACGGACCCGGGCAGGCTCCGCGGGGCCGGGCACGCTGGCTGCGACGCTCGGGCTGGCGCGTGCAGCGGCGGTGAGGGACGCGTCGGTGGCGGGGCGAGGAGGACGAGCTGGAAAAGGAGCGATCGGCGTGGTGGAAGACTGGAAGACTGAAATACAGCATGACGTACCCCGGTCACGTGTCGATCGGCGGTACAGAAACGGCTCCGTCGCGGCCTGGAATACAAATACTCGCGACGCGTCCGCACTCGACTCCCCGTCTCTCCTCCTTGCCACCATGGACAGCTTCGCAGAGCCCCGCCGCCCCACGACCCCCGTCTCCCTCGCCGCCGTCCGCGACCAGGTCCGCAAGCTCGAAGCCGACCACATCGCCAACGGCATCCCTCTCTCTGGCCGCATCGTCCACGTCTGCCATTACCTCCCCGTCTCCTCGTCCTACAGTCGCAAACGTCACGACCTTCCCAGCCCGCCTCCGACCCCGCCCACCGCGCCCTCTGATATCCCCGCGAGCCCGACGGAGGGCACCGCACCGCCCCACGATGTGCCATATCAGCAGCCCCAGCCCCAACCTGCCCAACTGCAGGAAGAGGACACGAACTGGACGCTGAACGTGCGCTACGGGCATTCCGCAATGGTCAGCGGGAGATCCAGCCTTGCGTCGACCCACGAGCAGGTCGTCATCGGCTGGACCGGCGACATCACGTCGGCCCCGACTACGCTCCCCCCAGCCGCCTATGGCGCTCCCTCCGCCTCCACGGTGTCAGAGTCAACGTATGCGGCTCCACCAAGGTTCCCACCAAGGATGTCGGCGAGGAGGACCGGCAGACACTGGAACGCCTGTTGGCGAAATACCGCTCACGAGAAGACGCTGAGATCGAGGACGGCAAGCAGATTACCTACGTGCCTGTCTGGCTCGACGACAAGGAGGCACATGGTCACTACGAAGGCTACTGCAAGCAAAGTGAGTGCCTCTTCGCGTCTTCGACTCTGTGTTCCCGCTGCATACATGGCCCGCAACTCGGCGACGTACTCGCTGCAGACCTTTGCACTGCTCTACCCCGTATCTGCAGCATGGCATAGCTCCGGAGCATACTCTCTTATGTGCTTTCTGTGCTGCGCCTTCGATAACCATCCTTCTGCGCACTCCTCTGCGCTTTCCATATCCGACCGATTTCCCCCATTTCCTCGCAGCCTCTTCTGGGCCTTAATCCCTGATCCTCCGCGTGTACCTTTGGAGTCTATCTTCTTCGCATGGGGCCGCTAGCCCCTTCTGTCCGTGAACCGCAAGCACGGCGCCGTCTCCGGTGCGATGGCGCATCCCACATCTGTAATTCGCGCCCTGCCTCACCTCTAGTGCGTGAACTGGATCACGCTCGTGCCCCGAGCCTGGACGCCCGGGCTGTACGTGTGCGGAACACCGTTCCTCGCACGTTCCGCCCGTAGCCTCCTTGTCTGTCCTCGCCTGCGTGATTTCGGGGCGAGGCCGGACAAGGTCAGCCCACTGCCTCCCGCGAGAGTGTGCGCTCCGTGCATGTATCACACAGACCCGTTCTGTGGCTTCTGTGCATCGTGTCAGGGTTGTCTCTGCATTGACCTGAACCTTGGCGGCGGATCAGGTGTAGGCGTGCCTGGTAGCTTGTCGATGACGGCCCGGGATGCTCGTTCTTCCCGGAACGGGCATTTCGCGGGGATTGGTTCGAGGAGGGGTTACCTTCCGCGTCCCCGTGGGGTGAGATCCGTCTTCGGACAATGTATGTGCCTTGGCAATGGTTGTATGCGCATTCGCTGTCTGTGAGCGGTTACATCGGCCCGTCACAGCGCAGCCTTGCGTTCTGCATAGCTTTGAGGCATAGCCGTAACTACTCCCTGCATGTGAATCGCGCTCCATGTTGCGCACGTACTAATGACTCTTCATTCTCGCAGCTCTCTGGCCACTCTTCCACTACCTTCTCTGGCAGGATGTCGCAACCGAGTATGCGTCTGCCGACGCGCATTGGGGCGCATATAAAGCCGTCAACGAGGCCTTTGCGAAGCGCATCGTCGAAGTATACAAGCCCGGTCCGTCTCCGTTTTTTCTCACCATTCTTCTGCGAGTGCTCACACGACGCGCAGGCGACCTTATCTGGATCCATGACTACCACCTACTGCTCGTACCGTCGATGCTCCGCCAGGCCCTCCCAGAAGCCGCGGTCGGCCTCTTCGTGCACACGCCGTTCCCGAGCTCGGAGATCTTCCGGTGCTTGCCGCGCAGGAAGGAGATCCTCGACGGCATGCTCGGCGCAAACCTCATCTGCTTCCAGGTGCGCGCTCCGTCCTATCTTGCTACCCTTCCCCATCGGTGATGTTCACCTTTATTTCTATTTTGGGGTGGGTGTAGACGTACTCGTATTCTCGGCACTTCACCTCGTCGTGTGTCCGCGTGTGCGGATATGAGATTACGGCGACGGGCGGAATCGATGTTGCGGGACACGTTGCGTCGATTGCTTACTGCCCCGTCGGCGTCGACGCGGAGCGGGTTGAGAAGGATACGTGAGTACTCCGGAGTTGCGCGCCGGGTGAGGTGGGTGTTGACAGCTATTCGTGAGACAGTCTGCGCCCGGGCATTCAGCCGAAGCTCGAGGCGCTCCGTGCGCTGTACGAGGGGAAGAAGATCATTGTTGGGCGTGATAAGCTCGACGTCGTGAAGGGTGTTGTGCAGAAGGTGAGTTCGGGCTTGTTCGGACGCGCCTGTGTTTTGGCTGACATGTCTGTTCCTAGCTTCGTGCGTTTGAGAAGCTCTTGTGTGATTACCCCCAGTGGATTGGGAACGTCGTCCTGATCCAGGTGACGTCCCCCGCGCTGTCCGACTCGCCCAAGCTCGAGCGACAGGTCTCTGAGCTTGTCGCGCATATCAATGGCGAGTATGGTTCGCTCGACTTCATTCCTGTGCACCACTAGTACGTCGCTACATCCACCATGCACATGTGGACCGTTGGCGCTGACGCCTACCTGTCACTGTCACAGCCACCAGACTATCAAGAAAGACGAGTTCTACGCGCTACTGTCAGTTGCGGACCTCGGTGTGATCACACCTCTTCGGGATGGCATGAACACCACCTCGATGGAGTTCATCCTCGCGCAGAACCGCTCGAAGAAGAGCCCGCTCGTCCTCTCCGAGTTCATGGGCATATCCAGCAACATGGGCGACGCCATGCAAGTCAACCCGTGGAACCTTGTGGTATGTCCACTCTCCCCACGCCAGCGGCTGACATCCCTACCACATATCATCGCGGAGGCGCCGAAACGCTGATGCTTACATACCGGTGATTTCCAGGAAGTCGCCGCGGCGATGCACCGTGGGCTGACGATGGCTGACGACGAGAAGGCGCGGCGGCACGCAACGCTGTACGACACCGTGCGGACACACACGTCGCACACGTGGGCCGCGACGCTCGCGAAGATCCTCCTCCAGCAGATCGGCGGGCAGAACCTTGCGAAGATGACCCTCCCCATGCCCAAGGACCGCCTGGAGGCGCAGTACCGTGCCGCGAAGAAGCGGCTGTTCTTGCTCGACTACGATGTACGTGCGGTCCTCTTCGTGCTCATCCGTCCGCATGCTGAACGGGTTGTGTGCAGGGAACCCTCTCACCGATCGTGCGTGTCCCGAGTGCGGCGGTGCCCTCGCCACAGACCCTCGAGGCGCTCGAGAACCTCAGCAAGGACCCGCGCAACGTCGTCTTCATCATCTCTGGCCGCGACGGTGCGTTCCTCGAGCAGCACCTCGGCCACATCCGTGGCCTCGGCATGAGCGCCGAGCACGGTGGCTTCGTGCGCGAGCCGGGCTCGAGCGAGTGGACGAACTTCACGGAGCACCTGGACATGGAGTGGATGGGCGAGGTGCTGGAGATATTCAAGTACTACACTGAGGTGAGCCGTGCTGCGGCGCCGTTGGAGTTGGATCTTGTGTTGACATTGGCGTCGTAGCGCACTTCGGGGAGTCATATTGAGGTCAAGAAGAGCTCGATTACGTGGCACTACCGCTCGGCGGACCCAGAGTGGGGGTGAGTCCGCCCTCTGTCTACAGCAGCATCCGTGGGACTCATTGGGCCCAGTCTTTTCCAGTGCAGACAATGCCAGGACCTACTCGAGAACAACCTCGCTCGCAAACGCCCCATTGAGGGTAAGCCCTTTATCCCCTGCGTGATGATTACTTGAGGCTAAGCTGTCTACAGTCCTCGTTGGCAAGAAGAACCTTGAGGTTCGTCCCTTGGCTGTCAACAAGGGCGAGATCGTCAAGCGCATCCTCTACTACAACCCCGACGCCGAGTTCGTCTTCTGTGCTGGCGACGACAAGGTGCGCAGCACCACACACGCTGCTCCGCATGCGTATCTAACAGCGGTTTAGACCGACGAAGACATGTTCCGCGCGCTCCTCCTGTTCAACGGCGACAAGACACAGGCGACGCTCGACCCGCCGCTGTCGGTCACCCTGGTTGCCGGCGAAGACGCGAGCAAGTTCAAGCCCGTCGACCTCCAGCTCACGCGCGAAGGCGCATTCACGACGGCCGTCGGCCACAGCAGCAAGCGTACGCTCGCGGCATGGCACGTCCCCAGTCCCGAGGACGTCGTCACCCATCTGCTCGACCTCGGGCACATCGCCAGGGACGAGGCAGATGCGAAGCTCTGAGGTCGTTCCTCGCAACTCATCTAGGCAAGGCTATGCATATTTCACGACCTTTATGACTTCTTTCTCTCCTCTCTCTCGGTCCCTGACAGTGAATCCGCAGCGCATACACGAGACTTGTGGTTCCTCGACGGACAGGTCTTACGCACACGAGGCGATTTGTACGAGTGTAATGTGCGATGTGAATGTGGCCGCAGCACCAATCGTGTATATTTTGACACCCAAGCATATTTACTTAGGGACATAGCATACAGCGCAGAAGAGAAATACCGTAGAACAGCAGATGATGCTTGGATGTATCGTAGCATAGAATCAGAAATCATAGACACCCTCGCACAAATACACTGATGAGTGGAGCAAGTTTTGGGGAAGCAAGGAGGGAAGATGTGTGGTCAAGCAGCTTCTGCTTGAATGGGGACAGCTTGACCGCCCTTTGCGGCGCTAGGCGTGAAAGTGTGCCAGCGGTCATTGAAGCGCACGTCTAGCGGGACATGAGTGTTTGCATGGGTGGAGACGTGGCTGTACTCACCCAGAGGACGGCCACCATACATGTATTGCTGGAATTTTGCTGTGATGCTGTCAGCAACACACGACGAAACCATCCACAACACAGCTTACCGATGGCAGTCTCAGCCTCCGTCACCTGGCCAAACTGCACGACACCACAGCCCTTCGAACGGGTACCCTCGAACAAGATCTCGGCCAGCTCTACCTGGCCGGTGGTCTCAAACAGCTCCACCAAATCCTCGTTCGCCGTAGACCACGGCAGCTACAATCAAAAACCTCAGCCCAGCCCTCCACGAACTATACATAATTATGCACTCACGTTCCGGACCATGATCTGCTGGCTCGGCTCAGCTTCAAAGCCGGGATACGCAGCGGGATAGCCGGCGTCAAATCCGTTCAGGGCGGCACCACCAGCCTGGTCAGGACCGGAGTAGGGCGCGTAGAGGCCCTCGTTGAACTCTCGGCCGCCACCAGCGCCAGCGCCGCCGTAAGCGCCTCCACGGTGGCTACCCCGGAGTCCACCTCTGGGGCCACCCCGTGGGCCACCACGGGGGCCACCACGGAGGCCACCACGGTAGGACCCTGGGCCGGAAAGACCCGCGTAACGGTCCTGTACGCATGATATGTGGGTGCGTAGGGGTGATAATGGGCAAGAAACCCACCTCTCGGACTTCTAGTGTGCGCCCGTACCAATCGAACCGTTGTACATACCTGGAGAGCAGAGTGAGCTTTGGTTCTGAACGTACAGAGCCGGCACATACTGATGGCCTGTTGGGCATCTTTTGAGGTCTCGAAAATTACGGTACCGGACCCCTTGGGGCGACCATCGGCACCAATATTGATGTCTGCCCGGATGATGTTTCCTGCAGAGCGGAACAGGTCTTTCAAGTCTTGCCATCCGGCTTGATACGGGAGCTGGCAAAAGTCAAATACATTGGCAAACGTGCATGACTTGGGAATTGAAGAGTGCATACGTTTCCAACATACAGCTGATTGCCTGGGTTGGCAGTTTGGCCTCCGAAGTAGTTGTGCGAGGCAGGGCGTGGCGGTGGTGCGGCGTGCAACCCTTGGCCGGCCATAGCCATACCAATCTTACCTGGAACAGGCGTCGCACCGAACCGCGACTCGTGTTCTCGTCCTAGATCCAAGGTCAGTCGGAAGACGAAAATCCAACAGCAATGCACTCACTTCGCGAATGAAGACCGGTCGCCCAAGCAGAAGTTGTTCGGAGAGTTCGCGGATGGCCCGCTGAGCGTCCTCTTGCGAGGCATATTCGACGATACTAGGAATTTCATAAATAAACGGTCGACGTGCAAAAAGATGTCATTACTCACCCGCATCCCTTGGAGACGCCGGTGGGGGTGATCAAAACTTCGGCGAACAGGACCTCTCCAGCTAACAACCCCAAAAGAAAGCTCCCATCAATAAGCCATCCTCTCAACTCGCCGTCCATCAGTAAACCAGCAAACTCCAGCAAATCCTCTCCTGGCCTTGGCCTCGCAATGCAATCTCGTTCCTCAAGCAGCTCTTTCGTGCAGCTAGCTGCCCTCCAATATCGCCGTCACGGACTCTCTTCCTTTCCTGAAGCCGGCTCTCCTGAGATCGCGCGCGCACGGACCTACACCTCGTGTCTGCAGGCTGCGGCTGCAGCAGAGTCTGCGCCTCCGTCGCCACGCTGCTTCTGCCTCCACGTTCATCTCCACCTCCAAGAAAGACGACGACCACCGAAGAACTAATCTGAAGATCCCCCACCCACCTCCCCGCATGAATTCCATCAGGTCCCTGTACTTGACGTCGTAGCTGAGATTGCCGACGTAGACGCGGTTCTCGCGCTTGCTGACTTTCGCGAACTCGGCGGCCTCTTCGTGCGGCGCATTCATGGGCCCGCCGAGCGAGCGGCTGAAGGGGTCGGCGTTCCGCCGTTCGCGGCTGCGTGAACGAGGGGAACGTGAACGAGAGCGCGAACGAGACTGTGATCGACGTGACCGACGCCGTGGGGAGCCAGAGCGTCTGCGCGGACGGGACGGAGAACGGCTGCGCGACCTCTTGCGGCGCTGTAGAACGCTTAACTTATTTTCAATACAGATGAAATGACTCCCACTCACGTCTCCATTGCGCCGGTCGTCGGGTTCCCAGTGGTCGCTCCTCCGACTGCGAGCTGAAGACACAAAGACAGGGATTAGTGTTACGCTGAATATCGGGTGAAGTTGAGACGCACCAGACGGCCTGGGATCACGGTCTCTGTCGCGGTCGCGCCTGGAGTCGCGGTCTCTGTCCCTCTCCCTTTCTCTCTCCCTTTCTCTGTCGCGCTCCCTATCGCGGTCTGCGTCACGGTCCCTTTCGCGGTCCCGCTTGTCGTCAACGTCGTCTTTGATTTTCATGTCCACGTCCATAGCGTCAAGAGTGCCTGCAGAGAGGGCGACGACGAAGAATAGGCTGAGCCGGTGGTGGACGTAGTCGAAGGCAGGTCGAAGCCCTTGATTTGCAGCGCGCCACAACGGCCGCATCGGACTTCAAATTGCGTGACCGCCAGATTTGGTAGTCGCCCTCCGTCCTTCACCCGGATCACCGTCTCCTCAGCTCTCTACGTCCCCGATATTCCATCAGACATACATAGTACATACTTCCGACGCTACTGCTTTTGCGTTGAACTGCATCTGCTATACTCCTTCGGGATCATAGAGTCGCAAAATATTGTGAAAGCTGAGTACAAGGTGTCAATCCGCCAATAGGTTCAGAATAACTTTAGCGTGTGCCATGCGACGCTTCTGCTATTTTGTGACGGTACGTACTGTAGAAGTCGCATTCGGTCAGCCCTCCTCGACGTTGTGATCAATGTTACAACAGTCAGGTTCATCAGGGTGGTGTCCATCGTCCCGAGTTGCAATGACCCAAACCACAAGCCAGACAGCTGCAGACACCCTCGTCACCTGCGTCCTCGAGCAATCTACCTGTCGTCCAGCTCCCGCTTACAGTAAAGCCAAATAGGAAGAAGCTAGTCACGGGTAGCGGTTTGGACGCATCCTGGCCCAAAAAGCTGAGGACCCGTCTGAGCCGCTGAAGTACGAGCTTCGCTTGCGCGTGCGCGTGCTGCTCGAGGCTCCCTGACCGGTCCAGCGAGGCGCCAAAGGTTATATCGAAAACCGCAAGTTGAGATCCCCCAGTGTCACAGATCGACAGGATGCGGGAGGTGTTACAAGCGCAGGTGAGGCCAAAGCAGTCGGCGCATTCTTGCGGCACAGTGCTGAGCGTACTGGCAATCGCTAAGGATTGCCAAAATCCCATGATGTAAGTACGCTTCCCACTGAGAGCCTTGCTCTGGCGAGCAAGGATGGCAGAATGCAAACCGCCGTGGTTGGTGCTCATCAACTTTGTGCTTTCCTCTGCAGTTTGTCGACGTCTCGCAGCGACGATTGGGGTCGTGCCGCCATAGTAGCTACTGACGTGACGGCACTGACTGCAAGTTGATGTTGTGATAGGGTCAGTATCCGAAAATCCAATACATAATTTAGGAATCTATACTATGCAGTGCTATACCTCGCGATATATCCTCACAGCTCATCTCTCGGGACACTTTCTTCCACCTCGTTCTCCGTCCCGACGTCCGGGGCGGGCGACTTGCTCGATCCCACCTCTGCAAGGACGTTCACATCAGCAGCGACGATCCCAGAAAGCATCTTGCCCTCTTCGGCAAGCTGACGCGCGAAACGCGCAATCTCCGTGTCATACTCTTCCCACTCAGGGATTGACGTGCACGAGAGAGCTTTGGCTCTTTCTGCATCGCAAACAGCATGAGTTAGATGAGCGCGCTGATGGCATTGGTTGAGTGAATCTTACCGTGAGGGGGTTTTGGCAGAGATCAATCGTTTTTGCGCGGTGCAGCCGATCTTTGCTGCCTATCAGAGTGTACATGCAGATCAGTATCTTGACTAGCAAGGTCGATATAATGACACCTACACCAAGTCTCGCACTAAGAACACAATGATTGATGTGGATAAATATTCATGAGACCACAAGCCGATAATATACGCACCCATAGCCAATCCTCAGGTAAGGAGAACTAAGTAGAGGGTGAGAAACCTCGGAGATCAGATGCGACTGCAGCACTCACAATGGGCACATCCCGTTGTAGGTTGTTCGGAAGATCTGCGTCGAACGCTTGAGCAACGTCTTTCGCAAATCATGAATGCACTTACCTTGGTCGAGGTTTGCAAGTGAGTTGGGATCAGCGGATAGTTGTTGGTAGTGGCCACGCAGTATGTCCTGCGTGAATGTAAGCACGCGGTCCAATTCCAGCCAAGAGGACCTGCTTACGCCGGCACCCATCTACAGATAGTGGATTTCAGGTCAGCCACGAGAACAGCATGCATCATGTTCCACTGACCTGTCGGAAGCGAACTAAGTCGACCACGTATAGCGCACTACAGGACCGTCAGTAAGGTTCAAATCTGACAGTGTCGGTTGGCGCACCTGATATGATACGGTAGGTTCCTAAGGAATTCCTTCCAATATCCGGTCTTCCAGAAGCGGAACCCTTCCATCTCGACGTTGTCATCGCCCATGGGGGTGTACCCGTAGGGAGCACCATGGAGGTCGAGGTTGACGAGTTCCTTCAGATCGGCCCGGACGATCTGATCCGCGTCGACGAAGATGACCTTCTTGAGGTCCATGGGGAAAAGGACGTCCAAAAATAGGATCTTGTAGGCCCAGATGATACGCTGTTTCTCCTTCTGTGCCCGGAGCCAGGACGGCCACTTGTATGTTACGAGCTCGTACTGGAAACCGTATGCCTCAGAAAAGTGAGGGAGAAATTCCTACACAAACAAGTCAGGATGCCTCTGCAAGGCATATATCTAAATGATGACCAACCAAGAACGACGGCGAGAGGAAGTTCTCGATGAACCAGAACTTGACGCTATGATTCGTGTTGCGCAAGACACTCAAGATCATAATGGACGCGAAGCGCTATGTAGAAGTGTCTTCAGCACGGCCTGGCGTTCGAAGTGACAATAACTCACTTCATAGAGCAGCCCTGATGCCACTGTGAAGATGTTGATCTCCGCTGGTTTGTTCTCAATTGAAGTCATTGCCTGGGTCGTATGGGCGCCGAAGAGTGACGATATGCTACAAACAGAAGATATAGGCGGATCGTCAAAAGCCAAGGAAACGGTCAAGTGGCTTACCGAGAGACTACGGTGTCTAGCAATCCAGATTGTGATGAATGAACCGGAGCAACATCAGCCAAGACGTCTACTCTCTCCATGCCCGGAAGTCTGACCAGGCGTGGATATAAGGTCAGACCCTCAAAGCTGGTCAACGTAATCTCGTCTCCGGATTGTTCCACCGACGGACTACCCCAACCCTCGTTGCCAACGCTCTCCATTCTGAAGACTTCGCGCCCTCTCCCTGGACGAATCTCGAGGCGGAACACCCCTGGCTTGGTTCGGAATTGCAGGTAACCAAGGTTCGCGACAACCAGCGTATCAGCGATGGGAGCACCGGCATTCGACGCGAGTTGAAGCTGGAGCCCGCGAGGGGGACCATTCGTGAACATGTCTCTCGCATGGCCCTCGACGACCAAGTAATCGAGATCGAACACTGCCTTCACGCCCTGAACACGATCCTGGGCAGACAGGCCCGCAAGGAGGATGTTGTCGAGATCATGCAAGGATTCGCGTGGTCGAGCTAGCCATGACTGCGGGACGTCCATCGCAAGTGTGTAAATCGGCTCGATGGGGAGCCCAGTAAACTCTGTCTGAACGTGGATTTCCATCCTGCCAGAGAGGTGTGTCAGTCAGGACATCAGGACATGTCAGTCATGACATTGTCGACTTACCCGCTTTCGTCGAATGCAAGTCTGGGATAGAGATTGTATCTATAGAATCGCTTGAGCGGGAGCTAGGCCGACTGTCAGTTATTGTACGTGGTCTATGTACGATAGACTGACCTCTCCATACTTGGCAGGATTCAAATGCAATTCTATCGTCACTCCAGGGATCTCGAGCAGCCACTGAAGTAGTCCCTGCATCAACGACGGATCAGTGCTCAACGTCTGAGATGCTCACCTGCATCAAGCTTGACCATTTTTGCGCAGCTTCACTCAGGGGATCCAGTAGAATACCGAAGTGATAGAACGCTGTCGAGTTATCCCCAGAGTGAAAGCGCTACGGACCAGTCAGTACAAGACACCGACGGCCATTTACAAGGTGGACCCACGTGTACTCTCCGTCCAGAAGCTGATACTTTAACTGGCGAGGTTTGTGGGGCGTGTTCATGAGCCCAACCTCACTAGGGTCCGGTAGCTCGATGGCTGATATCAGCGAAGAAGCCAGCGTGACCACTTCCGCATACGAAGCCCTACAGTGGGTGTGAGCATCTGTGCCAATATACCGCACGTAATCTTACCGATCATACTCTTGAAGCGACTCCGTCACATTCTGCAATGCATCGATAACGGGCTGCACACGCTTTCGAAGCTCATAAGCCGACAGGATAGGAAAGTCCTGCGACTCGAACTCTCCGGGGGCAACAGGCCCAATGATCTACGACCGCGGTTAGAACAAGGGGGAGGCCAGGAGTAGCTCCGACGTACACGACCGTTGACAACCAACCCTGTTGTCCAGGAGCGAAGCCCAGGTCTCGCACAACAAGGCGACTCGTCTTGATGTACTCCGTGTATTCCTCGTCGTTCAGCTCTGTCTTCCCTAGTATCTCATCCAACTCGCTCTCCGGGGAAATCACGATCTGTCGGTTATGATTAGGCACTGCGACGTCACCGAAGCCAAGGATCTTGAGAAGGCGACTAGGCGAGGCACGCTCGAGAAGGCCGTTGATAATCAGCTGCGTGAAGAGTGATGACACTTGTGGGCGGGTGACGGGCTCGGCGGATCCAGCAGCGGGGTTGTGGATGAATGTGATGCGCGATGGGAACTCCGTGCCCTGTGAGAGCTTTAGAACGAAGTCATCGCTCGGCTTGGCGAGGTGGAGAACGTACCGCGGCAGTCAGAGCTTCTCTCACGAACGCTTGGCCGGCTTCAGTATCCAAGTCAGCGACGACGTAGGTCGTCAGCGGGACCTGTTGCAGCTCAGCTAAACAAAGCACGTCAAGGTACTTTCTGTCGGTAAAGCCCAGAAGATGACGTACAAGGATACACGAACGACCCTGGTCCATTCGGGAAACCGTACTTCACGACCGAATCGAACAGGTTGCTGATTCGCAAGTCGCCGGCCTTGGAGGATGGATAAATGTGTTTGTTCCTCCTCTTCGACGCAACAGGCAAGCCGTAGAAGTATGTCGAGATATCGCCCGCCGTGGCATCCGTCAGTATTCCCAAGATGAGCTACCAAACATAGAGCATCAGCATCTCAGAAACTCTATAAATGGACCAACTGACTTGTTCTTGGATATATTCCATCTCCTCCCGGAGCTCCACCTGCATGAGTTGCAAGAAATGCTGCACAGGTACTCAGCACAGTGTCGCATACACCGTCCACGAAGCCGACATACGTCATCCAAGTCGAAGTGCTTCCCGTTGACGAAGGCATGTCCATGCGGCGCAGCTTCCGACGTGGCACCAAGCCTGGCTGCATACGCTCGCGCCTTCTCTACATTTCCGTTCAGCTCCCCAACCTCGCCGTTGAGTATTACGTCCAGTTCAGGAATAGGAGCCTCCCCATGTTCTTGACTAGAGGCTCGGAACGAGTTGAAGGCGTTGCGCACTAAGCCCCAGTCCACTGTGGGGACAGTCGTCTCCATGGGTCTGTTACCTTGCGAAATCTGGTCGACGTTATCACATCAAGCCTCTGGCAGTCTCAACAGGCAGACGTACGTGACGAACAAACTCCAAGGCGTTGGCCTTCCCGACGCGTTCCATCAGGTAGAACAGCAGACGGGCCATCTTCGCAGCTAGGCCGAAAGCTTAGGTCAGCACGCACTGCTGAGTATATAGCCAACACCACCCACCTTCCTCGGTCTCCACTATAGGCACGATACCCCACCGGAACGGGAAGTTACGGGCGAGGATGTTGGAGATGGTCGTCGCCAGGAAGTGTAGCGAGCTGGTCTGGGAAAAGTCCGCGACGATCACGATGTTGAAGATGTTACCTCCGTAATTGGGGAATTGGCCAGGGTACATAGGACGCAGGAACTGGGAGGTCAGGCATCAGCGAGCCCTTCTGGAGCAATTGATCTGCATAGTACGAACCACGTTCAGAGTTTTCGCCCATCGTCCATATCTGATGTCCAGTCAAACCGCATCAATACAGCACAGACAGAACAGCAGCGAATGACGTACCGCGAGTCCTTCTCGAAGTCGTTCAGCCATTGAATCACGTCGCCGCCTTCTTGTCGGTCGCTAGCATCGACTATACCGTCCAGGACATCTGACGCGCTCTGAGCCGCGCTGATGTAGGGATGCGTGAGAAGCTCAAGTGCCTGGCTTGTCGACAACCCGAGCGACGTCAACGACTGCATAATCCCACGTTCCCTCCTCAGCAGCCTCAGCAAGCTGCGATGTCCAGTGGGTCAGAACACCGGTGTGTCGACAGTCTGGGATGACGTACGCGAAAGGGTTCATGTCCTTCTCGGACAAGAGCACGCCGTTGAGCCATACGACGTTGGTGCCGCTTCGCGCGACTACCTGGTTGTTCTCGACTTCCTCCGCGAGGCCGGCGTCGAATGTCACCTGGCGGGAAAGGGACGTGGCGTACCTCGGGAAGTTCTGGGCCAGTTGCTTTAGGATCGAGAGAGGTTCGTCCGCGTCTCGGATGATCTGTGCAGCCTGCAGGTCAATCTCTGTCCGCCGAGTGGTAAGAAGCGGGTTTCTCTGTGTGCGTGCATGGCACGTACCGAGAAGTTCCTCCGCAGTGAGGGGTGCGCTTGCATCGGCGGTCGTGTTCTCAGGGTACTGGTGAATCAGGGCCATGACAGGGTCCGTGGCTATCGCGGACGGCGTAGCGTCATCCACCTCGTCTGTGTTTTCATCGGAGCCTGTGCGAGTGAGAACGATCCAGAAAGGACAAGATAGTCGAGCCTACTTTGTCGTCTGTCATCCAGAGCGAGGTAGTCCATCTTCTTTAGGTCAAGGGCGACGCCGTAGCCAGAAAGGTAGCTTCTCTTCGAGTCATCACGTACGGCGGGCGGTATAGGCCGCAGAACATACTCAAGATGCGGGTTGGGTGCCCGAGACGATGCGTATAGGAATGAATGCAGTTCCCAGAAGTTGGCGGATGACAGCGAGGCATAGAGAATAGCGGTGCGAGGCGGGCGCTCTAGCGTCAATGCGGGCGACGGCTCGACATGGTCGAAGGACATGAGCTTCGGGGACGTGTACGATCTTTGAGCGACCGCCGGTCACGCGTGGGGTTCTTCAAGGACGAAATATATTGACTCACTTTTCTGCGTCAATCGAGTTCGGAGGGCCGATGGTGTCTACGCCGGCGAGACGTGCGAGAGTCTCCCCATCACAGACGACCTCTCCGTACCAATCCACCCACGACTCACATCTAGCGTCGTCTATGGCGTCCCTCCGAACTGCGTGCCGATCCATATAGTACTGGTAGAACGCTTCTATCTTGGGCGTCGCAGCGTGCAATGCGAGGTTCATTTCGGCTGAGACATGCGCGCCAGGTCCCGCTAGGAAGCCCTCCGCCAACGCAGTGTCAAAGGCGTACTTGTGGGCTGCCTCCGAGGAAGTCGGAACCGGGTCCGGTTGCGCCTCTGGGTTGGTGAGTACATCGAGGAGAGGGAAGAAGGCCTCTGGTTCTTCCAGAGCAATGGATTCTCTGGAAAGTCTCAGATCAGAACATATAGAGGAGAATGCGTCACTCACATCGACTCAAGAAGTGGTGGCGGTGCAAGCCAAGAAGACTGCAGCTCGACCTTGACCGGAGGACTGAGAGCATAGCTAGTGCAAGCAAGGGAAAGAACTAGAGCACAGACAGAGCTGCATTGTACCATTCGCAAGGATGAACTGAGGGGATGGTCGAGCACACAGAAACCTGCCAAACCGGAGTTATAGCCAGGCTACACACAGGTAATCACTAAGTAGCAAGATTGTGTCGTAGTTTGCGCTTTGTGCGCTGTCGACAAGCTGCGCCGCCGCCGAAAGGCTTCGTCACCCCAACGCTTTGACACGATCGTCGCCACACGACGATCGCTTTGCTTGTCTCACGGACCACCTACGTTACCCTACGCTTTAGCATGTGTGTGCTTTGTTCTCTTGGCTTTGTCTCTCTATCTCTCGCCACTCACTGTACACGAAGTGGCTATGTATCTACATAGTATAAATAGGGCTCCCTACGAGCCCTGTAATTCATCCTCTCGTCTCATCCTCACTCGCGGTGCGAAGTCTACCTACAACAACAGATTGGCAACCAAATGCGCAGAATTTTGAGCGTGCAATACTCAGAGGATGTCGCCAGGTAGCCAGTCCTCCCCAGTCTCAGTGTAAGTCAAATGTAAGGATCGCGACGCGTACTGGTGGCGAGTAGCCTTGCTGGTTTAGTATTAGACGCGACCAGACACGTCGGCACTTTGACACGTGATTCGAACTTCAATGTACCTTCACGGTCACGGCCGGCCCGCACCTACCGCCACCGTTCGCATACGCGTACGGTGACCTTATGCGAAAACACCACACTCCGGCTATAGTTCTCTATCACTGACATTGTGAACAGCTTGCCACTGTGGCTCCGGCTGCATGTGTGGCTGCAGTTCTTCATTAGACACAGGGCTACCCGTCTGGGGGATCCTGACGCTTTAATTCCGCCGTCGTCTATTAATTTCGCAGCTAGAAGCCCGTCTTGCGCTTCTCTCCATACAGTGTGTGGCAGCAGAAGCAATGTTAGACGACCTCGCCGTGAGTCCGACAGCATTTCCATAGACGCTATGCTGACATAGCCCGACGTGTCGCGCAGGGTATCTTAGTTATTGCGCTGTATTTTTGGCGCTGCCAACTGGTGACAGCAAGCTTCTTACCAGCGGCCAGCCCCACACCGCGCGGATCCCTACCTCGTCTTTGTGGTCCTTTCATACGTGGTTCTGTACTTTCGGCGAGGTTTGCCACTAGGAATGCTATAAAGGCGAGGCGGGCCGCGCACGCGACGAACAGGTGTGTACCGAACCCAAATTGGACCGTTATAAGATCGCTTCCGCTGAGCTTCCATGACAAGCCACAGGATATGGCCTACGCACCCGTCTTCCTCCTTACCCGCATCCTCGCCATCCTGACCCTCCTCGCCATCCCCGCACACTCAGCACCCGCCCAGGAAATCCCTGAACTCCCGACCTTCATATGCTACCAGAATGCCATCGCCATATGGAATTTCCTTGTCTACATAACCACCAACTACATCGCCATGCAGCCGCAGTGCCTATCGCTGCAGAGGTAGGCCGGTACACAGAACGAGTGACACGCCGAGACCGGGGCTATTGGACCCCACTAATCTCGCTGCTCCTGCCGTTTGGCGCCCTCGCAAGGACAATCATCCTCATCGCAGAGCATGTACGATGCAAGGGGAACGACGTCCTCGCCGCCCTGCACCACGGCGCGATCCTTGTCGTGGTCCGCTGCGCAGGTTGGGACCATCAACCGATGGGAGATCGTTTTGCGCAAATTGGCCCGGGTGTTGACTACGAGAAAGCTGAGTACGTAGCTCCTCCTCGCCCTTGCCCTTGACCGTCCATTGACCATCACCCCAGCCTGGAGGACGATCGGTGCTCGTACGCAGTCATCGAGATCGACAACCAGAATGAAACCCACTGGCCCATAGAATCAGATCTCAAGAACCGCAGCATCCACGGCCACATCCGGGTCCCCGCCGGCTACTCCCTCGCCGTCCCCGCAGACAAGTCCTACACGGAGCACCTCATCGCGCGCGACCTCGACCCGACAATCAACATCAAGATCCACCGCGCATCGGGCGTCATGCAGATGCTCGTCTCCGTCGTGCAGATCATCGCCGCGACGTACACGCTCTACTCCACGGAGGGTGCGCAGGTCGCGCGCTGGGGCTACGCCGCGTACGGCCTGTCGGTCTTCCCGTACGCGCTCATGTCGGTGATGAACATCCTGTGCGCGTCGATCGTCGGCGAGTACGCGAGCGGGCACCTCCTCCGCACGCCGGTCCTGCACGAGGCGGAGCACCGCCCGGGCGCGCACTTCGACGGCGCGATCGGGACTGTGCGCAAGGTGGGCAAACCGTCGGTGGGCGACAGGAGCCACACTGGATATGTCGCGGTGCGCATGCAGACGGTCGCGGACGAGCGCACACCCTCGGAGAAGAAACTCGTCGTGGAGACATCTGAATGGGAGAGGAAATTCACCCTCTGCACCGAAGAGAGTGTAGAGGCGACCCGCGCCTACCGCTTCACCGTCTCCTCGCTGCGCCACGACGGTATAGTCGACGACCACGAGGTCGCGAAGCACCGCAGGATCTCGCCATCGGAGGCCGCCATAACCCTGACGCTATTTCTGGCCGCCATGATCCTGCCGCACGGCCTGATTTACGCCCTGAGCCACTTCCGCGCCGCACACAGCACTGTGGCCCAGAGGGCGTGGATGATGGCGTGGCTGGCGTCTGACCAGCTCTCGTCCCTGGGAACATCGTATTCTGGGCCATCTGGAAGCGCGTGGGCACGGTCATCCCGGTGGGCGTGCATTACGCCAGCGTCGCTGCGCTGATAGTCCCTGCTGTTGGAGGTTTCATAGTCATGTCAGACATGTACCTCCAGGATCAGGGTCTCGGTGCTTGTAGTTCCTGACCTTGCTTACGCTTAGCCTGCTGTTGCACAAGTTTATGCTGCGGCCTTTCGCTGCCGATGGGCTCTTTTCGTCGCTTCGCATCACCCTGTATTGTACCGCAGTATCCCGTGACTGATTCACTTGTATAATGTGTATTGACTGTGCATACTACTAGGCCTGGCGGGACGTCATGACTGCGCGCACTCAGTGACCTCAAGCCTTCCAAGCTCGGACTCCAGATCCTGCAGCAAGGCGGAGCCCAGGACTGATGCAGTCATTCGATCGTGGCACGAGCCCAGTCGCCGTGAAAGCACTGATATGTATTTCCAAGCTGTCGCTCACCAGAAAATGTACAGGCCAGTGCGATATCCTAGCTCGGTGTTCGTTACCAACTAAGCCCCGGTCGTCCTCACCTCAAAACTGATGCAGACAACAAAGAGTATACCCTAGGTTGCGAAGGTGCGCCGGTCTTTTACCTCTGACGGAGAAGCTCAGCGGTGCCAGCCCAGCTTCTGTAACGGAGGTGCTGAGGTGTGTTCCTGAGCTCCCGGGGCAGCCAAGACTCGGAAATGAAATGGCACTAGCTTCTGGACCGGAGGGGATGGGGGATCCCGAGTACAGGAAGCTTGCTATCCGTCACCCGGTCGCTTTCAAGACCTTTGCGCACTCATTGGGAAGTCACAAGAAGATGTTGATTGAGTTCGTCTTCGCGCGAACGATCCCGTAGTATCTGCTGACATCGAATGTTCTTAATTATCCAATATACAGTCGAGGTGTACACTGTACGTTAAACTGAGGCTAGTGACATCGTTGTCAATCGTCAGCGCTTCAGCGGGCTGTCCCTTCACATACGGTAACGTGGTCACCTACCCTTCATGCAAAATCGAGAATGGTCAGATGACTTATGTAATTCCATTGAGACAGCCTATAACATTACAAGCGTCGTCTACGAGTTTGTAATACATCGTACGAAATCCAGGTGTCTAAGAGAGGGGCGTAGCTGCATCGTCTATGGCAGGGCAGAGGAGAAGAGAGACGAATAAAGTATCAGTGCTGCAGCACATTGCAACACCGCTAAGTTGTAAACATCTGGGGACGACGCCTTTCGAGAAGGAAGAAATCGAGGAACCGAGCCACCACCAAGCCACCACACTCGGAAGAGACCCTTCAAGCATGCCCGTTCCCGTTCCCGTTCGCCACCGTCACAGGGGCCGCCGCCTCCTCCGATGGCTTCACACTCTCTACTGTCTCCACCACCGCGCCCTCGCCCAGCACAATGCCATCACCGACGACCGTCTTGCCCTGCTCCGTCTTCTCGCCCACGCGCGCGCGCACGACGCTCAGCATCTCCTGCACACGCGCGGCCGCGGCCGCGAGGATCGGCTGCACGCGCTCCTGCACGGTCTCCTTGACCTTCGTCACCTTCGCGTGCACCGGCTCCTCGGACTTGAGGATCACGGTCAGGTCGGAGATCGTCGAGGAGAGCTGCTGCGAGATGTCGGAGAAGGCTGCTTGGGCGTGGGCGGGGAGGGCGGCTGTTGTCGCGCGCACCTGGTGCAGCTCGGTGAGCATCGTGTCAGAGAGTGTGTGCACTGGAGAGGGGTGGAGGGACATTGCGTCAGCTCAGCCCGGGTGATGCAGACGTTGTGCGCACCTTTTGTCTGGGCGGTACCGTAGCTCGTCGACGCGAGCGTGGAGATGTCGTGGGCTGTCCCCGATGCACGCTTGACGAGCGCATTGTGCGTCTTGAGCTGGTTGAGCTGCTCAGTGGAGTAAGTGCGAAGCTGCTCGGTGAGCTCCTTGGAGAGGGCGTAGGCGCGCTGGTACTGGTACTTCGTCTCCGGGTGTGCAGGCTCCGCAGAGCCGTTAGTAACAGGGTATATTTTGGAGACCGCGAGTTGGAAGTAGTCAACGATCGGTGCGAAGCGCTAGACAGGGGCGGTATGTAAGGGCTGCAACAATGCTGATCGCCGGCATGGTACGCACCTGGTCGATGCCCCCTGCGACGTTCGCCACAGGGCTCTTCACTCGCTCGTCAATAGTCTTGTTCGCGAGGTCTTTCGCATTGTCGCTGCGTGTCTTGAAGTCCTTGACGATGTCCTCCGGTGTTGTCTTGAACGGGTACGGGTACCTGCTCTCGACTGCGTCAAAGCCAAGGTTGGCGTACTCGTCCGCGCGGACGAGCAGAGGCGCGAAGCGGTGTTGGAGGGGCTCCGCGTACCCGAGCGCGGACTTGGAGAGGGTGGTGGCAGTCGTGTAGGGTTGGCGGGTGAGCGCGTTGTTCGTGAGCGTGTCGTGGAGGGTACTCAGGGAGGACGCGACGAGGGGGATGGACGCGACGCGGGTGATGATGGTGAGCTCGGGTGTGCGGGTCGTCTCTTGGGTGGTTTGCGTTGCCATCGTTGGCTTGTGCGCAGGCTACTGCAGAGGTGGTAGGGTCGTGTGCGAGGAAAATAAAGGAACACGATAAGATGAGGAGCAGCGTTGCGCCAGACTGCAGGGTTATATCGCGTCGCGCGTTCTGCATGTGATTGTCGCGTTGACGGGCGCCTACGTCTCGATCAGTCCGAGAGGCACCGAGCCAGATCCGAGAGCGCTCGAGAGGCTGCCCTCTCGCTTTCTGTGCCCGCCCACCGCCTTCGGTTCATACGCGCCCCGGCTCGCCTCTCCGTCTGCAGGTGGTTCGCAAGCTTCGCAGAAAATTATGCTGATTGTAGCAGTCCATGCAGATGCATGTGTTTTCTGTCGCAGCCGAGATGGGAGGGTGAACGACATCGATGCGACGTGCGCAGCGGCGAACCAACTTTCCTCGACGTGTAGTACTGATTGACTGTTCATACTTACTTCAGGAAATCAATGGCGCACAATGGACGCTAGTATCAGTAGGAACAAGTCCCGAGAGCCCTATCTACAGAGGAGACCGGAGCCTCAATCCGCAGCAATTTGCTGCCAGTGGCCGGCAGCCTCCTCCTCCTATCCGCCCTGTCGACGCAATCGGTATAGCGTACCGCGTGCGGGATGCCCCACGTACCAACCACGCTAACCCCAGGCTCATTTCAGCCCCGCATCGCACTTAGCTTCGATCATCCAGACGCGGTCGGTGTATCTATTGCTCATGGCTTAGGAGGCTAGCGCAATACGTCACCTCATACCGTGCCCTGTCTCCGGTCGCCAGTGACTAAGTGAGGATTTTGGCAACAACTCTGGGAGTTCACGCCACCACCAGACCACAACTTTGACGCGGCCAATTTCCCCTTGCATCTATAGTGGGAGGCACTGGTCGACCAGTTCCACGACGACCAGACCTCAGCTCCACCTCAACCGTTCAATTTCACTCCGACAGTTATTTGCAAAACACTCTACTGCATTCAAACTGGCTTGATGTTGTCAGCCGAGGCCCCACCCCAGGATATAGTGCGCCCCTGCTTACCTCGTGTCGTTTGCGTTCCTGACAATCGATCGCTTACAGTTACTGGCTGTATACCTCCGATCTGGCACGTAGACTCCACTTGCCCATGAATGTGTGAAGATTTGGCTCGACAGTACACTGGCAGTGGAAGCGTCGTGGCGCCTTCCCGCTACTCTCTCTTATGTGGGAAATTCAAGCCTATTGCCCCGATTTTGGCCAGGACGTCACCATCTCGCTGCGCGAGCCCGGGATGCCACTGTCTCAATTGAGCTTGTTGGGGACACACTCGACGTTCTCTTCAATTCCTTGCGCCTCGTGGCCAATATGCCCACGGAGACGCGACACCCACAATGTCGTTCTACATACCTGTGATGGGAAGACAGGCAATTTGAGACTACGTAGTTGGATCTCGGATTTTCTGCGCACGAAGCAGCTCGCAACCGAGTCTTCAAACATGCGCGGCGCACGGGCCGCACAACTAGTACTAATACAGTTCCGCTTTCTCTCGCTAGACGACGTTGTCCTGCCGAATGCCAGACAGGCCCATGACCGATGCTTCGCAAGTTGGGCGAGATCATCAACAGCGACAAGCAGGTGTGAAGGCCCCCGGCGACATTTCATTTGGATCTTGCTCTGCGAGCAAGGTATTGTGTTGACTGCTTACCCCGCGTGCAGTTATTTCTTCCGTGAGCATCGAATCCCAAATTTTTCGCACATTGTCGGTTGACTCTCTTTGTACATCTGCTATCAGAGCAACCTGGTAATTGCGAATCTTGAGGGTGGGCGGAACAAGCGAAAGCACCGTTCCAATTGAGCCGCTTCCCATATGCAATGCAATGCATGCGATCAGGCCTCAAGACGATGCCAGCAACTTGGTGACCACTGTGAGCACGGCAGGGACTGTCTCATCAGAGACATGTACAACATACTAAGCTTCTCTATTCTGAAGTGGAGCTCGTCTATAGGGTGCGACGCTTCGCGCCCATGTGTCACAATTGAACGCATTTAAGGCGGGATCTCAATCAAGGCAACACGTCGAACTGCGCAGGCCACTTCCTTCACATCCTTATCGCCAACCCGTTCTAGATGCGATGGACCCGCGAGCCTGTTGCCTCGTAACGTAACGTACCTCACAACTCGGGCTCTCAATGACGCCATGTCCAAGGGTAGGCTCAATAAAGACGGTGTATTCGCTAACACTGCAATAACTATTATGTAGCGTACATTAAAACGTCCGGTCCGTTCTGTGACATGCATTGCGAGGTCCGTTCCAACAGCCTTCACCCTACCCTTCTGATTCAAGCTGGCAACGGCAGCGACGTGTTCAGTCCCACCGGGGATGGGAACGCAGGCGAGCTATCGTCGTTCCAGCCAAAGGTCTGCGTGCGGATCGTGCGGCCGTTCCAGCCCGCGTTCGGGTCCGCCATGGCGTGGTAGACGATGTACGGCGTGCCGTCGTGGTCGTACGTGAAGCTCGCGTGGCCGGGGCCGAACGCGACGGCGGACTTGGAGAACACGGGGCGGCTGTCGAGCGTCCACCAGTTGCTCGCGACGACTGCGAAGGTCCGTTCAGCGGAGGTGCGATGTGGAAGGTAAGGACGACTTACGGGGGTCTTTACCGCCGTCGATGCCCATCATGGCGAGGCAGTAGTTTTCCGTCCAGCTCGCCGCGGCGGCTGTATCAGGGCGGAGGCATTTGAGTCGGATGTCTTCCGGCGATCGAGGCTGACTCACAGTAGATCAGGAACGTCCTGTTGTTGTGGACCAGGATCTCTGGACCCTCGTTGATGGCGTGGGTTCCGCTGCTGTCGACGGTCTGCTGCCACGCCAGGTTCGGCTGGTGGATGAGGACGCGCTCGCCCGTGATCTTCGTAGGCGAGTCCATCTTGGCGATGTAGAGGTTCTGCCACATCGTCGCGGTGGTGTTTGCCCAGCCGGACCAGATGAAGTACAGCTCGCCGTTCTCGTACTGGACGCGACGCGGTCAGCCTGTGTTATTTTGGTTGATTCTGAACGTGTCTCACCTGAAAGACAGTGCCGTCGATCGCCCAGTTGTTGTCCGGAGTGCCGACCTCACCAACAAACTGCGCCGATCCGCGTCAGCCCCCCCGCCCACTCAACGCCGGCCAAGAGAGCTTACGTCAAACCCATCGAGCGGCTCCTGGCTCTTCCCCTTCAGCGCGTACATGTGGTGGTTGTTCGCGTCGCTGCCGTTGACCATCGCGACGTAGATATAGAACTCGCCGCCGATGTAGTGCAGCTCCGGGGCCCAGACGGCACTGAGGCCGCTGCCGTTGGCGGGGGTGTACACGACGGTCGGGGTCACGTTGAACTGCGCGATGTTCGACGACTTGCGGAGCTGGACGTTGGTGCCCGTCGTGTAGGTGAGGTAGTAGTCGCTGCCGTGCTGGATCATCCAGGGGTCGGCGCCGATCCCGGGGACGATGGCTGGGTTCGCTGGTCAGTGCTAGGTCGGGTGGGGGTGATACAGGGAGGGGCTCACGATTATGGTACGTTGCGCGCCGCATTGGTACACAGGTCGTCGAATGGAAGAAGGATAGAAAAGCGAGAAGGGCAAACGCGAAACTTAAGTGCTGCATCGTGAAGACAAGGTAAAGCAAAGGAGATGCAGCACGGTAAAGTTATATAGCGGAGGCGTGGAACGTCACTCCACTATGAAGAGGAAGAATGGAAGTGTTTCGTGCACCACTCAGCTGGCCATTTAATACATTTTCGATGTGGGGCTGAGCACTGCTGTCGGTCTGCTGCCCCAAGCTGCATCGCCGGGAACGCACGCCGCATCATTTCAACGTACTCGCTAAGCTGCTGTGACAGGGTCCATAAAAACAGCCTCTGCAGCATTCTGTCATCCACAAGACCCGACAAGTCTCCATATAACCTCATTGACGCTTCTCCGACGACGACTCGGAGGAAAGTGATGTAACTGGCCAGTGCGCAGCACACGAGTTAGTTCTGAGTATGACTGGAAAAGGAGACAGTCGCGAGATTCACGTACATACATGCTTGTTGTAAGCAAGAAACCATGGCATGCAGTGCATCTTCTCGTGGTTGGCCAGTACGAGCTTCAAGGGTTATGCATTATGAGCGCTGCGTGGTCTCACGCCGAACGTCTGGCTGACAGCTGCTGTGTAACGCCCAACTTGACAAGGCCGTCCTCAAGCCATCAATCACACAAACGAGGGTACTCAGTCACAACTGACTCACCCACGCTTTCAGAAGAAAAGTGGAAGGCATTGAACAAGGGTGAAAGCATGTCTGCGTCAAACTCCGACCGGCGTTTTGACGGAAGAGGAAGGTCGCCTGCCTTTTATGGAACGCCGAATATGACGTCACTCCAACCGTCTCAAGTGAACCGGTGTAGCGCCTTGCAGTCTTCTTACATATGATATTGGGTCTGTCAAGTCTAAGTAGAGTTTCAAAGGGAAGCACAGCGTGACAATGCAGGCTGGTAGCCATATCAATACAATGATCACAGAGCCAGCAGTAACCTTTAACGCGAACCATCCAATCCAACCACACGATGAAAAGACACGGAAGAAAGCCGGGCACGGCGGTGGCCACCCTCTTCGCTGCCCAAAGTTCTATGACATGCAGACGCATACCAGGGCTCCGCTCACACTCGCCCTCGAGCTCTCACGGGCGTGCCATCTCTGCAGAACCCTCCTCGACGCAGTAGCTTCTCGCCTGCAGCAGCAGATCAGCATGAGCGTGGACTCCCAAACCCACGCGTCACTGCGGCTTCCCCGGCGACAGCACCCTCTCCGCCCACTGGAACCCCTTCCCGTCCGCGCTCGGTATGCCCGAGCCCCCGGAGAACGACAGCCGCCCGAGGCTCGTCCTGCTGCTCGACCGCGAGCGCCCGTCGCCCGTGCCGAAGCTGAAGCTGCTCCGCCCGCTCGACCGCGAGCCCGACGAGTTGGAGTTGCTGGACGTGGACGACGCGCGCCGGTGGCGCTGCATCCGCGTAGGGTCGACGTCGGGCAGATTCGCGATGCGTGCGAAGAGGGAGAGGACTGCCGCAGGTGAGTGCGGGCTGCGGGTGAGTGCGAGGGAGGGACGTACCGTCGACGGTGGAAACAATGCCTGTGAGGTTTCCGGTGCTCGTGGGAGGGAAGGACGAAGGTGAGTGTGCAGCGTCGTCAGTCACGAAGAGCCGATGCGAGGATGCTAGGAACACAGCGCTTAGCAGCGAGGCGATATCGACAGTACATGGCACATACTAGCGAGAAGCTTCTGCATCGTGTAGTATAGCGTGCTGTTAGGAGAGACACTGTACACGGGGAACTTGTCCACACCGTCTGTCGACCCGTCGGGCTCCTGAACCGAGAGGTCAACGAGAGTTATTCGGCACTCCAGAGCGACTGACTTGATCATAGCGACGAACTGATTGAGCGGCATAGTGAGAATCTGGTTGTCCTGCTGGGGCACAACGATCTGTCACCGTGATCAGCCTTTACTCGTGCGATACCGTGCGTGGACTGTAGCCCACCTTCCCGATGTCGCTGACGCTCACAGCGCTGAGCAGTCTACCCTCCTCCTCCACGATCGCGATCGTGCTCACGCCCTCCTCGCTCATGAGCTTCATCGCGTCCAACACGCTCTCGCTCGCTTTGCGGCGACGACGCTGAGATACAGGTACATCGACGGAAGGGAGAGCGAGCTCAGGGGATTGGTGAGATAGCGGAGGAAGGACGGCGAGGATTGGCAGAACGCCGTGAACCAGGAGAGCAGCCGTCTGTCGGAGACCATCCCGAGGAAGGTGGAGTCTGTCTCAGACTGGATGAGCACTGAAGATTCCGATACAAGTTAGCAAGCTGGTGAAACAAGCCGGTTGTGACTGCACCTCTGTGTGCACCGCGGGAGACGACTCCAAGTAGGGAACAATCGTCGCGTCATGCGGGAGCGTCTCGAGCGGATTCTTCTCGGAGAGATCTAGGTAGTGGTGCATTCATGTCAGTGCCGGCTCGTCAACACGTCCGACGGCGGCTTGACACGCACTGCTCACGAGGTGGACTGGTACCCGCCCAGCCTTGGCGGCAGCCAGGATCTCCTGTATACGCGGTCTTCCTTTCAAAGCTTCCGAGGCGAGCTTGTGTTGGGTCGCCGCGAGCGTCAAGAATGCGTTCACGTCGGAGAACTGGGGAACGTGGTCAGCGCACTCGGGTCCACGGACGAGAGCGACTTACGTCGAACAACCCGTGATACAGAGTGCTGCGCGGCGAGGTCCCTGGGCGGGCGTTCACAGCGAGGCAGGCGATGTCTTTCGAGAGGAGCATCTGCATCCCGGTCAGCAATGCACGCCGTTGGCCACTCAGGCTGGTAGTCCACTCACGTCGCAGGCATCCTCGACGCTTATGTCCGCGTCGATGGCAATGACCGGCGAGTCTATCAGGTCTACCGAGCCCTCAGTCCGTGGCCGAGGGAGAACCGGATGCGAGTCAGACGTACCTCTCGCGAGGACCTGCCCCCACGCCTTCACCCAGTCCTCCGCGTCCGCGTTCGGTGCGGTAGCAAACGCGAGGGGGGACTCACTCCGGCTGCTCGTGCTCGAGGCAGACATTCTCTTTCTGAGCGACATGTTGGTGAATGGGAATTGGGAACAGGGGAAACGGAACGCCACCGGGGCGGAATGATAGCAGCGAAGTTACATGCAAAGTTGGAGGACGCTGGAGCGACGAAACGAGATGGATGCCCGGAGTCGCTTGCTCGTCAGCTGGGCCTCGGTCCTCGCCCGTACGTAAACAGCGCCATTACGTCGTCTCACAGAAGCAGATTAGATTAGATTGACGCGCGCTACATCGCAGGAACCTCCCCCAGGGCCTCCTCCTTCCTCGATCCTTCCGACCCCCTCCTCCGCACGAGCCGCACCGGCGTCTTGCGCAACTTGTCCGAGCGTTGGCTCGACGGAACAAAGAACCCATTCGCACTTGCGACGAGCTTCTTCCGCTCGGGGACCTGCCCGTCCGCGGGTGCCGACACGACCTGCACGATCGCCTGCGTCTCGACGCTGTGGATCTCTATCGTCTCATTCGGAAGAAGGGCGGCGATGTGTGGGTAATTGAGCGCTGCGTGCGACGAAGCCAGGTCAGCGCACCGTTCGTCATACTGGGCACCCGTGGGCAGGAGCGGGAAGGAATCGGAATGGGGTCTCTGCGAGACACCTCAGCTTTACGTGAATGTGTGTCGCGTGAGCGGCGCAGTGCAATGCATGGGGTCTGAGCTGGGGTGTCCCCTGTCATGGCCCTCGCAGAGCGACATCCGATAGGCCTCATCCTTATGCAACAGTGAGGTACTGTACGCCTTCCCACGTTCATTTCCCACTCACGATGCGGCAACGAGAGTAAAGAGGATGACACTCACATATAGACTCCGGATGAGCGGGCCACTCTAATGTACCCCTTACAGGTTCAGCGTCGCCCGTGATGAACACCCCCAAGCTGCTCGCGCCCATCCACGACGCGATCAGGAACTCGTTGTCGCTGATGACGGTAATACACGGCTTGATTGTGAGCCCGTCCTGCGCTTGTGATAGTGGCATGAGTGGCAGCATCGATGCTGCCTCGAGGTCGATGACGTTGTAGAACCTTGTCTGCAACGCAGAGTGCCTTGCCTGTGCGTCGAGCCAAGAAGCCTCCTGACGGGAGAGGAATCTCCTGTAGAGACGTGTGAGCTCTATTGCTTCGAGTAGTACTAACGCGCGTACCTTCTGGAAGAACAACCTCTCCTTGTAGAGGCTGTACAGAGAAATGGCACTCCGTTTGATCACACAGAAGTCAACCGGGTCCACTGGATGTGAGGGATCGACCGGTGGTGGACGCCGTAGATGTTGCTCATCGACCGCAATGGTGACAACATTACGTATGGGTTTGATGACGGTCGGCGGTATCTGGTCCAGCGAAGGAAGGGTGTAGATGTATACCTGGTGGTCTGCCGACGCCAATCAGACCACCTCAGAGACCGAAACAACCTCGACGTACCTGCAAGGACGAGCGCACGAGACAGGCTGGGCAGCAGAACAATCTCTTGTATTGGCCGCTCGTTAACCACGGTTTGCCGTGACAAAAGGGTATGCGAGTCTGACTGGATGGAGAAGCGAAGCAGCTCGCCGTTCGAGCACCCCACGTACAGCTCAGCGCCTGTAACACTGTCAATGTCTGCACGATGATCCTCAGCCAGGAACACTTGCCTAGTGCTTGCGCGCATCGCACCTGGGCTGATTGACCGGGGGGTCCTACTGTGAGGAGATGCTGCTCAGCCTACTTCACCCGGAGATGGATAACTGACGTGCAAAGTTGTCACCGACGCCGGCGAGGAGATGTTGTAGCTGGTATGGCGGAACATCCAACGGATTGAGAGGTGCGGAAGTCATCGTGTTTGGTCCCTTTGAAGTTACAAGTTGAAACCGAGGAAAGCACTAATCGTGTATCTCAAAAAGGTTATAGAAGACAACGGGGAGAGAAAAGGTAGAGATTGGGCAGAGAAGAGGAGGATGAGGAGGAGACGATGGCGGTCAGTATTTGGTTAATATGCACGGAGAACGCCATATATCTAAGCGCCCATAAAGCACCCTCCCCGGGCCGCGATCCTTCGAATCCCTCCTCCTCCGGTCTTCTCACCCACATCTCCTCCGGGCACTTAATCTACTCAGTAGGGCTGTGTTGTTGAATTCGCTCGCGACATCTGTGCGGCTGTGAAGTGTCGTCGACACTACCAAGCTCACCCCACTGGCAAGTGCTGTGACGCCATTACTTGTACGCTGCAGCGCTGTGGCTAGCACGTCTCGGAGCAACCTTCCTCAGAAATGTCGCGACAGCCATCATTTACTCGCGCAAATGTGCTGGTTATTGGGACGAACTCCATATATGCTCTTCTGCCCTCGACCCTCATCTCGCAAGCGGACGCGTTACTGCAAGCGCACCGAATTGAGGATGCCGCCGACCTCGCTGACCAGCAGCGGAGGAAGATCCAAGCGTCAATCACAGTCGACGAACACGAAGTGCGTTGCTTATTATTTCGTGAACTTATGCGCTGAACTACACTCGCAGGCGGAGGAACTGCGCTACGTCTATCAACGCCTGGGATTTTAATGCTTGACGGAGACGCCTTCGACGATGCCGGCAGGCACCTCTTCGTCGGAGAACTGGATCTTCGCGTGCTCATCAGCTAGTTCCCGGATGTTCGCGGAGACGTCTTCACGGAGGACGACTCCTTCGACGTCTACGTAGGCGTAGTAGAGTATCTGCCCCACGAAGAATCCATAGACAACATGAGTGAGTGCCTCCCACCGCCTCTTCCTTTTGTATCATATCTGCTCCATGCTCCGGATGGCCTCTGACCCGCGCACGTTTTCTTCTCGTTTTCCATTCCATCCGCTCCCACGAACTCACTGTCCCCCCTTCCGATTTGCAATTCCCGCACCGCGCCTCGAGACTAACCGGTCGCCGCAAATCTAGTACTCAACTACCCGCACCTGTTGCCGAACAGAGAAATCGTGTCTCGTAGTGTAGCATGAAGGACGACGACCTCGCTCGGCGGGTGTCTCTGCAGCCGAAGGAGCTGGTGCAGTCATCGCCTAGACTCGGTGAGTACTCGAGCGGACTGAAATGAAGGGAATCCTCACGGATGTTGTCCACTGGCATAGAATACCGTCTGGGTGGGCATACTCACCTCCGTCGTGTCCAAACACACACATGACATGACGTCGTCGTATATCTGGTATCGAGTCGCGTTGGAGGTCAGCACCCTCTTCTCTGCCCTTAGTTACTCATCCAACAGTCCATCCTAGCTGAATGACCGTGTGAGGAAGAAGAGGTCGCTCGCGGCGGTGCGCCGCGGCCCGTACGACGTCCCTGATCAACGATGTTACCTGCGCATCACCGTCGGCGACGACGTCCGCCTGTTACCGGGATATGGCAGCATGGCCGGTCTGCGAGCGGCGGGGGTGACAGTGTGGGATGAGATGAAGGCGATGCTTGAAATGGGCCACACGGGATGTACCGACTGTATGCTGCGAGCTGCCTGTGCGGGGCGTCCACCGGGCTACGGCTGCTGCTGTTGAGTGGGTCTATTACAGGTGGTGATGATTTAAATTTAATTTGTATGTACAGTCAAGAGATCCGTCAATGCGGAGACAAATGCGACTTTAGAGCATCATCGATTCATCTCGCGAACGGTGCGCGAAGCGACACGGCCACTTACACACAAGTGCTCAATGGAGTACATGATGACCTCCTTGCCAACCATCCCATCTAACACTAGACACATTCGTGTCGAGCCACTCCTTGTCTTCGGGCGCGAGCTCGCAACAATTTCGAACGTCGACGAGTGTCACTGAAGACACCTCAAACTCCGGCTCGCCGTACTGCGCGAAATCCGTCGCTTCGTGCGCCCTGCGACGCGCCTCGAGCATCGCGCGCAAGTCCCCGCTCCGGAACTGCGCGCACCCATAGATCATGAGCGTGCGGAGCCTCGGGCAGAGCCAGATGTAGTCGTCCTCGCCTACAGCGACCGCCTCAGGGTCGGGAACGGTCTCCGCGAGCCTGCGGAGCACGTCCGTGGTCAGGCCGGCACAGTCTGTGAAGGTCGCTTCGTCATATCGAAAGCCGCCCGGAAAGGGCGCGAAGAGGCTGAAGAGTGCCGTCGCGGTGTTGATCTCTTGCAGAGTGATATAGCAGGCTTCCGAGAAAGCAGTATTTGGGGGTGTGGGGGTCGAGCACCGTGTGTACGATATAGCGTCGACCAGGGGGTAGCGGAGCAACCGGCCGTACTCCGCGATCACATCACCGTCCATGTCGACGAAGTCAACGTTAGCCTGCCAGGTCAGCATCACGCCGTTGGGTGGCGGTATGGCTGGCCCAGCGTAGGAACAGTCGAGGTGGAGGTTGTCGAGCTCGAGGTTGCACAAGTCCGGACAGTGCACAAGGCACTGGAGGAGGTCGACGAGCGGGAAAATCGCGTTGCGCGCGTCGTAGTCGGTGATGGCGAGGGTTTCGAGCTTGGGTGGCATGGTCGCCTGGGGGAAATGATTGACGTATGCCTCGCGGAAGTGGACCCCACCCATGGACAAGGTCTTCAGCATGAGCGTGTCGAAGTCACCAACTGGAGGCGAGACTATCCCGGTGCTGCCTGCCAAATCGTCGACCATGAAGTCAAGAACGAGCGCATTTAGCTTTTCTGCGCGCCCCACGAGGTCGATCCGAGGGACCGGGAGTGAGCTGGAGTAGAGGAGTTTCATGCATAGGATTGTCCATCGCTTGATATGAGGCAAGAGCACTTCAATGACGGCTTTCACCTGAGCCTTCTCCGTAAGGTCCTCCAAGGACGGGTCGAACCTCCGCAAAATAAAGATCTCAAGGGGGCGATCCCGCGACCATGTGAGATACTGGCGGATCCTGGAAAGCGGGGTGGGGTCCCTTCCGATCCAGATAACAAAGTGAGTCCAGAACTGAGATGAGTTCGACATGGCTTCTCGCCACAAGGGAGAGACGGAGGCAAGGCATTCTGGAGAGGGGTGCTCGTAGTTCGAGTTATCGAATGCGGGCCAGGGAGCTAGAGCAACGTACGGTCCGTATCGGAACGTCGGGAGAGCTATTGCACGAAACACAATGCGGAAGATGATGAGGAGAACGTCAGGTGGAAGGTCGACAATGGTGGTGCAAGGTTTGCGGCCGACATTGCTCCTTGAGAGGAGGTGCGGCGAGTGTTGCTGGACGGTGTGGTATCATCCCCGTCGAGCGCATGTTAGACGTTAGGCTTTGATGTCGCAATCTATAGTGTCTGCGCTGCCTGAGTGCCAACTTAAGTGTTTAGTGAGATAGCCTCGATACAATGAGACTGACACGCTCAGCTCGCATACACTCACTACTACTGTTCGTGACACAAGGTGCACGCTTACGTGAACATGTACTATAGCAGACAGCGTGAACGACGTAGGGAAAGAGGGCTAGCGCTGTGAATAGTTCGTCATGGTTGTCGCGCGACTCGCCCGCCGCCAGCGGGCCCGGCCCGGGAGGACCCTCGTCCTCATCTATTAGATTCTATGTACTTCTTGCAATTGAACTGGTCGTACGCGTCTACTCACCTATATTCGTACTCATACTCATCCCTTGCCAGTACTAGAGCTCAACGTCAACGGTAGACAGATCCTGCCATTGGTTCATGCGTTGGTTCGCGCGTTCGCTGAATGGCACACTAGCCTTGAAAACGATGTGCCAGACGAACTACATAAGTACTACTCAATTGCACTTCGCGGCGTTGACATCACACTGCAATAGACATCTAGAAAGGTGTGAGTGTGAAGACATTTATGGCTCTCAGGGGTTCGAACGGTGCGCAAAGTGATATGCCACCTACACACAGACACAGGTGCTCAAGTGATACGGATTGGTGAACGCATATCCTCCACACCAACCATCCCAGTCAACGCGGAGCAGATTGGCGTCAAACCACTCCTTGTCTTCGGGCGCGAGCTCGCAGCAATTTGCACGTCGACGATCCCCACCGAGCCACCACGAACCCCGGTTTACCATACTGCGCGAAATCCGTCGCTTCGTGCGCCGCGCACCGCGCCTCCAGCATCGCGCGCAGGTCCGCGCTCTTGAACCGCGTACAGCCCCTGATCCCGAGGCTCTGAAGGTTCGGGCACAGCCAGAGGTCAGCGTTGCCGTCGTCTTCAGGTGGCGGATCTGCCTCGGGGTCGGGAGGAGTCCCCACGAGCTTGCGGAGCACGCCCGGTGTCAGACCGTCGCAGTCGTAGAACTTTGCGTGGCGGAGTCGGATGTCGCCCGGATCAGCAGCGAGGAGACCGACGAACGCCGCCGGGCTGTTGATCTCTGTCAGCGTGATGTCTTCGGCCCCTGTGAGCGCAGCACCTGGGGGCGTAGGGGTCGAGCACCGCGTATACATCGCGAATTCGACAGGGGGATACCCGAGGAGCCTGCCGTACTCCGCGACCATGTCGCCGCCTACGTTGATGAAATTAATATTGACCTCCTTCCAATAGTATGGCGGATCAAAATGGTAGATGGGAGACCTTGTGTTGGAGCAGTCGAGATGGAGGTTGTTCAGCTCGAGGTTGCAAACGCTTGCGCAGCGATCGAGACAACGGAGGAGGTAGATGAGTGGGAAGGCCGCGTTGTGCGATTGTAATCGGTGATGCAGAGGCTGGAGAGCGGGGGCAGGTGCGATTGGCCGTACATGTACGACTCGCGGAAATGGACGCCACACATGGATAGCCATGCTAACTTGGGGGCGTCAAGCTCCGCGGCTAGACGCAAGGGTACTTCGGTGCCATCGACCACTGGCAAGTCGTCAATCATAGCCTCTAGACTGAGACTTTTCAGCTGCTTCGCGTGGCTACGAGGTCGATATGAGGGCGTGGGAGCGAACTGGACTGCAGCAGCCTCATGCACAAGGTGTTCCAATGCTCAATGGAAGGTAGGAGCACCTCCATGATCGCTCTCACCTGAGCCTTCTCCGTGAGGTCCCTCAAAGAGGGGTCATACCTCCGCAGTATGTAGATCTCGAGGGAACAGCCCCGCGACCAAGCGAGGTATTCACGGATCCTAGGAAGCGGAGTGGGGTCCCTGCCTATCCAGATGACGAGGTGCGTCCAATAGTCAGGTACCGCTGACATGACTTGTCGCCAAAAAGGAGCGACCGAGGCAATGCACTCCGGGAAAGGATGCTGAGGAATTAGATCTTCATGCGAGGGCCAGGGTGTTAAGCAGCACATCGTGGACTCTCCCGGATCACGATGTACCCATGGCCTCGTTGCGTCTTCGAGAGCATACCGGAAAATGACGATGAGGGTTTCGGGAGGAAGATCAGAGATGGTGGTGCGAGCCTGGGGAACGACGCCACCACTTTCGGAAAGTATGTGAGGGATGTTGCCGGGCACACTTCCATTGTGCTCTGTCGACTTGTAGGACATGATAACGCCGCTGATGATATAAGTTAAACGATGCATTGTAACGCGATTTATTGATAATCGTAACTCACAAATAGACTGGCTCCTTTCTACGGACGTTGTTGCCGTGCTACGTGAGTAGAGCTTACACGGACCTCCTTAGGAGGCAGAGCCTAGACAGGACTTCTATAACGGAGGCGGGGGCTAACGGACGACACTAAATGCACTGGCAGCGTGCGACGTCTCTACCTTGTCGCTCGGTCAGAGGCTGCGGACTGGACTAGAAGGACAGTCTGTCAGTACGCAAGTGCGACTGAAAAAGCAAAGGACCGCGTACGTGAGCTTTATTATGTCCTTGTGAACGCAGTACTTATAATACTATCGAAAGCCTGCTGTATCTGTCCACGGTGGGTCAGCTTGCTGAAGAACGGGAAGTCTTTGAGGAGGGTACCGGAGCAGTAGCAGGAGTCGAAAGGATGCACGAATGGTATGTGCGCTGCGCCCGTCTGCAGGGTTATAACGAGACTGGAATAGGGGATGGAAGTAGTCCCCTTACCGGGACCCGGCCCGGGATGTCGACCGTTCTCGATCACAGTTCGGCGGTAGCCAAAAGCCTGTTCAAGCCAGAGTACAAGTACAACATACTTATACACTAGATGAGTCTCGGACAGCGGGATCGGGGGAGTAAATCAATCCAATGTACAGTACAAATCAAGAACCGATAGGTATACAAATCTGCTGAATACCCAATGTGTGCAAATCGAAAGTAGATGACGATCATCGAAGTGCCAGTGACGGATCACTCACGAGTTAAATCCCAAGTGCGAGGACATCCGCCTCGCTCCAGTCACCGTCCTCCTCCAGCTCAAACGCATCACACCTCATCAGCGTCAGCCACCGCGCCCGCTCCTCCACCTTCCTCCCACTGCCAGGCGTCGCAGGCTTGCTCCCGGTTACAACCCCGTCACAGCCCGAAGTGAATCCCCGACGCTTTCGCAACATCATGCCTACGCCCATCGGTACGCCGCCGAAGGGCAGCGTCGCTGGGTTCGGTAGGGTCGCTCTGGATGAGAGCGAAGGCAGCAAGGGCGGGAGCGTGCTTGGCGAAGAGGCATATGTGTAGATCCGGATCCGCTGCGCGGACGAGAGGGTAGGCGCGACAACGACAGGATATCGAGCTGAAGCTCTGTCGGCAGGCTTGTGAACCGGAAAGGCAGCGCAGGTGGCTCCGTGCCCATTGACGAGAATAGGCTGTCTCTTGCGCATGGCAAGGGTACTAACGCTCTCGATACCGAGGGTGCGCCCGCATTCCTCGGCTTGAGCAGGACAGCCCGCGCGTATCGAAGAAGGCTGAGGGCCTCGCGCTCCGTGGCCTCTCTCAAAAGCCTATTTCGCTGGAGTGCTCGCGCCAGCTCCTTTTCGCTGTCTTGCCAGATGGCTCCACCTGCCCCCAGCGCGCCCTCGTCGTCGCTAGCGGACGTCTCGCCCGACGCATCTGGGTCTGGGTCCGCAAGTCCGTTGGCATACATTTCGAGTTTGGCGAGTGTGAAATTGTGTCGGTGTATCGCGCGGACGATAGTGCGCGCGCCGCGCAGACCCAGTCTATTCCCGTTCGCACGCAGCACGTGGAGGCGGCAGCGCGGGGAGGACATGTAGTCGACGATGTACGGAGCAGATGCGTGTGTAAGGCCGAGGACGGAGAGCTGCATCTCCTGCAGATAAGGAGCGTCGAGGACGCGTAAGAATTGAGCGATGAACGCGTCGCCGAGCCCAGCGTTGGTCGTGAGGGAGAGCGTCTCAAGCTGCGATGTGTTTAGTGCCTCGGCGAAGGCAGTCGTCACGTCAGGCTTCGCAGTGAATGCGTTCTGGCGAGAGCAATGAGCTGGGTATTGATATGCCAACGAAGGGAAACTCACGTTCTGCAAGAACAGCTCCCTTAGTGAAGTATTATCCCTGAGATATTCAATGATGGTGCGCAAGCCGCGGTCGCCTATGCCGTTCGAGTTCAAGCTAATCTCGGAGATGGGGTATTGCCTGCCCTTCTCCGTGCTAAGAAACCCGAAGAGCACCTCGCAGCCGGCATCGCCAAGCTCGTTGTGTCCAAGGATGAGCTTGGTGACATTCCGACGCGCACGAATGTCTGAGATAACCTCACGAGCACCTATTATACAGCTCGTTGAACTTCTCATCATAGCACCGCCATTGCATACCTACCTTCGACCGAGCATAGCCCCGCATCCAAGCTCTCGATGTGGCTCCGGGCCGACAGTGGGACTTTCGCAGCCGACATGCGCCTGGTTGTCGCTGGCTGAGAAAGGGAGAAGACGCGTGGGTCCATACGTAGTGAAGTTGAGATACAAGTACAAGTTTAGTCGAGAGGAGGTATCCGGATTGTTAAATAGAGAATAGATATCGGGTGGGGTGACAGTGCTAGTCCAAGTTGGTGGAGGTTGGTAACGGCGCCAAATTCGAACCCTGTGGCTTTGCTGTGGCGACGGAGCCGCACCTGCCTCTTGCCTCTACCACCATCTTGTATATCACCCTTCTTGCAGAACCTCACTCACACACGCCCTCGAGGTCTGCTAGCGTGCCGCATATTTGCACGAAGCGCTATCCGTCGCGGTAGTGAACGACCGCAGCTTCGATGTCGACTGCGAGTCTGTCCAAAGACGAACAAGACACACTACGACTTCTCGTCCAGCATGTCTCGCGCGCGTTCTACGAACCCAAGTACACGGTGGTCATGGATCAGCTAGCTCGCCATCCTGTGTACGTCCTCTGAGAGCATACTGACGGCCCTCAGCTGAACACAGAGGTCGCGCCTCGCGGTGTAGCCTCAAGGACGACGACCTCGCGGGGCGGATGGGCCTGCAGCTGAAGGAGCTCAACAAGATTATGGCAGTGCTAGAGGGCGACCGACTGGTCAAGATGTACGTGACCTGAATGCGTTGTGAGGAGACACTTACGAGCTGGCGTAGCCATCGCCAAAATGAGCTCAAGGAGGGCGCACAGCGCTCGGTCGGCCGTCAGTACTTCTACATCGATTACCAGCATTTCTGCAACGTAGTGAAATGGCGGATTGCCGAGGTGCGCAGGATAATTGACTCGTCCCTGCGAAATGTGCGTTGGTATATACGTTTGCCCGTGGTTCAGGCTCACAGTGAGGTCTGCAGGAGCTCGATAACAAGGGATACATCTGCCCGCAGTGCGATAAATCATTCTCTCCCCTCGAAGCCGATAAACTCATCGACTTCTCCGCTGGGACGTTCAACTGTGACGTATGTCATGCCGAACTCGTTGACAACGAGAACGCGGAGAGCGTTAAGGGCAGCCAGGATCGCATGCTGCGGTTCAACCGACAAATGCGATTCATCCGCGAAGGTCTCCGCCGCACTGAGGATATGGTGCTCCCTGCGTACGTTTGCTCACATGCAGAGTGTTCGTCTCGTCCTGACTCTACGCAGGTTTGACGTGGCCCTCTGGGTCAAAACCCACATCATCGACGCCGAAAAGGCCAAAGCAGCCGCCCAGAACGGCGGCCTCAAAATTGCCGGATCTTCAGGCGACACGAAGCAGGAGGAGGCTTTCGGTATCATGCTCTCCGTCGACAAAGATGAAGCGACGCGGAAGGAGGAGCGCGACCGCGAGGCGGCTGCGAAGCGCCAGCAGAACCTCATGCCATCGTGGCATCTCAAGAGTACGATCACCGGCGACTTGACTGCGCTCGGTGTCAAGGAGACTTCAAGGACGGAGGACGGCCCGTCAGACGCGAACCGCTTGCCAAGTTCGAACGATACGATATTGAAGGGATTGGGTGTCGTCGGTGGTCCACCCGCACCTCAGACAAATGGAGTCGATGTCAAGCCAGCAGTACCGGTACAGGTGCAGACACGGGAAGCCGACTGTAAGTTGGATGACGCATCCCTCGCGTTGACTAAACGCGCTCTGGTTGGCAGACTACGATCAGTACTACGCGTCACTCGCTGCGTCGGCAGCGACATCTGCACGAGCCACGCCCGCCATGCTCACACTGGACGGTGATTTCGGAGATGAGGAAGAGGAAGTGAAGCCGTCGTTGGAGTATCTGGACTCACTAAACGGGTATCGCAAACGGTCACGGTCCCGGGAGGACGTGGATGATGGTATGAGCTCGGTGAAGACTCCACGTCTTAACGGCTATGAGTCCGTGCATGAGACGACGCCTTCCGCGCCGGATCCTGCCCGGCGGAAATTTGACGCAAGAACCTGTTCCTGATGCTATACAGCGTCGGCTGACGAGCCTATCGTACATGGTATGGTCTTCTTTCTCACACACTAGTTCACACTGACCCTCTGTATTAGTTGCTGGAGAGCCAATACGCCTCTCCGAAGTGACGGAGGAGCAGCAGGAACAGATGACTGCTGAAGAGTATACAGCGTATTACGAGGTGCTCATGGCGAACTCGTGACATCTCACTTTTAGGGAGCTTGGGTTATCGGACGGACATTTGTGCAACGCGTTCACACATGATGGCATGTATCACTCACAATTACTGTATCATTTAGCTTGAGCAATGCAATTGTTGCTAATACTGGAACTACGCTGGCTGCACGAGGGCTTCTGGCTGAGCGGGGTCTTGGATCGAATGTGCCGGTGCGTCTGCCATATTCATAGCGACGTCGTCGGCTCACGTCTAATGCCCACGTTATCTCAGTACGATGAAGGTGCACAAGCATAGTCTGACGAGCCGATGTTCAGATTGATACTGGACTGGACGACAATCCGGCACTCACCCCTCCATCAATAAGTACCGTCTCCCCGTTGACGAACCAGTTCCCGACGAGGAACAACGCCAGGGAACCCACGTCCCTGTTCGACCCGCCGTACGGGGCTCTCCCTCCTGGCACAAAGGCGGCTGCGTTGCGGGGACCTCGAAGTTCTGCTTCACTCCTTCTGGTATGCGTGACTGGCCGACGGCGTCAGCGCTCCCCGGCGCGGTCATTTCCGTCTCGAACAAGCCTGCATGGGAGTGTCAACCGCATTCGCCGCAAGGATGACTGACCGAGACATACCGGGTGCTATGCCGTTGACCGGATACCGAGCGGAAGCAGCTCGTTTGCTAGGGTGGCTGTAGCCTGTCCGATGGCCGCCTTCGAGAACATGTAGGGGTACGATCGCCCTGCGGTATTTAGGTCCTACAGAAGGTAGCACGGTCAGTGTATCTCCGTAAGGTCGTCAAGCGGAGATCCCTAATGGCTCTTACCTTCGTCCACCCGTTCATGCTGGACGTCATGATGACTTGCGGGGCGAACTTCCGACTGCCGCCTTCATACTTCTTCCACTTCTCAAGCAGCGGCAAGAACGCGAAGGTGAACCAGTACGGGCCGACGGCGTTCGTCCTGAGGGAGTTGTCGAATTGCTCCTGCGAGACGGCGTCGAAGTACGCCGCGCGGAATGCTTCAGCAGTGTTCGCCACCGGACGGGCAGATACTCCGTCGAGTATGCTGCGGCATATGAACAACTTGCCCAGTGTGATGCGAGTATGTGGCATACCCTGCGTTATTGAACAGCACCGTGACATGTCCCTCCCTCTTGCCGATCTCATCCGCTAGGCGCAGTGCTTCCGACTGCCCAGTCGCCGGGTTATTCAGAAGTCAGTGTACCATACCACCATTAATTGCGCCCTGACGTACCTTGCTCCTGATGTCGCCTTCCAGGCCATACATCCGGCCGGAACGCCCGGTCCTTTCGGCGGCCTCGTTATACACAGCTACGGTTCTGAAGAAGTCGTAAGTGAGTGCGCATCTAGCTCCCTGCTCACACCCCACTGACCTGTCCAAGTCTGCTTGTTTGGGACCAATGATATACACCGTAGCGCCGTTCGCCAACAACGTCGAGCTTATCATCAAACCAATACCCTGTTCTCAGGAATCAGTCAGTAGTCGGCACAGCCTTCAGAAGACATGGTCTACAGACCGAACCTCCGCCCGTCACGACTGCAACAACACCTCGCAGATCGAATGCGTTGGCTGCGCTTAGCTGGTTCAGTACGGCGTCGGCCATTGGAACTCTTCTTGCTTTCGGGTCGTCGAATGGATTGTAAGGAAACTCGGCGCGACACTCGTGGTTGTGCGACTGTCTTCAGGCAGTCTGGGTTGACCCGGCGGTGCACTATTTGTATGCTAGGAGCCTTCCACATGGGTGACGTCACCGCCGGTTCAGCGCAAGCCTCTGCATTGCACTGTTCTTCTGAGACCGAGCTGGAATTGAGCTGGAACATCGCCTTCTCCCGGGAAGTGCTCTTCTGGCCGAGAGAAGGTGTCTGGCGGGTCACCGGTCCAGGTCAGTACGTACTGTAGTACCAGCCTAGTTGAAGCCGCTGTTCGGAGACCCACTTCAAGACCCGTACTAGTCAAACCGTCGTCATCAGCTCGGCAGTGTCGAGATATGAAGTGAAGACACCCAGAATTCAGTCTGCGTGTGTCAGGCTACGATTAAACATCTCATCCGACCTAATACTTACGGCGTCCGTCTCTCCTCGCGGTCAGTTGGTTGAATGAGAAATACCTGCAGTACTTATTATCATTTTGCATAACTTACTAGTCTACGAACACGTGCCTCCGAGTCGACGATGTCAGGCACGCGCGTAAGTACGTCGTTCGACATTCGCACATTGACCGCGCTGGGTCATTTCGGTTCTCGACGAAACAACTTTCCGCGCCCTGTATACCACTTCTCCTCGCTACCATCATGAGTTTGTTCACTCTCAACGACGACATCCTCCATATCATCGCCGACATGCTTTCCGCCCCGGAATGCCTCCCTCTCTCGTCGGTGTCTCGACATCTGCATGCGATCGCACGGCGGTATGTGTTCGAGTCGATCACTGTTTATACCATGGAATAGCTAGTCAAGATGCACGACCACCTCATCCGCAACATCGACAATCGCCTGATCTGGCCTCGGGGATTGACTATCTATGGCCCGACTAGAGGAGCAGCCTGGGAGCCTCCAGACCTCAATGCGCTGGTAGGCATCTTCGAGCACGCGCGGGAGTTGAAGGTTCTGGAGGTCCACCGTTGTGAGGAGGCCATCTGCTGCAATACGCTGGTCGGAGAGTATTTGGCTGCACTGCCGGATCTCTCACACATCCGCCTGTTCGATATCGAGGCAAAAACATCCGATGTCCTGCACAAAATGATCAGTTATAGGCCGGAGACGGCATGTCTATCATTGTCCATATCGATCCTCGACCGTCATCTACTACGCATAGCTGAAGCCGCCGTGCTTGGCAGCGTCAAGCGGCTCAGACTCAGTAATTTCCAGTTCGGTAGTACAGTATCTGAGCGGCAGCTTATCTCCAAACTCGCTGGGGCCTATCCACAGCTAGAAGTCCTGGACCTCGACCTCAGTGCCGTATATCCCTGTCTCATCCTGTTCCCCAACATACGCAGGTTGACGATCCTCAGTCCCCAAGTCGGCCCACAGGACCCTGGCCGTCACGTGGAGCAACGACACTTGGACTATGTATCGGTTCAGCCAAAGTACCTTCGTCTCATCCCAGCCCTAGGCATCCGCAGCGATTACCTGCGTCTAACCAACGAGCGGCAAAACTTCTGTCCTGCGGAAGTAGATCCCGAACATGTTTCCGCCGCCGCCGTGCTGGAGTTGAGCTTGTACCAGGTTGAGCGCTGCACCGAGTTCTGCATGGCATTGGCACAGACGATCTCAGCAAAGTCGTCAAGAATAAGGTACCTTATCTGGACGATCACAACCGAAGACGCGCATGCAGCAATGACCCAATGGATGGTACGCGACACATCTACTGTCTCCAATTTAATACTCATAGATGCTCGCCAATGTAGGAGAATGTTTCCCCTTCGCTGTCGTCCTCGCAGCTCTGTTGCATACGTGTTCATGTGGTCCACCAAAATAATCGGGGACCATCGCGCGAAACATGGCTAGGCTTGCTGCAGCGACTGGAGCGCGTCCACATTTCTTCAATACCCTCGCTTCGGTTCTATTTCCAGCATGTCGAGGGCATCGATGATCAGTCGAAACCAAGCGGCCCCTCGAAGACCACTTGGGGACGGGTCGAGGGCGATGGCAGTGACCGCGCGGTGCAGCCGATCCCCAGTTGGCAAGGCGAGAGGATTCATCGCTACCTGCAGTCTCCGGAGTTCTGTCGGACGCTTCAATTCGACGGTACGTCTCACGCTCGGTCAAAGGTGAAGGCATGATTCTTAAATGGGGATCTAGAGGAAGCCGCTCTGCGACGCTCCGGCCGGTGAATGCGAAGGAAAGCTACATAGGTTGACAAACGAATCCGGAAGAAGCCTGAGTGCGCGCATCGTGATACTAGATATCTCCACCGCTTGTATTTATGAAGGGCTTGTATACAAATCACGGTTCGCACTCACTCTTCAATGCTATCTGTCCGACTCACCGTGGATGTGATCGACAGTACTGCACGACGAGCTCTGATTCACCTCAAGGCATACCATTAAACGACGGTCACAAGGGAGTTGTGGACATCTGCTCTGGGTGTTGCGATGAGTAGGCTGTAGGAGGCTTAGACTTGACTGAGAATGACCGGTGCCACTATGGCGGTGAGCGCGATGCGGAAAACTGACATGCCATGCTAATAGTAACGAACAACATTGTGCGCAAATTTCTAGCCGGCCGAGTTCATCAAGTATGACAATCCCAGTGCTGTGTCTCTTTTGTACGCTTTCCGCGGCTGACGTTGACTCTCGTGCGTTGTTCTAGGTATGTTTCGGCGTTCAAGCTTGCGCGACTTTACACGTGCTGGTAAACCCCGTAAGTAAGTAGACGGCAAGGCGCTAAAATGCCTCACTTTCGATCATCCCGACGACGTCATATCCGGAGCTCCATATAAGGACGTGCAAGCTATCTTCCGAGTCTCTTCTGTCTTCCTCCGAGAGTTCAAACGTTCAACGTTCAGCGAGCAGACGATATACATACCCTCGATTTTTTTTTTCAATGTCTTTCGACGAGGCAGTCCCGTACCTTTTATTACGGAATTGAGTCATTCTGCTGCACTCGTTTCTTTGATGACGGGATTGTCAAGTTGGGCGCTAGCAGACTCGAGGTAGACGCTCGGCACGAGACCGTGCAACGTCTAAGTATGTACCGAGGTTGGCCAACATTAGAAGATGCATTGCATTGGCACGCCATACTTGTCGGTTCTGGTTACAGGAAGCCTGTAATACGTACGTATGTATGTCGCGGCTCTTGCAGCAAAGCTCACCCGTGCCAATTTCTCACCACATCTAGTTCTAAGCCGCTTGCTCCCATCTTTGGTTACGTGGCATCTTTCCACCAAGTTTTGACTGCCATTCGTCATGCCAGCGTCCCGAGCTCGAGGTGCCACGAAAGCGGTTTTGAAGGTACGCCCCTGTCTTTCATTCGAGTGCAATATTAATATTGTGACCATTGTTCCGAACAATATCAGCCGTATAATGACAAGCCCCGGCGTTCTGTGAAATGCATGACAGATAGGCCAAGCGAGCCGGAGCCAACGCCACAGGCTTCCTTGACTTCAGCTGTGGCTCCACTTGAGGATGAGGGGACTATGCGCGATTATTGTCTCGAGGTAGTCCACAGGCTATACCCCGGGATAATGCCCAGGAATGATTACGACATCAGTACGTTGGCGGGGGTGAATACCATGGTCCTCTATCGAACGAGGAAGTCTACGCTTGGCTGGACGACATGATTCGGATCGAGTATGCGGGATGGCCAGAGGGCTGCTCCACTGTTGAAGAAGCAACTACGCTATCCATCAAAGCTTGCGAAGAGTTGCTCGATCAGCCTGCGCAGGTCACTGGGGTATGTCTTATGAGCATTTCGGATGTTCCGCGTCATAATTTTGCTGACCGTGTTGAATTAGCGTAAACCCCGCCCTGGTCAGCGTCATGTCTACGTTCGCCCCATTCCCGACTGTGACTACTCTATACGGTTATGGCCCGGCGTTGTCACTGCGCGAGAATTCTGCCTCGACTTCGTGCACACCGAAACCGGCGAGCCAACGAACTCACCCTTCGAATACGAGCTCTGGTCGTTGTCTGACCCCACCACTCCGTGGCTATCAGTGGGATCTATGCAGCTAAGGTCAATCGAGAATAAGTTCGGCGTTCAAACACGTGATATACGACCAGGCGAGGAGAAGTTTGTCTTGAAGGACGGACTGACTTGCATGCTAGTGCGACCGGGGAAGCGGAGTCTCCGCTTTACGGTCCCTATCCATAGAGGAGAGACGTCGGCTGCCGAGGTGGAAGTCGATACGCTGGATCTACCCAAGATCATAGGTTGACTCGTACGCATGTTTTTGGTGTTGTCGCATCGCGTAATGGACTGAATACTTGGCTGCTTCGCTCTCGGTATCATGTCCGGTATGTCAGTCTATGTGATGATAATGACCTAATAGCATACTTGTTACTAGTATACTTGTCCGTCAAGCAGACATGGTCGGTGAGCAGCCATAATGGCTCACGACGCACTGATCATTCCCTGCAAATCTTTGCAGGCTGAGGCGGGAGCGGATGGTCCTTCGCTCGAAGTGCATCACACAGATTCATAAGGAGGGTGCGTGGCTACAACGGTATTTCAGTACTAGGCAAGCACGAGAAGGGCCGATCTGAAGTACTAAAACATTATATAGATCAAGTACTGAGGGAGCTGAAAATGTTCATATCAGGGTTTTGTACAATGTATGCATTCCAGCCTTCCGTTGGCTTTAGTTCCGTTGGCTAGAGAGCTTTCGGGACACTAAAGTGAACAACAGTGGTGCAATCCACACCTGTGTCTCGGATTGGCACGCAGGTAACTACTAAGTCCTTCTTTCGAAATCTATGTCTCTTCACTTCATGATTACCCAACATTCTGTCTCAAAGAGAGGAGCTACATAGAGTTTCGTGAGCCGTAATTACGATAGCCTTTGGTCCTCTTACTATATCATAACTACTTCCCTGAGACTACTCTGGCGATCGATTCTAAAGGTTCTTTGGTAAGCTCGTTGAGATAATCATGGACTTTCATGTGCGCAGACTGTGCAGTATCCGTGTTATTATTTTTCCTCTGGACTCCAAGCTTTCAAGCTCCAAGCTCGAGGATACTATATGCTGCAGGCCCCACACAGTAGTTATAATGAGAAACGAGATGTGTTCAGTTGCTCGACGGTCGCATACAGATTGTCACGTGCTGATGTACTGTATGCACCGAGTTTGGGCGTCGAACACCGACAACAGTGATCGTCCTGCCTGGCTGATTTGCTCATTGTTCGTCGCGCAGGCCACGTATATATTGAATATTCTGGAGGGTGAAAAACAAAGGTGTGTCTCATTTGGTCGATGAAACACGGACGACGCTGAGCTGGCGGTGGCGAGTCGATTAGCCGAAGCGTCGTTCTTCTTCCGGACTTTGCGTTGCGTCCAACCCACAACCATCTCGCGCTGAGCCCTCCAAGCTGCAACACGTCGGCGAGAGGTATGTCGTGTGTTCAGGCCGAATCTGAGACAGTTGTCACTCACGACAGTGACAGAGGCGCAGTGCCCGGATCACTTTCCGCTCCTTCAATCTGTCACTCGTTCCCCTCGCTCTCGGGCACCCATGAATGGCGGCAAAGACACAGAACCACTCTCCTTTTTCCCGCATCTCCCGCCTCATCCGCAGCGGCCCGTCTTCACCACTCGCCCGCGAGCCCGACGTCGAGCCACCCACCCAAGAAGACTGGTACATCCCGTACAACGGGCCGTACGAACCTCCCCGCGGGATGCCTGAGAGTGTCGTGGAGAGGGACAGCTGGGGCAATCTGGTGAGTGGTTGGCTGGCAGAGGACCCGCAGGCGACGAAGAGAGAAGACCGGTACGCCCGCACGTCCCGCGATCGCGCAAAGTCCGATGCGGCTACTCTCGCGTCTTCGTCTGCACCTACGCCCCGCCATCGTTCCTTCTCCACGCGCAACACCCCCAGACCGAGCGTCAACTCTATCATCCACGCGGGCGGCGTCGGCGAGGCCCCGGTGCCTGTGCGGGAGCCGCAGGAAGCCCAGCCGAAGCCCGAGACGACCCGCCACAGCCTGGCGAGCATCCTCTCCTTGGGCACACGGCGGGGTCTGACGATCAGACACTCCTCCTCAGCGGGCCAGCTCACGCGCCAGGCGTCGGGCAGCACGGACCACCATGCGCCGCCGCGACGGAGAACGCGCCGGAGTCGATGGTCCTGCGCCGCCACCCATACGCCTTTCCGTACTCTACCACCGCCACCGCCCCTTCCCCGCCCCGCGCACCCTCCCCTCACGCCCGGCGTCCCCCGCCGTCCAAAATCAAAGTGGCCCCGCAGCGGCCCTCGCGTACGCTCCCGCCGCCACCACCGCGTTCCTGCAGCCTACGCCGCGCAACCGGCTGACGATCCGGGGCTCCATCTCCACGCCCAACCTGCGCAATCCCCAGACGACATCCCAGCCGCGCTCTCCCGCTCCGCCGACGCCCAAGGGGAAACAACGCTGGCTGTCCCCGGAGACGTGGTGCGATGCTCTGATCCTGCCTCGCCCACGCTTCGCCATTCGTGTAGACCCAGGCGGCGGCAGTGGCCGGATCGTGAGCCCTCCGGACAGCCCGGTACAGCCCAATACGATCACGTACTATCAGTCGCGCGCGGAGAAGGAGCCCACGACAGGATCTTCCCATGGGCTGGACCGCGCTGACAGCCATGAACCGTTGTTGGCGGCGCAGAACACAAGACCGCGGGCGAGTACAGTGGAACCGATCGCAGGGCCCTCTCGAGTGACAGTGGAGGAGCAGAGGCAAGCAGTGGGTGTGGGACGCAGTAGCGGAGATAGACACGGTGTGGGTATAAGTATGCCGCCGTCGAGTTTCAAGCCGCCAAGACCGAGAGCTTCGCACTGGACGATTTGGCACTGCCCAGTCCAGCGCCCCTCACTGATGAAGTATGTGACTGTCGCTCTCCTTTTTGTAATTTACCCTTCCATCAATCGTGTCGTGCGGGCGCCCTTAATGGCGTCCATGGTGTCTGCCACGTTTGGCTTGTCAGCGATGTATTCACATGCTCCCTTGACAGGGTCCTCGAGGAGGGCAGGCAGCTCGAAGCCGATCGCGAGGCATGGCAGGCCCAAGCGACACGCTCGTTCCAGAACAAGCGTGCTAGGTCCATGTCGCGCGCCCGCGCGAAGACGCTCAGTTCCGCGCACCATTCCCCGCACGAGGGCGCACGTCAGCCATGGACATGCTCACGCAGCGCACGCTACTCGGCAACCAGTCACGCCCGCCGACGGTGAATGTGCGGCTGCGCGAGTCAAGTCGCAGGGCTTCAGGACGTCCGAGGACCCCGGTACAGCGACATTCACCAGCGGCGGCGTCGGGATCAGCACGGTCACGTCGCACTCGCACGGACGTACGCGCTCGCACGCGCACTCGAACTCGGCCGGGACCGCGACGTCCTCGCATGGGCGCACGGAGGAGTCGTTCATGTGGACCGGCTCCGGCGCGGGCCACCATCAACGGACGCCTTCCCTGGGCAAGTCGGCGCTCCGGCTCGTCAAGAACACGGCGTCGACAGCGGCGGGTTTCTGTGGTTTTGCGAGCGCGGAGCGGGTGTTTGAGGGCGGAAGGGAGACGGACGAGAAGGCAGGTGCCCCGGACATGCAAGACGGCGCGCACCGGCGGCAGGACACGCGTGTGCTCAGGCTGCAGGACCAGGCGCGGCGGGACGCACATCAGGACAACGTCGTGCTCGTCACGCCAGCATCTCCCGAGCACGGTGTTGCGCAGACGGTTCATATAGGACTTGGTGGCTTGCACGGTTTGTCGCCCGTGCCGTCGAGCTCTGGCGAGAGCCCCATTGGTATCGCTATCTCGACACCCACGCCCTCTGACGAGCAGGCTAGGCAGCACTATGGGGGTCGTGAACGCCTCAGACTTCCAGCGCATCCGTATGCGCAGGGAGCCACATTTCCGATGCGTTCGTCGTCGCCAGAACCTGAGAGATCTGAGCCGCGACTCTCAGACACGCGGCATGAGCAGGCAGCCGGCGATGAAGGTCTCGAGCGACATAGGCAGCCCGTGCTCGTCCATCCGTACGCACCTTTTGCGCAGGCGAACCATCCGTATGCTTCGGCCTCCCCTGCGTGGGCTATAGAGGAGGCGCCGCAGGCCTCTATGCAGCCCGCTGTCACTGTGGACCCTCCGACCGACGAAGGTGGGCAGATGATCGAGGTCCAGGCGGACACGACAAGCAGCATGTTCGCGGAGATCACGCCGGGTCATATTCGCGAGTTTCAGCCTGAACAGCTGCGTTATTCGCCCTTCATCATGGTGCATCCTGTGGAACAGAAGGCAGACGGTCTCAGTTCTGGCGCTCGGTCTCACCCGTATGTCGCACAGTCCCGGCGCATGAGCGAATGGGGCTTTGCGGATGCCTTGACGGAGACGTTGAGGGATAGGGGCAGCGTCGACAGTGGTCTGGGGACCAGCGAAAGTTTGGATCACCTTCGGAACACCGACAGATCGGGTCAACGCGCGGACACTCGTCCTATGCCTGCTGATCTACCGCCCGTGCCGCTCGAGGACCCTTCTGAGCGGTTGCGCCCTGGCATGCGTCGTCGAGAGGCGACGCGCTCGTCCTCGAATCACACCTTGGCCTCGTCGCCCATGGATTCCGTGAACCCGCCTTCATTCCGCGCACAGCCCACCGAAGAGCGACTCACGACTAACGGCCAATCCTCTGGTTCGTCTCCCGGTATGATCTCGCACGACTCTTCGCCACCGCTGTCTCCGCGTTCATTCAACGCGTCCGACGACCTGGAGCGCTTCCGTGATCTATTTTATCAGCCTCCGCCTAGGCCGGAGACGCCTGAGGAGGCCCGTCTCGACACTTTCAGTCCACCGACACCGTCGCGGCAACCGAGTAGCGGTGTCAGCACGCGGAGTGTCAGTGGCCTGACGACCCTCGCTCGTCAGCTGGCCGATGATATCGACGAACTGCGCCAGATCTCGCGAGATTCTATGGATGATTCCGAGGCGTCGCCCATGTGGGGAAGGCGGTTTGGTGGACTTCGTGGACAACGTCCAGAGGAGGCCAGCCCTAATCCCAATGTGGTGCTGTCTGGCCCAACGTCTGATCGAAGCACACCCTGAAGCCTCGTCACCTCCCCTGCGCTTTCCGATCGACCGGACCGCGTCGCTCGCGCAGCCTACGATCAACGTTCCAGAGGACGTCGAGGAGTCTTCGCGGGCTTCCTCCATTATTCAGTATGCTTCCTATGAAGAGTCGGATAGTAAGTCCTCAGATTCATGTGATCTTCCTTGTGTTGACCATTGATTGGTTCTGTAGCGGGTCACATGCGAGTCGGCAGCATTGAAGCTCTGTCAACACCGGCTGCCCTCTCCAGTCCACAGCGTTCGTCCACCATGCTCTCCTTCGTAAACCTTCCCGCGGCAATGAGGAGCGTTCCAGCCAAAATGTCGCCGTTCCGCGCATCGATTCTACCTACTCCAGCCTTGGTGCTCCAGTGTCTGACGCAGCACGTTCCAGTTACATGACATCCGGAACGGGTATGTCCAGAATGTCTGGGCTCTCAGACTTCCCGGTCCCTCCGACCGACGTAACACCAGAACAGTTGTCTGTGCTTAATTCCTATTTCGACGATTCTCAGAGTTCTCAGCAGTTTAATGGCTTTCTCTCTCCTCCACGTCCAGGAGGTTTGGTTCGGGAACCAAGTACCAATACTTTCGGAGGTCAAAATGAGATCGGACAGGCACTTTGAGGACTATTGAGGATTTTATTCATCCTTTCGTTACCCATATATCCTATCTTTGCTCGTTAACCCTTCACGACGGTTTCGAGTAGTAATATACTGTAGAGCGTTCGTCGATAGCATCTGAGTCCGTTCTCTACGTTCCTCGCTTTCTGTTCGCACATCCGTTAATCTTATGTATATGGTTATGCTACTGCTACATTTTGCTGGATTACGGTACAACACAACACATTACTAGGGACAAGTGCAAGACTAAAGCAACAAACAACAGCGATAGCGAGAGACTGCATATCTACTCATCGTACTGAGTCAGCTGTGAGGCAAGTATGTACGTCAGCGAATGCAAAGTAGTGGAACACCACGACTCACGTCGAGGGTCAGCGTGCGCGAACTGTTCACATCTTGATCTCGATAGATGCCAACTAGGGAGTTGCTACGCTCGTATAACGAGCCTTTGAGACTGATGACAACGAACTGGAACGTCTCTGAAGCATGCGAGCGAATGTAATTCGCGATTTTTGCCACGTTAGTGTTATCCAGCGCTGCATCAACCTCGTCCAAGACGAAGAATGGCGAAGGTTGGTAGCTGAGAGGTGGTGAATGAGTACTGGTGAGCAATAATGCATGCCGACCAACGTACCTATGAATAGCGAACAACAGTGCGAGCGCAGCGATGGTCTTCTCACCTCCGGATAGCTGATCCATATCTCGGAAACGCTTCATGGGCGGCATGGCATGATACTTGATACCAGCGTTGTATGGTTCCTTCATTGAAAACTGTCAACAACACCTTGTCAGGACAAGCGAATGCAGACGCACCTCGCTGTCCTCCAAACTAAGGTAGGCCACACCTCCCATTGGTGCCGCTTTGCCCTTGGTGAGGTCCTTGTACACCTGATCAATTCGCTCAGAGATATGGTTGTACGCCTTGTTGAAAAGGTCGCAGCTGTGATGTGTTACGTGTCAGATGATCCGTGTGATCTTTCAGCTGTCGTAGTGCCTTACCGGCGGCGCTTGACATCGTTGAAGTGGTCGCGGGCATTCTTAGAGTCTTTCCTAGCCTTGTCGGCCTCCCTTTCTGTTTCCATGAGTTTCGTCTCGACGTCATCAAGCCTAACAAGCCAATGAGTCGTACCCAAGAACTAACGACCAGCTGCTCCATACCTCTCCATCGCCTTCAAGTTGGGTGCTAGACGCTCAATATCAGAGTTGACCTTCGAGATTTGCGAATCAATGTCTGCCAAAGCCTCCGCAGGGTTTTCCTGCGTCCAAAGATCAGTCACATCTATAGTACGCACAGTCCAGATTGCATACTTCTCTCTCGTCATCCTCGAGACTGTCGAAGTCCACCTCAATGCCGTAGTCGGGGATCCGCTTGACATGTTGGCTCCCTTCTTCATCTTCGTCAACATCCATGGCGACCTCTTCACGCAAATTCTGTGTACGAGAATGAATGGCATGCCGAGTGTGCGACTGTTCGTAGACTTACCTCCTCCATCGGGACATTCCTCAGATTGCCCTCGACGAGAGGTAAGCGAATTTCGTCTAGTCTGCACTTGCGGTAAATTGCCGAACGCTCGAGACCCAACTTCTCGATCTCGTCATTCTGTGGCCAGCCATAAGAACTTTCAGATATGGACCATTTAGAACGTTGCACTGACCCGTGTGGCAATCTCCTTCAATGCCTGATCCAGTGCCTTGGACGATTTCAAGGTCGTTCGCTTAACTTGTTCAACGACTTTCGTCTTCTCCTCTAGGTCTTCATTGAGGCCTTTCATTTCCTCTTGCAAGGTCTCAATTGCCTCCTCCGCTTCCCTGATCTCTTCTTGAACATTCTCCTGCGTCTCACGATACTTCACAATGTTAGCGGCCTCCGTTGTGATCATTGTATCGATGGTTTGAACACGCTGTTCACTTGTCTGCAACTGTTCTTCGATGAACTTCGTTCTGAAGGTGGAGTACATGTCAGCCATCGATGTCATGTTACTACACGCATAAACGCACTGATGTGTGAGACGAGCGATTTGCTTCTCGAATTGCAGCCTGGCCTCGCTTTCCGCTGTGGCGACCTTCAGCTGTCGCTCCTCGTATTCACGGATGTTCGATACGCCGATGCTTTGACAAAAGGCAGCAAAGACGTCATCCTCTGCAGCGTTGACAACCGACGCCAACGTCGATTTTTTTTCCTTCAATTTGTCGTAGTCTCGCTGAGCCTGGGCAAAATCATGAGACCTAATATCAACTGACAGCCATATCAATGCTCTCAAGTACCTTGCGCAGTTCAGGTTCGATACGTCGAATCTCCCTTTCGACGTGTTTGAGTTCATCCTTGATACCGTCCAATCGCAGTTGGCACGCTTTCAGGTCGTCTTTCGCGACAGACAAAGCCGATTCGAGCCTGTTGATCTCTGCGTCCATATTCTCATCAGCCTTCCCGCGAGGTTTAGACTTGTTGAGTTCCCGAAGCTCGCCCAGCAGGTTGTCACGAACGCGCTGCAGACCTGCAAGGGGTCAGTCTGTTGCACTGTCAGATCCTACCAATCCACTGACCTTGCACATCCTTCTCTTCCCACTTGCGACCATTCCCATGGGTGCTACGCCCACCAGTAATCATACCGGTCTTGTGAATAATTGTTCCCTCGAGAGTGACGGCTGTAACCGCTCGTCAGCACGATCCCTCTGTCGTCATCAAGGTCAGACTCACCCTTGACATCTTGCTTCTTCTCATAACAAACATAAGCCGCGATGTCATAAGTGTCGCATACCAGCGCGTTTCCGCACGCGTGATGCATAGCGCGCTCAACGGCAGGGTCGAACTGGATGACATCAATAGCGAGACGGGCACCCTTGGCGAATGAACGGAATTTATCGTTGATTGGCTTGACTTGAATGGTGTTCAGCGGAATGAAGGTCGCTTGGCCTGCGCGTTGTATGCGCATATACTATCGCGGGCCTTCATGTCAGAACGACTCGTAGGGGGATACGATCAAGCTCTGACCTCAATACAATCAATAGCAGTCTTCTCCTCGTCTACAACAACGGCGTCGATGTTCCGCCCAAGGACGACCGATACAGCTGTCTCGTACTTCCGCTGTGTAGGCTTGCATAGGTCAATTACCCTGCCACGCACGCCTGTGATGACATGGTCAGCGATGGAAGGGCATCGTCTTGAGTCTCCGCTCGCACCTGGGAAGATCCTCTGCAAGTTTGCGAGCGTCTCCTTCATCTTCGCCTCGCGCTCGGACTCCTTCTGGTCTACTCCTGCTTGGAGGAGCTTGTTGTGCACGTCAACCAGCTTCTCGTTGATTTCTTTCTCCAAGTTGCTAGAATGTATCACAGTCAACAGAGAGCAAACGCGTATGTGTCGAAGACCTACGCAATCCTCGACCGCTCAGACTGTTGCTTCTGCATTTCTTGTCTTGCGGTCGCAAGTCCATCTTCGAGCTCTTTGATCTTCTCTTCCAACTGAGCAGCATGGTATGAATACGCTGAGACGACTCGCTCGCTCCTGGATCTAACATCATCAGCTCACCTCCTGGCGTTTCTCGGTTTGTGCGTCCCGGTCTTGTCTGAGCTTCTCCGCTTTCTCCCGATGTGCCTCATGTCTTTCCTTGAGTTGCGACAAAGTGCGCGCAGAAGTCCGCTCATCGCGAGAAAGGGTTTCGAGCGACTGGCGTTCTTCGACTGCGAGAACAGCCGCCTGCGCCTTCCTAGTACAGTTGTCAAGTCATGGCAGCCATTCCTAAGAGTGAGTGCGGGCGTACAGATGACGATACTCTTCGAGGCTCTCTTCGCTGAGTGAGAGGTTGGTCTGTGCAGCTCTCCGTTGTGCCTCTGTTGAAGGGTAATGGTCTGTATTATAGGATGTATGCACTCCGAGACTTACCCGTGGCATCATCTGCAGCCTTCCTCACCCGCTCAAGATCAGCCTGCAGCACTCGCAGCTGCTCCTCTGTTTCTCTGCCGCTTGCTCTGCCTTCTCTCGCTCCTTCTCCGCATTGTTTCGCCTCCGCTCGGAATGCAGACTCTGCGCCTCGACCTGTACAAGGCTCGGCCGCTGGAGTAACAGTCGAGATCAGTGCGAATGGCTCCGCTGGGTACCAGAGGCCACAGACCTTGCCCTCTAGCGCTTTCTCTCGCCTTCTTGATCCTCTTCTCCTTTTGCATTACGCTTGAGCGAGCACGAGCCTGCTCGGCACGGGCCGCTTCCAACTCCTGTTCGTGCTTCCGTTGTTCCTCCCGGAGCCCAGTGAGTGTCCGGTTCTGTTTCCTAATCGTTTGCGCGTGCTCTTGAAGTTCTTGCTCAATATGATATAACTTCAGGAGGATACGTTTGAGGACCAGATTGTCCTATCGCATCACATATGTCAGCAAAGAGAACTCATAGCATACGGTGGGCTGCTCACGCGCTCCTGACCCAGAGCCTCAAAGCGTTCTGCTTCCGTCTTCTGCTCTCTATACTGCTTGATTTCACCTGCAATACCGCGGCGCTTGGTGAAGTTGAATGTTGCGTTCTCCGTTGCGCGCTCCTGCGCCTCTTTCGCCTTCTCGTACTCACCCGCAAGCTCAAGCGAGCCGCTGATCTGGTCGATGAGCCGCGCGAGCTCCTTGGGCGACTGCGACGCGACGGCCTCGACATCTCCCTGGAATACGAGAAAGTTCTTCGCCTTGACGAGAATGTTGTGGGAGATGAGCGCAGCGTTGTATGCAGAGTAGGTTACAACCTGGCCGTTCAACTTGTACTCTGACGCGCCAGTGGTCGTGATGCTACGAGACGCGGAGTGTATGATACCTGCAGTTCAGAAAGTGGCATACAACTTACGTCCTTTGGAATAGCCACTCTTTCTTGCTCGCGTCCTGAAAGACTGCGAGTACCCATGCCTTCTTGGCGGTGCCCTCTCCCTCGTCTTCTCCTTCGTCTTCCTGGTCTTCATCGTCCCCTCCTCACTTCTCGCAAGACGCCGACCACGGTATACGAGGTCCTTCAGTTGACTACTCCGGAGTTGCGCGCTCTTCACTCCGAGGACGAAGGAGATGGCGTCCATAAGGTTGGACTTTCCCGCGCCATTGGGCCCAATAACGGAGGTAAAGTTGGTGAAGGGGCCTATGGTTTGGTGGCCTCTACCAACTTGGGCATGAGAAGGTGGTCAGGCGACAGAATGGTGCCCGCTCACCTATAAGACTTGAAGTCAGAGACTTCTATGCGTATCAACGGCATTTCGTTCGGATGAATGCCCTACTTCCTCCCTACAGGAGTTCCAGAGATCGGCCGAGCAGGGTGGAGACCAAAGACGGTGGATCAAAGCGATGGTCTAAGTTAGACAGAATAAGTCAAGCCGCTTGCTTGGGCAGGAGGAAGGCTGCCAGTTTAAGGACAGGAGAACGAACGCACACCGGCGCGGCGAAACGAAGCACGCGAACGCGCGTTGGATCACGGTCACGTGCACGAGTGGCTTTCGTGTCTACGGCCACCATGTCCAGGAGCGCGATGAGTCTCGATATGCAGTTCTGTCACGCGCTCGGCATGTCTCGTACTCAAATGTTTACTCAACCTATTGGTATCTTTGACGTGCCATGGAGTAAAAACATACTTACTCTACATGGCCCGTCAAAATAGCTAATCATTGATACAGTCATCACGAGAACTCTTGTGAACGTGAAATGACCATTATAGTATATTGGATCAGATATTGCAGTGCATGCTGTTGATTTTCCCTATCCAATAAATGCGTAAGACACCAAGTGTTCCATCGTTGGAGAGTTGCAGATTTGCACACTCATCAATAACGTGCAAACTTTGACAGGTACTGTTCGCCTCTCTCCCCCTCTCTCCGGATGCTGCTATTGCAGCAGCCCTGCAGATAACGGATCGTCCGAAAAGTGAGCCACGTCCTGCATAACAACGCAGTTGCCATGCTGTTCGTGACTATCTTCGAGCCAATCCCCGACCGGCGCTCCGAAGTTGCCCACCAACCTCCCGTGCAAAAAGATGACCGTCGAGAACACGCCTGAACTTGAAAAAGCCGCATCGCTCGAAGATTGTCCTGCATCGTCATGGTTGTCCTCTAAGTAGAAGGACCGCAAGTCGAGGATGAATCTGGAGAAAACGATGGATGCTAGACTGATGTGCGGAATAGTCAACGGACAGGCATGATTTGCGTGGTCCCTGATGAACGTACACTTGTGCGAACTGCGCGACGATCTATGAGAGTGATGAGTTCACAAGTACTGTGCGGATGTTCCACACGCTTACCCCGTTCCTTATCCTCACTCCTACGGCAGTCGCGATGTTCAGGATTGTCAACTGACTACGGCAAGTGAGATGTCAACTTGACGAACTAAGACATTTGCAGCGAAGTGAGGCCCACACAAAATAGACGGTCCCTATACACAACGTTGAGCAAATGTACGTGAGATTATCTGTGACAGCGCACCATCTTTCAAAATCATCGACGCAAGAGTGCGTCTCCTACCCTGCCTCAGCAATGCTCGGTGAATATTCATCGTCCTCCAGTATGTCAGCATGACCACTACAGCATCAGCAGCGATCGCGGCAGACAGACTTCCGTAGGCCACTGTTTCAACGAGGCGTATAAGCTGTGTTTCCGACACAAGCTAGAATACGTACGCCTGTGAAGCAGTAAACCAGAGTGCCTAAAGCCCAGTTGAGAGCCCACGACTCACTGGTAGTACCATCCAACGCCCGAGAATCCAGAGACCTCACAACCGTTGAAAGGGAGGTACATGGCCCCAAAGTCGGAGATCCTCGTAAAGAAGAACTGGTCGTCTTAGTCGAAGGCAAACTGGGGACCTTGGCAGACCTACCACGTCGACAGAAGCCGGTACCATCTCGAGCATAAAGACAATACTGAAGATTATCGCCCGGCTTCTGTGAGGACAGATTGCGTACACTCTCAATGAATGGAATGCTGAATCTGATGGGAATGTGCATCATAATACGCAGGGGACGACGTACCAGCATTGACGAGGGCGAAGATGATGGACATGGTCTGATTGATTATGGAGAGCGCAGGACAGCTGTCATACTACTCTGTCAGCACCGTAACGGAGTCCCAAGGCAGAAAGGGGCCCCGAGACGCACAACTGCAAAATTCAATGAGAGAAACACAACGTGCAATGTGCATGATACTCACTTCATGAACCGGGCGGCGATACCAACCCGACTTGCCTGACAAGGCCAGACTACACACATTGAAAGCCACGACTATGATCGTGAAGTACCGATTGACAAGAAACAGCAACGTCGCGCCCGAGAGTCTGCGGCCCCATATGCAACGAACCTCCCGAGGAAATGTCAAAATGTAATCATAGAAGAGCAACGCTGTACGCAGATCCTGCTGTCAGCTCATGCAACCAGAGTCATCATATTCTTACCCGCGGAGGCGGCACCACACCAGTGGCTACAGACACAAAGTCAGCGATCCCTAGGAAGACGTTCCTGGGACCGAGCTTACTATATCTCCAGTTCAGCAAGCTCAGACCATTGCATCGAGTGCATCAGGATTAGGGTGGTCTTGTGGGCACCTGGAAGATGGACACCGCAGCGAAGGAGCCCAAGTTATACATAGCGGAGGCGGACGCTGCTGTGTGATTGAGTAAAGCATATCCCACAGTGACAGAAACCGGTGAGCGGAGATTGCAAGTACACATCAGAGCTGTCAGGCCATGTGCATGATCATCAGGTACGCGGAGTCTTTTGGATTCGGCATGTCATTGTCAATTCGAGACCAGGCATGCCTCTGCTCACTCAGTTGCATGACTCGTCAGCCAATAGTTGAGGATCAACCTACAGTACTCACTAAATGAATTATAGATCTGTACTGAGCCACGACAGACCAATGGGTCTATATTGGTCGAAGTACCTTCAGCCGCAATGTAAGCATGCACAGCGGATGCTGATCCGGAGCCTGAGAAGATCACGACGGTATGATTCTGCGGGACGTAAGTAGGTGCGAGTCACATCAGCACTACTACATTCAAAAACAGAGCAGCTGGCGAGGAATAAGGGCATTCCTTGCCCGCTCGAGAGCCACCATACGCACCGCGACCGAACCTGTGAAACCAGAAGTCTAATACATATGCGTTGTCGGAGAAGGGCTGTACAGTAAGCAAAAAATATGTCCGCGAGTAGCTTGCGAGGCTAAGCTGGTAAGTATACAGATATTAGGCGGGATGTGATACCGAGGCATGCGATACCGAGGCAGACGATAGCTCTATGCGCTCGACGAGGAACGCCGCTGTCATGAGCGAAGAGAGGACGAGCATGAGCGAGCTGGCAGTGAGGACGGTGTAGCGCGCTGAAGAGACTCCAGTCAGGAGGGAGACCACCACGAAGATGTTCAGCGGCACACGGAACAGCGACGATAACTAGATCATCACGACTGAGCAATCGGGCCCCGAAGAGGATGAATGTCACGACTCACCGTCGCCCGGTGTTCGTTCGAGATCAACGCTCCGCGAAGCATGCCCTGGATGGGATAATACATACCCACACACGCCTCGAAGACGCAGAACGCCCAGAAGCGCACGACCTCTTCCTTGCTCTCCACGCTCACCGCGAACGCGACCGCACTCACCGCACACACGAGCGAGCTCAGCTTCGCGTGCAGCGTCAGGGGCGCGTCGCCCACGTCGTCGTGCTCGGCGTCGCCACGCGAGAAGAGGGTAACAAGCGAGGTGTAGAAGAGCGAGCCGATCATCATGCTGACCATGAACGCGGAGAAGATGTAGCCCAAAGGTAGGATGCTCCCCGGGCGCGCGGCTTCTTGGAGCGCGGGTACCCAATTGAAGACGAAGAGGTACATGGACCCTTCGAAGCACGTCTGGGTTAGGCCGATGACGAGCAGGGCGGGCTCTGGCGGACGAGGTGAGCAAGAGGTTGTTGTTCGGCTGCGAGAGTTACTAACCGTTGCGGACGATCTTGAGTGCTTGCCCGAGACGCCTTAGTTGGAGGATGTCAGGGTTCGCAGCAACTCCGCCACCGCTGCCGTAATTCTCCGTCCATGAGCCACGGATTACGACCCACGCGAGCAGTAGCAAGACACCGCTAGCAACGAATGGCGAAGCGAACGAGCCCGTCGAAGCAACAAGCTGGTTGCTAGCCACTCCAGCGGCAGCAGCGACGAAGCCATTCACAAGTGATGCGCGGCCCATGATAGTGGATAGATCAGCGGCCGGGAGAGCAAGGGAGTTGGACGCCGAGATGAGCCATGACTCAAACACGGAGAACAGAATCGAGGTGGAGAATCCTCCGAGGAATCTACCCATGATCAATACCGGGAAGTAGGGTAGCTGTATGAGGACGCATGAGAGCGTGTAGGTCACACAGAACGCCATGCAGAGCTTGCGTCGACCACTGCATCGACGAGTTGGTCAACGCTTCCATATCTCAGGCTCGAGGTAGCGTAGCACATACTATTGATCCGCCCATACGCCAACCATTGGCGCGGCCAGGCCAGCGGTCATGAAGCCGGTCACGAAGAGCAGGGCGACATAGCGCTCAGGGAATGCGTACTGCTCCTTGTAGAGAGAGTAGACGTACGGACCCTGCAGCCAGTCCGCTCCTACACGCAGAATCGTTCGTCAAGCCTCCGAAGTACACCGCGCGACACGATCTGCGCATGAGAAAGTAACATACCCATTACTATCGCGTAAACGGTCAGATATTGTCTGGAAAGCTTGTGCAGCGCCGGAGCAGGCGCATGGAGGTCGTCGTGCAGGCGCACACCCTCCTTTCGTTTTGGAGATAGCTGGCGCTCGACTAGCATGAAGAAGAGGCATAGCGCGACGAGGCAGACGAGCTGGAACTCGTAGAAAGAGAGCGACATATTAGGCCCGGGTGCAGGTGCGATTGGCCACTCCCAGTCGTGCGGCAGTACGCAATAAGAGTGAATCAGAGCGGCGAGTTGCGATGAGAGCAAGCCCTGGTCAAGGAGTGAAATTCTGACAGGAAAGCGATGGAGAGGCCACGTCCACGACTCGGAAGTCGGATGGCGGTACAGATCTTGAAGGTCGGCTGTGAGTCGGGTCACGATGCGCAGTTGCCACTGAGACTCGCTCCACTCGCTAGAACCGCGCCATCTCCGAGGTTCCCGGCGAGTTGCACCACCAGCGACTATTCCGGGGCACTGAACAGTGGGAGAGGCATGTGAGTGATAGTGAGTGACGGAAGGGCAGACAAAACCGCTTAAGAATCAAGAGAGGCGCTGTGGCGGCTAACTTGGCACAATTGCACCAACTCTTGACAGAAGTGCGGGACACAGACTCACCATACCATATTACTGCGTAGACCAGAATGATGAGTCTGTGAATATAGAAGCCAAGGTGCGTTCTACATATCAGTGTCGATGTGAAACCATAGTGATGGTTGCACGCTAGGTCGCTATATGGGTAGGACCGACTTGCATGCATTCTCAGAGATGGCATGCTCAGCACGTTGATCACTGCCGGTACAAACATCCACCCTCAAGGTGCTGATCTCCACTCATCCTCAACCTATGCTAGCTCACCATAGAATGCTACTCAGGGTACCATCTGGTCGAATGAATAGGTGATGCCGATGAGACGCGCTACGCTGTCCTGGATGAGCAATTCCCGGTCTCATGGACATTCGTATAAAACAAAGTGTTACAATGAATGATGCCAAGCGACTAGATATCGGCCACGTCGTCTGTGAGCCGTAGGCGCAGCATGTCCTGCAGAACTGTCGGTGACGATAGTATTGCTATCGCATCGAGCAATACTGATGTACTCGCCGTCATCGGGGTCTACATCGCCGAGATGTGAGACATGGATGACGGTGTGCGCACAAGACCACCAGCCACAGGGCTTGCGTTCGCCGTCGTCGCAGTGAACGCAGCGATACCGAAGAGGCAGGCGGCGAGGTGGCGCAGCTGCATGATCTTGTCCCTGTAGCGGTGTCGAACGAATGAGCTCTTAAGAGTTCCCTGGAGTCTCCCCATGAGTAGGCCTTCTTTATATCCCCGGTCAGCGTTGACGCCGCTCAAGACAGACAATACTGTCTTACGTGGTTCCACCGCCTGTTCACCATGCCATGACTCACGAGGTACAGTATACCTAACCGATGCAGAGGCTGCCAATGATCCAGATAGCCTTATATCACGGTGTATTTGACAGTGTTCCATGGCCGTTGCTTCCATGCCATGTTGACTATCTGCGATCGATATCCGGTGTGTAATCCTCGTCGCGTCTTGCCGTCTGATTCCTTCTCGTAGCTCCGTGAAGCGAACCGCGTCTCAGTCAATAACCCGCAAGGCTTCTAGTAACTTATAGGTCATCTTCACCAACATCTTACCATGAGATTCGGTCTGTACTCTCATGAGCCGGATGCATCAGCTGCCAGGAATGTCATAACCTCATGCAAGTCAGTGTCCTCGGCGTGGATCTTGCCTGAAGCCCATTGACAGCGGCCTTGATAATGTGATAATGGAACATTCTTCAGTGTTGTCGTCATTCTTTCACTGCAATCGTCAAACTGCCAGTTGCCGCATCTTCACTGAATCCATGTCCCGCTGATGCATCGGAGCGCCTTCAGACACTCTCATGTGGAACATGTACGGCGTGGAATTCGAACGGCTACTATCACTCTGGATACAATCGCCTTTCTCCGGCGCAAGTGCTTACAGCGAGCAACCTAGGAGCACTTGTCTAGTAACGAGATCGGCGACACTCAGCTGTCACGTTGACCGGTGAATATCTGAATACTGGCGACATACACCTACCTGTCTCATTTAGCGAATACATATGGGTGGTTATTGGCACCGTATCGCGCTTACCGGCGTAGTCAAGCTTCAGCTTCAAGTCTAAGCCTGCACGGCCAATGATGCTTCGTCTTCGAGAGGCCAAACACTGTTGACACGACCTCCGGGCAGGCTCCATGCCGGTGACGATGTTAAGATGCTCATGACAGTTCCCTGGCGCCCAATGAGACTCAGTCGCTGAATACAATCGCCACGAGTAGATAGATACTCGGATGCGTTCTTATCAAGCCGGGTCGGTCTCTTGCGAACTCGAGCACTTCGGATGATGCGCAACGTACTCCACCTGCCCTGGACTTTGAATCGTTGTCAGCGATTAAAAATGCAGCTGCAATGCCGGTAGCCGTATGCCAATATCCTGCAGGCGCGAGGGACGAATCCAGAGTGTACAGCACTCACAACGCAAACGCGCCATTGCAGTTCCGACATACGTGGGAGGCCCGGGCCCGACAACGAGGCAGGTCACTTCAACAGAGCTGCCGTTGACATCATTGCACTTAGGGACAGCAAAGATAAGGACAATGGAAGCAACGACCGTGGAACAGCTGGCACATTGCCTCGGGCTGTCCATGCCGTATATTTGAACCAGAATGTAGACACAGCGTCTGCAGTCGGCGTTGCCTCGAGGCGGTCGTGACCTTCCGTGTTGGAGTGGGATCTACTGTCCGTCTTGAGCAGCGTCAATATTGACTCGGAGGTATAAATGGGGGTCTACTCATGGGAAATCCTCCAGGGTCAACAGCTGCTCTGACCGATACTGCTACATATCCGAAATGCAGCTGCTCCGCCTCGCCGCCAGTCTCGTCGCCATCGCTGCATTCACCGCGATGACGGTGAACGCACACCCTGTACCTGGTAAGTTCTGCAGCTGTGCACACACCGCTCATCCTCCATACTCACTTCCCGACGGTATAGAACCCGTTGACGGCGAGTCCCATCGATGTTGTTCGGCATTGGCAACGACGAAACTGATCGCGACCGAAACATTCTGCAGGGGCGTGCTGCAACCCTGCATATGGCTTAAGCGATGACGTAGCCGACTATTAGTCGCTTCACACCTTCAGTGCGACGTAATTATATGAATGTGCTTACGCGCCGTGTACGTTTCGCGAGTAGTGGAATGTTCATCCAGTGGTCAGAGATGACATGTCTCATCTGCATGGCCCATTGTGAACGGATCGTGTCCTAGAGGGGTTAATTCTCGAAGCTGGCCAGCATGGAGTGAGGATGGCTGACGGACGACATACTATGGAGGGGGATCATACGTACCAGTAGAAGAGGCGTACCGAACACGCCCATCGCCGTCACTGAGACAGTGCACAGGTCGGCTCGGTACGAGAGCAAGTGCCGCGTCTTGTAGCCGGTCCCTAGCATAGTAATATATGGAAGAGGGTATCCATCGCTTTCTTCAATCCAGGAGGAGGGGAACGATGCCATTTGAATAGCCGCACATGTTGGGCGCGACGCGCCTGCACTGTGTGATTCTGTCAAGCGTTGCATACCGGCCAGTTGCCTACATTTTGTGGGAGGGGAAGGACAGACTAAGCAGCCGTACGTTACGTGAAACAGTCGATTCTGAGGTCGGGGTTGCGACTCGCGGGTATAAGATCGGGGCCGGGCTTGAGCCCCTCAGACGCGGACTAACGAGAAGGGCTTCGAAGGAGATACTTGGTTACCTCACATCTTGGAGTACGCATACGAACTCGGGGCGCACTATGCTCTGGTCAAGTATAGGTCACGGTCTCTGTTGTGATATGGATGCATTACTTGCCAAAGACGCGGACGCACCTGATTCAGACTTGGAAAGTCAACGTCTGCTAGTCTCATGCCACTTGGGCCGGCAGACCGTATCCGTCTCGTTCGCACGACACAACCTGTTAGCGACGTTGCATTGACACTGAGTCAATCCCGCAAGCTGGAGCGCACTGACGAGTGCGATACGCCCGTATCCGACACGGATTCGAGGGCTCGTATAGAACGGACACGGCTTGCGGATATGTGTCGCCGCTGTGACAGAATGGCAATGCAGTCCGAATCCGTTGCCAGTCAGTTTGAGAACAACTGACGGCCCACCTCATGATGAGGGCCACCGTCTGACAAGTTGGCTATGGATTGAATCAGAGCGAAGCGGAGGAGACCTTGAGTTTCGAGCCTTCGAAGGCCCGTGCAAGCGTATTCGCCGTCTATCAATGGTGCCAGTGCAGCATGGTGGCGTCCTGGTGTGGTGAGCTGAGACGGAGAAGCGGATATCGAATGTGGCGGCGTGTGGCTTGCGTGTGGCCGACAAGTCCCCGATTTGGAAATTGATGCGGTGTCGGATAAGTGGTTGGACGCGGAAATGCGGATGAACGGGGAAGGGATTGACGAGAACCGGAACGGCGACGACGACGACGGCTGCGACAACGCCCTGGCTGCCCATCTTCCGCGAGGCATATAAGCGGGCCTTGCGCTCTCTCTGCAGACCACCTATCCTCGCTTCCGAACGCAGCTGATCTCCTCAGAGTCCAACTCTTCATGGTCTCCGCCGTTCTACCCATCCCTCCCTCCGACGACCTGCGCAGGCCCAGCGTCGTCTCCTCTGCCACCACCTCCTATTTGACCGCACCCCAGCCGTCAACATCTCGGTCGTCTTCTATGCACAATCTGGGTCCTGCTGCTCCTCGTGATGCCGACGCGATGAATGCTCTGCACGCTCTTGCGCTGGCGTCGACGCAGGAGGTGCACATCGTCAAGCTCACCAACGACTCTGTCTCTCTCGAGCCAGCACCTGTTGGGGACAATGTGCTGCACAAAGTCGGTTCTTCTTCCCACCACGCTTCGGGCAGCACCGATTCGACCGTCGGACCTCCTCCGCCCTCGCCCCCGTCCAGTGTCGAGGGCGACGACGACGACGACATGATTCCTCCAGCCGTTGTGGCGACCAAGTCGGAGCCCATCTCCTCCCGTCCTGTAACGTTTGAGGATCCCGCACGCGAGCCTCGCCAGTCCTCGAGCGCCCGTACCTCCCCGAACATCCCCTTCGCTCGTCCACAGATACGCTCCTCGACAGAAACCAAGGGCTCGCTCACCATCACCGCCCCGCAGGGCACGCCTTTCCCTTCTTCCCCGCCGTCTCCCACCCACGCTCACACTTCGGCCGACGGCTTCCTACTAGCCCCACCATTGACGCCGTTGTCTCACAAACGGCGGAATACAACTGGCTCAAGTTCTCTGTCCTCTGTGAGCACGGCGGTTCCTACACGGACGAAGACATTGCACACACCAAACCCGGCACACGCGTACTCGTACTCGCATTCCCCCTCTCAATCACATGTGTACGACGGCGAGGAGGTCGCAGCCGCGGAGGGCCTTGAGTCCGAGATGCAGCAGCAGGCGGCACAGATCCGGCGAGAGCGCCAGTCGAAGCGGCAGGCGGAGAAGGCGAAGGCGCAACCGCAGGCCGAGGGCATGCTCACGCGGACGATGTCCATCGTCCGTGGGACGACGAGCCGGGGCGACGAAGCACCACTGGTCGGGAACCTGATCGGCGAGGAGCATGTGAACTATGTGCTCATGTACAACATGTTGACCGGCATCCGGACGTCTGTATCGCGGTGTCAGGCCAAGATGCGGCGGCCACTGACGGAAGACGATTATACTGCGGCGAACAAGTATTCATTTGACATGTGAGTGGCCGTATGGCTTTGAAGCGTACTCAATACTCATGTTTTTGCAGTGTCGGAAACGAGCTCACACCATCGGCGAAGTACGACTTCAAATTCAAAGACTACGCGCCATGGGTATTTCGGGAACTCCGGGAGCAATTCTTCTTCCTTGATCCCGCAGACTACCTCGTCAGCCTGACGTCGAAGTACATACTCTCCGAGTTGGGCTCACCAGGCAAGTCCGGATCGTTCTTCTATTTCTCCCGGGACTATCGCTTCATCATCAAGACGATCCACTACAACGAGCACAAGTTCCTCCGAGAGATCCTCCCCCTTTACTATGACCACGTCCGGACGAACCCGCATACATTGCTTAGCCGGTTCTACGGCCTGCACCGCGTGAAGCTCCCGCGGGGCGTAAGATCCACTTCGTCATCATGAACAATCTCTTCCCGCCCCACCGCGACATCCACGAGACGTATGATCTGAAGGGCTCGACGGTCGGGCGAGAGTACCCGGAGGACTGGGCGCGCGAGAACCCCCGCGCGACGCTCAAGGACCTCAACTGGATACACCGGGACAAGACGCTCGAGCTTGGCCCGGAGAAGCGCGCGCTCCTGACAGAGCAGCTCCGGAGGGACTCTGAGTTCCTCAAGCAGCTCGGCGTCATGGACTACAGTCTGCTCGTTGGCATCCACAACATGCGCCGCGGCAACAGGGACAACGTCCGGAGCAACACGTTGAAGGTCTTCTCGGTAAGTATACCCGCGTCCGACCAGATTGGTGTGGTGTTGACTGTATCTCGCCGCAGCCCGAAATGCACCACGTTCGGCGGAAACCGACACAAGTGAAGGGCCCCGGCTCGCCCGACGCGATCGCGATGCGTCGCATCATGCGCGAGTCGGATCCCAAGCGCCTCGGGAGCGCGACGCTGCGCCTGCCCGAGGAGGACACCACCGGCGACCGCCAGCACTTCCTGTTCTACCAGGACGAGGGCGGCCTGCGCGCGACGAACGACCAGAACGAGAACATGGACACGATCTACTACCTCGGCGTCATCGACATCCTCACCCCGTACAACACGAAGAAGAAGGTGGAGCACTTCTGGAAGGGCCTGTCGGCGGACAGGGTGAGTCCGCTCGTTGCGTGCGCTGCCCTCCACTCACGTGCTGATTATGTCGTTACAGCACAAGATCTCCCCTGTTCCTCCTCAGGAGTACGGTGATCGCTTCTTCTCGTTCATGAAGGCTATCATGCGCGGCGGCGAGGGTGGGTCCAAGTTCCTCTCGAAGGACAAGGTTGAGTAAGGCCCGCCGCCTCCCCCCACGGCTTGTCCTGTCTCCCTCGTGTACTTCTCCCGACTTTTCCTGGCTTTGGTGTTTAGACATTCAGTTCGGACATTCGCAGGCACTGTATACATTATCCACTATTTCTTAGGTGATACCCCGCACTAATAACGTCGCGGACCTAAACCTACACCGCGTTCACTGTCTTTACTTTGCGCTTTTGTTATCGCCGCCTCCGCCGGGCGGTGTATGTCACGTTCCTTCTAAGTGCCATGGACTTTCACCGCATGCCGCAATCCGTAGAGTATATACAATGTACTACATGTGCTGATATACAGACTGTCAATAAAGATATGCCGGTCTACACGATCACTGAGCTGCTGATGTGGTTACTCGTCGTCCTCTTCAACCTTGGGTGTCGCCTTCTTACGAGCTGTTGCGGAGCGGTGTACTTGAGCATTAATACCAGCATTTCATTGAATGGGGACGTACTTCTCCGAGTAGCACGCTTCTTGGCTGCAGCCTTCTTGCCCTCGACCCTCTTCTCGAACGCTTGGTCCTCTTCTCCCTGTCGCTTGTGCTCCTCGAGGATCTGCAGCAGCATGATCAGATCCTCGACAACAATGAAACTAACTGCAGAACGCACGCTCTCGAACTCATTCAGCTCTGCGTCCGGCTTGTTGGCTGATTTGTTCGCGCGAGCCTAGAAGACTGTCAGCCTGTATCCTGTCGGTCAAGGCGCAGAGCGAACCTTCGTGAGGATCTCCTGGAATCGCGCGAAGACGGTCTCCTCGTGTAACTTATCGCGGTAGAACTGCAGGCCCTCGATGAGCTTCTTGACCGAGCGCTCGGACTTGAATGGCAGGAGGGACAAGCAGAAGGCGATGTCCCGCCACTGGCGAGGGTCCTCCGTGAGTCGGAAGCGTTGACAGAGCTTCTCGACGATGTTCTCCGCTTGCTTCTCCTGCAGGGGTCGATGAGATTCGTGTGATACTGATAAGAAACGGCGAACTGACCTTCTCAATGAATGTGAAGATGTATCGCATGGTGCTTTGGAAGGAGGGCTCTTCAACAGCATGGGCGCCTACGGACAAATGACTGATCACTGTTGTAGCATCCGTTAGCATGGACCACCGCAATGTCGACCTCGCTTACCATCCGGAAGGTTGTTGTAGATAGCATTGTCCTTGGTAGACAGTTCCGAGAAGAACAGCTTCGCGAGATCGACTATCCGCTCATCCTCGTCTTCAAGGCACTTCGCCATTTCTCCCAGCTGTCCCTTCACCTTGATCATGCCGTTCAAGATAAGGTGGGTCAACACCATCAGCGTGTTCTTCTTGACGACGAGATCGATGTCGGAGAGGCCCTTGTAGAGTTCATTGCTGTTCTCGTCAACGATGTTGTTGAACGACACAGCGACGTCTCCGAGCGCAATCACGATATTGCTACGGATGTTTGGATCCTTTGACGTCTCAAGGATCTTGAAAAGTAGATGGTGGTGTTCATCGCAGAATTTGGAGCTGATACAGAGGAATTTGCTGAACGCCAGAGTCGCTGCTGCACGGAGGGTTCGATTCTAGGCGGTGTTCAGCGAGTGGAACGCAGAAAATACGTATCAGTATACCTTGAACTTGTGTGGACTACCGCATATATGCACTGTCATGGGTCCATAGATCGCCAATAGCGATTCCGGGCCATACAGCAGCTCGGATTCTCGGATGCCTGCTATCCTGTCACCGATCTCGTCTTCTGCGTTGCCAGCAACTTGATCCAACTCCTCTTGGTCCTTGGCTGCATTTGCCGCGCCACCCTTCTTGGCTGCTTTCTCCGCTGATATACGTTGAGCAGATGTAAACAAATGCCGAGCACACAGTACATACCCAGTTCTTTCTCGTGCTTTTGGCGCTTCCACTCGCGTTCTACCAGCTCGAGGTAGACAATGTGCTTAATAGCAACGTGGCCCACTACGAAGAGAAGCTGGCTGAGGACGAATGCGTCACCAGTGTCCTTGGACTCGTCTGACTGAGAGTCATTGGCCTGAGAGTTGTCCGCCTGCGAAGCGTTTGCTCCCTCATTCACGGTCTCTTGAGACTCATCCTCGTCCATAGCGTCAGGATCCTTCGGCTGAGGCGTCTTTGCGCGCGCCTGAGCAGCGAAGGCGCGCCGTGTGAGGTTTTTGATGATGGTATCGCAGACGACGTCCGGTCGCTCGCCCAGCGCGTAGATGGTGTTGATGGCTTGTTCTGTCATGCTGAACCAATCCTTCGACCGAGTTGGATGTTCGATCGCATCTTGCAGCTTGCGGAAGAGCGGGTTGTCCATGTCCAGTCGCAAAGACTTGTCCAGCAGTGACCCTTTTGGCACGACAGTCAGACGAATGCTGTATACGAGTGAATCAAGCTGTAGTCACCTTTGACTTTCTTCGCACTACCATTTAACCTCTGCAGAGCAACGCAGGTGTACTTCGCCAGTGTGAGATCCGCCTGGGGGATGATCAGTATCGCCTCCTGTTCGTGTTGGTACTAAATTTTATACCATTCCCAGCTTGCCCAACCCTGTTTTGACGAGTGTCTCTACACGATCTGCGACCACACCTCTCCGTGCAAGCGCAAGCATACCGAGGATGATGACGGCACCCCGCCGCTGTGGCCTCGGCAACGGTCGCTCCGAGCCTGCAAAAGTTACTTCATGGATGGCCGGACAAGAACAGTAATAATACTGACCATAGACTTGCCACAGTTTATTGATGACGTCCGTATGAACCTGATTGTCGTCCATGAGAATGCGCATCATTTCCTCCAAACTAGTCAGTTCAGCAAGCGTTGCTCCGTAGGTCAACCTGTGACACGGCCATGGACGTCACTGGGGAATGTCAAGTATGTAACAACATGGTCACTAACTCAATCATGTTCTTGGTGATGCGGTTGATGTTCCCCTTGGGGTCCAGATCTGCCACCGGGTCGAAGTACAGCTGGCGATAGCACTCAAGGAGACGTGAGCGAACACCTTTGAGCTCTTTGCCTTCGTCGGACGTTTGCGAGTTGTCTTTGGACCAGATCAAGTGCAGCATCCTCTTGATCCCAGCCTGCATCGGCGAAGAGGTCACCATATGGTCCGTTGCACCCTGTTGTCAAGAGCCTACCTCTGCACCTTCGAATTTGTAGTCATGAGCAGTCTTGAAGAAGTCCATCGCCTCCAAGACCTCGAGCTTGTTGGTCGAAGCGAGCAGTTTCTGCACCGTCTGCATGCCCTCCTCCACCTGGCGAATGTAGGTAAGACCTTCCGAGCAGTACTTCTTGCGTAGACGCAGGTGAAGGATCTTGTCGCCCTCCAGAGCAGCAAGAGCTTCCTGCTCATTGGTAAGAGCGACCATGTCGATCTCAGACTTGCGTGCTTTCTTCTTGGACTTCTTCTTTGGCGGGCGCGGCTGCTCATCATCCTCGTCCTCGTCCATGCGATCTTCCTCTTGATCTGCCCCTTCCTCTTCCTCGTCCACATCCATCTCGTCATCATCTTCGCTCTTGATTTTCTTCGAGCTGGATTGCGGGAATGAGTACACTTTCCTCAGCGATGGAGGACAAACGCATTCACCGCTTACGAGACTTGCGGCTTCGCTCACCATCCTCTTCCCCCTCTCCCCTACTTCCTCCTCCTCCTCTTGCTCCTCGTTCTCTTCTTCCTGGCTGCCTTCCCGCTCCGCAGCTCGCCCGACCACACCCTCCAACTCCTGCAGCTGTGCGCACACCTCCTTGTACCTAGCCTCCCACTCCAGCTGGTTCAGCTCCCCTCCGTACATCAGACCGTAGGGGTGCGTCTCGATCAGCCTCACGAGTAGGACCACCGACGCCTTGCGCACCGTCGCACCCTTGTCCTCGAGCGAGTCCACCGCAGCGCGCGTCATCGCGAGGCGCTGCTGCGGGAACTTCTGCTGCAGGTCGCACAGGCGGGTCATGACGGTCAGCACCTTGGTGCGGACGTAGGACGACACGTCGATCACGCGCTCGATGAGGAGCTCGAAGAGGCCCTCGAGCTGCTTGCGCGTTTGCTGGTCGTCGTTGGATGCTTCGGATGTGGCGGAGAGCTCGCGGATCAGGCAGCCGATGACTTCGACTATGGCCATGCGCATCGGGTAGGACTGGAGGAATGTGAGTGGACTGTTACGGACCAGGACGGGCGTACTCACTTCGGAGTCCAGGTGCCCGAGCAACAGACTGATTTGCTTCAGCACCGAGCGGGGTGTGTTCTCGGCGAGTCGCACAAGGAAGCGGGAGAACGCCCTGGGGCCCTTCGAGTCCTGTGCACTGAAGCTCTTCGCTGCTATTTCTCGCAGGATCTCGTCACCAAGTTGCGCGTGGTCGAACTCCTTGGCAAGGACAACGAGCAGGTCCGCCATCGGCTCCGAAAGGTGCTCGTAGTACTGCAGAGACTGCATGATGCTGATCTGCGCGGCGAGGCCATGGCCATGCGACTTGACAGCCAGACATATCACTTTGTAGACACCGGTGCGGATGTGGATGGACTTCATGTATTGTTCGCTCTCAGTAACGTGGTACGCTGGACGGGTGATACAGCTGCAGAGCATGTTAGAACGGGGACAAGGAGCGACATGTGGCGGAACACAGAGACAGCTTCCAGCGGAAGAAGATATGCATGTACTCACTTGATGAAAGTGTCGCGCTCACCAGTTGTCTGCCATATTCGTTGCGTCTTCAGTCGCAGCACCTTGCTGATCAGCGACAATGTTGGCGGGATTTGGTCTACCCACGTCCACTCTTCTGCGTTCCGTCTCGCCGCCGGTCTCGAGGTACCCGCCTTCCCCCCTCTCCCTCTCCGCGCCTTCGGGGCCGGTGCGGCAGCGCCGTCCTCTTCTCCGGGGCCCTTCACCTTCTCTGCTGCACCAACAAACCAATTCAACAGAAAGCCGTACATCTCCAGTGCCTTCTTGTGAGCCGCGATCGTCTGTTGGTCTTCCGTGTCCAAGTCCCGGTTGGTCGCTTCTACCTGCGCCTGAAAGCCTGAGGTGATCGAGTCGAGCATCTTGCTCATGAGCGGGCCAGGCAGCGTCTCCGCGTGTTTCAGCATACTGCGGTACGCATCGAAGACCTGGGGATCCGCGATAGCGTCGGACGACTCGGCGAGAGCCTCGACGGCATTCTCGAGGACGTGGGCGACCGAGCGGGCGTCGAGCGAAGGGATATCGTGTTCGTTGGGGATCTCGTAGTTGGCCAGGTCTTGCAGGCCCTGCAGCTCTTCTTGAAGCTCAAAGTCCATGGCGGCTCCGAGGTCGTCGACGCGTCGCCGCTTGTGTTGAAAGAACAACCGCGTAAACGCGGCCACGGTGTGCTAACGCGTCGGTCACATGGGCACGCGAATGTGACGTGAACGCGAGTCCGTCACGTCACGGTGGCGGAGGACGGGCTTGCTCAGCAGTCGCAGTCTTCCGCAGCCACATCCGTCTGGCGTTCCTTCACGATGGTATATCCACTGCGTCATTCTCTCAGAAAATGTCTTAACTGACAGCACGTCTCAGATCATCCCGGTGCGTTGTTTCTCCTGCGGAAAGGTCATCGGCGACAAATGGAATGGCTACCTGGAGATGTTGTCGAAGGACGTTAATGAAGGGTGCGTCTACCACTACATGACATTTATACCCAACTCAGTTTTGCGTCTACAGCGATGCGCTTGACCAGCTCCAGCTGAAAAGATATTGCTGTCGGCGCATGGTCCTCACGCACGTCGATCTCATCGAAAAGCTGCTCCATTACAACCGTGCGTCCGAACGATTCCGCCTTAGGTGCTCTTCTAATCGACTTCTTTTCTAGCTTACGAGCGCAACAAAGACAAGAGTGCTTATGCATAGATCTTGAGGCCGTGTACTTTATGTGTTGTACCATATATTCCTTGGTCGTTATTGAGTAGTTCGGCTTTTCAACTCTGCATTTTGCTGACATGCATGTCGTCCGCCCTCACCTGTCATCGCCAGTGGCTCATGTCTCCAGACACTTACCGGTCGGCCTAGGTATGCTTTACTGCTGGGTATTCAGGGATGTGATGTCGTGAGTGATCGTATTCTCTCCGACCGAGACTTCCCTCTTCCGATGCTGGACGGCAACATGGTGATGCACCTAACGATTAATGGTGTCCTTGTCCCCTCACTTGATCAAATGACGGGTCTATGCACGTCTCCGACTTTTTGCGGATCCTGTACCAGTATGCATGACACAACTAGTGCCATCATACCAAAATCTGAAATTTGCTCCGACGGAAACGCACAAACGACCTTCATCAACCATTGTCATACCCGATGTTGACATTGAGCTGCCATGGCTAATACACAACGACATTCGTCCTACTGCACATACGCAACGCCGTTCAGCTTCACGAAGAAGCGGTTCGAGTTCCAAAAATTCGTGCGCCATTCCAACAAATCAGGAACAGTTAGCCTCTGGCTACTAGGACCGCATGAGGACCCTTGCACCGCGAAGACGGCAGTAAGACAAACTACATCCGACTCCGTACGTCCGACCCACTCTTCCCTCGTGCACCTGGCCTGTCGGCGAGATTCTGAACCACAGACCTCTGATGAATGTACCACCACTCACGGCACACCGGCTCGCGTGCCAGTCGTGGTCCAAGCATTGATAGAGGGACCAGTCGTCAGCGTAAAACTCGCGCCAACCGGTGTTACCGCCACGATGTTGCCCGGGAACAACGTGGACGGCCTTGATCACTCAGACATCAAGACAGTGCCGATGAGGGACTGCCTCGCGCTGGGCCGCTGGCGAGAAGTGTGGGTCCGTACAGGCAGCCCGAGTACACCGCCAGTCGGTGGACCCAGCGCACAACGTACACGACCCGACTGGGCGCCGCCCGACTACGGCCGATCCAGTGGGAGTTGGTGGTGCATACAATTTCATGGCAGCGACGGAAGCAGACGGAAGCCGTGATCAGCGACCCCGTTGACTCGTGCGAGCATCACCTATCCATGCTTGACATGCCCGACCGACGCTGCAGCATCGGTCGATTCAGAACTCGTATGGCAACAGAGGGCTAGCCAGCCCCTCCATCTACGAGGTGTAGAAACGGCTCCAATAGGAAGACTTGTGAGTGGTGACGGAGGTCCGTGGTGTCTGCTCCGGACTGTTCAACGCGGCGTCAACGACTCGCAGGTCGTCGGCGACACGAATAGTGGGAGGCTGGCTAACTGGGGCCTGCTCGCAAGATAGAACAGCGGCGACACTGTCTGTACGTGGCAAGTGTCGCGGCCTCTGGATGGTGGGCGCACTGAGTGAAACAGGATTTGAAAGTTGAGACGGAGAATGATGCTGGCCTTATATGTCGCAGTTCTCCTTCCGATCACGTGGATTGCGCTGCACCTACGGGAGTGCGGACTACAGTTTCCTTGCAAGTTGCGTCGCTTTCACCGTCCTAGCAAATGTCGTATAAGGCCTCCAGCTGGTTCACAGAGGGCAGGAGAGGTCGCAATCTACCACGTGAGTGCTCCCGCTACCACAGGACTGAGTGTTGTTTCCGCTTCGGTCCTCGGACCAGTGTATGTACCAATAGGCGGTCACGCATACAGCGTATCGTCTTGCTTTTGACGCCTCCTCAGGTACATGGCAAACGCATGAGCGTTGGGGAAGAACTATTTCTGGCCGCCTATAGTGTTGTCTTCGTACCAAGCGCTCGTTGGATACAGGCGAACAGTTCGGACCCGGTGCTATCCTTGAGGCACGCCTCTTGTGTGCCTTGCTATTCACTCACTGTGCTTCCTCACCACCTCCAAGTGCGCGCCTCCTTCCGTCCTTCCATCGTTCTATTCTTGTCGCTGGTTGACTAGAATGCAACGAAGTGGAGCCGCTATATTTGACCGCACAGACACGTAGGTGATGACATACCTCAGCCACTGTCTCTGAGTTTCTCAACCTTCAGCGCAGGCGTATAAAACAATGGCGAATTCTACCAAACCACTCGCAACGCCGCCTTCGCCTCCCCAACGCTTCTCCGCCCACCGAACACCATGGTCGAACCTATCCGCGGCAACAAGGGTTCCAACATCGTCGGGCCTCGCAATCCCGACAGGGAACGCCAGAACCCCGACTCGATAGTGACCCCTCCGACCGACTGGGGCACCGTCCTCCACATGAAGTGGTCCTGGGCCGACTCGCACATGCGCCTCGAGGAGGGAGGCTGGGGGCGCGAGGTCACCGTCCGCGAGCTCCCGATGTCGCGCGACCTCGCCGCGACGAACATGCGCCTTGAGGAAGGCGCCGTGCGCGAACTCCACTGGCACAACGACTCGGAGTGGGCGTACATCCTGCAGGGCCGGGTGAGGATTACCGGCATCGACTATGGAGGGCTTTACTTTGAGGAGGACGTCGAGAAGGGTGACCTGTGGTTCTTCCCGCAGGGCGTCCCGCACTCGCTGCAGGGCCTAGAGGGCGGCTGCGAGTTCCTTCTGGTGTGCTGTTTTTTGTATCGTTCGCTTCGGTGTACTGACCTCCTGGTCACGCAGATCTTCGACGACGGCGAATCCTCCGAGTACAAGGCCTTCCAGCTCACAGACTGGTTGGCGCACACGCCGCGCGACATCCTCCGCAAGAACTTCAAGGTGCCCGAGTCCACGCTCGAGCACCTCCCCGCGCGCGAGAAGTTCATCTTCCGGTCGATCCTCTCTAAAAAGAGCACCGCGGACGAGGCGCAGCCCGGTGCGAATCCCACGCGCCGCAGGCTCACGCACAAGATGCTCGCGCAGGAGCCGATCAAAGTCCCCGGCGGCGAGGTGCGCATCACGGACAGCACGAACTTCCCTGTGACAACCATCAGCGCGGCGCACGTCGTCATCAACCCCGGCGCGCTGCGCGAGATGCACTGGCACCCATATGCGGACGAGGTGCGTTTCGACTTGGCGGTTCAAGTTGAGCCACTCCGGGCGCTCGGATTGCTGACGGGACGCCGCATACAGTGGTCGATGTTCCTGAGCGGGACGGCGAAGGTGACGGTGTTCACCGTGCAGGCGACGCGCACGTACAACTTCGTCGCGGGCGACGTCATGATCGTCCCGCGCAACTGCGGGCACTACATCGAGAACATCGGGGACGAGCCCATCGAGATGCTCGAGATCTTCAAGGCGCCGAAGTGAGTCTGCGTCGCGCCGTGCTCTTCGACCGTCTGGGAGTGGCAGGCTACTGACTCGGAGAACGCGACAGGTTTGAGGAGTTTTCGCTGAACCAGTGGCTCGCGGTCACCCCGCCGCACCTCGTTCAGGCGCATCTGAACGTTGGGGCAGAGTTCACGAAGGCTCTCGATAAGGGCCACACCCCGATTCGTGATGGGCATGTACCACAGTGAGTGCCGCCCACCTCCCAGGGTATCATGTAGGTTCTTACCCATACTCTTATCGTTTTCAGAGACACAGAACTTGCAGCGAAGAACGCCTCAGGGATACCTTCTGCGAAGCTGTGAGAGAGGCCGTATCGTGAGAAGGTACATACTAAAGAAGATGTAGGTGTATCTGTAATAAGTACTAGGATCCCTGGTTTGTGTCTTCTGGCTGTGTTCAGTGTCTGCGATACATATGCCCATCCTTGGCTCAGATATATAATGGCGCAGCGTCCTCCTGCACGACTCCCCACCTGGTTGCAGGCTGACCGCAGTCGACACGATGCAAAGTCACACAGTCATACCGCGGTAATTAAAGCGTCTTGACGAGCGTTAGCAGCGTATCTTTTTGTCCACACGGGGCTCGGCCCTCGCGGACAATACAGGGATTCATTAAGAAAAGCAGCGTAACCCGGCAGTCAGCATGTGGTTTATCGAAGACATCTCGCACGTATGTAACGTGTCACAGCATGCCTCTCCTATATACATGGCCCTGGTGCGTGCTCGAGCTCCCCTACTCCCCCCTCTTAGCTCCTTGTCCCCTCACTTGTGCAGGCTCATCGCTCGCGATCGCGCACATTGCCATCATGGAGGACAAGATCATGATCGCGTCCGATCACCAGCCTACCGTTGGTACCCTCCTAGTTCTGTAGGTTGCGCAAGCCCCACTCATATATTCACATAGCGTTCCTCTCCTCCCGTTGACGACATTCCACGCACACAAGTCGCGCAATGGCGTGCAGATGGGCAGACTGACGACGACGAATCGGGTGCCGATAGACGGAGCGGCGACGACTCGAGAAGACCTGCCTCTGTGCAGAGCAGCTTTCTATCGACCCCCGATGCTGATCGCTTTCCGATCGAGGTCTTCGAGAACATCATCGACCGAATGGACAACCAGTACACGTTGTATCAAGCGACGCAGGTTTGCGCGGCATGGTATCCTCGAGCCATGCGCAACCTTTACTACACCATCCATATCCGCAGACGCAGAAGTTTCGACATGTTGTCCACGCAGTTGCGTGCGTCTCCGCGTGTCAAGCAGTGGCTCGCAACCACGCGCGAGCTGCGAGTCGCAGATGATGATTTTGGTGGCGGTGGCAGAAATCCTCGCTTTCTTGATGCAGTACCCCCTGCCCTTGGCCGCGCAATGTCCAGAGTGCAGCGTCTTGCAATCAATAGGCTGCATAGAGACGTGCACATGACATTTTTCCCCGCCCTATCGCAGTTCTCGTCCATCGAGTCACTGGAACTCTCCTGGCGTTCGCTGAACCTCTCGCAGCTTCGGCGGATCATATATAAATTCCCTCGGCTTACAACACTCGCACTTATAGATATAACAGACACTCAACACTCCACTGTCAGCTCTGTGGGGGTTACATCCTTTCGCCCACCATCTGACATACATCTGCGTCGTCTTTCTATCAAGAATACTTTGAGCGGGAAAACCAAGGTCATCGACTGGATAGCGCAGTCAGGCCTCTGCATCTCCCTCGAGGACCTGACAGTCTGTGTTGATTGTAAATCCTCGCGGGAAGGCAATAATATTAGCGCACTCCTCAAAGCCGCAGGGTCTTCCTTAACTCGATTACAGTGTCACTGTTAAGCCTCACTCTTCCTTGCTCATTCGACTTCGCCGCTGACGCACATGCACAATCTAGATATCCACGGCGACCTAGTGCAGAATACCGCTTTGCGATCCTTGGATCTCGTTTTCCATCTCAGTGAGGCCGTAGAAAGAGTTGGGTCGCTCGACTCGGATGGGTCGCTCTATGCGATACTAGAGGACCAGTTATACGGCGTCCTCTCCACTGTCCGAAGCCACCAGCTCGAGCACATCGAGATCACGACTTCTGTTCACAGAAGCCTCTGGGGGTTTAGCTCTCTCATCGCGGCCGTCAAATCCGCCGTCATGTACGCCAATTCCCCCGGGTCACGGGCGCTACACAAGGTCATGAGCCAGCCGCGCTTCAACGCCCTGAAGAATGTCAAAGTGACGATACAGACGCAGCATAAGACGCTCGACATGAAGTTGGCTGATTCCAAGGATCTCGATCGTGCCGTGTTTCGGCAGCTTCTCCGGCCGTGGTCTGACCGCGGTATAATCAAACGCGTCAACGCGGCGTATACGCATACGTGTGCGAGTTGCTTTGCGTGAATAGGCAGACGTCTCACCTCCTCACTAGTCACTAGTGCTAGTCGTTTGTGCCTCATCGTTCTCGAGACATACTCCTTTGCTCCGATCGACTGTAACGGCGACGTTACACAAGGACACTTACCGACGCGATACTATGCGTCACGGACTTGACTGATCAGATAGCAATGGTCAATCTACTTAGTTACAATGGTCATTTTAGGCACTCACCTGCGCGGCCTCCTTCTCCCATCCAATATACATACAAGTACGGGCATGAACAAGGCGCACAAGGGGTTACCCTGGACTCGCGGAATCGGAGGCACTGCCTACGCCTGAGCCTGAACAGCAACGACCACACTAGTCAACTGCGTAGAGAGGCCTGAGTTGTAGGGACACAAGGACCGGGATACTAGCAAACTCACCTCACAGTTGACGTATTTCGGCTACGAATTCGTCGGCACTGCCTTCGGGTTCGGACGATAAACACCTTTACGCAGTACTTGTCCTTGGGCATGAAGCCCAGGTGCACCGGGGTGCTAACGATAGCTGAATAGTTTGCAATGACAGGCATAGTAGCTTCCCGCGCCCATACTTACTTACTGTATATTGCGTTTATTATGGCCGTGCGGATCGGGTCCTGTCAGGGTGTGCAGTTAGCACAGACACGCATAAGTACTCGTCGACCGTTCGGAAGGTACATGAAACTTGGTTTCGCTCGATGGGGGATTCGCATCGTCATGAGATGCCAGAGGTGAGTGACCTGCGAAGACATGGTCTGAGAGTGCACAATGACACCGGCCCGGCCCGGGGTGCGGTGTGGAGGCGGGGATGTGGTCTGGACAGACTGGACAGCTAATAAGTAAGATAGGCCCAACGCATTCTCGACTACATCACGTGTACCGGCTTTCGGCGCCTGTACGCCACTTTGGCTGGGAGCGGACACGAGAAACTAGCATAAAGAAATACAGCACCGAGATAACAAAAAAGTAGCACTGTCAGATTGGAGGACAGCACTTTCAAGAATATCTGACAGTTCACGAATTTCGCATTTCTCGGCCGCGTTCACTCGCGCAGCCAATGTCTTCGATATTAGCATTTACATGCTTATGTAATCTGGAATATACAATATACTGGCCGTCTCGTGGTCGTAATGCGCAGTGGCCTGCCCGACTGTGCTGTACTATGGCCCCACACAACAAAAGAGGTCGTGTTGGCCTACAGAACCTCGGGGCATATGCTCAGAAGCGGCCACGACTTGCTGTGGATGCAGGGAAGGAAAATGTGATGTAACTCCCTCGATGAATGAGACCAACTCGTTTGACTCACAGTTCCGAAACCACCTCAATTCTAGCTTGAGGCAGCACCCGGGCCCGAGCTAGACACAGTGTTGCATGAGCTACCGAAGACAACAATGGAGGTTTATGAAGACATGAGACATACCTTCGCTGAAATCACGCAGCCTACATGGACTGCTCAGTGCCAGTGGGCGAGTAAAAAATACCGAGGTCATCGTGTGCTGCCAAACAGCATCCTTGAAGAGCTTGAAACTGCTGGCATGGAGCGCGAGTAGCACAATTAAAAACATCTGTTGAATCTATATGACTGTGGCTCTAGTATAGTACAATCCGCCCATCCAATGTGTGCCCGCCGTCGAACATCGCCACCCTCGCTAAGTGCGCGTCAGTTAGGCCGAATGCGGACTTATCTCACTAAGGTTGGGGTTGGCATGCCCTTCACGTGCCGTCTTCCAGACGCCGATAGTAGTCGAGAATGCGTTGGGCCTATCTTACTTGATGACGGCTGCTCCAGACGTGAAACTAAGGTTCGGCCTCGAAGTGGACGGAGGGGTCAGGACACAGCACGAAGGTCCGCATGATAGCAAGACGTACGACTTCGGATGGCGAGTGTCTTGGACGACCTTCGAAGTGACACACGGCCCAGCCCTCGTCACCATCTTGGACGATCCATACCAGACGAAAATTGACATGTGCATTTTCGCCAGTCGCAAAGCCACAGGCATAGAGTAGAGAGCCTCGTAGACGTCAATAACGAGAAATATTTGCAGACCACTGTCGCGGACGAGTGAGGTCGCCATCACGCATCCCGCCGAGCTCGATCCGCCGCGATCAGCATCGAAGATCCGCTCTTCCCGATCAGGGCAACTTTGGGTCAAAAGGTCAAGCGCACGTCGCACGAACGTCCGCCACCGACGCCAGCGCCCGGCCAGCGCCGTCCGCCCGACGTCGGTCTTGACAGCAGCACCCATGGCCATGAGTTGCCCACGCATAGCGCGGAGCGCGACCTCCTTGAATTCTGCCATCCAACGTCTCCAAGAAGCGACGGCTCTCGGCCAGGACTTCGCTATTGCGAGCTAGTACTGGCGCGACGACTCGGAGTGGGCGAACTACATCTGCAGGGCCGCGTGAGGATCACGGGCATCGCATATGGAGAGCTGTACTTCGCGGAGGACGTCGAAACGAGTGACCTGTGATTCCTCTCGCAAGGCGTCCCGCACTCGCTGCATGGCCTAGAGGGAGGCTGTGAGTTCGTGCTGGTGTGTTGCCTTGCATCATTCGCTTTCGAGCACTCTCGTGCTGACCTCTTGACTCCGCAGATCCTCGACGATGGCGAATCCTCCGAATACAAAGCCTTCCAGCTCACAGACTGGTTGGCGCACACTCCGCGCGACATCCTCCGCAAGAACCTCAAGGTGCCTGAGTCCACGCTCGAACACCTCCCCGCGCGCGAGAAATTCATCTTCCGCTCGATCCTCTTCAGGCAAAGCACCTAGTGAATCGCGCCCTCTGTGCACAAACATGGGTCCGGCCGCTGGGGAGAGACTTTCAAGTCAGACATCCGCGGACGAGACGTAGTCCGGCGCGAACCCGACTCGCGGCAGGCTCACGCACAAGATGCTCGCGCAAGGGCCGATCATGGTCCCCGGTGGCGAGGTGCGCATCGCGGACAGCATGAACTTCCCGGTGACGACCGTTAGCGCGGCGCACGCCGTCATAAACCGCGGCGCGAGATGCACTGGCACCCGTATGCGGGTGAGGTGCGCTGTGGCTTCGGTTTCAGCTGCTCGGACTGCTGACGAGATGCCGCATACAGTGGTCGATGTTCCTGAGCGGGAAGGCGAAGGTGACGGTGTTCACCGTGCAGGCGACGCGCACGTACAATTTCGTCGCGAGCGACGTCATGATCGTCCCACACAACTGCAGGTACTACATCGAGAACATCGGGGGTGAGCCCATCGAGATGCTCGAGATCTTCAAGGCGCCAAAGTGAGTCTGCGTTCGATATTGGCCTTGCGGATTTCTGAACATGAGTTCGCATAGGTTTGAGGAGTTCTCGCTGAACCGGTGGCTCGCGGTCACCTCGTCGCACCTCGTTCAGGCGCATCTGAACGTCGGAGAAGAGTTTACGAAGGCCCTCGACAAAGGCCATACTCCGATTCGTGATGGTCATGTAGCACCGTGAGTGCTGCTTGCCTTGCCGGGCATTCTGCATCTTCGTGCTCACAACGTTTGCAGGGACACGGGGTATGCAGCGCGGAACGCCTCAGGGAAGCCCTCTGCGAAGCTCTGAGAGGCCGCGACGTGAGAACCCAAAGAAGACATAGACAAATCTGTGATACTAGTATCCCTGACCGCCTGCGGTCAGTGATTGCGATATGACCACCCTATCATAGGCACAGAAAGTCATAGCCACAATACGCATGCCACTCAATCGCGTATCGAGTCGGCGTTGGATCCGGGCAGCACCAAATGGGAGGATTGGTTGTTAGTGCAGCGTCTTGACGTTAGCAGGCAGCGTGACCCGACAGTCAGCGTGCGGTTATCGAAGAGATCACGGACACAGTGGCCCCCTCCTAGCCTTATACACGACCTTGATGCGTGCTCGAGGCTCCCTAGCTAATCGCGCTCTTCCTCATGCTGGCTCATCGCCCACGATCGGACGTGACTGTCCTCCGGGATGGCAATGTGAGCGATCACCAGTCCAGCGTTGGTACCTTCCGAGTTCTAGATGTTGCACGAGCTCGACTCATGCATTCACACAGCGTTTGTCTCCCGTTGACGACATGCCTCGAGCCATGCGCAACCTCTACTACGCCGTCCATATCTTGAGACGCAGACACTTCGACCTGTTGTTCAAGCAGTGTTGGGCTTCGCGTGTCAAGCAGTGGCTCGCAACCACGCGCGAGCTGCGACTCACGGAGGGTCGTCCCACCGGGGATGACAATGGCAGGAATACTTGCTTCCTTCATGCACTACCACTCGCCCTTGGCTGTGCTATGCCCAGAGTGCAGCTTCTTACAATCAGTGCACTGTGTGGTTACGTGCACATGTCATTTTTCCCTGCCCTATCGCGGTTCTCGTCCGTCGAGTCACTGGACCTGGCCTGGTGTTCGCTGAACCGCTCACAGCTTCAGCAGATCATTCTTTCTTTCCCCCTGCTTACGTCACTCACATTGAATGAGATTCGAATCACATCACACCACCCTGCTAGCTCTGTGGTGGTTACAGCCTTTCGCCCACCATCTGACATACACCTGCGCCATCTTCGTGTCTGTGCGCACTATAACCTCAGATTCTTCGACTGGATAGCGCAGTCAGGACTCTGCATCTCTCTCGAGCATCTGTCGATCAGTGTTCGTGAAGATTTGCCGCGGGAAAGCATGAACGCACTCCTCAAAACCGCAGGGTCCTCCTTGACTCGATTACTGACCCACGGTTAAGACTCCCTCTTTTGCTCATTCGACTTCGCCGCTGACGCAGATGCACAATGTAGAATCTTATGGCGACCTAGTGCACAATACCGCCTTACAGTCCTTGTATCTCCGTTTCCTTCTCAGGAAAGGTTTTGGCCCGACAAGACTATAACTGGGTTGAAGAGTTATACGGCAGCCTCTCCACTGTCCGAAGCCACCAGCTCGAGCACGTCGACATCGCTATTTCTGTTCACTCGAAATTCATTCCTCTCATGCTCCATCTTCAAGCGGGATACATCCGTCCTCGAGCGCGTCGATTTACGGGCTCTGCACGAGGCCATGAGCCAACCGCACTTCGACGCGCTGCAGGATGTCAATGTGAAGATGGATGCGTGGGATTCCGACGACCGCAGCTGTTACACCACTTTCAAGGGTAATAAGGATCTCGATGGGATGTTCGAGGCCGTATTTCGGAAGATTCTCCGGCCGTGGTCTGACCGCGGTATAATCAGGCGCTTTATCTGGGCAAAGATGGAGCACTAGACGTGAGCGACTTGCTTTGCGTGAATAGGCAGATGTCTCACCTCCTCACTGCTAGCCATTTGCGCCTCATCGTTCTCGAGACATACTACCTTGCTCCTTTGCTCCGATCGACTTGAACGACTCATAGGGACGCTGTATGGTATTGGAAATGGAACCTGTTGGCTTGCTATTAGTTGCTGTGTTACAGATACGGCGCGGCGCTGTGAGGCTGCAGATGGAGTCAGTCACCCACTGAGTAGACGAGCCATCAGCCATGTCCGAATCCACGAACCACAGATGCCTGTAGATTTTGAGCGGGACTGGCACGTGCCTCGGCGCCACGCCAGTGCGCCACTGGCAACGAGGAGGCTCGACAAAGGCTCGACGCTTGCACATTGACCGGCGACCGCGACCATGTACAGACTCTGAGCAAGATCCTTTTCTGTCTCTTCTCCACGACATCCAACGCTCTCCTTGCCATCATCATGAGTTTGTTGACCCTTAACGATGACATACTCCATATCATCGCCGACATGCTTTCCGCCGCGGAATGCCTCCCTCTCTCGTCGGTATCTCGCGATCTGCATGCAATCTCACGGCAGTATGTGTTCGCGTCGATCACTGTTCGTACCGCGGAACAGCTAGTCAAGATGCACGACCACCTCATCCATAACATCGACAATCGCCTGATCTGGCCTCGGGGATTGACTATCTATGGCCCAGCGGAAATGGCCCCCGCCGGGGAGGCTTCAGCCGTTAATGCGCTGGTAGGCATCCTCGAGCACGCACGGGAGTTGAAGGCTCTGGTACTCTTCAATTGCGAGGAGGCTATCTGCTGCAATACGCTGGTCGGAGAGCATTTGGCTGCACTGCCGAATCTCTCGGACGTAGGCCTGTGGGACGTCGGCACAAAAACACTCGATGTCCTACACAAAATGGCCAGCAGACCGGAGAGACTCAGAGTATGTCTGTCGCCGGCGAGGCTCGAACAGGATCGATTCTTAACACACATCGCTCGAACACCCGTGCTTAACAACGTCAAGGAGCTCATGCTCTATGGAGTCGATGGAGTCCCTCCGCTGCAGCTTGTTTTGAGTCTTGCCGGAGCCCATCCACAGGTAGAGATACTGCATCTCGGTAGCTGTGCCGTGCATCCCTGTCTCATGTTGTTTCCCAACATACGGAAGTTGACAACCCACAACTGCCAGTTCGACCCGCCAGTCCCTGGTCATTGCCCGGAGCAACGACACTTGGACTACTTGTCGGTCGAAGCCAACAGTCGACGTCGCACAGTGTCGGCCGTAGGTATCCAAAGCAATTACCTACGTCTATACACCAGGTGTCAGGGATTCGATCCTTCGGAAGTAGATCACGAACTTGTTTCCGCCGCCGCCGTGCTACAGTTGAGCTGGTACCGCGTTGGACGGCTGACCGGGTCCTGCATGGCATTGGCACAGACGATCTCAGCGAAACGATCAAGAATAAGGTACCTTGTCTTAACCATCGAAGACTCACATTCAGCGGTGACCCAGTGGATGGTACGTGATCCATTTACTCCGCATAATCCGTGTTTTCGATACTCATCTGCTCGTCAATATAGGCGAATATTCCGTCTTCGCTGTCGTCCTCGCAACTCTTTTGCATACGGGTTCATGTGACCCACCCAAATCATGAAACAGGACCATTGCGCGAAAGATGGCTAGACTTGCTGCAGCGACTGCAGAGCGTTCAAGTTGCTTCCGTACCCTCGCTCCGTTTCTATTTCCAGCATGTCGAGTGCCTTGATGATCAACGGAAATCCAGCGGCCCCTCGAAGACCACTTGGGGGCGGGTCGAGCGCGATGGCGGTGACCGCACGGTACGCCCGATCCCCAGTTGGCAGGGCGAGAGGATTCATCGCTACCTGCAGTCACCTGAGTTCTGTCGTACGTTACGATTTGACGGTGAGTTGCACGTTTATGGAGCGGTGGAGAAGGTGGCTTACCTTGGCATTCAGAGGAAGCAGCCCTGCAATACTCCGGCCGGTGACAGGGAGAGCTAGAAAGTCAAGTGAGCTTGGAGCCCGAGCATCGTACTGGGTATCTTCACATCTCGTATCATGACTTTTGTACAGACGACGGTTCGCCTCTGATCTCCAATCATGTATTTCACACCGTGGATGCGACTGACTGTACTACAAAGCTCTCAGGCTGACGCGTCGTGGGCATAAAGCCGACCAACGGCGGCATCTGGTTTGTGGCCATCTGCTCTCGGTGCCACATCGAGGGCTATGGTGTCTGCGTGATTCCTAGTCGGACTTGACCCGGATGTGTCCATCATCGTCACGGTAGTGGCATCGTTCGCCTCCGACACCGTTGTACTGACCTCCTGACTCCACAGACGGTGAATCCTCCGAGTAGGAAGCCTCCCAGCTCACTGACTGGTTGGCGTACACGCCGTGCGACATCCTCCGCAAGAACTTCCCGAAGTCCACGCTCGAGCACCTCCCCACGCGCGAGAAGTTCATCTTCCGGTCGATCCTCTTCAACAAGAGCACCGCGGACGAGATGCAGCCCTGCGCGAATCCCACTCGCCGCAGGCTCACGCACAATTGCACACGATGCTCGCGCAAGAGCCGATCAAGGTCCCCGGCGGCGAGGTGCGCATCGCGGACAACACGAACTTCCCGGTGACGACCGTTAGCGCGGCGCACGCCGTCATAAACCGCCGCGCGCGCGCGAGATGCACTAGCACCCGTATACGGATGAGGTGTGTGGTGACTTCGGTTTTGGCTGCTCGGACTACTGACGGGATGCCGCATACAATGGTCGATGTTCCTGAGCGGGAAGGCGAAGGTGACGGTGTTCACCGAGCAGGCGACGCGCAGGTACAACGTCGTCGCGGGCGGCGTCATGATCGTCCCACGCAATTACGGGCACTACATCGAGTATATCGGGGACGAACCCATCGAGATGCTTGAGATCTTCAAGGCGCCGAAGTGAGTCCGCGATCGATATTGGCTTTGCGGATATTTGAACATGAGTTCGCATAGGTTTGAGGAGTTATTGTTGAACCAGTGGCTCCCGGTCACCCCGCCGCACCTCGTTCAAGCGCATCTGACGACCGTCGAAGAAGGTTTTACGAAGGCTCTCGACAAAGGCCACACTCCGATTCGTGATGGTAATGTACCGAGGTGAGTTCTGCCTGGCACCTTCCAGGACATTCTCCGTGTTCTCAGTCACGACGTTTGCAGAGACACGGGGCATGCCGCGCGGAAGGCCACAGGGAAGCCTTCTGCGAAGCTCTGAGAGGCCGCGACGTGAGAAGCCACTGAAGACATAGATAATTCTGTAATACCAGTATCCCTGCGGTCAGTGATTGCGATATGACCACCCTATCATAGGCACAGACACTCACAGCCACAGTTGCGCATGCCTGATCAGCAGACGGCGTAGCCCGGCACTCAGCGTGCGGTTTATCAAAGAGATCTCGGACACAGTGCTACCCTCCTAGCCTTATACACGGCCTTGGTGTGTGCTCGAGGCTCCCCAGTTACTTGCGCTCTCACTCATGCTGGCCCATCGCCCACGATCGGACGTGATCGTCCTCCGGGATGGCAATGTGCGCGAGCACCAGCCTAGTGTTGGTACCTTCCGAATTATGTATGTTGCACAAGCTCGACTGATGCATATACACAGCGTTTGTCTCCTCCCGTTGATGACATGCCACCCGTACAAGTCGCGCAACGGGGTGCAGATGGGGAGACTTACGACGACAAATCGGGTGCCGACATACGACCCGGGAGCGACGACGACTCGAGAAGGCCTGTGCAGAGCAGCTTTCTATTGACCACCGAAGCTGCTCGCTTCCCGCTCGAGGTCTTCGAGAACATCATCGATGAAATGGACACCCAGAAGTTGCTTGCAGTGGCGGCGCGAATCTGCGCAGCATGGTACCCTCGAGCCATGCACAACCTCTACTACTACATCTTTATCCCGACACGCAAACGCTTTGACAAATTGTTCAAGAAGTGCTGGGCTTTTCCGCGTGTCCAGCAGTGGCTCGCAACCACGCGCGGGCTGCATGTCGCGGATGGGTACCCCTTTGTCCTCAACCATCATCGCTTTATTCATGCACTCCCCCTTGCCCTTGGCTGTGCAATGCCCAGAGTGCAGCTTCTTACAGTCTTAAGACTGTGTGGTTACGTGCACATGTCATTTTTCCCTGCCCTATCGCGGTTCTCGTCCGTCGAGTCACTGGAACTGTCTGAGTGTGAGCTGAGCCTCCCACAGCTTCAGCGGATCATACATTCCTTTCCCCTGCTTACATCACTCACATTGCACAAAATTCCAATCACTCCACTTCACACTGCCGGCCCTGTCTTTCGCTCACCATCTGGCATACGCCTGCGCTATCTTCATGTCGATCTTCGTATCAATAAGCCCCTACAACCCGATTTCATCGATTGGATAACCCAGTCAGGCCTCTGCACCTCTTTCGAGGATCTGGCAATCTGGAATGCAGCGTGCCCGCGGCAAAGCGTCATCGCACTCCTCAAAACGGCAGGGTCTTCCTTACCTCGATTACAGTCTCACTGTTAAGACTCCCTCTTCCTTGCTCATTCGACTTCGCCGCACGCGCATGCACCATGCAGACACCCATTGCGATCTAGTGCAGAATACCGCCTTGCGATCCTTGAACATCCGAATCGAAGATGTTAACCTCTTTGTAGAAGATCAGGAGCGTAACATGCCTCAAATAGCCAAGCTGTTACACGACGTTCTCTCCACTGTCCGAAGCCACCAGCTCGAGTACCTCGAGATCAAGATTTGGGTTGCCTGGGGCCCCCTCTTTGGATCTGTCAGACGAGGCATCGAATTAGCGGCCCTGCACGAGACCATGAGCCAGCCTCACTTCAACGCGCTGAAGGGTGTCAACGTGACGATGGTCATGCGGAATTTGCGGTGTAGGTACTTGGCTCGGGTCGAGGATGTCTGTCGGACGTTCGAGGCCTCGTTTCGGAGGTTGCTCCAGCCGTGGGATGACCGCGGTATTGTCAAGCGCGTCGCCCCCTGGACACGTACAGATAGAGTACCAGACGTAAGCGAGAAGTTGCTTTGCGTTATTCATTATGCAGATGAGTCTCACCTTTTCACTGCTAGCCGTTTGCGCTTCATGGTTCTCGAGACTCCTCCTTCAAGTTTGCTCCGACCGACAGGAATGACTCACGAAGCGCTCAGTTATAGTAGCACTGCTAGATATGTCGCGGCGTTGTGAGGCTGCAAATTGGAATCCGTAGATGGGACACGTCCACGAACTACCCTTTGTCACAACTGGGTCAATTATGTCTGTCATCGGCGGACTCGATAGATGCCTGTCGATTTTCTGAGACCCGGAAGCCTGGACAGGTACAATTGCCTTACGTGCCTCGAGCGCTGTGCTCCATAACAGTCCCGCCGTTTCGATGACGTTCCGCCTACAGCGGATATGGCGGTGCGATACGAAGTCTCAGATCTCAAGATCTCAACAGTGGCTACCATACAAGCCGCGCGAGGGGAACATAAGTCCTGGTACCCTGTGAGCAACTGGATAGCGGCTGCGGACAAGTGCTGTTTCACCAGGAGTGCTATTTGCCAGGTGCGTTGACCCTAAGTACTGAGACAGCATGCGGAGTCACGGCGTGCGACAGATGTTTTGTCCGATCGACTGTAAGGATCTACCGCCCTCTACCACCTCTTACTGACGAGGCGCACATAGATCTCACAACGTTGATTGCATTACAACGTCGACGACGAGTCACTAGAACATCCCCCATGTCGGTGAAGGTCACGGTATCCCACAGCCAGTTGGCAGGCAACAGCATTCCTCTGTCGGCCGATTCGTAACGATTAGTCTCCCCGTCAGTATTGGCAAACGATCACACTCGCCGTCTTCGGGGTCTACATTATCGAAATGTGAGCACGGACTCGGAGGATGAGCGGTACGTGTGCAGAACTCACCAGGCACAGGGTTTGCATTCGCCGCCGTCGCGGTGAATGCGGCGATGACGAGGAGGCTGGCAACGAGGCGGAGCAGTTGCATCTTGGCTCTGGGGTTTGAAGGGTCGCTCGGGGATGTGGACCTCCTTCGTGAACGAGTCTGCAGTTATACCGCGGCACTGGCGCTGCTCTGGCAGCCTGCGGGGGACAGACGCTGATCATGTCGAGTCAGAGGTGTCATGGAGAGTTCCAATTTATGTGGGCTGTCAATTCCGCAAGGCAACAGAACTGTGCATTTACGTACTGATGCAACGGCCCGGGCACGACTGTCATTGATCATGGTACAGTGCGACTTTACGATTATTCTGGCTGTTGCTGCCGCATCCGGACGCGCTCTAACATCTGGTATGTCTTTAATCCGCTGTTCTGAGAGTAACTGTGAGCTCTGGCCACGATCTGAATAGCTCCTACTCACATGGACGCGACAACTGCCAGCTCGCTGTGTATTTCGTTACGGACCAGGCCCCTAGTTTCGCCGTCGATGTGCCCACGTCAGAGCACGGCGATAACGTCCACAGTGACAGCTATCCGGATTAAACGCCACACACCTGAAGACGTTCTGATGTCTCGTATACAGTACTGGAAATAGACATGGGAAACGCACATATTTGACCGTACGGTATGCGATGTCCCTTTCTGGACAAATGCATATGCGGAGGAGGATGCATATTATGCGGAGTTGGAGGAGGGAAAGAATGGTGAATGGGCCGTCGTACCCACGCGTGCAGAACAGCGTCACTGAGGCGAGTTCGTTGGCTTCACGATGGACGCACATCGACAGCGCCGGAGCGGCCTCCTTGGGAGGCGCAGCCATGGTCGCAAATTTCGCGTACTCGCGCGTGGGGATGAGTTGAGGGAGCTAACTTCTTCAAACGAGTTTCTCGACCGATGAGACCATAAATTCATCTGCGGGACTTCTGCGCGAACTCGGAGGTTGCTCACCGGCACCGCCCACCGTTTCAGTTAAAGCTCCTGTGAACATTCAATGGATCATCGAACTAACAGAATGCAGTTACTCCCCGCAGAAGGAATACGCATCGTGCGTGACATACCTGAGGCCTCAAGGCCTCACGCTCAAGACTGGAATGCCTCCATCCTGGTTTACAGGAAACCACTAAACCCTGCCATTACGAGATCTACATACGGCTACAAACGACCTGCAAAGTCTCAGTCTAACCTAACCCAACCGCACAAGCCCGCCCCGAGAGCTCACTCACTCTTCGCCTGCCTCGCGACGCCTCCCCTGCCCGCGAAGCCCCACTCGATCTGGTGCGACTGCGTGACCGTCACGCCGAGGTCGTCCGCGAACGCCCACACCGTGCCGGGGTTCTTCTGGAACTGGCGCCCGACGAAGATGACGTCCGCCGCGCCCTCATCGAGCACGCCCTGCGCGAGTGCGCCCGTGTTGATCGTGCCCACCGCACCGACCAGGAGCTTCTCCCCGTGCGCCTTCTTCACCGCCGCGGAGAACGGCACCTGCAGGAGCTTGTGCTGCAGCTCCGGCGCGAGCTGGAACTTCTGCGCGGGGTGGATGCCCCCGGAGGAGACGTCGAGGAGGTCGACGCCGTGCGCGGGGAGGATCCCCGCGAGCCGGACGGTGTCTTCGTGGCTCCAGCGCTCGTTGGGGTGCGAGTCGTCGAGCCAGTCGGTGGCGGAGACGCTGTGATGCATGTGAGTGACGGATCAAACCCAGGACGAGGCGGGGAGACGTACCGAACGAAGAGAGGCGTCGTTGGCGGGATCGTCGCGCGGACGGCGTCGACGATCTCCAGGAGCAACCGGACGCGGTTCTCGAAGCTTCCTCCGTACTCGTCTGTGCGGTGGTTCGCGACCGGGGCCAGAAACTCACTGAGCAGGTACCCGTGCGCCGAGTGGATCTCGATCACGTCGAAGCCCGCCCTCAAGCTCCTCTTCGCCGCCTCCACAAACGCGTCCACGACGCGCTTGATGCCCGCGCGCGTGAGCTCCTTCGGCTCCGGGAACTGGTCGCTGAACGGGATCGCGGACGGGCCCCAGACGTCGTCCGGCCAGCCGCCGTCGCTGACGGGCGCGGAGAGGCCGCTGTGGATCCAGGGCGCGACGGTGGACGCCTTGCGGCCCGCGTGCGCGAGCTGGATGCCGATCTTCTGGTTCTGCGCGTGCGCGAACTGGACGACCTCCCGCCAGGCCTCCGCCTGCTCGTCGGTCCAGATGCCCGCGTCCTGGGGCGTGATGCGGCCCTCGGGCACGACGGCGGTCGCTTCGACGATGGTGAGGCCGGGCCCGCGTGTGAAGATGCCGCCGACTGGGAAGGGAAGGGGGGTGGTCAGGACGGCGCTTCTGGGCCTACGGTGCGCGATAAGGGACACTCACGGTGGGCGAACTGCCATGGCGTCACCTTGCCGTTCTCTGACGAGTACTGGCAGAGCGGGGAGAGGAAGATGCGGTTCTGGAACTCGACGCCGCGGATCTTGAGAGGCTTGAAGAGCGCCGGGATGGGCTTGCCATCGGGCTGCGGGTCGAGCGCAGTGCCCGCCGGAGGATACTGGGCGGGAGCAAAGTAAGGGACGTTAGGCGCAGGGGCGTTGATGTAGTTGTTGTTGTGGGCCATGGCGAGAGGGAAAATGGGATGTGTGGGGAAGACATCGCCTGGATAGCCCTGCTTTTATAGAGAGCGTTGCAGATTTGTTGAGCCAAGGATATGCTGGATGAGCCGGAGCCGGGAAGCAAGAGTGCCGCTTGGTTACTCATGTTCGTCGATTGGCAGAATCGATGTCCAGTAGAGCCGAAGGTTCTGGATAAGTCAGCAACGTAGGGCCGTCGTTACTCAGCAAAGAAAAATCACAGCACTGAGGGTCTACTTTGAGGCAAGTCTGGCGTGCTCCGGATGGAAAACAGGCAATAAGTTATCCTTCCGAGTCTGGCGTTCCACGAGAGACATAGATGTTAGAGATAGGCTCCCAGGGCGGTGGCCTCGAACCCTGTACAGTTCAGTGAGCGAGTCCGAGAGAGTCGGGACGACATCCTCAAGTCTCATCCATGTGGCGGATGCGGCGGAACTCTTCACCCGCACACACCATGTCTGCTGCTTACGTCACACTACCTCACGCTTCCTCTTCTGGTAGCCACCGTCCTGGTCCACCCAGGCTCATCTTGACATCTTCTACGACACGTGCATGGTCGTGTTACGAGACTCCTAGACTTCTACTTACAACCTCTCTTTCCGCGTACCACGCTGTGTTTGTGCGACGCAGAAACGCTCTCGCTCTGTCCATAGCCGTTACACAGAGGCCCGCACAGAATTGTGCGTTCGCAAGCGAGTCATGAGCCGCATCGGCGCGCTTACCGGACCACGAATGAGACTCGAAACTCCTTGCGAAGGACACCAGGAGAGACGTATCAAACTCTATGTCAGTATGCAAGCTGATGTCTCCCGGATGAGTTGTTGAAGCACCCCGAATGACTGGAACTTGAACTGACTACGGTTGCCCGATAGTCCGAGGCCGGGCATTTTGCACGACGCGCCTCAGCCACATCACCTCGGTCGTCTTCGCCAGCTCCATATCCTCAACAACTCACTCTACGCTTACCCTGCGGTCATAGCAGTGCGCTTGCTGCACTACACGCACCTGGAACAGTGAAATAGAGGGATTGGTAAGTTCCAATCGGCCCTCAAATTGCCTCAAAGCTTGACGAGCCCGGGAAGTGGTAAGCGCCCAACGGCGCCGCGATCGAACTGGAATGCACAAGTCTGGAGGATACCTCCACCTCCTTTTCTGGATAGACTCAGGGTAGGATAAGAGAGGTGCTTTCATGTGCAGAGGAAATATTGTATGGTGAGCTATTCATGCCCACTGTGTCCGCTACGCGTACGGCTCGAACGAGTCAGAACATCCCATGTCGACTCGAACAGCATTGCAAGGCAAGTAATTTGTCTGCGAAGTCACGTCCACCGTCATACTAAGCACGACGAGGGTAGGGGAGGCCCAATGGCATTTCAACGCCTATTCACGCGTCATGGCTGTGACAAGTGGGTGGTAGTGGACCTTTGTTAGCAGTAGTACTGTGCTGCAGGCCTTCGTGTACGTTCACGGAACCGAAATATATATCTTGTGTCTGGAACCATACATCTACTTATGTGTACATCAGCCCACCACCAGACATAGTGAGCATGCCAAATGCCTACACCGAGAGCCTCAGGAAGCCTTACAGTATTTCTACTGGGCCTGTCGGACGCTCAATACCGACTGTCATAGCATCCCATGATAATCTGCATACCTGTTCGACATCTCATGTACTTGTATCAACCAGCCATGCACCCTAGTCGTGTCCTCCAGACCTCGAATCCGAGCGAGTCGCGGCGCCGTTGGGCGCTTACCACTTCCCGGGCTCGTCAAGCTTTGAGGCAATTTGAGGGCCGATTGGAACTTACCAATCCCTCTATTTCACTGTTCCAGGTGCGTGTAGTGCAGCAAGCGCACTGCTATGACCGCAGGGTAAGCGAGTGAGTTGTTGAGGATATGGAGCTGGCGAAGACGACCGAGGTGATGTGGCTGAGGCGCGTCGTGCAAAACTCCTGGCCTCGGACTATCGGGCAACCGTAACTGACTGACATGATTATGTGACGTTTGCATCATGGTAAGCCACGATTTCGCTGCTTTGCTGGAGGATACATAATAGAGCATCTTACTAGTCTTCATTGCCGTCGCGTCATCGTTTGCTGACCACCCATTGGCGTTCGTAGGTCTCGGATCCGAGTGAGAAGGTCCTGTTTCGTAACGACACTGCATAGTCGAAACGCCTCGCGCCGGACCCACCAAGGTATCGGGGTTACTCTCCGTTCGAGCGCGAGGCACACGTAATTATCATCAGCACCCCGATCTCCACCTAGACCTGAATCCGGATTGTTGATGTCTGCTTGACCCCACCAGGACCCTTCAGCGGCTCGATCGTCGCCTTCTCCATACGATCCGCCCGTCCGTATCCTTTTTTCCATGCCACTGTCTCCAGCCAGAGCGCGACACCCATACCTATAAACTCACCGATTTCTGGGAATTGACTGCATACCAGGTTCCCTAGTCCTTCCTCCCTAACTGCCTAGCGAGCCGCCCTCTGACGATGTCGCAAAGCGCTCGCGCTAGGGATTGGGGAGCGAAGGATAAGGGGAAGGCCCCCGCATACAGTCACCCGCGCCGCGATGACCCAGATACAGACCAAGCGCCACGTCCGAAACACCTGCGCTTCCTCGTGCTCGACCTGGTCGAACCGCCATGGACCGCGCCAACGACAAAAGACCGCGGTGAGCGCCACCCTTCCTATGCACCCACCCGGCGCACCGACCTGACCGCCTCGCGCAGTTTCGGCCAGGCCGGATCCCGCGGACGACCTCGCGGCGAAAGTGTCTGACCTCCAGACGCACGTCGACCGCGTTCGGCGCACGCTGGGCTTGGGGTCGGGGTCGGGGTCGGTGCCCGAGGGAGAGATGCGCCGGGCAAAGGAGAAGCTACATGCGGCGATGCAGGGCGTGCGGAGCGTCGAGCAGGAGATGGACGCGCGGGTGAAGGGGAACGAGGCGAGGATATCGAGGATGGAGAAGAAACTGCTGGCAATGAGGAGGGCAGTGTAGTTGGCGCTGGTGAAGTACATCATGTTTGTTCGTTGGCTATCGTCCGTATTGACCTTTATCAAGTCCCAGCAGGGGCGCCGAAACGGCTCATGTTACTTTATTGATTCGCAGATGTTGTCTGCTGTATCTGCGGCAAATTGAAAGTTTCTCTATTCAAATGTCTGGTCCGGGTGTGTTATGTGCCCGTAAGAACATGCGGGACTACGGAAGAGCTGCGGAAGTAGTAATAGCCCCACTGATGGTAGGGTTATATGTGCGCCCCTAGAAGCGATCGCGACCGTCATGATACCAGCGACACAGACAGAACTACAACTGTATAACAAGTAAGTGAATAGCCTAGGAAAGTACAGTGCATTGAACCGCTCCGGCGATATTACTAATACGGTTGCAGCACCAACAGATAAAATTGGGATTCTGACGACCATCCCAGCATTGCCTAGGGAGGTCCATCAGAGTCGGGAATCAAGCCCGCCCCGGCCCTTTTTCGCGAGGTAAGTACTGTGTGGCCCGGAAGCATCGTTTGCTACTTACAAGTACTCCTCATCAGTGTATACGGTTCCGCAACTGCATTGATGTGACTAGTGGCTAGGGCACTTACCTTAGGACTCCGACGTTCCCTGTGCTATATCTATCCACTGGTATCGAAGTAACACCCGTCGCAATGCGCCTGATTTTCACAGGTCCTCATATCTAGAGATCATGCCGTACTCATATTATCTACTGCATCTTGTCAATGGCACTGACTCAAGTCATTTGTAGGGCGCTTTCAGCGGCGTAGCTGGCCTTCAGCTTCAACGACGGCATGCCGCGACCTGACAATGGGTTCATCCAGTTGCCGTCGATCCTGGTGGCTCGCTTCCTCCTCCGCGGAGCGAGCGACCGCATCGATGACTCAATCCGGTAGTGTTGGATGTCATCTGTTGCGCCCGCTGCGCATAGTCGCATCACAGGTAAGAATTCTCGAATGGGAAGGGGATGCATGTGTCAGCGGACCCATTGTATTCGTCCCCGGGAAGTCCATACGGTTGTCATGATACTGGCGATCCTCAGTGAGTAGCTACCTATCCACTGTACCGTTCATTTACTTGCGATCAGAACTCTGCGCAAGTCCAGGAAGCTGCTGGTGAGGAGAAGAAGGCGAGATGATGGTAAATATCCTGAGTGTGTACGATTGCATTCGTTTGTTGCGTTCTTGAGGAGCAGGATCGATGGCACACTAACCTTTTTCAAGGTCAACGAGCTTTACGAGGCATTGGTACATTCGGTAATCACGAGTTGCTGCCGACTTAATATTTACCTTGTCCGCCCCCTGATGTTGTGTGTATGCGGCACAATGCTACTCATCTATATGCTGTGGATACTCAACTACTCAGCTGCCGGTCACCAGGCTGTGAACTTGCAGCGATCATTGTGATTCGAGCCACTGCATTGATGTATACGTGACTACGGTGAGTAACAATCTGGGGGCAATACAACCAGGACTAATTCGCATCGACAAACTCAGAGAGCTAAATCTGTGGGCCAGAGTATTGCACGTTTTCTCTTCGCGAAAAAAAGTTCGTAGCAGTGAAGTTGGCGACAACTTGAAATGGTCCAATGTCCGTGGGGATGTCAGGATGGAGGCGGGTCCGAACTTGATAGGACATGCCTTCCTTCAGGACCCATTTCTCCTCACCCGGCCGAATTTGAATCGATTCTCCCTGCAACTCGATTATACTCTGCTCCAGTGACGGAAGCAGCTGACCGGGCGATGCTGCGGCGGCGTTTGGAGCAAGCCAGAGCTCATACACCGCTGGGCAATTTATCGCACGCCGCTGTCCGGATTCGTCTTGAGTCAGGTAGTCGAAACAGACTTCGTGATGTTCTGGATTCCCTCGCCATTGTCGGATGAAGTAATCCGTATCCGGTATCGTTTTGACCACAATACCAGATCCTGGGTCTGTCTCCATTTGTTGAGGTTTCATCTGGAGAACGTTTCGTATCAGGAGTTCGAGCCTTCGAATGCTCTGATATCTGGACCACTTACCCCGGTGACAACATCTGCCGATTGACTGAACCACGAATGGAGACTCTCTTCAATTGTCTCACGTGCTTCTTCTTCCGAGCAACCCAATTCTTGGATCTCATCCTGCAAGTTAGATGACAGCCATGCGTCGACCTGGCCTTGGCTGTCGTTGCGACCTCCCGGGTAGCCACCGTTCGCCAACATTGTGAATTTACTGAAATTATCTTCAACCTTGAGGTTGGGATACTGGTCGTGGATGAGTTGCCCGAAGTAGTCTCCCAATGATCCCGCGTTTAATTCGGGGGCTGCTGCCGGAATCAGTGAAGCAGTGAGCGGTGGTGATAATAGTCCGGATTCAAGATTCTGCGCAGTAGTACGGTCTTCTCTGAGCCGAGAACCCGTCCCCGTCGAGACAGCCTGAGGCGACGATCTCATACTACGGGATTGTGAAGGCCGTCCGGGCACCTGTCAGTGGAAGTAGACGTGTTATTTTAGTCGTAGAGTTACTGTGTCAATGCTGTATACGTACTGTGCGTGTATCATTATCGCTGGGCTGAGACATGGTTGAATCTGAGCAGGAAGGTGTATTCTTCAGTGGCTCGTATGAGGCGCATCAGGAAAAAGCTCTCCCGAGAATTGACGTGAACATACGATTATTCGTGATAATACCTGGAAGCTCTGTAATTAGTCCGTATTTAATTGCATTCACAAGCTCGCAGACAGTGGTCTCAGAATAATGCGCGAATGAGTAGTATTGTGGTACTAGTATAGATTATAAAAGTCGTGCGGGCTCTTGTATTGATTCAGATAATAAGTCTTACAGTTATCGAGAACATTCTCACTCGTCCAATGCACAGGTACTGGACCGCCCCACTTCGGATGTAAATGGACACTCCGTTCGAGCATTGCAAGTGGCACTACCGATGCTATCCTCTCAGGCCCCGTCAAAGCTTTGATCTTGTACATGTGATGATGACTGTCGGGAGCGGCCGCGAACTTGGAGAACCATTCGACGTAGACGAGGTGACGCGGACACTGTGGCGCAGTCCCTGGTGGGAACCATTGACGCAGTATCTTCTCTGGGAGTGAGAATATTACGCGGACGCGGCCCGCACGTGTATCTACAGCACAGTATCAGTGAAATGAAAAGACGAATGTATGACTGACACACCTGAAAGACCAATTCGACGGTCTGCTTCAAGTTGATCATCAACCCGCCGCACACGCACGAGCGCAGTATCGAAACGAGCAGGTATGAGGATCTCGCTATCATGCCCCAATTGCCGCGGTCGAGCATGTATAGAATCAAGAGTTTCCTTGCCATGGTGTTCGACGTTGCGGAACTTCGCCTTGTGGAATACCGGAAGTGTCGAGAAAGGGAATAGCATGTGCGCAGCTCGAGCCTCTACCTCATTGCGCGACAGGGAAGGATTGGTATGTTCGACGACGAAGCGAGCCAGAGCCGGTATGAGGAAACTCGCACCATAGCCATCAGGAGAGACGAGTTCAGCGATAGGGACGGCCTTACGGCTCGGATACTTCGTCATGACATGTTGGAGGGTACACGCCATGTCTGGCGGCCGCCACCGTACCACTCGACGCGCAGCAACTGCATCTTCATGACTGCCGTCCACACGTAGTAGGCGCCATTCGACATAGTTGGCGTGTTGAAGGACCTTCTCGCGGCGTTCGAGCCATCTTGTCATTTGAGGAAATTCATCCTTGTGGTTCGTCGCACGGTAGGCTTCTTTTGCGAAATCGATGTGGAGGCGCTCCGTCGCCTCCGTGTTGTAATTATCTGTTGTTCCATAGAGCTTGATTGCTCGGACGTAGTGGGTTAGCATGTGTAGCTTCGGGATGAGGAAATTACTACGAGCACCGAGCCGTATGAAAACGTCCTTCTTCGCATGGAACACAGAGAGCGAGCTCTCGAGTGCGGCGAGAGTTGCGCTCGAGTGCACGGAGTATTGCGACATGTAGAGGAAGTCCAGCAGCGCCGTCGTTGCACTGATCAGGTCTGCGGACTCGTCCCTTGGTAACGGAACATCGATCAGGAGGCCAAGGATGAAGCGAGCAATCTGCTTATGCTCAGTGCCTGTGACGCGCGATAGGCCGGAAACGCCTTTATGAAAAACGCGTATGCTATGATTCGGTGGCAGTCGCTTGACCCGCGCGTCGACCTCGTCCTTGCCAACGATATCTGTAATCCATGCGAGAACGTGCTTGATCACGCCTTGATGTAATTGGTGCAGGATGTCGGGCGTTATGGATCGGAAGATGTCGACGTAGGGGAGATGCTCCCAGAAGGGATGTTGGATGGGCTTGATGCCCGCGATGTTGCAGGCACGGTTGTAGTCGGCAGTACCGGCGAGATGGAGGGCAGCAAACACCTCATCAACATCACGAGGACTCGACAGACAAGGGTAATCCCCTAGTTCATCGTGTGGACACTTGCAAATAGGACAGTCTCCAGTGTAGGTTCCCGTAACGAGAACCTGTTCTGGATAGTCCCCGACGTACACCGCCAAGATAGGATGGCAGCGGCGCACTACCCCGTCGCCACTTGTCATCTCGATACCGTCGACGCCGGGCTGTCGAAGAGGCTCGAGTATCATAGAAAGGCAGGCGTGAAATACATTTGCCAGCGTCCGGCGGCGGGCAGCTTTGTTCGTGATGTGCTGCAGTCGGCCTGCTGGCAGGTACGCGAGAAGAATTTGACCACGATGCGAAGGCTTGCGGCGGATCTCCTTCGGCAGATTTCCTATGGTGAGGTACACTGGATATGCGGACTTGCTCCGAAACGTTGTGAGTTGGGTTTTATCGGAAGAGATGATGATGGGCATGACAGTCGCGCCAGGTCTCTCCTTCTCGAGAATTTTCTATCAGATCTGCTCAGCCGCAATACACTCGAGCACGCAAAGACTATAGCATACCTGTGTAGCCCACCACCACTCCCCGGTATCAAGATCGTGGTAGAGTCGCAGGGTGTGGTCGCCATCAGCATAGTGGCGCGCCGGAGCGAAACACAGGTATTGCGTGTGTTCCGGATCACCCCAGAGAGCACGCGCGCACTCGAGTATGTCGCGTTTGAACATGTCAAAGCGTTCGCCATTGATGGTGACTTCGAATTGGTGGAACATCGGGCGTTGGTTCGGTAACTGTTCGTCGATGATTTTGTTTAACCCATCGGAATTCTTGTAGGATAGCCCGAGCCGCTCACGGACCTATAGATACACAAGTGAGCCACGAAAATGAGCATAGGAAATCGCATGACAGACCTCGGGTATGGCGAGTAGATCGGAGAACGCTGTTGATCCAGAGCCGCGCAGTTTCGCCCAGCGTGCGATTTCCCAGTCCATCTTCGAGGCAAAAGGCGCATATGGATTTGCAGCCTTAGGATCGACAGTGCCCTCATACTCGGTGTAGCCTGCCTCGGGTGCTTGTCCAGACTCTGGCGGCACAGGAGCCCCAGCCGCGCCGCCAAATGGGACAACATACGCAGGTGCTCGACGGATCTGTTCGTGAGCATCGGGGTCCAGTCCACCAGGTGCGCCGCTCGGTCCTGCTTGCGAAGCATCATCAGGAACTTGCCCTTCAGCCATATCGTGTTCGTCGTCTGCGTTCGAGGCAGGAGATGAGCGAAGTGGCACCTCAGGAATCGGAGGTTGGAGCGGATGTCCATCGCGCTGGACCTCATTGCTCGGACGGAGAACATCACGGCCGACAGCATCTTCCTCAGATCCCTCGTCATCGCTCGACTCGTCCACCGGGTCGTGGTCGACATTGACGTGGTCCTCGGTGTCGCCATCATCCCGAGGAAACGGGAGATCTCCATGGCCATACTCCTCTGCAGAACCAAAGAAGTCCCCTTCGAATGCGGCCTGCTCATCCTCAGCATCAGCCTCTCCGGGAACACTGCTGGACTCTGAAGCTTCAGCTGCTGATCGACCTCGTGAGTGTGAACGTGCAGAACGCCTATGACTCGCGCGGCGAGTGGGATGGCGCATGGATTCTGCTTGCTGCCGGCGAGCGAGTTGACAAGCAGCATTCGTACTGGATTGGAGATGTTGGATGTATGTGCCGTGACGTGCGAAGGTACTTGTGCAGCCGTTGCACCTGTATGACATTCTGCGCTTGGGTAGATTACACGAGAATCTGTAGAGTCGTCATTGTACTGTACAGAGGGATAGAAGTTGCATGGCTTACCAATGTACAAAGTCGTAGGGATAGCAATGTTAGCCTGAGTGCAAGTCGCGGTGAGTGTTAGGCAGATCGATGTTCACCAAGAGGACGTACAGCTTCGTCAGCGTCACGAGCAACTGCTTGCCGAGTAATGCACGTATTTGCGCACGCGCCTAAGTATGCCAGCGCGACTCTCACCTGCACATCTCTGTGCAAGCCCTCTTTTCCTGCATCAGTCGTCAAACTTTCCTTCGATACGGACATTCATTTATTCTACTCACCAGTCATAATCTATCCCTCAACCGTCATTGCAGTCGTCCGAGTCTCGACTGACCAGACCTGGACTGCAATCATCCTGGTATGTCCTGACACTGGCATACATCTCGCAGCTGCCGTGTTGGTCTAGCGAGCCACTGATTCCTAGCTAACGTCCTATCATCAGCAATTGTGTCGAGTTGCTCATCAATTGACTTACCTGCTGGCGTGCGGTCATAGGGCTGGATGTCGTCAATTAGAGGGGTCGCTAAAAGTCGTGTTGGCCAGCGATCAAAGGTCGATATGGACGAGAGCGAACCTGAAGGTGTCCATGATGCAGAGCCCGACGTAAATTTAGGTTAGATCCAATGGTGTCTTTATGATCAGTGAGCTCACATCATATCAAAAGCGGGACGACCTACTCGTATTGCTGCTAAGACTGCTTCAGACGGTAAAGTTCATCGCCGTGTCTGTCACCTGAACTCGACTGACGCAACACACAGCATGGGCGTTGTACGTGAAGAAACAGGTCGATGACTCACCCAAGAAGACCATCACGCCAAAGCCAGCCACGAAGACCGTAGTGAGGAAACCAGCAGTGAAGATGCAGACGCAGGGCAAGTCAGAGCATATGGTACCTTATCGTACATCGCACTCACAGTTCCGAGTTACCCGTTTTAGCAAGCACTGGCGCCGACAAATCCGTGAAGACGCACAAGGATCCTAAGCGCAAGAGAGCCGAGTCTGTCAACACCAAGACCATCGACAAGGGTCCTAGTGACAAAGCGAAAGGTGACAAGGCAAACGGCGCGCAGAAAAGGCTGGAGACGGGGCAACAACCAAGCAAGAAGGCGAAAGTCAGCACTTCGCGACCAGTGATGTCCAAGAAGGGTGAGTCGGCCGTTTTGCAGAATATCCGAGTTCATTCACCATTGGGATGATACATCGTTACCCAGAGAGACCCCACAAGGCCGCCATCATCAATGACGGATCAGACTCTGACTCGCCAGTGCCACCACCACCACCACCGCAGCCCAGACGTGCCGGTGTTTCGCAGACCCAGGGGACCGGTACAAGTCGGCAGTCTGGCACTGCAGCTCACGAGAACGAAGAGTCATTTGATGATGACGGTGAAGACGTGACCCTCCAGGATGGTGCCGACAATCTTGTGGCTGAGGATTGCGATGAGGATGATGAGGTAGAGCCACGGGAAGAGTGTGACGACTTTGATTCAGAGGTGCGCCGTATACATCTCATGCCGAGGCCGCCTTTTGACTTGCCAATGGTCTGCCATCAGCGAGTGACAATCACGGGTTCCGGTGAGTCGACACTGACGCTGCACCGTTCATACCAGTGTTGCCGGATGGTGGCATACTAATGCGATCAATAGGCATGGAGTCGTCCGCCGAGCCTCTTGAAGACGTCGACTCAGATGATGTGCCAAGCACACATCCCTCTGGCTTGCAGTCGTCAAGAGGATCACGTTCATCGAGTGTCGCCTCACTATATGCCACAGAGCCGCCAACCACCGACGAAGACTACGTCATGCACGAGTCTGTGAACAGCGACGATGAGGCAGTGCCCGCTCCCAAGTTCAAATCGGCCCCAGGCAACCGTGAGACGCGCAAGTCGGACTATGCAACCTCGTCTGCTTCTGGTGCTCCTGAGCTGAGTGACGAGGAGTCCGATGACCCAGTTGTAGTACCGCGTGGACAACAGCCCGGGAAGGTACGCTGTAGCTGCGAAATAAGCATATATGATTGCACGACTGACATGAATGCATTTCCTCAGCTCACAAAGAAGCAGAAAGCGAAGTTGAAGGCAGAAGTATGGCATTCGAAGCCATGTATACCGTATTGGCTGACGTAGAGCCTGTGTTAGGTGCCCGAGATCCGTCTGGCCCCGGTCGCTCTGAAGGCGAAAGCTCGCATGAAGTCTCGCCACCCTGGCTTGGTCCCAGCCAATGACACGGTCAAGACGATCAAGTGGCTTTCACGGACCGATATCGAGATCATCAGGCGCAAACACAGCGTCAAGATCGACATCAAGCCTCAGAGTGCTGTCATTATACAGCTCATTCACTTCAGCTACGGGTTTGGAGACCAAATGGTAGTTTTCGGCCGTGAAGAGGACCGGCAACTGAAGACTGCGGCGGACTTCAGTGACGTCAATAGTATGCTCACTCCACTCGAAAAGGACGGCCTTGATCGCATGGCATACGAGGCCCTTGTTCAGGCGGCAGATGGTCTCGGGTATGGCGGCCACGGAGACATTGCTCAGCGCCTGGAGATTGGATCGGATGAAGACTATGCCAAACCACTGAGGGCCTACGTCAGTTCATTTTGCGATTATACTGCTGATTACTAACTTGTATCTCCGAGGTCACAGGTTGCTCATCGACTTAGTCTGCTTCGGAGCGCGATCAAAAAAGCGATAACACCGTGCGTTGAACATTTCTTCCAGCTTGTCCATCATACAGAAGACGACTCTACCGTGCCCGACAAGGCCTCGCTTCTCAAAGAGATGGGCTACATCTACCCGTGGACATCGACAGTGCGTACGAATTATCCCCGCCGTGATCTGCTTCTGACGCAATGATCTCTGGAACTTATAGGATGGCTTTGATAGACGTGCTCTCTACGAGAGCCCGGTGATCAAGTCAGCAGTGCGCTCGGCTTTCTTCACCAATGCGCAGTATCACAATGTTGGACTGAGCAATAGCAACCTATTCTCGTCTTCGATGCAAGCCGCACCCTCAGAGTATGAGGTATCACGGGAAATGATAGCTTTGGCGATGACTGCTGTAAGTCCAGTGGTCACCATTGGCGCTTCTCTTGACTCGTTTTCGTTTTCCAGGTCGAGTCAGTGATATCAGACTCCAACCTCAACATGAGCAAAGCGTCTGAATTCGGCGCCCCGAGTGCACCTGCTTACCGTGAACATATCGCGCGCCTCACTGAATTCCGCCGCCAGCGGCCGACACGTTATCACCGCGTTATGCATGGTATATTCAAGGCTGCGACGTATGCATTTGATTCACTCACGGAGTCACCTGTCTTACCTGTTGTGTATACAGAGCCGGTCATGTCATGCACTCGAGCATGCGAATCGGTGGCACAAGCATTGACTGGGAGGACATACCCGACGAGTAGATTCGGAGATTCCATACATAATTCCATATCATTCCGAGTGCTTTGCACAGTACTTAATTGCTCTCGAGTCGCTTTCGTCGCATTCCATAGTTTATCGCCCAATGCATCTAATGTTACTCAGTCTCAATTTGTGCTGTCTCCGAACTGTCATAGCATCTGGGGAATATGCTAGCAACGTAGTACTCCGAGTCAATGAGACAGTAATGGTGGGTTATGCTCCGGAATGCACCATATTATGTATCCATTCGTACTTCAAAGAGAGGAGACTAGCTAACAAAAGCTATTCTCGAAAAACTCGGGAACATACGTCATTACTGTCGATTCCCCAGAATAACAATGTATTACGGCGCATTCACGAGAGGGTTTTTTCCTGATGCGAAGGTGATGCTCGAGCCTCAGGCCCTGTCCGAGCCTGCTTTTATATCATACTACAGTTACCCCAGTGACCTGTTTCATCACGATCATGCAAATGTTCAAGTTATGGACTGCAGCACGTACACAATTCCTACAGACTAGCGCTGTTGTTCCTCCGAGTCGTTCATTTGACCCTTGTGCTTTTGTTCCGATCATGGTTCTCTCAATTGACATGTGTTCCATTTGAAACCCGGACTATAAACTATTGTTCTACAACACGAGACCCCCGGGGCCGTTAGAGATCAATATGACTGAGTCACTGCTTGAACGTTTGAAAATTTGAACTCCGAGTTGCTGGCAGACTCGCCGTCACAATTAATTCGAGACACGTCTCACTCTGCGTGCCGTGCTGTAGAATAGCGCTCCACGATATTGTCTGTGCCTTCCCGTTCAATCAAGCTCTGAGTTCGTTCATGAACCACTCGCAAGGGCTACATTGTGAAGGCTTATGAATAAGACTGATAATAACATGGCTACCGGTAGTGATGTTGTTCCTGGCGCAGGCAATCATAGCCTAGTGATCACTCTCCTTTTTTTGTCTTTTTGAAACAGTAATTTCCTGTCCGACAGCGGCGAGTGTGCCACGGTACATCCTGCATGATATACTATCAAGTTGTGCACTAGAGTCTAGCGCTCGTTGTGCCTATATATTCTCGAACCATCGCACTACTAGCCGTCTTGCAATACTGTCATCGAACTCTTCTCACTCTCTTCTAACAAACGTTCGAAACGTACGAATTTGTGCTATGTCATTATCGCTGTTGACCGCTATCCTCACTGGCATTATGTACAGAACTACGCTGAACAGTCTACGATCGGAGCGAAGTGAACCCGATTAATTGAAATATATTGAACATGGCTCAACCTGCAAACAACCGAAGCATTTTCCTCGGATCTACTGGAAACCTCTTCCCACAACAAGTCGCAGCAGACATATACCTTCAGTCTGCTTTTGCACAGGCAGTGCCAATGTGGAGAGTTGCAACCGTATGTCTCAGTTGGGGCATGTCCGTTGTAACTACACAGCGGTCTCTGGATCAAGGCAACACTTGGGGGTTCATTTTCGTGCCGTGGCGTCCAAGAATACATGTACACGACCAAGGTATACGCCCTGTCCAGGTATTCATACCACACCCAATTGCCGGAGCACTGGCACATCAAGGACTGCCACCAATGGGACTATATAATATCAACGGCCAACTCATCATAGGGTGGCATAGTCCATGGCACCATCAAGTTGAAGTGACGAGCTTGTTGCCTCTGCCCCCCCATGAACTTCATTATCATACCCATGAACGCCGACGTGGCCATGAGCATCTGGTGGCACCTGCTATCATGAATGGCCCAGGTGCAAAGCACCACATCTTCCGCCGTTTGCACTATTCATCCCAAGTGCAAAATTTTCGTCGTGGAATCGACATAATCCAGTACTAGTAGATGCGACGATTGTGTTGTATTTCACTGCACCACTGCGCAAATGAATATACACAAATACCTTTCCTACCACACCACGTCGAGACTCGAGATCACACAGGTAAGCTGACACGCGTGTGACACATCCCGTGACGGCAGAGTTGATGTTCGAGTTCGGTACATCGATGACATGACCCTTGAGCCAATACCACTGTGACCCGCGGCGTCTGCTACCCTCACATTCCTCGTCGAAAGCTGCACGCCGGTTCCTATCGTCTAGTACCTGTTCGTCAACAACTGCTATTTTGCCATGGCAGCGTCTAGACGCGCGACGTCCAGAGTATGTCTCCTACCCCAGAAGGTTTAGATGCCTGACTCACAATGTACAGAACTCACAACGCTACCAACCGTATAAAGATGCCAATGACGGTGGCATTCGGGCAACTCGTTCAAGTTCTGCAGATCATGGAGCAAGTCGTCTCGTGGGGGTGGGATCAGCACCATCGCTGACTGCATCCTCTGCTGTGGCATCGGTCGAAAAAGAAGAAACATTGCGCGAGGGCCTTATCGAGATGGTCCGCAAGCTATATCCTGGGATCATCCCAAGGCACGACTATGACCTCTGTTTATTAGCAGAGGGCGACTACAAAGGCCCTCTGTCGAGTGAACAAGTCTATGCTTGGTTGGACGAATTCATTCGGGCCGACGCTACTCCCTATGCCGGGCAACCCTGCCCTTCTCTCAAAGAAGCTACCGCACTGGTCAATGTGGGCAGCGCGGAGTTCCTTGAGAAACCGTCATCTCTAGTGACCGGAGTACGTCTTGACTGGTGAACGTCGTCCGTGACATCAACTGACGCATCCCATGAGCTAGCGCAAACCTCGTCCTGGCGAGCGTAACGTCTTCGTTCGACCTATCCCCAACTGTGCCTACTCGATCCGGCTGTTCCCCGGCGTTTCCGACCACCACGAATTCTGCCTCGACTTCGTGCATACCAAGACAGGGAAGGCGACGAACTCGCCCTTCGAATGCGAGCTATGGTCAATGCCTGATCCGATCACGCCGTGGCTATCAAAACCACCGATGAAGCTCATGTCGCTCGAGAACTGCTTCGGTGTGCGGACGCCCGATATACGACCTGGCGAGGAGAAGTTCCTTCTCAAGGAGGGTGTGATGTACTTGCTGGTGCGTCCGGGAAAGCGGGCTGTCCACTTCACGGTTCCTATTCCTAGCAAGGCACCAGCTGAACTGGACGCCGATCCGCTTGATCTGCCGAGAACGTTCGATTGACGAGGTGTGTCGCTGCTTGGGCGCCATGGTCGACGCAAATGTCTTGTCCGTATTGCTGTCTACAATCGTAGTGAACAAACATGGAGCGTATACCCAGAACAATTCCATTGTCGTTGCCTTGACCTGTAGACGTCAGTGTTCCAAGTGATTTTGTTCATTTTCTCTGGTTGCCCTAGCTCGTTGCGCTACACACTTACATCATGAGATCGGTTTTGTTCATGAGCGTGATACCTCCGGGATTCATACAAAGCACAGCGCTAGTGCGGAAAGGTTTGTGTCAGGAGTTTGTGTCGAACCTACATAATGCCCTATACGGTGCTATACCGACGCAACTTACGACAGTACTTACAAGCGATGAAGCCGATGCCTCGCATTGCGCACCTGACAGTGAGTCGCATTACTCCCCATCGCACACAATCGCACCACAAGAAGTCCCGGGAATCTATGCATGATATTACTTTTGCTATGTATATAACATACGGTCGTGTGATGCGAACTACGGACTGAAACCGCACGTCGTGGAGCGTGTACAACATGAATAGAATCAGGGTCATGTAAGACATGAATCGTCGAAGTAAGAAACACAAAAGAGTACACGGAGACGCACCGGCGCGCGAGCAACCAGCCAGACCAGTACCGCAGGTGTCGAGAGGGAGGCGGTGATACAGGGGTATACGCGAATTACAACGGATAGAAGGGACGACACCTGAGCCTTAGCCACGGCCAGCCACCAACACGTCGGCAGCCCACGTACTCTATGCAGCGGTGCGGGAGGGGTTGCGCGCAAGGGTCGCGCCCGCACGCTGGGCCTGGATGCTGCTGAAGCGTTGAAGCTCCTCCGGCTTCATCGAGACCTTGGTGCCGAAGCCGACCTTGCGGGCGGCGCGGCGGATGAACGACACACGGTTGGAGTAGAGGGACTCGTGGACGGAAGCCGCGCGAGACTGGGTGCGAGTCATGGGGACACCGGACGACTGGGCGATGGAAGCCTCCGCCATTGCGGCGTTGTGGCGGTTGCGAAGCTTCTTGATGATGGTGGCCTTCATCGCGAACTTGATCCAGTCGAGAGGGACGAACCAGATGATGTCCTGCAAACGCATGGGTTAGAGAATGGTGAGGGCCATGTTAACATGATCGGAAACGTACCCAAACCCAAACGATACCGACCCAACCACCGGAGATTCCGTGGATGTCAGTGAAGCCCCAGTCGGCGTACACAGCGATGATCGTCGACACGAGCTGCGCGATGCAGAACGCCACAAACAGTGCAACAGACGGCCTCTCCATGAAGAAGAAGCTGTGCGAACGTGTGACGAAGATGAGGGCCTGCGAGATGATGGCGACCTGGAGGTAGACAATCGAGTGAAGGACACGGTCGTTGTGGTTCGTCGCCTGCGTGAGCCCATTCTCGAACGTGACGCCGAATTTGTTGTAGAAGAACTCTGTCTTGATGCAAATAGCGACGAGGGCGATCGTGGACGCAGTGAGGTAGATACCGTAAGCGACGGCGTACGAGAAGATCTCGGCCAAGTCCCAGCTGTCAGGTGTGCTCGAGGGCAGAACACGGTCGACCGACAGAGTCATGATGGTACCGTCGTTGAGCAGGGCGATGATCAGGACCATGAACGGCGGGAAGTCGAATTTGAACGCGAAGGCCAGAATAGCGAAGCAGACGACGATACGGATCGTGACGGCGCAGGCGTAGATCGAGTAGTTGCGCATACGCTGGAAGATGACGCGCGATCCCCGGATGGCGTGCACGATGGTGGAAAGACCAGGCTCCGTCAAGACGATGTCGGCAGCGCCACGGGCAGCGTCGGTAGCGCCCTCGACGGCGATACCAACGTTAGCACGGGAGAGGGCGGGGGCGTCGTTCGCACCGTCACCAGTCATGGCAACCAAGTGACCAAGACCTTGGAGACGCTTGACGATCTCGTACTTGTGCTCGGGGAAGACGCCAGCGAAACCGTCGGCGTCGAGGATCATCGCGTCAAGCGACGCATGCTTGCCACCGGCCTCGGGACCGTCCTTGAGCACCTTAGCCGGGTACATGTGGTCACCGAGACCGAGACGACGACCGGTCTCCTTCGCGATGGCGAGCTGATCGCCGGTGACCATCTTGACCTTGACGCCGAGAAGCATGGCATCGTCGATCGTCTGCTTGGTGTCCGTACGAGGAGGGTCGAAGATAGGGAGAAGACCAATCAGCTCAAATCCGTTACCCTCACCCTCGAAGTCGTCACCCTCAACCTCCTCGTAAGCGACAGCGAGCGCACGCAGACCACGCGCGGCGAACTCCTCGACGTCAGCCTCGAGCTTGTTCTCCTGCTCCTCGGTTTTGTTACGCGAGCAGAGCTCGATGATGATACCGGTCATACCCTTGGTGACGCGCTTGAGGCGGCCAGTCGACTCCTCACGGTACGTGATCTCCGTACGCTTGTCGACAGGGTTGAAGGGCTTGAAGTCGAGCAGCTTGATACCAGAGCGCGCGCGAGTGGTGTCGGTGAGAGCGCCGACGACGCAAGAGTCGATAGCATCCTGGTTCTCGGTACGCGAAGCGTACGCGGCGAGAAGAATGACGTCCTCAGCGGAGAAGGGACCGTAAGTGCGGATAGTCTCGCGGTCGATGGTGAGCTTGTTCGTCGTGAGCGTACCGGTCTTGTCAGAGCACAGGATGGTGACGGCGGCAAGTTCCTCAATGGCAGTGATACGAGTGACGATAGCCTTGTACTTCGCGAGCTGCTGGGCGCCGACAGCCAGGGTGACGGACAACACAGTGGGCATGGCGATGGGGATACCGCCGATCAGGAGCACCAGGATGTCGTTGAGGCCACGACGGTAGTTGTAGCGGAAGCCGGCGTACAAGCAGAAGATCTCGGCGATGACGAAGATACCAATGGAGATCAGGCAGAAGGAGCCGATCTGCGCAAGAATCTTCTGCAAGTGACCGGTGGTGTCGTCGTCCTGACCGACGAGCGACGCGGCGCGACCGAAGAATGTGTTAGGACCGGTGGAGATGACGACACCTTCAGCCTCTCCCTGCTTGCAAGTCGAACCACTACACGCATACAATCAGTGTCCAATCAAATCGAAAACCAAACGAGACTCGAAACGTACGAGAAACACTGATCGCCAACCTTCTTGCTCTGAGGCAATGACTCGCCAGTGAGCGCAGCCTGGTCGATCGACACGTTGATGGACTCGGTCAGACGGCAGTCGGCGGGAACGATGTCACCGATCTTGAACGAAATCATGTCGCCAGGGACGAGATCCGCAGAATCGATCTCCTTCCATGAGCCAGCGCGCTTGACCTTGGCCTTGGGAGCGAGGGAGTCCATCAGCGCCTTGACGGCGTTACCAGCGTTGCGCTCTTCGTAGAAACCAATACCGGAGTTGATGAGCAGAAGGAGGATGATACCGACGAAGTCTTCCCAATCTGGCGGCTGGTGCTCGCCGTTCGAGAGAACAATAGCGACAAGCGCGGCACCCTCCATGACCCACGATAGCGGGTTCCACATGAACGACAAGAACTAATCACTGTGTAAGGATTGAAAAGGATGAGATAGAGGAGGAGGACGGACCTGGAGAAAAGCGTTCTGCTCCTCAGATTCGAGCCTGTTCGGGCCGAACAGCTCGAGACGACGAAGAACCTCCTCGTCAGACAAGCCATTGTCGTCGCACTGGAGGAGTCTGAAGACATCCTCCACGACGATGGTCTCGAGGTCGACCTTTTCCTTGTCATAAAGGTCTTCCGCGCGCAGTTGGATTTGCGACATGTCCACCTTGGCGTCTACGCAGACGCGTAAGGTCAAACTTCAACACACGACGCGTCAAATAGAGTGCACTTACGCGTAGCCTTCTCCTGCTCATGTCCAAAATCCTTGTACTCTCGCTTCCTCTTTTCAGGCTCCTCGGCAGGGATCTCGGGTTGGTTGGTATCCTTGACCGGCTCGGTCGAGCCGGCCTCCTTCTCAGTGGGGGACGACATGAGGAAGGGCAGATGGGAGGGCGGACGAGTAGGGAAAACCCCAACGATGTCGAGCGAGTTCGCTAGGGCGAAAACGAAGCGGCGAACGACACGGCTGGTGAGCGGATGGATGGGAGGGAGGACAGAGCGCCAGCCTCCCCCGCCGGCGGCTTATATTGGTTCGACCGACGGCCATATCACGCTGTCAACACGCCCAAACACCGTCAGCCACCCCCGTCATCCAGCGGACCCAAACGCGTGCCGTCCCGCGTGCCGAGCGCCCCATCGGGCTCCTTTTCGCGCAGATCTGCCCGGCGCGCGGCACATTTCGCCAGGATCCTGGCCGATCGGCGCGTGCGCGGATTCTGCTGGGCTGCGAGTCGCTGCAGCTCCTGCGAGCCTCTCTGCCGCTCGTGGCCCGGAAGTCGACGGATCTTCGTCCGCATGCCCTCGCTCCGCAACGGTCGGGAGGAGGGCTGCCGCGTTCAGGGGTCCTCCTGCCCTCGCCGCTCCTTCTCGTGGAAGGACGCGTCGGACGACCTCGGTGCGTTTCATCCTCCAGCGGTCGCGCACAGTATCGCACCCATCAATCCACCGAGGAACACCCATCGGGCACGGACGAGCACTCCCCAGCTGCACACCGCTGCTCATCTGCCAAATTCGCCCTCGCCACCAATCAATGCCCCGTCAGTCACATAAGTCGTCGTGTACGTTGTCCTGCAGAGCGAGGCTGTAACCGGGCATCTACTCCTGCTGGCCTCCCCGTCCAATCCCTCTCCTGCCATCATGATCCCAGCCGCGCCTCGGCGGCCCCAATGATCATCAGCCACTCGCTTTCGGTCGACCCATCCGACTCAGGCCCATCCTGATGGGAATTGTGCCAATTATGACTGAGGCGCCCGGGCGATATGCTTCAATGACGGTGGACGACAGATAGGTACGCCCGCACTGCACTTGCGTTCTCATGTCGGCCTTCCGCGCAGTGGGCACTGAGCGGCGCCGCCCTGTGGCTCTCCTCCCGTCTTTCGCGCAAGTATGACCCGTCCGCACCCGTTTGCGACCGTACACCCGCTGCCATCCAGCGGCGTGCACAGCACCGGCGACGTCCTCTTGCACCCTAGCGCTCCTCGACGGCCCTCGTCCGAACAGCCGCCGCGCACACACGCTCGCTTTGCAGCACCGCCAACACATGGTGATATCATTTTTACGAAGCGCCTGCTTCCTCGCTTCAGCAATGAATTGATGCCGGTATGATGCTCTACGTCGATGCTTGTTACGTCTAGACTCCAGCCTGACTTTTCTGACCTCTCCGAAGAGTGGCCCCACTTCCTCGTACCTCGCTTGCCAGGGCCACGCCAGGAATTCCACGTATGTATATTCCCCACCGTTAATAACTTGCGCTCGAGGAACTCTCCCACTCCCGAGCGCACCGCACGCCATCGACTCATCACACGACCCCGTGAACCTGCACGACTCCAGCCAAGACCACAAGAACGCTTCCGCCTAACACAGACATACATTGGCAGCACATCTTGGACGTCGCCAACACTGCTTCTCGCTGCGCAAGAACTCTACTCGCCCTCTTGTCCCCGTCCTTCGCGCCTTGGCCGCAACCACGGAACCACCTCCCACCGTCCCCCGCACCCCATTGGCCGCGCGCACCCACCCAATCGCACGCCCGGTAAATTTCGCATTTCTTTCCCTTTTCGTCCGCGCATCCGAATCTGGCGTGCCGCGGCGGTAATCGGCATCAGATCGGACATCGCTGGGCTATTTTTAGGTCGGCGTGCCGGACTAAGGTTCTGGACCATGGACGCGCGAGACTGAAGCGGCGCGCCGTTCTGCCGCCGTGCGAGGCTCTCTAACGCCGCACGCTCTCCTGCCCGACGGCGACGGCCACAGGTATAATTGTGGAGTGTAGGGCCTCGCTCTCCTGGCGCCGCGGGTCTGTCCATGCTGTGTCTTTGGGTTCTGTGTCGTACAAGCTCGGAGAGGACGGTGAGTGGTGTGTTCGACAACGTTACTGCTTTTCGGAATACAGGTATGGCTGCAGGCGTGCCTCTCACCGCAGCGACCCTTCCAGGCTTTCCCTCAGCCCTTCACCCCGTCACAGATCCCAAAATACGATCGCTGGCGACTGGGGTTGAAATACGGACTGACACTACATTTAGATCGGCGCGCCCGCACGTCGGTCCTGAAATAGGAACGCAAGACATGCCAGGAGCCGACATACATACGGGGGCAGACACAGAGGCACGCGCGCCCGAAGGTGTTCGAAGCAGGCGTCGGGCGAGCCTGGGCTACAAACAACGGGCATACACCGACTCTATCGGGGCGCTCCGAATGGGGAATGGAACGTCCGAATACACAGCAAGTGCACACGTCCACCGCAGGACGCGAACTCGGTCTCGAAGTCATCGTCGAACCACCAGAGACGCGGCGCACGGACACGACACGACCTGGGTCGTGTCAGAGACCACGAATGACGAGGACAATGCCCCTTGGATCACGCCTTGATCACCGTGCACGCTCTACGCGACGCCGGGGGCGGACCCGCGCGCGACTCGCACTCGGGTCCGCTGGCGGCTTGCGATAATTGCTGTCACCAGGTCGATCGCGTGGCGATCTTCGTGCCGTTGTTGGTGATCATTGGGCGGGCAGGAATATGACGTAGGCTTTTCTATCCCTTATCCTCGACTGCTCGATTGACGTTCTGGAGCTTGAGGGCGACTTGGGCTGTTCGAGACGACCGGGACAGGTTCCTAGCCACAGCTACGGAAGATGCTAGCACCAGAAGAGGGACGGACGGGAGGCTGTAGACTGGCCGGAAGGAGACGGTCCTCATCGACATCAATCCATCACGACGGAGGTCTGCATGGAAGACGGGGCGCGGTAAGCTGCAGGCTGTGGACACCAGTGTGGAGGTACGTCCACGTGCTATCCGCGCATTATCAGCACCCTTTGCGTCAGTTCCTGCCTGTTGCCTATCCTCGTACGGAAGCGCAGCTGCGGGTGTAACGTGCGCGGCATCCATGTTCCAAGGCTCCAGGCTGGGAGCGGCCATCAACAACTGGGATGGGCAAAGCTGCGTTCCGAACGCCCATATCCGGAGGTACGCAGCACGGATGCGCAGTACGTTGCCGGCGTCCGTCATAACGTTACTCCCGACGAAACAGGTCTCGCGGATATCATGTAGTGCGGTGGACCGGCCAGTTGCGCAAAGACGGTCTTTATGCTGTACGGAATGCGGTCCGAAGGCTGCCCTGGACTACAGTCATGTACCTCCACTTCGGAAAATCGCCACTCTCGTGAAGGGCACCGCGGCACATACGACATGCGTCGACGATCTGTACCGTGCACGTCTTCAGTAAGTACTTACTTATAGTGTTGGAGAGCCATATACGTACTTCGGAAAGAGAGCGCTCTCGCTGAGTTCCGGAAGCCTGAAAAGTCCACTACGCCAGGTCTTCCGAATCACGACGAGAGTTCTGGAACAGGGTTCGATGTGCAGCATAGGCCGCCCTTGCATCCTTGCACGGCAACGTCATCAGTGTCCGAGCTGAGAAGACGCGACGGTGCGACGATCCTCGTAGATCCTGTTCTATCGCTCAGTCTGCGGCTGAAGAGAGGAGTAGGTTGGCCCGTATGAAGATCGACACCGTCTCTCGCCTCTTTCTCGAGTGTCCATTCGACTTCAGGCCTTCAGGCGTTGCGGTCAGCCGACGCATTAGCCGTCACGGCTGTGGAACATCGTTCACTCGCATTTGCTTCCGCCGGGCCGTCGTCTGCCCGCAAGGCAAGGCACGGTCGCAAGAATAGCGACACAGTCCTGGCCGCGCCGAGAGCCGTCGGTTGTTGGATGGGAGGAGGCCGCGCACCGGCGACTGGAGGGCGCAGCCGCTGTCAAGATCGACGTCGGGCGCCGCGCTGACAGTGACGTCGGTGGCGGACGTTCGCGCGTCTTGGCTTTTCGACCCAAAGCGGCCCTGATCGGGAAGGGCGCGGCGGATCGCGGCGGATCGGGCTCGGCGGGATGCGTGTGGGCGCCTCTCTCCCGGTCCGCGACGTCGTCTTCATTTCTCGTCGTTGACGTCTCTGTCTCTCCGCTCTGCTTATGCCTGTACATGGCTTTGCGACTGACGGCAATGCGCGTGTTCATTTCCGTCTGGTTGGATCGTTCAAGATGGCGACTAGGGCTGTGTGTCGCTTCGGAGGTCGTCCAAGACACTCGCCATCCGGGGTCGTCTTCCCGTCGTGCGTGTGTCTTTCATCCCTCGTGCTGTGTCCTCCGTCCGCACCTAGGCCGAACCGTGGTTTCACGTCCGAGACACCCGCCATTACACAACAGCTCAGATCACATCCCCTTCTCCACACCGCACCGGCCAAGACATCATACTCATCGCCGGACTCATCGTGCAGTCTCTGACCATCCCTTCGTAGGCACCACACCTCTCGCATCTCACGACGGTGCGACTCGCCTCCTACCGAGCGACACCAAGTTTCATGTACCTTCCGAACGGCCGACGAATGCTAAGTTATGCGTGTCTGTGCTGACTGCACACCCTGACCCGACCCGATCGGCACGGCTGCGGCACGATCGTAATAGACGCATTATATGGGCGCGGTACCAGGCCGGTCACGGTAAGCTACTTTGCCAGAGATAGCGCCCCGGTGTGTGGCTTGATGCCCAAGGACACCATAAAGGCGCAATCGTGTGGTTTTGGCGGCGTTTTCGCAGCCGAAATGCCTCAGCTGTGAGGTGAGTTCGCTAGTACCGTGATCCTTGTGTCCTTTATTCAGTTAACCATTACTGCGGTCGTTGCTGTCCAAGCACAGACGCAGGCAATGCCGCGAGTCCAACAGTCTAAGATAACCTTCTGTGCGGACCTACTTCATGCCCGTACTTATCTCGTAACTGGTTGCCGTCCAGGACACGCTTCCTCTGCTCAAGCACTTCCAGGCCAGACGCTGCTCAAGCACTTCCAGGCCAGACGGCTCGTGCCTCGCGATTGCAACGGAGCTTACATTCCAATGGCCGAGTCACAAGCTCCTGCGCCCGGCGAATACAGCTCAGCGTGAGTGTAGAGTTGTGCAGTATCCTACTATCTCCTTGACAGGCTGCCAGGACGCTCCTTCGCACGCTTCTAGGGTCGCTCTGGTGACAGAATAACATTATTTCTTTCGGACCATGAGTCTTGCTACCGGAGTCTCTCCTTTGTTTGTGGGAGTACTGATCGTGGTCTTCGCAACCCGTATCCGAGTCTCAGCGGGTGTGTATGGGTGTGTTGCTGCGGAGCAAGAGCGGTGTTTCACGGCCAACGCGGCGCATGGTGAGTCCGGCTTTCCACGCAAGTACAACAGTGCAACGTTGACCAGGAACCGGGACATCGCACTCTCCGCACGCCTTGAACGGACGGTCCGGTTGGTTTCTCAGGGTACGGCGGCCAAGCCAGAAGCGTCTCCGAGTCAAGTTCGTGCCATCTCATGCACATGTGCGAGTGTCGGGCTGAACGTCCAGTCCTTTCGCACAAAAGATTGGCGGAGCTGTGCTGTTGCCCTGCGAATGCGAAGGTCCGCTACTGTATCGCGTCCGGGGCACTGGATGAGGTTGAGCCGAGTTCATGGAGTCGTGTGAACACCGATTTGCGGCGCTGAGGAAGATGCGTGTCTGGTCGTACGAGCAGCAACCGCTCCCAGCGGCGTCGACAGCTGCTGTACCCAGTTTCCAGACCACAGTAGCTGATCCACGTGACGTTCATCTCATCATCCACCGACCCGCCCGCTGCCCGCACGGCGCAATGGATACGTCCACTTACACTCGGCCTCCGAGTCTGGGTGGCAGGATGATCGGATCCGAGGACGGTAAGCACTCATCTATCTTCTGTCGCCGTATTTCGACTTTGACGACCGGAGGCTTTACCCAGCGTCCCGAGCTACCGAGCTGTCGCCCAGACGACCTGCCCGTCTCCAGAGCGGAAATGCGACCGACAGCTACGTGGCAACGTAGCTGACACGACGTCGAAGATAGGATTCCCACCTTCGTCACGGAGGGCTATGTGTCCTTGATCTCCGCCCAGGCCAGTCGGTAGCACCACTGAAGTCGAACTGTCGAGTGCTGCATCAGCATCAACAGAGCGAGTTGCTCAAGAGTTGGCGTCTGTCGGGACCGGATGGATCGTTTGACAGCTAATTCCATTCATCATTTGTCGATGTCCGGGGCTGGTTTCTCAAGATGCCCAGTGTTCTGTTGACCGCTCGTCAACGGAGGTGTGGCTGACCATGGACGTGAGAAGGGTACGCCTGGCTGTCAAAGTAAATGCGCCATGTCTGATCGTGATCCCAGGAGTCAGCCCACGAAATGGCCCATCGCGTCCGACTACATGGTACGCTCTGATCAATATTCGTGCCAAACGTGCCCGTTGATCTTAACAGAGCGACGCGACGCCAAATCGCACCGCTTACATCTAAATCGACTCGTCACCAGTTTGCCAGCCCGACCGGTCAAGCTTCAAGGCGTATGTTTGCTATGTGCATACGTTCTCGCCTCGTCGAGACATCGGGGCATCTTCGGTTCGATGCTTGACATGGAGTACGTGCCGTGGGAGTCCGAATAGCTGTCATCCTGTCAGTACGTAGACGCATTGCTCTGGAACTGGTACATGGTTGAACTCCTTCAGGTTCCAGTAGCAGACGTGCATATAGCTGTCTCAGAACAGAGGATACGAGACACACCGAACGTGCGTCTCGACGTTGAATAATGACCACCCTTCCGCGCTTTGACCATGGTACGTAGCCGTCAAACTGCACCGTCCCTCCTACCATTTGATCGAATCAATACACGCACCTTCTGCAGCCGCCTGAGATGCCTCCTAACGCTCGTCTTCAACTAGTGCAGCGTCCATGACTTTTGATGCCGTCAGTCTCCGCCCTAGCCGTCAGCGCGTCAGCGCTCGACAGGGCCATTGCTGAGGTATAAAACCGAGGCCGCGCAAAGAATACCCCAGAGCTAAAAAAAAATCGCCTCTACAAGACCCAAGATGCAGTTGTCCCAGCTCGTCGCCGGCCTCAGCGCCATCGCTGCGTTTACCGCCTCGACAGTGTACGCAAACCCTGTGGCTGGTAAGGCTTCCGCACACAGAGCTCATCCTTCGTACTCACGCGTCGACGACTATGTAGATCCTTTGCCTGGCAAGTCTAGTCTGCGGTAGCGAAGCTCTCCATAACTAAAGCTTCTGCAGCTCCGACTTGCAGCTCCGCTAACTACGGGTTCGAAGGAGACGTGGCCGACACCTAGTTGTTTCGCGCTGGCCAGTGCCATATCAATCCTGTAATCCCAGTGTCATGAACGTGATGGGTGCTGTTGAGAAGACAATGTTGAGTAGCGGATCGTAGCCCTCGTATTCCACCAGGTCACGATCAGTTTCGCTTCCGATAGGTCCCCGAAACCCCGGTCCCAGTGAACATGTCTCTGTCATGTAAGTACACGCAAGGCGATTGTACCTGTCCAGGCTTCCGGGTCTCAGAAAATCGACAGGCATCTATGTATCGAGTCCGCCGATGGCAGACGTTGACCGAGTTGGGTCAAAGGGTGGTTCATGGACGTGGCCCGTCTACTGACTCCATTCGCAGCTTCACAGCGCTGCGCGGTATCTAGCAGTGCTGCTGTGACTTGGCCCTTTCAATCGTATCGTAAGCCAACAGGTTCAGTGTCCAAATACTACTACGAGTTGGACATGCGCAGTGACGGGTAGAGACGAGAGGAAAAGAAGGAGGAGTAGAGGGTGTCTCTATGTCTTATAGTACATAGGGTGTACCCAGGTGAAGCGTTTGATTGTACCGCGGTCAGACCACGGCCGGAGCAACCTCTGAAACATGGCCTCGAGCTCCTGACTGAAGGTTTCGGCCTCAGCCTGAGTCATCATGCCCATCACCCGCCCCATGTCCACCTTCACCTTGACATCCTTCAGCGCATTGAAGTGCGGCTGGCTCATGGTCTTGTGCAGGGCCCGTAAATCGACGCGTGCGGGGCTGGCAGCAAGGTAACTGGTCCAAACAAAGGTCTCGATCTCGAGGTGCTCGAGCTGGTGGCTTCGGACAGTGGAGAGAAGGCCGTGTAACTGGCTCGCTAGCCTGTTAATGTTATGCCCCTGATCTTCTGTCACTACGAGTTGGGCACTGTACCGAGCGAGACGGAGAACCAAGGATCGCAAGGCGGTATTATGCTCTAGGTCGCCGTGGAGATCTACATTGTGCGTGTGCGTCAGCGGTGGAGTCAAATGAACAAGCAAGAGGGAATCTTAACAGTCAGTCTCTAATCGAGTCAAGGAAGACCCAGCGGTTTTGAGGAGTGCGCTAACGCTTTCCCACAAGGATTCTTCATTGACCCAGACGGTCAGATCCTCGAGGGAGATGCAGAGGCCCGACTGCGCTATCCAGTCGATGAGTTTGGAGTTCTGCGAGCGCTCCTTGATACAAAGATAGCGCAGATGTATGTCATGTGGTGAGCGAAAGGATGTAGTCACCATAGGGCTGACAGTCTCATGTGGAACGATGCGAATCTTTTTCAGTGTGAGTGTTGTAAGTAGGGGGAAGGTATATATGATCCGCCGAAGCTGGGAAAGCTTCAGCGAACACCAGGACAGTTCCAGTGACTTGACGGACGAGAACTGCGATAGGGCAAGGTAAAATGTCGCGTGCACGTCACCACGCAGCCCTTTGAATGCAAGATGTTGCACTCTAGACATTGCGTGGCCAAGGGCAGGGGGTACTGCATGAAGAAAGCGAGGTTTTCCGCCACCGAGATCCATGACGATAAAATCATCCCAGCGATCATCGTCTGCGAGTCGCAGCTCGCGCGTGGTTGCGAGCCACTGCTTGACGTGCGGAGACGCGCGACACAGCTTGAACAACATGTCGAAGCGTTTGCGTGTGTCTATTTTGACGGTGTAGTAGAGGTTGCGTATGGCACGAGGATACCATGCCTTGCGGACTTGCGCCGCTGCAAGCAACGTGGACGCGTCGTCCATTTCATCGATGATGTCCTCGAAGACCTCGAACGGAAAGCGATCAGCAGAGGACAATAACAAGCTGCTCTGCACAGAGGCAGGTCGTCTCGAGGAGGAGGAGGAGTCGCTCCCGGATCGTCTATCGGGACCCGATTCGTCGTCGCAAGTCTGCCCATCTGCACGCCATTGCGCGATTTGTGTGGGTGCCATGTCGTCAACGGGAGGGGAAAAACGCTATGAGAATGCATGAGTGGGGTTTGCCCCAACATACGGAACTAGGAGGGTACCAACGGTAGACGGGTGATCGGGCGCGGTCATGATCATGTCCTCCATGGTGGCAATACGGTGCGCGATCGCGGGCGATGAGCCAGCACAAGGGGCTAGGGACCCTCGAGCACGCACCAAGGCCGTGTATTATATGGCGAGGAGGGGCTGTGTTCGATATCTCTTCGATAAACCACACGCTGACTGCCGAGTTACTATGCCTCTTTGAATCCCCTTATCGTCCGAGAGGGCCGAGCTCTATGTTGACAGAAGGTTAGCACGCTGCTGACGCTCGTCAAGACGCCGCAATGACCCCGGTAAGTATGACTGTGTGACTTTGCATCATGTCGATTGTGGTCAGCCTGCGACGAAGTGAGCGAGATCCTCCTATTTGGTCCTGCCTGGATTCAATGCCGGCTCGACACATGGTTGAGTGGCATACGTATTGTGACTGTGGGTGTCTGTGCCTATCATAGGGCGGCATATCGCAATCATTGAACACGAACGGAAGACACAAGCCAGGGATACTGGTATTACAGACACGCCTACTTACATCTTCCGCAGCAGCTTCTCACGTTAGTACTAGTACGGCCTCTCAGAGCTTCGCAGACGGCTTCCCTGAGGCGTTCTTCACTGCATGTCCCGCATTCCTGCAAACGTCGTGAGTAAGAACATGCAGAATGTCCCGGAAGGTGCCAGGAGGCACTCACTGCAGTACATGACCATCACGCATCGGAGTGTGACCTTTGCCGAGGGCCTTCGTGAACTCTTCCCCAACGTTCAGATGCGCCTGAACGAGGTGCAGCGGTGTGATCGCGAGCCACTGCTTGAGGGAGAACTCCTCAAACCTATGCGAACCCATGTTCAAGAAATCCGCAAAGTCAAGACCGTTGAGATAACGAACGCAGACTCACTTGGGCGACTTGAAGATCTCGAGCATCTCGATGGGGTATCCGATGCTCTCGATGTAGTGCCTGCAGTCGCGTGGGACGATAATGACGTCGCCCGCGACGAAGTTGCCGTTAACTTCGTCTTCCCGCTCAGGAACATCGACCACTGTATGCGGCATCCCATCAGCAATGCGAGCCTCCGGAGCAGCTCGACCACCAAGTTGGAACGCACCTCGTCCGCATACGGGTGTCAGTGAATTTTTTTCGCGCAGCGCGCCGGTGTTGATGACGACGTGCGCCGCGCTGATGGTCGTTACCGGGAAGTTTGTGCTGTCCACGACGCGCACCTCGCCGCCGGGGACTTTCGTCGGCTCTTGCGCGAGCATCTTGTGCGTGAGCCTGCGGCGAGTCGGGGTCGGGCCAGACTGCGTCCCGTCCGCGGTGCTTTTCTTGGAGAAGATTGAGCGGAAGATGAACTGCTCGCGCGCGGGGAGGTGCTCGAGCGTGGACTTGGGCACCTTGAAGTTCTTGCGGAGGATGTCGCGCGGCGTGTGCGCCAACCAGTCTGTGAGCTGGAAGGCTTTGTACTCGGATGATTTTCCGTCGCCGTTGAAGATCTGCAGAGTCAGGCGGTCAGTACAAGGGTGCTCGGAGGCGAACGAAGCAAAGCGACACACCAGCAGGAACTCGCAGCTGACTTCTAGGCCCTGCAGCGAATGCGGGACGCCTTGCGGGAAGGACCGCAAGTCGCTCTTCCCGACGTCCTCCTCGAAGTACAGCCCTCCATTAGTAGTCGATGCCCGTGATCCTCACATGGCCCTGCAGGATGTACGCCCACTCCGAGTCGTTGTACATTGCCAGTACTATATAGCTCGCAATAGCAAGGTCCTGACCGGCGGAGAGCCGTTGCTCGTTGGACATGTGGATGTGGATGGCAGAATCCAAGAAGGTCGCGCTCTGCACTAATATGCGCGGGCCGCTCAAGCTACCAAGCCTGCCGCCGCCGCTGCAGTCAAGATCGATGTTGGGCGCGCGGCGTTCACGTCGGTGGCGGACTTTCCAGTCGCGCGCGCGCGCTTGGCTTTTTGACTCAAAGTGACCCTGGGGAAGGGCGCTAGGGTCTTCGCGGTTAGTATTGTGATTATGCGATAGTAGGAGTCGGATAGGGTAATTTAGGAATAGGTAGTAGGGGTATGTTGGGTTTGGAGGTAGTACCTAGTGAACGCTGTCACACATCGAACACGTCTAGATGTCGTGACTAAATGAAATACCCTCCTCCTCCTCCTCCTCCTCCTCGTCGCGGCGGATCGGGCGCGGCGGGATTCGTGTGGGCAACGTTCACCCAGAGCGCGACAGTACTGTTACTGTACATACTTCGTCTGCATTTCTCGTCATTGACTACGAGACTCTCTCCACTCTATGATTGTGGCTTTGCGACTGGCGAAAATGCGCATGTTCATTTTAATTCTGGTCTGGATCATGATTCAGAATGGTGACTCAGGCTAAGGTTGTGTGTTGCTTCGAAGGTCGTCCAGGACACTCGCCATCCGGAGTCGTACGTCCTCCTTTCGTGCTGTGTCCTCCGCCAGCTTCGAGGCAGAACCTTAGATTCACGTCTGGAGCAGCCGTCATGAAAGATTTAGCAGTTCAGACCACATCTCCGTCTCCGCACAAGAGCATCCGACTCATCGCCGGTGTCGTCGTGCACTCTCTAGCAGCCGGTTTGTCAGCTCGACCGGTCAAGCTTCAAGGCGTGTGTAGTATGTGCACACGTTCTCGCCTCGCCTCGACATTGGTACATACTTGGTTCGATGCTTGACATGAACTATCTGACGTGGGGTCCGAACGGCTGTCATCCTGTACGTAGACGCATTGCTCTGGTTTTGGTACAAGGTCGAATTAAGCCATTCGGGTGCCAGTACAGGCTACTAGCTGTCTCAATACAGAGGCACAAGACACCGAACGTTCATCGTGACACTGAATAATGGTTGCCCTACCGCGACTTGACCATGGTACGTGGCCGTCAACTTGCACCCCGCCTTTTACCATCTGATCGAATCAATACACACATCCTCTGCAGCCGCCTGAGATACCTTGTAATGCTCGTCTGCTAGTAGTCAGCATCCATGATTTTCGATGCTGTTAGTGTCCGTCCTCACCGTCAGCGCTCAGCAGCACTATTGCCGAGGCATAGTAAAACGAGGTCGCACGAAGGACATCGCAGAGTCAACACAGAGTCACCTCCACAAGACCCAAGGTACAATTGTTCCAGTCGCTGGCCTCGTCGCCATCGCCGCTTTTACGGCCTCGATAGCGAAAGCAAATACCGTGGATGGTAAGGCTTCCGCACACAGAGTTCATCCTTCGTCTCGACCACTGTGCAGATCCTTTACCCGGCAAGTCCGGTCTGCGATAGCGAAGCTCTCCCTAAGTAAACATTCTGTAGCTCTGACTTGCTGCTCCGCTAACTACGGTTTCGAAGGAGACGTGGCAGAAGGCTAGTCGCTTCGCACCGGCCAGTGCTATAGCAATGTTTTTTATGTCCTGAACGCTCGGTGATGCATGCTGTTGCGAAGCCAATGTTGAGAAGCGGATCATAGCGCCCGAACAGGTCCGGGACGACCAGTCTCGAGGCTCCTACTCCGGAATCTCGGTCTTAGTGAACGTATCTGTCATATACGCGTCTTCGCGCCCGCGGTCGCTCTGTGCGAGACACTCATGTATCTCGTGCTGATAGCGTTCAGCGACCAGTGGCAGTAGGCGCTATGCCGGTGTAGGGCAGCCATTGCCGAGAAATCATATCGCAGCACCATACTCAGGCGGAACATCACCAAATCGGCGAGACGTTATGAAGCACGACGTTCGAGGTACGTAAGGCGATTGTAACTGTCCAGGCTTCCGGGTCTCAGAAATTCGACAGGCATCTATCGAGTCCGCCGATGGCCGATGCGTTGATCTAATTGTGTCAACAGGTGGTTTTGGACGTGGCCTGTCTACTGACTGCCTTTGCAGCCTCACAGCGCCGCGCTATATCCAGAATGCTGCTTTGAATTGGCGCCTCGTAAGCTAACAGTTCGGTTTCCAAATGCAATACAGCGTCCCTACGAGTCACCCGTCGGAGCAAGGGAGCATGTCTCGAGAACCATGAGACACAAGCGGCTAGCAGTGAGGAGGTGAGACATCTGCCTATTCACGCAAAGCAGCTCGCTCACGTCTACACTATATCGGTCCCCGGGTGAAGTGCTTGATTATACCGCGGTCAGACCACGGCTGGAGAACCTCCCGAAACATGGCCTCGAACTTCTGACGGACATCCTCGGCCTGAGCTTTGCTGGTGCTGTGGCAAGCCTGCGAAACCCGCAGGCACATCTTCACGCTGACATCTTTCAGCGCGTTGAAGTGCGGCTGGCTCATGGTCTCGTGCAGGGCCCGTAAATCGACGCGCTCGAGGGTGGGTGCAGAGAGGTGGTCCATGTGAAATCCAGGGAGGATCTCGATGTGCTCGAGCTGGTGGCTTCGGACAGTGGAGAGGATATCGTGGGACCTGCGCGCTACTATGTTCATCGCATCCCCCTGATCTTGCGCTTTGAGATCGAGACCATAGAAATCGAGAACCAAGGATCGCAAGGCGGTATTATGCACTAGGTCGCAAATGAAATCTACATTGTGCATCTGCGTCAGCGGCAAAATCGAATGAGCGAGGAAAGCGGTGTCTTAACAGTCAGTCCGTAATCGTGTCAAGAAAGACCCTGCGGTTTTGAGGAGTACGCCAACGCTTGGCTGCGAGAAGTCAGTAGTCCAGAGTGTCAGATCCTCGAGGAAGATGCAGAGGCCTGATTGCGCTATCCAGTCGAGGGATATGGGTGTCCAATGCATATCGACAAGAAGATGGCGTATATGTATGTCAGATGGTGTACCAAAGGATGTAGCCTCCACTTCATAGCTGATAGTCTTGTGTTTAGCAATTCCGTACAGTACGAGTCTTGAAAGCTGGGGGAAGGTATATATGATGCGCCGAAGCTGTGAGAGGTTCAGCGAACACAAGGAAAGTTCCAGTGACTCGACGGACGAGAACTGCGATAGGGCAAGGAAGAATGTCTCGTGCATCATGTCACAACGCAGCCCACAGATTGCAAGACACTGCACTCTGGACAATGCGTGGCCGAGGGCAGGGGGGAATGCATGAAGAAAGTGAGGGTTTTTCCGACCGACAACGTTGGGGGTAGTATCGTCCGTGACTCGCAGCTCGCGGGTGGTTGCGAGCCACTGCTTGACACGCAGAGACGCGCGGCACTGCTTGAACAACATGTCGAAGCGTCTGCGTGTGCTAATTTCGACGGTGTAGTAGAGGTTGCGCATGGCTCGAGGGTACCATGCTGCACAGACCTGCGCCGCTGCAGGCAATGTGTCGTTGTGCATTTGGTCGATGATGTCCTCGAAGATTTCGAGTGGAAAGCGAGTAGCGTCGGGGATCAACAGCAAGCTGCTCTGCACAGAGGCACGTCTTCTCGAGTCGTCGTCGCTCCGTCTATCGGCACCCGATTCGTCGTCGTAAGTCTGCCCATCTGCACCCCGTATCGCGACTGGTGTGGGTGCCATGTCGTCTAAGGGAGGAGACAAACGCTGTTTGAATGCATCAGTCGAGCTTGTGCAACATACAGAACTCAAAAGGTACCAACGCCAGACTGGTGATCGCGCACATTGCCATCCCGGAGGACGATCACGTCCGATCGTGGGCGATGAGCTAGCATGAGTGAGAACGCAAGTAGCTAGGGGGGCTCGAGCACGCACCAAGGCCGTGTATAAGGCTAGGAGGGGAGCACTGTGTCCGAGATCTCTTCGATAAACCGCACGCTGACTGTCGAGTCACGCTGCCAGCCAACGCTCAGGCTGGTCAAGACGCTGCACTAACAACCGGTCTTCTGGATCCTCCCATTTGGTGCTGCCCGGATCCAACGCCGACCCGATACGTGATTGAGTGGCATGCGTATTGTGGCTGTGACTGCCTGTGCCTATGATAGGGTGGTCATATCGCAATCACTGACCGCAAGGCGGCCAGGGATACTAGTATTACAGAATTGCCTATGTCTTCTTCAGTATCTTCTCACGTCGCGGCCTCTCAGAACTTCGCAGAAGGCTTCCCTGAGGCGTTCTTCGCTGCATGTCCCATGTCCCTGCAAACGATATCAGTGAAAACATGCAGAATGTCCTGGAAGACGGGCGACACTCACTGTGTACATGACCATCACGAATCGGAGTGTGGCCTTTGTCGAGCGCCTTCGTGAACGCTTTTTCGACATTCAAGTGCGCTTGAATGAGGTGCGGCGATGCGACCGCGAGCCACCGGTCGGGCGAAAACTCGTCAAACCTATGTTCCAGAAGTCCGACAAGTCAAGACTGTTGAGATAACGAACGCAGACTCACTTGGGCGACTTGAAGATCTCGAGCATCGCGATGGGCCCGTATCCGATGCTCTCGATGTGGTGCCCGCAGTATGCGGCATCCCGTCAGCAATCCGAGCCTTCCTTCGGAGCAGCTCGACCACCAAGTTGAAACGCATCTCATCCGCACACGGGTGCCAGTGCATCTCGCGCAGCGCGCCAGTGTTAATGACGACGTGCGCCACGCTGATGACCGTTACCGGGAGGTCCGTGCTGTCCGCGACGCGCACCTCGCTGCCAGGCACTTCGGTCGGCTCTTTCACGAGCACCTTGTGCGTGAGCCTGCGGCGAGTCGGGGTCGGGCCGGACTGCGTCCCGTCTGCGGTGCTTTTCTCGGAGAAGATCGAGCGGAGGATGAACTTCCCGCGCGTGGGGAGGTGCTCGAGCGTGGACTCGGGAACCTTGAAGTTCTTAGGGAGGATGTCGCGCGGCGTGTTGGCCTACCAGTCTCACCAGTCTAACCAATCTGTGAGCTGGAGGGCTTTGTACTCGGAGGACTCGCCGTCGTCGAAGATCTGCGGAGTCGAGAGGTCAGTACGAGAGTGCTCAGAAGCAAACGATGCAAGGCAACACACCAGAACAAACTCACAGCCTCCCTCTAGGCCCTGCAGCGAGCTTGCGGGACGCCTTGTGGGAGAAACCACATGTCAACCTTCTCGACGTCCTCCTCGAAGTATAGCCCTCCTGGAGATATGCGATGCCCGTGATCCTCATACGGCCCTGCGGGATGTACGCCCACTCCGAGTCGTTGCGCCAGTACTTACTAGCTCGCAACAGCGAAGTCCTGGCCGAGAGCCGTCGTTTCTTGGATATCTGGACATTGGATGGCAGAACTCAAAGGGGTCGCGCTCCGCGCTATGCGTGGGCGACTCAAGGGTGCCGCTGTCAAGATCGGTGTCGGGGGCGCGGCGCTGGCGTCGGTGGCGGACGTTGGTGCGACGTGCGCTTGACTTTTCGACCCAAAGTTGCCCTGATCGGGAAGCGCGCTGGGATCTTGGATGCTGATCCCGGCGGATCGGGCTCGGCGGGTTATGATCAGGTCTCTGTACAGTACTTACCGCACCGCGGCGTCCCTATGTATCATGTTGTCGATATGAAGACTGAGTACTGATACTTGAACCCAGAGTGAGTGTTGGCGGCAAGCGTACATGGGAGGCATACCGCCGGGATGAACTTCACTGGCGACATTGCGCACAAGCTCATTCATTGCCGTTTATTGCTCGCTGCTGTGGAATATATCTGCTCCATGCAGCGCTGTCCATGGAGATACTGCTCATTCTGAGTCAAGTCTACGCTCATTTCGAAGGCATAAGCCTTACCACGACATAAAGGCATATGTATCAAGTTCGAGACCAGTAGACATTGGCTTCCTGAACCCAGAGTCAGTGCGTCCACGCCTTTCGAAAACATCATGCCAAGACAGACCGTAACCGAAACAAACTAGCGTCCTCCGAGTGAGCGACATTCCAAAGCGTGCGAGGTGGCCAATCTACAGTGAACTCTCCGCCGTCTGGCGCGTCGAGAACCGGGTCCCGAGCTGGGAACCGACGGTCACACGTATCTCAACGCTGCTTCCTCTGTGGCTTCCGTGAGACGCACTCCCTACTCCTGCAGATTTCAGGAGACTCACCATTATATTTCAGCGTCTGACAGAACTCGGGGGACTGAAGGTAGCGATGTATGCCCTCTCCCATCACGTTGGAGATTGGCTTCAAGACACGGGAGGCGCCATCGCGTTCGATCCGTCCCCAGCTGAGTTTTGAATATATCAAACCACGGTTTGTACTGAATGGGGGAGTGTAGAGTTGGTCGTATAGCAGGGAGAAGAATCAGACGGTATGGCGGATATGTACGCTTTCTCTATCTGCCGCAGCACAGCCAACCATTCGCTTCGTGATAGACGGAGGTTGGTGGCGTAAGATACAGCCTCGACTCGCATGCCAAGGAGGTGTGAGGAAGCCAGCGTAGCTGGCATGTTGTCCTACAATGATTCCATTATCACTGACAGCGCGCAGTGCTAGGGTTGTGACTCACCATCCATTGTGTTGCGTTTCTGTTGTCTCCACCAATCTTCAAAATCAAGTACCGTACCCTCGACACTCCCAATGAAACTATGCGGGTGAAGGGAATGCATGGCCCAACTTCGCAATCTTGCAAATGCATCCGTAAGACAACCGCAGTTGAAACTCTCTCCGCCACTTTATCCGAGGGGGCTTCGGGCATCAGCCAGAAATCCAGGAGCGAATTGCTCACAGAAGCAGGAATGCGGTCTGCAATACCCGCCTCGACCGACAGATGCTCTAACTGTAGGTTGTGCTGCCATGAAATCTCGTTGCTTGGGAGCTGGCACATTCGCACCGCCAACTGCCGAACGTTCGGAAACACATTCAACTTGAGTAGGGGGTAGATGGCGCAGTCCAGCAATGTGAGAGCGTGGAGGCATAGATGAGGCTTGCTGTCCTCCATCCGGCGATCTTGTGGTAGATTGAAGCCCACGAGGGTAAGTGTCCTGGCATTGTCGAGAATGGCTGCCCGGAGGGCACGTAGCATTTAGTGACCCTCGAGTCCCCTAATGGCAGTTAGTTGTATGGTCCCCGGTCTGCTAATCATTCTGCACAAGATATCGATGGTTACTGTGCCAACGTAGACCAGATGGAGCTTTGAGAGATTTGGCAGGACTACCAAACACTCTCCGATCTGTGGATCCCGTTGCAAGGCTTCCTCGCACTTGTGCCAATGAAGTACTTCCAAGTCATATGCCTGCTTGAGAATACCGAGCAGAGCACTCGCGGGGAACCCCTCGATACATGTCCCGTCCTGCGCCTCAGACCGGAACAAGACGGACGTGTCAATCTCCAACTTGCGAGGCCAAATTGTGCGGTTGTCAACATTCAGCATGAGACATTCGTGCATTCGGACGAGCCTTGTGGGGCCTGTGCGATGGTCTGTGATTGCGATAGAAGAAAACGCATGTTGGCGTGCGGCCGCATGGAGATCGCGAGACGACGATGAGAAGGGTATAGCCTCCTGCGGAGACAGCATGCGGGCGATCATAAAGAGGACATCAGAGGTATGTGCAAGAGAAGTCATGGTGGTATGCCAGTGAGCGTGCACTGCAGCGGTCGTACTGTGGTGGTCGTAGTGAACGATATAGTCGGAGACCCAGAGTCCACGCCGCTTGACTCAGAAGCTATCGATCAGGGTTATGTAAGCTGAGTCTCGTACATCCGGTGATGGGAGGATGATTGGTACGAGACCACCGGAGAACAGCTTCAAGAAACTCTGACGGCAGGTCCCGGTCAGCCCCAAGTTCTACTTGACGTTTGAGTATACTTGATCTATTCTCTATTGATTCGTGAATGTCTAGAATTCGAACAACGTGTGACACGAAGTGTACATGCGGCGCCTTTCCATCTGTTGTATCCGCTCTGGCGAGTTCGATATCCTCTGTCGTACGGCAGGAGTTGAAGGTGCCTAGATGAGTGTTGACTCGAAGCGCGACGTTGAATTTTACCGACTCAGCAGTCACTGAGAAGATCTGGCTTGGCAGTACGCCTGCACACGTGGTCATTCACTGTGACTGGCTGCCAGTATGGTATGTCGACGTCCCTATCGTATTGAATGTCACGACGATGAACACATCCGAGTCAAATCTAGGACTCACGCAAACGACCTAGCCCTCGCTACGGCCGAGAGCAGACCGGACCGTGACACCCCCGTCAGTCGGCGTTATGCCTACGGCGCGTCAGCCTGAGAGCTCTTGCAGTACGGCGTCCACGGAGTGAGATATATGATTGAAGATCAGATGTGAACATGTGAACTGTCATCCGTACAGAAGTCACGATACAAGCTATGAAGATACCCAGTACGATGCTCGGGCTCCAACGCACTCCTTCCGAGCTCACTTGACATTCTAGCCCCCCCAGCCTGTCATCGGCCGGAGTATTGCAGCGCCGTTTCCTCTGGATGGCAAGGTAAGCCGCCCCTTCCACCGCTCACTAAACGTGCAACTCACCGTCGAAATGTAACGTACGACAGAACTCCGGAGATTGCAGGTAGCGATGGATCCTCTCGCCCTGCCAATTGGGGATCGGCTGCAGCGTGCGGTCACCGCCATCGCCCTCGACCCGCCCCCAGGTGGAAAACGAAGGCACACTTGGTATCCGCGGATTATCAGTGCCCTCGATATGCTGGAAATAGAACCGGAGCGAGGGTACCGAAGAAATGTGGACGCTCTGCAATCGCTGCAGCAAGGCTAGCCATGTTTCGCGCGATGGTTCTCCTTCGTTTGGATGGGTCACATGAACCCGTATGCAAAGGATTTGCGAGGACGATAGTAGCGAAGAGGAGATAGTCTGCTATATCGCCAAGCATGTATGAGTATCGAAGACGCGAATTAGAGACAGCAAATGTGTCGCATACCATCCACCGGCTCGCTGAATATGACTGCCATTGGGTCGTCAAGATAAAGTACCTTGTTTTTGATACTTCTGCTGAGATTTTCCTTGCCAATATCGTGCAGGCTCCGGTGTAGCATTCAATCCGAGTCGAGTTCAAGCTCAACTCCAGGACGGCGGCGGTGCGAACAAAATCATCAAGAATGTCGATAGCACTGAAGTCCTGCGACTCGGTGTGTACTAGACGCAGGTAATCGCTATGGATGCCCAGGCTTGGGATGAGATGTAGGTAGGTCGGCTCAACCGATAAGTAATTCAAGTGTCGTTGCTCCACGGGATGGCCAGGGCGCTGTAGGCGGTTTTCGCCATTGTGTTTGCTATTGAGAATCGTCAACCTGCGTAGGTTGGGGAACAGGATAAGGCAGGAATATACGGCACTCCGGTCGAGATCCAGGACTTCTAGCTGTGGATGGGCCCCGGCGAGTTTGGGGAGAAGCTGCAGTTCAGATAGTACAATGAATTGGAAGTTACGGAGTCTGAGCCGCTTGACGTTGCCAAGCACAGCGGCTTTAGCTATGTATCGCAGAGTACGATTGGAGGAAAACATGGTGGATGACAGACATGCCTTCTCCAGCCTGCTGACCATTTTGCATAGGACAGCAAGTGTTGTTGGCCCGACAGCGAGCAGGCGGATGTCCGAGAGATTCGGCAATGCAGCCAGATGCTCCCCGATCCGTGCATCGCAGTCGATCATCGCCTCAGACCAGTGGAGCCCCAGAGCCTTCAACTCCCGCGTGTGCTCGAAGATGCCTACCAGCGCATCAATGGCTGGACATTCCCAGCGGGCGTTTTCCGTCGGGCCGTAGATAGTCAATTCTCGAGGCCAGATCAGGCGATTGTCGACGTTACGGATGGGGTGGTCGTGCATCTTGACTAGCTGTTCCTCGCTACGAATAGTAATTGACGCGAACACATACTGCCGCGTAATTGCATGCAGATCGCGAGACACTATTGAGAGAGGGATGCATTGTGCGACGAAAAGCATTTCGGCGATGATACGGAGGATGTCGTCGTTAAGAGTCGACAAAGTCATGACGAAGGCGAGCTGAGAGCTAGTATAGTGAGTGTTGCATCACGTAGTCAAGAGGGCAAAGACACACCGCTGGCCACTCGGAGCAGAGTAAGTAATATCCCCACGACACGTGTAAGTGAGCACGTTCATTACGTCCCGCTATGACCCGCATCCATCCCCGGCGTCAGAGCATCCATCCTCGGCGTCAGCGTAAGTAGTCGGACGTTATGGCTGCTCGGCGCGTCCTGGCCATGTAAATTCAGACTCTGGTACCGAGCAACGCAGCCCATGACGCTAACCAGGATGCTTGAATGCCCCGACGTCGTGAGATCGCGCTTGCGAAAGTCGAGATGTTCTACGACGCCTTGTGACCTTGGCTGCGACCTGAGGCACTTCCGCCGAACCGAGGGCGAGCGAATCGCACGCGGCGTGTTTCTCACCGAGGCTGAGACCTGAGGGGAGCGCCGGGGAAGGTAGTTGCGTCAGTGTGAGCAGAGCTCCCTGGTTACAACCGTAAACGGGTCCGCTTTGTGGCGCACGTGTACTATAAGCCTGCCACAAATGCATCCAGAATGTCATCTAAGATTCATACATCAGCCGTGCGTCGCTGCGCTGTGTTCAGGATAAGGTACTTGCCGTAAGACTAGTTTGACGAGGTGTCTGCGGTGCACTTGAGGCCTGAACTGCCAACGTCGACAATCCTGCACCTGTCTGTGCGCACAGTGTAGATGTACAACGGACGTTGTACGGACGCGAGCAACGGCAACATTCCTCTCGACCGCGGGGAAAGGTGCCTCCGTTGCCCATATGTATCAACGACGGACGTGCACCTGCGGGGCGTAGGACAGTTCGAAACGTGCGGAACTGAGTGTTAGGAAGAGGGCGCTACGCACACACTGACCAGGCCCATCGACACCCCGGGGCCCCTCAGACTCTCGAGCCTCTCGAACAGGAAGAGAGTTCCCCGCGAGGCACAAACCCTGCACAAGGCTTTCACGCCAGGGCAGGGTACCGCTCCCTGAGATACACAGTCTGTCCGGATTCTGGAGGACCAACCAGAGCCCACTATCGCGTCTGTCTCGCACCTGCGCGTAGGACTTTACCCTGAGACGGCAGCCCGAGACACTGCGTAGCCCAGGGCGCAGAAGTTTGACACAATGAGTCCAAATCTTCACTGCGACATCGACTGATGGGTCCTTTTCAAGTTCGAGCGCTGTATTCTGTGATGACGAAAGTGGTGAGTGTGATTTCAAATTGGAGATCGAAGGCGAACTGTGGTTTGTATTGAAAGCCTCCAGACGTTATCATGTTACAAGAAGATACCTAGTGCAGTGCTCCGGCTCCGTCATACCCTCCGAGCTCACTTGACATTCTAGCACTGCCTTCTTTCGCATTCACCGGCCGGTGTATTGCAGGGCGGCTTCCTCTAGTTGCCAGGATCAGCCGCTGTTTCCATCGCTCGCTGAACATGCAACCTCACCGTCAAATCGTAACGTGCGACAGAACTGAGGAGACTGGAGGTAGCGATGGATCCTCTCGCCCTGCCAACTGGGGATCGGCTGCAGCGTGCGACGGCCACCATCACCCTCGACCCGCCCCCAGGTGATCTTCGAGGTATTGTCTGTGTTCCACTCGCTAAGGACCTGGCAGTAGAACCGGAGTGAGGGTACCGAAGAAATGTGAACGTGCTCCAGTCGCTGCAGTAAGCCTAGCCATCTTTCGTGCGATGGCCCCGTATGCCTTGGGTGGGCCACATGAAGCCGTATGCTCAGGAGTTGTGAGGACGAAAGCGAAAACACAATATCCTCCTGTGTTGACGACCACATATAAGTATCGAAGACGCGAATCACGGCGAGGACATGTGTCACATACCATCCATCGGACTGTATGTGGGTCATCGGTTTTGATCGTCCAGATAAGGTACCTCATTCTTGACCATTTTGCTGAGATCGCCTGTGCCAGTGCCAAGCAGAACTCGGTGTGGCGTTCAACCTGGTACAAGCTCAACTCCAACACGGCGGCGGCGGAAACAAGTTCATGATCTACTCCTGAAGGATCGAAGTCCAGCCACTCCGTGTATAGACGCAGGTAATCGCTGCGAATACCGAGGGTTGAGATGAGATGAAGGTCACTTGGCTGAAACGATAAGTAGTCCAAGCGTCGTGGCTCCACGTCGTTGCCAGGGTCCTGTATGCCGTAAATGCCATCGGCAATCGTCAACCTGCGTATGTTGGGGAACAGGATTAGACAAGGATATACAACACAACGGTGGTCGAGATCCAAGACTTCTAGCTGCGGATGGGCTCCGGTAAGTTTGGAGAGAAGCTGCCATTCAGATATTGCATTGAATTCGAAATGGCGGAGTGTGAGCCGCTTGACGTTGCCCAACACAGGCCCTTCAGCTATGCGCAGTAGAGAACGGCGGATGGGTGGCGTGGTGAATGATAGACATGCTTTCTCTGGCCTACTGACCATCTTGTGTAGAGCGTCGAGCGTTTGTGCCCCGATGTTGAAAAGGTGTATGGCTGAGAGATGCGGCAGTGCAGCCAAATGCTCCCCGAGCCGTGCATTGCAGTCAATCAGACTCTCACAATCGTGCACCTCCAGAAACCTCAACTCCTGGGCATGCTCGAAGATGCCTACCAGCGCATCAATGACTGGAGCCGCGGGGGGCATTTCCGTCGGGCCGTAGATAGTCAATTCCCGAGGCCAGAGCAGGCGATTATCGATGTTACGGATGAGGTGGTCATGGATCTTGACTAGCTGTTCCTCGCTACGAACAGTGATGGACGCGAACACATACTGCCGTGCGATTGCATGTAGATCGCGAGACACCGACGAGAGAGGGATGCATTGCGTGGCGGAAAGCATTTCGGCGATGATACGGAGGACGTCTTCGTTAAGAGTCGACAAACTCATGATGGTGGCGAGCTGAGAGCTGTTAATAGTGAGCGTTGCGAGTCGCGTAGTCGAGAGGGCAAGGACTCACCGATGTGTGCTCGGAGCAGAGTAGACGATGGATGTGCGAGTGTGGCTGCCTCCGGCCGAGAAGCGCGCAATTCAATCACGACACGTGCTCATACGTCTTTCACCGTACGGCGCAAAAGGGCGCAGACTAGACAGAAAGCTTTGGCAACAACGTCTCGGATGTTGCCACTCCATTGTGCCGTGTAGGCAGAACCATCAATCAACGATGCCCCGTAGAATCATAGATTTCACTCTGGGAACATGTGATGCTCAGAACGCCTGCCTATGCAAATCGTCGAGCATCAACGAGTCGATCCTCCACATTCATTCATATGTACATCGCCACCAGGTCACCGGGCAAGCGTGCGGTTTACCCGTTCGAGGGTCTTCATGTCCGACCATCACCTGAGGCCCGCCATCGATGGCACAGAGTGACGGTGCCGGCCGCCTTCGACCCGGGACGTTCCCATCGACATGAATCTGGGAGCCCTGTCAAGCACTCGGTCACGCCGCCCACATTCCAGTCATGAGTGCACGCGCGCGCCCTGGCACGGCTCTAGCATTTAGACTTGGCCCGGGTCGAAGCAGGAAGGGTGGGGCGGCGTTCGGAGCTTGAACGAGCTTGTTTTGAGGCGCTTCTCCCATTCAGTCGGTATGAACGCACGGCCTGCGTTCGCCCACGACGACCTTCGTGTCAACGGCAGCGCTCTGCCAGCCTGAGCTGCCTGTGATCCATGTGTGTGATCCCGGGGATCCCGCTTCAAGTTCGAGGTCGGATCCGCTATTGGTGCCAGTGTCTCGGCGCGGGACATGTAGTGACTGCGCTGCGGGTGGGACTCAGACTCGGAGGTACTTGAAGTTGCATTGACGATGGATGAAAAGAAGGCTTGCCTGTTTACGTTCACTGCGTCGAGGTGAATCATCGTGCCCCACTGCAGACCCCTCGAATCGTCAGAACTGATCACGTCCGTGGAGAGATGTCGTACCTTACCCGGGGTTGGAGGTCCTTCCGCTGGAGCAAGCCTCCGAACCACGAGTCTATCCCCGGCGGCTCCATGCAGACCTAGGCAACGCCCTTCGTTTTGGCTTCGCGCACAAAGAGCGGCCGCGAGACTTCACAGTACGTTTCTGCGTGCCAGACCCCGTTCGAACGCCCTGTCAGAAGCTGTCTTCACTCGAACGACGAACGACGGCTTGGCAGGAGCAAATCATATCGCCATTCCCAAACGCGTCTGTACCTACACAGTCCGGATGCATGTTGGACGGACACTGTACGGACGCGAACGATGGCAACGACACCTTTGACCTCGGGGACAAAGTGCCTCCGTGGTCCATTTGCATCACAGCAACGTCGGACGTGCACCGGCGGGGCGCAGGAGAGTGCAAAACGTGCGGAACCAAGTACTGGGAAGAGGGCTCCAGAGAACTGGCGGGGGCAGTTCCCCGCGACGCATACACCGTGCACAACGCATACACGCAGCTGCGGGGGTGCCGTTCCCTGAGATACCTACACGCTCCGTCTGGATTCTGGAGATGTGAAGGACTCGCCCAGGTTTTCCGTCGCGTCCAGTGCGTCTCGCACGTGCGCGTATAACTTTCACCCCGAAAGACGGCTGCCCGAGACGCTGTGAGCACCGCCCGTAGTCCAGGGCATGCAACGACGAGCTCGAAGTTCAATACAGCGAGTTCAAACGTTCGCTGCGACGTCGGCAGGTGAGCCTTCGCAAGTTCGTGCGCTGTAACCTGTGATGGCGAAAGCGCTGCTGTGAGAAAGTCGAAAATGAGCATTGATTCAAGATGCGACGACAAAACTGACCAGTCGACGTTTCCTGACTGAGAAGGCTGGCTATGCTTGCACATGTTGTAATTGCTCGACGACTGGCTAGCTCGGTATGTCGGTGTGTTTATCGTGCTTGATGTCGAGCTACTGGACATCTCCGAGTCATGTCTGGGACTCGCGCAGACGGGTTGACCCTCAGGCTCTCCGCCAGCAAGACACCGAGAACAGATGGCAAGCAACCAGACGCGGGCGTTGGGCGGCATCATACCCGTCGTCAGACGAGTCAGCTCGAGAGCCTTCGAACTGTCGATGGCATACACGGTGAGTGTGATATGACATTCGAGATCGACTCGGACGACGAACTGAGATTTGTATTGAAGGCCTTCAGGCATCATCATGTTACAAGCCGCGAAGATACCCAGTGCAATGCTCGGGCTCCGTTACACAGCTTCCAAGCTCCCTTGGCAATCTAGAACTGCCTTCAAGGTCCCTCGCATTCACCGGCCGGTGTAATTCAGCGCTGCTACCTCTGTATGCCAAGGTAAGCCGCCTTTTCCACCGCTCCCTGAACGTGCAACTCACCGTCGAATCGTAATGTACGACAGAACTCCGAAGACTGCAGATAGCGGTGGATCCTCTCGCCCTGCCAATTGGGGATCGGCTGCACCGTGCGACGGCCTTCATCGCCCTCAACCCGTCCCCAGGTTATCACAGAGGGATCGTCTATGCCCCCTTCGCCACGTCCTTGAAAGTAGAACCGAAGCGAGGGTATTGCGGATATGTGAGCGCCTTCCAGCAGCTGCAGGAAGCGGTGCGCGTCCCCTCGCTCCCATGTAACCTGATCTCTGTGAACCAGATGGACCCGTATGCAAATGAGCTGCGAAGACGACAGCAAAGGGGTAATGTTGTCCTATGTTGGCAAATGTAAATATATATCGAGGAAATCATGTGGAGGCAGGAAAAAGGCATCACGTACAATCCACTGGGTCACCACTAAGGGCAGGTCTTGACACGGGGAATTGATCGTCAACACAAGGTACCGTACTCTTGACGAGTTGGTTGAAACCATCCGCGCCAATGCCACGCAGCGCTCGTCACATCCGGACTGCTGCAAGTGCAACCGCAGGACGGCAGCGGCAGAAACAAGTTCGGTATTATCTACCTCCGGGGAATCGAAACGGATATTTATATGTAGTGAATCACTTCGGATGCCTAGGGTCGAGATGATAGGTAGATCCTTTGTCGCAACGTCTAAGTAGTCCAAGTGTCGCTTCATGCGATGGCCAGCGACTGGTAGGTTGTGTTCCCAGAGGGCACTAGTACTGCCGCACAGTGTCAACTTCCGTACGTTGGGAAACAGAATGAGACTGGGGTACACGGCGCTAGCGTGAATGCACAGAATCTCTATCTGTGGATAGGCCCCGGCAAAGCTGGAAAGATGCTGCGGTTGAGATGCTGCAAGAAAGAAATCGAGTGTGAGCTCCTTGACGTTGTCCAGCGCGGGTAACCGAGCAATGTCTGTTGGAGCTTGATGGTGTAGAGCTGCCGACAGCATAGCTCGCTCCGGTCTGCTGACCATTTTGCGTAGGACGTCAAGCGTTTTGGTCCCGATACTGATCAGGCGGATGTCCGAGAGATTTGGCAGTGCGGCCAAATGCTCCCCGACCCGTGCATCGCGGTGAATCAACTCCTCACAATTGCGGACCGCCAAAACCTTCAGCTCCCGGGCGTGCTCGAGGATGCCTACCAGCGCATCGATAGCTGCATCCGCGGGCCGCCTCATTGTCATCGAGTAATGGATACTCAACTCCCGAGGCCAGATCAGGCGATTGTCGATGTTACGGATGAGGTGGTCGTGCATCGGGACGAGCTGTTCCATGCGCGAAACAGTGATGGATGCGAACACATACTGCCGTGAAATTGCATGTAGATCGCGAGATACCGACGAGAGAGAGATGCATTCCGCGGCGGAAAGCATTTCGGCGATGGTACGGAGGATATCGTCGTTCAGAGCTAACAAACTCATGATGGTGGCGAGATGAAGGCTGATACTATAGTGAGCATTGTATGTCGCGTAGTCGAGAGGGCAAGAACTCACCAATGGGTGCCCGGAGCAGATCTAGTCATAAAAGAAGGGGACAGCGGGGTCGATGTGGCGTGAAAAAAGCACATGGCAGCCACCTTCGTGCGCCACCCAGTCCGTCCTGCCTTGACGGCGCGGGCGCCTACGGGATGCCCGCCCGAGGCATCCCCGAGGCTGTATTACCTCGCTACATTCGCGCAAAATGGGCGTGTCAGCGACAACGGATTACCCTTGTCTGACAACGGTTGACGAGGTCGCACAGTGTGTGACCTGAGCTGTCATTAGCGTAGCCTGAGTCTGGATCATGTATGTCCCGCTATGACCTGCTATGACCCGCATCCATCCTCGGCGTCAGCGTAGTCGGACGTTATGCCCACTCAGCGCGTCCTGACCACATAGACCTGATATAGACTTAGGCTCTGGTACCGGGCAACACGGATGACGCCAGCGAGGATGCTTAAATGCGCCGACGTCATGAGATCGCGCTTGCGAAAGTTGAGATAAGTTCTACGACGCCTTGTGACCTTGGCTGCGGCCTGAGGCAGTTTAGCCCAACCGAGGGCAAGCGAATCGCAGGCGGCGTATTTCTCACCGAGGCTATGAGGCCTGAGGGAGCGCCGGGGAAGGTGGCTGCGTCAGTGTGAGTGTGAGCAAAGCTCGTTGGTGGCAGTTGCGAACGGACCTGCTATGTGGCGCAGGTGTACTATAAGCCTACCACAAAGGCCTCCAGAACGTCATCTAATAGATTCATACATCAGCCGTGCTTCGCTGCACTGTTGTCAGGATAAGACACTTGCCGTAAGTCTGGATTGACAAGGTGTCTGCATCGAACTTGAGAGCAGACGAGAAGACACTACTAGTAGTACTGCGGCAACGCCCTAGTGCAGCTCTCGCGCGAGGAGGTCCTTTGCTAAGGCTTTAGTAAGTAGGAGGAGGCAGACGAGAAGACACTACTAGTAGTACTGCGGCAACGCCCTAGTGCAGCTCTCGCGCGAGGAGGTCCTTTGCTAAGGCTTTAGTAAGTAGGAGGAGGATGACGTATGTACTTAGGTCGGGAGATTTACCGTCGCTTGGCGGAGGCGCTAAGCGGCTTGCCTCGTATGGCAAGTCCGTCCGATCAGTGTTCCGATCAATCTCAGATTCGGCACGCCACCGGCAAGCTGTGGCGGGTGGCTGAGGTGGCTGGTGTCGTGGCGAGTGGCGGCTGTGGCTGGGGTTTCCTAATCGGGAAGGGCGAGGGCGTGACGTGTCGGGCGCGGAATATACATCGCGTAGAGCGGGCCTGCGGCGCCGTGAGTGCGAAGAACGCCGCAGGCGCCGGCTGTTGGGCCTAGCGCATTCCCAGGCCACTCAGGGCCTGTGGTGGCAGGTGGCTGGGGTTGCCTAATCGGGCGGGGGCACACGGGGCACGTCGGTGGCGGGGATACATCGCTCGGGAGTCGCTCGGGAGCGCGCCTGCGGCGCCGTAAGACGATACAAAGCGCGCGTTAATGGCTGCTGATGGGCGTGTCCCCGAGGTACTCTAGACCCGCGAGTAACCAATAGAAGCGACCGCGTACACGCGTCGCCTGTGACTAATGACGATTACACGGGCGCTACACCCCGCCAGCATTGCCTAATGAGGATGACACGGGTGCAACACGTCGGTAGGCATGTCGGTGCACATCGCGTTGAGCGCGCCTGCGGCGCCGTCGGTGCGTGGGAACGTCGCGCCAATAGAACGGTGTGTGTGATACACCGCCTGGCCGTTCTAGGCCCACGATTGGCCCGTAGAAGCGGCCGTGTACGCGGTGAATGTGATGGGCAGCACCTGCCCGATCATTAAGTGCATTAAGTGCATAAAGTAGGGCACCCACTTTATTTTACTCGGCCCGAGTAAATCTCGTAAATTTCCTGGTCCGTGCGTGGGTACCCAGTAAATCTGAGGGCACGCGCGCGGCCTGGGCGAGCTCGCGAAGCGACATTTGATCGCCGGTGATGTACACGCGCCTTGGCGCTTCCACACCCAGCCGCATCTTGCCCGTTTGGGTCACTTTTTTGCGGCCTGCGGCGCGAGGAAAGTGGACGCCTTGGACAGGGCGTGCATTGCTCTGTCTGCGTCTCCGTGCGCTGCGAACCTCGAGCATGGTAGGCACCAAGTTTTATTGAAACTAACTCAAATTTTACTCTTCCGAGCTCGACGGACTGAGTTACCAAGTCCGGGTGCACTCAAGAGACTTATCCTTGCATGACAGAACGCGTACATCGCGCCGTGCAGGAGCACAACGCGTCGCGTTCGGTGCGCGAAGGGTGAGCGGGACGGGATCTGGGATCGCTGACTCAGCGTCGGGCAGCCGAGATTGCACGATCCCAATTTACGGGGATTTACCGGCACGTGTAAAGTTCGGCAATAAAAAGAACTTACCCTGATCGGGGAGGCGGACGGGATCTTGCCGGGCAGCGTCGCGAATCTGATCGCGCAGGCTCCACAACGTCACGAGAAGATTTCAAGGGACGGGGGCAGCCTCGCGGCCGCACAGCGGCTATTCTTGCACCCTCCTTCCTGGCGTCACCTCCCCCTCGCACCGGCCATACGCGACCCGGTCAGCTGCGCCTCCTCTGCGCACGGACCTTGCGCACTTACGTTGATGCAGGACGGGACTAGTCCGTAAGCAGCCTGTAGTGCGGGGAGAGTCCGTTCACTCACTATCTGTGCTATTAACTGACGCGAGAGCGTCCGAGTCCGCGTTCGAACGCTCTCACCGCCGGCGGTCAACGCGTCATCGTTGAATAGGAAGAGGAGAAGCCATGATAGTATACACGCGTGTGTGCCCCCTCCAGCGCCCGCGTCGCCAGCTTCTCGAGGACGTCATTTTAATCTCGCGTACGACGGACTTGAGTGCCGACGGGCAATTTCCGACCTGAGAACGCGAGGACACACGCCGGTGAGCAGAGATGCCCGGCCTGTCTCGACGCTGCAGGCCACGAATAGCCATCCGGCGTCCTGCTGACAGCGCACGCATGGCGGCTTGCCTTCTGCCTTCTACGTCCGTGCGCATGGTAAGTGCGGTACGCGCGAACGGCACTTCGCTCGGCAGAAACAGCCACTTCGAATGCCCACTTGAACGTTCTGACGTACCTATCGCCCACACGCAAGGCCGCTTGGCGTCGCAAAGTAGCGAATCGACTGCCCGCCAGAGCGCACTAGCAGACCCGTCTACGAACGAGGCGACGTGTATACGCAGGGCGGGCATAGCCTATAGGTACAATCATGACCTAGCGCATACCAAAGGGACTAGCGCACTGTGCAGCTGGCCGCGAGACAAGGCAGGCGATCGCGCAATCTCGGACGTCCCGATCCCAGGTCCTCCCCGTCCATTCGGGGAGTGAGAAAACAGCTTGAGGAGAATTTGAACTGGCGTAGCACGGTGTCCGTGTTCCCGTTATGAGATCTGATCGCGCGCTCGTCCGTGGGTCGCTGCCCCGACTCGTACGGTGGTTGGCCTCCGACGGCGCGCTGCCAAGACGAAGTGTGCAGGTGGAGATAAGGGTCGGCGGGGAACGAGGACGCCAATGTGGACGACAGGTCGTGCGAGCAGGCAGGGACGACCGCAACAGACCACAGACCGGGAGCAGGCATGCCCCCGCTGGCAACAACGTTCGTCGCATTGACAGGGCCACACACCCATGCATTCGCCAAGATGCCCCGATCGGCGAGCTGAAAATAATGAACAGTCCGGACTCCGAGGGACGACCGCATCAGAACGGCCACGTCCATCTTCCAAGTTCCGCGGAAAGAGCTCTCACCGAGATATCTGTCAGACCCTCCACCCGCACTTGATCAGCCACACGGCGCCAGTGCGCGATTTTGGCCGACGCACCGTATTGGCCGGGGCTACCCAGTCCAACGCGCCTCTGCGAACACGCTCTCGTCAGCGCGTCTCCGTCTGAGACTTCCCGCTCTCGTCAGCGCATCCCTTCGAAGTCCAGACGGTGAGGCCGGCTTTCCCGGATCTCCCGCTCTAACGCCCGGACGCGCGCGAGCGCGATTGGCGTGGCCCTACTTAACCCAGTCCTACATAGACGCAGCAGCTGTCGGAGGGCCACAAGGAGCTCCTGATCAGGCCTGAGCGCGTCTGCAGGTTCACGACCAGGTTTGGAGCCTCAGAAAGAGATGATCCAGCATCCTGCGACCAGCAGACAACACCCTACGGGCACGCGGAGCCAGGGCCGAGGCTACAGAAGGGAGAAGGTGCAGAGTTAGGAAATCGTTTTACCCCTTTGGGTAGGACTGGAAGGGCCGAACGCGGAAGGAGCACGTCGGTTGGGCGGACGCTGGCTGGGCTGCTGGCCAGGCCTCGAACGGACGCGACCCCGAGCTGCGTTCGAGGCGGATGCGGTTACGACTGCAGCGAGGCCACCGCCTGCGTATCTCGCAATCGCCATGACGCGCGAGGAAGGACGCGCGATGTGGTGATGATGGGCCGTGCAGCCTGGGATGGCAATGTCGATGTGAGAGTGCGCGTACGTACGCGTGGTACGTTACCGTACGATGCCAGGGCTTCTTCCTATCAGCACGATTTCCAATGACGGTTGCGATTGCGATTAAACGGCAGAGGATGAGTTGCTGCAATGCATGCCGCATGTCGCCCACGTACGTACGTAAGGCGGTTGGTTGACTTCCGGCGGATGCTGAGCGAACCACCACCAGCAGGAATGTTCCCCGAGTGTGAGCGCGAGCACGGGCACGAACAACAGTCCACCAGCCAGATTTGCAACATCGACCGTCGCATCGCGCCAGCCAAGTCCAAGCTACGGCAGTCAAGAGCAGCAACGAAGCACCCGCGCATAGCTCGAGAGGCCTATCACGTCCGTTGTGTCCGTTCGCCACGCGAAACCTGCAGCTGAGAATCGAGGTTGCGGTGCTCACCTGGACGTACGACAGCTCGTGAACTGCATAATCGACCATGCAAGGGATTGCCACCACCTCTCACGACCGCGTGCGTACCTGACCAACCGAACTTCGCAGTGCGTTGGCCCAGCCAGCAGCGAGCGAGCCGATAAGCTTAAGCATGTCCAGTCGAGTACAGCGCAAGGCAGGGTGGAGTGGGACCCCCGCGCCCGGACGAGGAAAGCAGGCGCAACCAGGGAAGCCCAAGGAGTGACCGACCGCAGTCCCGTGCGCGCCGCCGATACGCGGACAGAACCGCGGAACCTCCACTCGCACTTCTCGCGGTATCGCAGCAGCCGCCGGTGTAGTGTGGCAGTCGTCCGGATGCGGCGCCGACGATCACAGTTCCAGGCTAAGTTGCCCAGGGCGCGCCCATCCCCGTTCCGGGTGTCCTGGTTCACCTCGCGTAGGACCGCAGCGCCTGGCCCGGTTACGACTACGGCCACAGGAAAGATAGAGATAAGTGGGGGTGCCTCCGCCCGGTGGACGGACGGTGAAACTGGCAAACGTTCGCGAGCGAGATGGGGCACCGCACGGTCGGGCGCCGTGATTGGCTCGCGCGAGGGAAGTCCGAGGGCGGTGGTACACCGGAGTGGGATGGAGGGTTCCTTCTGCGGGGGCTTCTCCCGATGTTGTTCCTGCATCGGGGTTGGCTTGGTGGGTCCCGTTGTGCCAATCGCGCAGACAAGGGGCAGTGAGTTGCCCCTGCGGCTGGTAAAGCAGAAGACAACGTCGGTTTGCAGCATAGAGATGGCCATAGCATGTAGAATTACCAGGACGAGGGCCGAATAGATTGGCGGGAGTTGGCGTATTGACGGCTTGGCTGCTGCAGTCCTAGATTAGAGAGGCATCCACAGTCCCAGAAGGCGTCGACCGCTATCCAGCTTAGCTCCAAGAGGCACGTCCGTGCACCAGCAAAGATTGTGAGTCTGAATCAGCGAGACCACCTGAGCAATCCTCGTATCATTCAACGAACCCCCATCTCACGTCCTGCGCGCGATGCTTGAGCCCATACCGGACAAGGGAGCCCAAGCCCTCGCAGCGTTCGCCCGTTCAGGCAGGACGGAGGAACGCAGGACGGACCCAATTGGGTGTTAGAGGCCTCGCACGCAGTAGAACGGATTGGTAGGGCGCATTGCGGATTGGCAACGCGTTGAGGACGATAGGACGGAGCTCGACGGCCACCGCGCACTGTCCATACATTCGCGATCGTACGCGGAGGCACGCGGCCGTCAGGCTTGCTGCGACGTGACCGTGGCGGGGCGCCTGGCCACGGGATGCGAGGCAACGCGGCGAAACGCGAACTGAGGTTGAGGACGGGTTTGTCCGCTACAGGCAGCGAGGGCGAGAAGAGTGTGGGGTAGCTTCGCAGACGGAAGGCAAAGAGATGCGAGGTGAGATCTTGAGAGATGAGGCCGTGAGGGGCTGAGAGCGAAGCACGCCATGTCGATCCTATCGCGGGCTGGGTAGCAGCAGACTTGTGTGTTACGGCAGGTCAAAGGGCCTAAACGACGGGATAACGAGAGGCGGATGCGCGTTCGTGTGTCTGCGTTTGACGAGATAGGGACACTTGACGTCGTCTGGAACTTGGACGGATGGCCTGGAGATGATGAGTGGTCGCATCATCAACATTGAATACCAGGATGAGACGGCGAGTCTATCATGGACTGTGACACTCTGATAGACACGCGACATTGCTATGAACCAGCAGACCCGGAGCTCACCGCAGAACGCGAAGGACGCAGACCCACGCTCGCGAGCTCCGGCTCTTCGCTCTCGAGTTTACATACACATGCGCGTCAGCGTCGTCCGTGCCGATCCCAAGTGCAGGTAACTTGGCCGAGAGTCGATGGAAGAGAGACGATACGCGCGGAGATCAGCCGGGCCGGGAAGCAACATTGACATTTTTGGCAGAGCAGGCTGAAACTCGGTGGACGCAAGCGCGGCGGGGTGCGGCACGGCGCGCGTCTGTGGGTGAAGAGCGATGGGCATAGGCGTGCGCACGCACACTGCGACGACGGAGATGACGGGCTTAGAAGCGTCCGCGGCTGGTGTGAGAACTTACCGGAACGGTGAGGAGGAGCCCGGCTGTGCAGCGTGCGCCGCGGGGCGTGGTGAAGCTGAAGATTGACGATGGAGGGACTACTGCGTGCTGGGCCTCGAGGGGAATCAATTTGACGGAAAGCTAAAGACAAAGTTCTGGGTGCTAGAGATAGAACGGAATCTTCGACGAGATTGGGAAGGGACGCCCGTGCAGACATGGGCAGGACACGGAAGCACGTATCGCGAAGAAGGTTCGGCCGAGGACAGACAGGCTTGGCTTGGGAGGTGGTGCGCGGGGCGTTAGCAAAGAGCAGGAGACGAATGCCTTAGATGAGAGGGTCCGGTTCGAAGCAGGCCGGAGGATCCAAGGGCAGCGGGAGCTAGTGCAGGGCGATAAGTGGACGGGAATGAGAATGCGTGTGGACGTATGGATGGAGATGCGGAAGATTTAGGCGCGAGAAGTGATAGAGCTGGGCACACCGATGGAGACTGAGGGAGGAATGCTTGGGACGGCACGCAGCTGGACGAGCGGTGATGGCAGGTGACGTTGGGAGAGAACAAGGGCACCGGAGGAGAGGACCGATGGAGAGCCACACGCACGCAAGCTCCGACAATAGAAGGCACGGTGCTAGCGCAGGCCCATTGTACGCAGGCGCAGTGGCAGGCTGCTTGGCGGCGCCCCGTCGGTGCTGCCTGGCGCGCGCACGGCGTCGGCGAGGCGGGGCACTGCTGGCGGGGGGCTGGCGCGCGATGGTGGCGCGCTGGCTGGCGGGAGGCTGGCACGCTGAGGCGAAGCGGGGAGGAAGCCACACCGGGCGAAGGCAGGCTGGGCGCTCGGGAGAGGCCGTGGCGGTGGCGCGCGCAGAAGCCGGATCGGGTGCTTAGTCAGCGGGCAGAATTTGCGTGGGCGGTTTGTTGCCCGCGCTGCTCTCTCGCTAAACGGTCTATCATATATCGCCATCGCACCCAGCATGTCTCCCCGCTACTAACACCCGCTTTGCTCTCTCCCTCTGTTCGCGGGCCACTCGATACCCTGCGCACGCTGCACCCGCCGTCGCCATCCCACCATGGGCCCGACATTCAGCCCCTGCCCCCGCCCCATCCTCAAACGCCCCTGCACCGTTGCCGACCTCCCCTCCGTTGCCCGCGAACGCGACGAGCCCACCGAGCTGCTCGCCATCGACCGCGGCATCCTCCAGCCCGTCGTCCGCTTCCCCTCCCGCCCCGCCCTCTCCAAGACCTTCTCCGCCCACTCCTCCGCCCAGTACGACCGCTCCCCCATCGTCGTCCAGCCCAACAACTGCGCCCTCCCCGCTCGCGGCTGCCCCGGCCGCACCTACAGCCTCGACGACCACGCGCTCCAGACCTCCCCGCGCGCATCGTCCAGCAGAAGGCGCAGCCCCAGCCGCGCCGGGCGACACCTCCACCCGCGTGCGGCCTTGGCGCTTCCCCTCGACGAGGAGGACGACGACCCGACGCCCCGCGCGAGCCCCCACGCGCCCCTCCCCGCGCTCGTGCCCGACCTCTCGTCCGAGTCTGACGAGTCCGACGGGTTCACGAGCCCGCCCAACGAGCTCGTCGCAGCCGGTAGGCCCGCGCTCGCCTATATGCGGATGTCGCTGACCTTCCCGATGTCCGTCTGCTAGGTGCCCACCCGCGCAGCGGGAAGGCCGGCGCAGACTCCCTGGCCATGGGCCTCGCGTCCCTCCACCTCTCGCAGTCCGAGGCCCTCGCGTTCCTCCCCCACCCGCCCTCGCCCCCGCGCATGTACGGCTCTGGCAACGCGCACCCGCCAGAAACGGACGCCCGCGCGATTCGTCATGCGCGCAATGGCAGTAGCGATGGGAACGGGAGCCCGACGCGCGAGCGCAAGCGGCACACGCGCACGCGCAGTGGTGCGTCCGAGGCGAATGCGCGCTACAAGGCGCTGTCGGAGAGCAGTCGGCTCAGCGACTGCTCGCTGGCGGACGATCTCGGATGTTTAGGTGGCTTCTAGTGCCTACTCACCGGGAGAGGAGAAGAAGTGGGAGAGGAGGAGGGGGTCTACGGTGGAGACTGCAGAAGAAGAACGCAAAACGACCTGTACACGCTACGACACGATATCCGATATACCTTGCCCCCAAGCACACCACACGAACATGCGATCTCGACCGACAATCCATATGCACGCACTCTACATTATTCCCAGCACAAGTCCGTTCATGTTATTTCACATTTTAACATCGAGTAAGTTATCTTCTGCGGCGGGGTGGTGCGCCGCCCCATACGCTTCATTTCACCCTCCACCATCACGACGATCCCCCGCACCACCCTTTATCCGTATCCTTATCCCATTGTGCCGCGCACGCCTCTCGTTTACCTTCATATTCTCGCCCCGTTTAATTTTTCGCCAGGTGTGCGGCGCTGGTCTTTACCGTATCCCTTGCTATTCAGGCTTGCGCTCCTTCATCTTTCCCTGTTCCTCTGTGGACACGAAATGAATGGAAATCTTCAAACATCCGTTTGCTCGTCAGCGCTTCAGCTTTAGCACCGCTATCTAACACGCCACACGGTTCCGGGGTGTGGTCCGCTGCGTGGGTGCGCGATGGGCGGTGCGGCGAAACCTCGAGCACACAGCCCCTCCGCGCGACGCTCGCCAACAGTCAGCAAGGCGGGCGCCTCCTCCACTGCACGCGTTCGCCTCGTCGCCTCTCCTCCCATGCGATTGAACTCTGGCCCATCTGTCTGGCTTCCGGCCTCCAGCTGCCGACTCTATCAAACTTCCGAGTTCGTCGTCGCACACGCTGCTGCCGTGCCCCGGGCTACGGGCGGTGTCACAGGCCGTCTCGGCAGCCGTCTCTCAGGGTGAAAGTTATACGCGCACGTGCGAGACTGACGCGACGGAGAACCTGAGTGAGTCCTTCAGATCTTCAGAATCCAGACGGAGTGTGTACTGTAGGTGTCTCAGGGAACGGTACCCCCACAGCTGCGTGTATGCGTCGCGGGGAACTGCCCCCGCCAGTTCTCTGAAGCCCTCTTCCTAGTACTCGGTTCCGCACGTTTCGCACTCTCCTGCGCCCCGCCGGTGCACGTCCGACGTTGATACAGACGGGCCACTTGGCGCTTTACTCCCGAGGTCAAAGGTGTCGTTGCCATCGCTCGCGTCCGCACAGTGTCCGTCCGCCATGCGTCCGGACTGTGTAGGTACAGACGCGTTTGGGAATGGCGATATGATTTGCTCCTGCCAAGCCGTCGTTCGTCGCTCGAGCGAAGACAGGTTTTGACAGGGCGTTCGAACGGGTCTGGCACGCAGAAACGTACTGTGAAGTCTCGCGGCCGCTCTTTGTGCGCGAAGCCAAAACGAAGGCGTTGCCTGGTCTGCATGGAGCCGCGGGGATAGACTCGTGGTTCGGAGGCTTGCTCCAGCGGAAGGACCTCCAACCCGGGTAAGGTACGACATCTCTCCACGGACGTGATCATTCTGACGATCGAGGGGCCGTGGCACGATGCTTCACCTCGACGCAGTGAACGTAAACAGGCAAGCCTTCTTTTCATCCATCGTCAGTGCAACTTCAAGTACCTCCGAGTGCGAATTCCACCCCCTCGCAGTCACTACGTGTCCCGCGCCGAGCCACTGGCACCAATGGCGGATCCCACCTCGAAGCGGATCACCGGGATCACACACATAGATCACAGGCAGCTCAGGCTGGCAAGGCTGCCGTTGCACGAAGGTCGTCGTGGGCGAACGCAGGCCGTGCGTTCATACCGACTGAATGGGAGAAGCGCCTCAAAACAGCTCGTTCAAGCTCCGAACGCCGCCCCACCCTTCTGCTTCGACCCGGGCCAAGTCTAAATGCTAGAGCCGTGCCAGGGCGCGCGCGTGCACTCATGACTGGAATGTGGGCGGCGTGACCGAGTGCTTGACAGGGCTCCCAGATTCATGTCGATGGGAACGTCCCGGGTCGAAGGCGTCCGGCACGATCGCTCTGCGCTATCGATGGCGGGCCTCAGGTGATGGTCGGACATGAAGACCCTCGAATGGGTAAACCGCACGCTTGACCGGTGACCTGGTGGCGATGTATGAATGGATGTGGAGGATCGACTCGTTGACGCTCGACGATTTGCATAGGCAGGCGTTCTGAGCATCACATGTTCCCAGAGTGAAATCTATTATTCTACGGGGCATCGTTGATTGATGGTTCTGCCTACACGGCACAATGGAGTGGCAACATCCGAGACGTTGTTGCCAAAGCTTTCTGTCTAGTTTACGCTCTTTTACGCCGTACGGAGAGACGTATGAGCACGTGTCGTGATTAGATTGCGCGCTTCTCGGCCGGGTTCAGCCACACTCGCACATCCATCTAAGTTACTCTGCTCCGAGCACCCATCGGTGAGTCCTTGCCCTCTCGACTACGCGACTCGCAACGCTCACTATTACCAGCTCTCAGCTCGCCACCATCATGAGTTTGTTAGCTCTGAACGACGATATCCTCCGTACCATCGCCGAAATGCTTTCCGCCACGCAATGCATCCCTCTCTCGTCGGTGTCTCGCGATCTACATGCAATCGCACGGCAGTACGTGTTCGCGTCGATCACTGTTCAGCGCATGGAACATATCATCCCGATGCACGACCACCTCATCCATAACATCGACAATCGCCGGATCTGGCCCCGGGAATTGATTATCCACGACCTGAGGGTAATGCCCCCGCGGCCGCAGCTATCGATGCGGTGGTAGGCATCCTCGAGCACGCCCGGGACTTGAAATTTCTGGGACTCTACGATTGCGAGAGGCTGATTCACCTCGATGCACGGGTCGGAGAGCATTTGGCCGCACTGGCAAATCTCTCGGAAATCCGCCTGTATCAAATCGGGACCAAAACGCTCGATGTCCTGCGCAAATTGGTCAGCAGACCGGAGCGAGCTGTGCTGTTTGTATCTTATAGACACCTTCAAGCTCCAACAGACCTTGCTCGAGTACCAGCGCTTGACAACGTTAAGGAGCTCACACTCGATTTCTTTCGTGGAGCATCTCAACCGCAGCTTCTTTCCAGCCTTGCCCAGGCCGCCTATCCACAGATAGAGATTCTGGACCTCAGCAGCAGCGCCGTATACCCGAGTCTCATTCTATTTCCCAACGTACGGAAGTTCACAAGCGAGTGTGCCCTCTGGGAATGCGACCTACCAGTCGCTGGCCATTACATGGAGCGCCACTTTGACTCCTTACACGTTGCGGCAAAGGATCTACATATCGTCTCGACTCTAGGCATCCGAAGTGATTCACTACATATAAATCTCCTTTCCGATTCCCCGAAAGTAGATGATACCGAACTTGTTTCTTCCGCCGCCGTCCTGGGGTTGCACTTGCAGTCTGGATGTGATGAGCGCTGCGTGGCATTGGCGCGGATGGTCTCAACCAAATCATCAAGAGTAAGGTACCTTATCTTGACAATTCGATCCTTTGGCATTCAAGACTTGTCTTCAGTGGTGACCCAGTGGATTGTACGTGATGCCCTTTTCTGCCTCCACACGATTTTCTCGGTATATATTAACGTTCGTTGACACAGAATACAATCACCCCTTTGCTGTCGTCTTCGCAGCTCATTTGCATACAGTCCATTTGAATCACACAGATTGGACTGAATGGGGGCGAGAGCAATTGCCCCGTTTCCTGCAGCTGCTGCAAGGCGCTCACATATCCGCAATACCCTCGCTTCGGTTCTACTTTCAAGGACGTGGCGATGAGGACATAGACAATCCATCGATGATCACTTGGGGACGGGTCGAGGACGATGAAGGCCGTCGCACGGTGCAGCCGATCCCGAGTTGGCAGGGCGAGAGGATCCACCGCTACCTGCAGTCTCCGGAGTTCTGTCGCACGTTACGCTTTGACGGTGAGTGGCACGGTTGATGAGCGCTGGAAACAGCGGCTTATCTTAGCAACCAGATGAAGCTGCCCTGCAATACACCGGCCGGTGACTGCGAAGGAAGGCAGTGCTAGAATGTTAATTGAGCTCGGAGGGTATGACGGAGCCGGAGCACCGCACTAGGTATCTTCGCGGCTTGTAACCTCATGATGTCTGGAAGCTTTCAATACAAACCACGGTTTGCCTTCGATCTCTAACGCGATATCACACTCACCGCTTTCGTCATCACAGAACACAGCACACAAACTTGACAAGGACCCATCAGTCGATTTCACAGTGAACGTTTGGACTCACTGTATCAAACTTCCGCGCCCTGGGCTACGCAGTGTCTCGGGCTGCCGTCTCAGGGTAAAGTCCTACGCGCAGGTGCGAGACAGACGCGATAGTGGGCTCTGGTTGGTCCTCCAGAATCCGGACAGACTGTATATCTCAGGGAGCAGTACCCTGCACTGGCGTGAAAGCGTTGTGCAGGGTGTGTGCCTCGCGGGGAACTCTCTCTTCCTGCTCGAGGAGCTCGAGAGTCTGAGGGGCCCCGGGGTGTCGATGGGCCTGGTAAGTGTGTGCGTAGCGCCCTCTTCCTAATACTCAGTTCCGCACGTTTAGAACTGTCCTGCGCCCCGCAGGTGCACGTCCATCGTTGATACATATGGGCAACGGAGGTACCTTTCCTCGCGGTCGATAGGAATGTTGCCATTGCTCGCGTCCGTACAACATCCGTTGTACATCTACACTGTGCGCACAGACAGGTTTAAGATTGTTGACATTGACAGCTCCCTCAAGGCTCAGAGCCTCGGTGAGAAAGACTCCCTGCGTGATTCGCTCGCCCTCGGTTGGGCTAAACTGCGTCAGGCCGCAGCCAAGGTCACACAGCCTACTAGGAGGAGGAGCGTCGTAGAACATCTCAAGTTTTGCAAGCGCGATCTCATGACGTCGGCGCATCTTAAGCATCCTCATTGGCGTCACATCCGCATTGCACGGTACCAGAATCTGAGTCTATGGTCAGGATGCGCCGAGCGGTCACTTTAACGTCCGACTTAGGAATGAATGCGGGTCATTGCGGGATGCAATGAACGTGTTCACCGAGTGGCCTAGTACGAGCACGTGTTATGTACTTCCTCGTCGAGTGCAGCCACACTCGCATATCCATCTTTTCTATCGTCCACTTACTAGTAGTGCTGCAAACGCACAGCGGCGAGTCCTTTCCCTGTCGACTATGCGACTCGCAACCGTGACGCTCACTGTAGTCCCAACTCTCAGCTCGCCACCATCATGAGTTTGTCGACTCTTAACGAAGACGTCCTCCGTATCATCGCCGAAATGCTTTCCTCGACGGAATGCATACCTCTGTCGTCGGTGTCTCGCCATCTGCATGCAATAGCACGGCAGTATGTGTTCGCGTCCATCACTGTGGGAACCATGAAGCAGCTAGTCAAGATGCACGACCACCTCATGCGTAACATCGACAATCGCCGGATCTGGCCTCGGGAATTGACTATCTATGGCCTGCCGGGAAAGGTCCCCTACAAGGCTCCAGCCATTGATGCGCTGGTAGGCATCTTCGAGCACGCACAAGAGTTGAAAGCTCTGGAGCTCCACTGGTGTGAGGCGATGATCGACTGCGATGCACGGATCGGGGAGCATTTGGCTGCACTGTCGAATCTCTCGGACATCCGCCTGCTCGCCGTCGGGCCAAAAACACTCGATGTCCTCTGCAAAATGGTCAGCAGACCGGACAAGGCATATCTGTCATCCACCATGCTGTTCTCCAATCGTGCTCTGCTACGCATAGCTGAAGCCGCTGTGCTTGGCAACGTTAAGCGGCTCAGACTGCACAATTGTCAATTCGATGCACGGTCTGAACTGCAGCTTCTTTCCAAACTCGCTGGGGTCTATCCACGGCTGGAAGTCCTGGATCTCGAAGGCAGTGCCGTATATCCCTGTCTCATCCTGTTCCCCAACATACGCAGGTTGACGATCGTCGGTGGCCTGTACAACCTACCTCCTCCTGGCTATCCAGTGGAGCAAAGACACTTGGACTACTTATCGATTGAGCCAACCTACCTACATCTCATCTCAGCCGGCCCAGCCATCCGCAGCGACTATCTGCGTCTATACACCGAGAGGCAGCGCTTCGATCCTTCGGAAGTAGGTCCCGACCTTGTTTCCGCCGCCGCCGTGCTGGAGTTGAACCTGTTTTCTGTTGAATGTCCCACCGAGTTCGGCATGGCATTGGCACAGATGATCTCAGCAATGGTATCAAGAATTAGGTATCTTGTCTTGACGACCCAATGGTACTCGTATTCAGCGGTCACCCGGTGGATGGTACGTGAATTATGTACTGTCTTTACTTCGTGTCCTCGATACTCACATGTGTTCGTCAATATAGGAAAATATAACCCCGTCTCTGTCGCCTTCGCAACTTTTTTGCATACGGGTTCATGCAACCCACGCAGTTGATAGGGGACCATCGCGTGAAACATGGCTAGAATTGCTGCAGCGACTGCAGAGCGTTCACGTTTCTTCGGTACCCTCGCTCCGGTTCTATTTCCAGCATGTCGAGTGCCTCGATGATCAGCGGAAACCAAGCGGTCCCTCGAAGACCACTTCGTGGCGTGTTGAGGGCAATGGCGATCACCGCACGGTGCAGCCGATCCCCAATTGGCAGGGCGAGAGGATCCATCGCTACATGCAGTCTCCAGAGTTCTGTCGTACGTTGCAATTTGACGGTGAGTCGCGCGTTTAGTGAGCGGTGGACAATGTCACTTATATCGACAATCAGAGGGCGCAGCCCTGCAATATACCGGCCGGTGAATACGAAAGGAGAGGTAGATTGCCAAGCGAGCTCGGAAGATGTGTGTCGGAGCCCGAGCATCATACTAGGTATCTTCGCGGCTTGTAGCGTGATGATGCCTGCAGAGCCCTTCAAATCACGGTTTGCCTTCGATCTTCAATTTAATACCACACTCGTCGTGGATGCTATCGACAGTCTCAAGCTGACTCGTCTTAGGACGGCCATAACGCCGTCCGACGGCCGCGTCTGATTGCTGGCCATCTGCCCAGTGTCCCACCGACCGTGACGGCGAGGGTCAAGAGGCTCATCTGCGTGACTCTCAAACTTGACTCGGAGACGTGCAGCAGCTCGACTGCAAGCACGATAGGGACACAGATATGCATAGCTGTACTTTTACGTCGCACAATCAATATTGTGTGCCCAAGACGAGTCTGTACAGTGTGTGGCCGAAGCACTACTGTAGTGACTTACGAGCACGTGCCTTGGTGACGACGGTGTCACACTACTCTGAACCGGATCCTTTAATTTGTCTGAGGCTGTCTCCCCTCCACGACATCCAATCCTCAGGCCTCAGTAATCCCTTGCTAGCCTAGTATGAGTTTGTTGACTCTTAACGATGACCTCCTCCACATCATCGCCGACATGCTTTCCGCCGCGGAATGCATCCCTCTCTCGTCGGTATCTCGCGATCTGCATGCAATCGCGCGGCAGTATGTGTTCGCGTCAATCACCGTTCGTACCATGAAAAAGCTCGTCAAGATGCACGACCACCTCATCCGTAACGTCGACAATCGCCTGATATGGCCTCGTGGATTGACTATCTATGGTCCGACGGGGATGGGAGCAGCCTGGCAGCCTTCAGCCATCAATGCGCTGGTAGGCATCTTCAAGCACGCGCGGGAACTGAAGGTTCTGGAGCTCTACGGTTGTGAGGAGGCTATCTGTTGCAATAAGCTGGTCGGAGAGTATCTGGCTGCGCTGCCGAATCTCACGGACATAAGCCTGCTCGGCGTCGGGACGAAGACACTCGATGTCCTACACAAAATGGTCAGCAGACCGGAGAAAGCAGCGCTGTCGGCCACGCTTAAACGCGATCGATTCGCGACACACATCGTTCGAGCACCCGTACTTGACAACGTCAAGGAGCTCAAGCTCTATCAGTTCGACGGGGTACCTCCAGTGCAGCTTCTTTCGAGCCCTGCTGGTGCCCATCCACAGGTAGAAAGTCTGCATTTGGGTGTTTGTGCCGTGCATCCCTGTCTCATCCTGTTTCCCAACATACGAAAGTTGACAACCAACATCTGCCAGTTCGACCTACCAGTTCCTGGCCATCAGATAAAGCAACGTCGTTTGGGCCACTTGGCGGTTGAGCCAACCAAACTCCATCTCATCTCTGCCCTAGGCATCCGCAGCGATTACCTGCGTCTATACGCCGAGTGGCAGGATTTCTATCCTTCCAAAGACCTCGTTTCCGCCGCCGCCGTTTTGGAGTTGAGCCTGTACTGCTACACAGAGACCTTCATGGCATTGGCACAGATTATCTCAGCAGAACTGTCACGAATCAGATACCTTGTCTTGAGGATCGAAGTCTTGTATTCAGCGTATTCAGTGGTGGCCCAGTGGATGGTACGTGTCACATATACACTGACTCTGATCCGTGTCTTCGATACTCATATGTGTTCGTCAATATAGAAGGATATTCCCTCTTTGCTGTCGCCCTCGCAACTCTTTTGCATACGGGTTCATGCGACCCGCGTGATTGATACGGAACCATCGCGTGAAACACGGCTAGACTTGCTGCAACGATTGCAGGACGCCCACGTTTCCGCAATACCCTCGCTTCGGTTCTACTTCCAGGTCCTTGGCGAGAGGCACGCAGACAATTCCTCGAATTTTACCTGGGGGCGCGTCGAGGGCGATGGCGGCCATCGCACGGTGCGGCCGATTCCCAGTTGGCAAGGCGAGAGGATCCATAGCTACCTGCAGTCTCCGGAGTTCTGTCGCACGTTGCGATTTAATGGTCAGTTGCACTTTCAGCGAGCGATGGAAACAGCGGCTGATCCTGGCAACCAGAGGAAGCTGCCCTGCAATACACCGGCCAGTGAATACGAAGGGAGAGCTAGATCGTCAAGTGAGCTCAGAGAGAGTGCAATGGAGCTCGGCGAGTGCCCTACTAGGTGATATCACGAGCATGCTAGTCCGGAGGGCGTCTGTACGACATACGGTTCGCTTTTGCTGTCCAATGATATATCTTACTCATCAGAGATGCTATGGATAGTACTGCAAGAGTTGATTCGCATGACGCACACTGACGGCTGCGTTCGGGATGTGATAATCTGCTCAATGTCGCGAAGAGGCACATGTCGCCTGCGTGAGCCCTAGACGTGACGACAAGCATCGGTATATCGACAACAAGTACAGTGCAGGACATCGGCATGAACAAAATCGTGCCACAAGACCTTCCCAGCCAAGTTCCTCGTGAGTATCATGGGTTTCCTTAGTTCAATGCTAATATCCGGAATTTGTCCAGGTACCTATCGATGTTATAAGTAAACAGTTCAGAAGCCGTAATGGAAGAAGGCCACCATGTAGTCTCCGTCGTGTACTCGGCCCGGGGTGGTAGTTATGGCCACTGTCTCGAGTTCACGTGTCGCTCATTCTACGAGAGTTACGAGCGACGGAGGCTTTCGAAGCGCAGTCTACTCATTTCGTTCGTGTATCACTCGATGATGGAATCTTCGCTTACGTCGGTCGCAGTTGAACGTCGTCCTATGCCTTCGCTGTCTCCAGTCTATCCGCAGTTGATATTCTGTCGCAGATGTTCGAATGAGCCCAGGGACGTATCACTCGCTGAATTATCTCTGAAAGGACATCGCAGCAAGCTGTGGATTGCACGGAGGCTCGTTGAGATGATGAGAGGCGTGGTGTCTGGAGCCGCCATCACCGACATATACTAGACTTGTCGCAGAGATCACACCACAAGCAATAGCGGGTATCCAGATGAGAGGGCCGCTGGCCCTTCAGAGCTGTGGTATATTGCAGCAACTATGTATCCGTAAATGCAGAAATACAATGTAAATGTGAGTGTGTACCAGATGCGAATGCTGATGCGAGCGGAGACATATGCAAGGTGAGTGCAGCTACAGATCTACGAGCCTACAGGTCGGACGCGTGGTGGGATGGTATATAATGGTATGCTCCACAGGATCCGGATAGAGAACTAGGCTACATCGCGCAGTGGTGATACAACGGCGACTGGTGCGGGTATAATGTCAGCGTCAGTACAACAGCAAGTAGGGTATAACATAGTAGTTGAGTCCAGATGATAATGCTTAATCATAATGAGATCGATGTATGTAAGATGGACCGCTGTGCGGTGTTTGAGAGAGGCCGAGAGGAGGATGAGGAGAACGGGTATCGGAGCTCGGGGATTGAGAAGAGGAGGTTGGCCCGGTTAGATCAGAGAGGCTAGATGACGGAGTCGTGCCGCAGGAGGCAGACGCGCGTGTGATGACAGAGTGCTCGGGTCCGGGAGCAAATCGCACGACAATGTCAGGACCGGAATGTCGCTGGCTGATCGAGAGGAAGCGCCCTTCTGCTAGATAAGTCGGGCCTATTGCGCCAGCGGGAGCCTGAGGAATCATGCGACAGCAAGGCAGGGGCGCCGGTGCCGTTGCTGGAACGACGACGTGCACCATAGCAAAGTATGTCTTAATGCTTCAGCGCGCTCGGGACCACCACCCAGCGACTCCGCGCGCACCCACATAGACGGCCTTCACAGCAATGCCAGCCAGAAGTCCGGCACCTTGAGCCATACGCGCAACCATCTTCACGCGCCGCCAGCGAGCAAGGCTAGCCTCGTCGATATGTCCATCAGACCAGTGGCCATCCGCGCCGGGCTCAAACTCGCCCTCAGATCCACAGAACGAGGAGTTATCTGTGTCGTCGCTGCTCTCGCTGTGGCCTACGGACAGCGCGTCCAGGCTGAGGTAGCCAGGCATCAGAGGCGAATCATAGTCCTCCGTCTCGGGGTTGTACGCCTGTGCGGGTGGGGTCGGCCCAGCTTCGAGGCCCGCTGATGCATGCTCAGCCGTCGCAAGAGCAGCTTCTGCTTTCCGTGCAGCCTGCTCGGCCAGCGCCCACGCGTAATGCGCGGAATCAAAGTTGCTGTACGTGTGCACTTGGTGGACGTAGCACGGCGGCTGAGGTATATCTACTATTGGCTTGAGCGGCTCCCAGTACGTCGGCTGCATTTTCAGGCGCAGCTTTGAGCATCCGCGAACCGAGGCTGGATAGTTGGATACGGGTGCCCTGAGTGGAGACGTGACGTGAGACGTGGGTGGTAACCCAGCGAGGAAGTCGTGGAATGACATTGATGCAGTGGGCGCGGCGGGAGCAGTTGTCGAAGCAGCAGGTCGCAGAGGCTTAGGCAAAACCTTGAGAGGCTTGTCGGTATGCTGCTCGACCGGTTTGTTGACGGGGACCGTCGCAGGAGCAGTCTTCAGTGCCAGAGCGACCGGGGGCACAGAGCGAGCATCCTTGGTATCCGGCGTGGCCTTGGTATCCGGCGTGGCCTTGGTATCCGGCGTGGCCTTGGCAGATGCTGGGTTCAAGGACGGTTGGGCCGCATCTAAGTCGCCTCGACCGCGTGCGGGCTTCGCAGGCTGTGCAGAAATGGTGGGTCGTTGCACCGTTGGAGTTGAAGACGTCGGTGGCACCGGCGCTGCAGACACGGGTTCAGTGTGAGCTGGAGCTGGACGAGGTGAGGCTGTAGTTGCGGGTAATTGTGATTTCACTGGCTGCACAGTCGACTTCGCTCCCTGGACAGGAGACATCGACAGAGACTGAGCTCCCGACGCTGCAGGTTCCTGAGCCTCAGAGGATGTAGGACTGGACTGTTCACCCGCTCGAACAGTCCAACGTTGATTGACCGGTTGGGCAGCAGTGGGCACTGATGTACTCCTGACTGTTTGAGCGGGACTCTCTCGCGCTATCATCCTACCAGCAGCCGGTGGCTTTGCATTTGCAGCTGCACCAGTCAAGACATCGCCAGAGACACGAGTTGACTGCTGCTGGCCCCTGTGTCCAACAATCACAATCAGCATGTCAGAACGAGCAAAACTCCAAGCGACGACTTACGGTGCCGTTGTCATGTCTTTGTCCAGCGGTCGCCGCGTTTCGGTTACGTGTTTGCTTTCCTCCCCCAAAGCGGCTTCAGCTGAAGCCGCTAAAACATGGTCGTCGGTACTGCAAGTAACATCGGTAGCAAGGGCCACAGGTGGGTCCTGTAAGGCCCGCAGATTGTTCGTCAAGTCCGGTGACCTTGATGGACCAGGCATCGACGGATCCAAGTCGCTTCGACGGGGAGATAATAGCGCGGCCTGCTGTCTCACAATGTCAGGATCGATTGTGTTACTGCCCAGCGACAGTCTCTTCGCGGCCTCAAAAACTCGGGAGTCATCCTCATCGTCGGCCTCAGAACTCTCTACCACAGCTTCCTCCTCGATCCACTTAGCCTTGCCCTTGCCCTTCCGATCAACGAGAGTCGCGCCGGGGACAGGAGAAGTGACTTCCTGGTCCTTTCCCTTGAGCTGCGTGGCAGAGGTCGTTGTCTTCACAGGAAGTGCAGTTTGCGAGCTGGATCTGGCGTTCGTAGCATTCGCGGGGGTGCTTGGCGTAGTTAGTGTGCTGGCCTTCGGTGAGCTGGGCTTCGACTTCGGTGAACTGGCCTTCGGTGAGCTGGGCTTCGGGAAGCTACTAGCCTTCGGTGAGCCGGGCTTCCGAGATGTGTTTTTCGCTTGCTCGGGCTCAGAGGCCTTGGGGATGACAATAGCACCCTGGCGATACCAATTTACGTTACTTCGAATCGCGGGAGTAAGATTGCAGTCGTACTTACCGACTTATCTGGCCCTCGCGCATCCGGTGTCGCATGAGGAACACTTGCTGGTTTCTGAGCAGTACCAGGTGCCTTGGATGCAGCAGTTTCCTTGGCGGTGACGTCCTTCGATCCCGCAGCATCCGATGGCTTCATCGCCGACGGTGAGGTGGTCGGGCTAGCGGGGACTGCTCCTGTTGATGCTGAAGGAATTTCGAAGTCCATCTCTACGTCTACATCGGGCGTAAGTTCCCAAGCCGCCCAGGTCCTCCGTTCGACAAACAGCTCCCAGCGAGGCTCCGTCCGCCGGCGGCGAGTGAGGACCTGTCGTGCAAACCTGCACATCGTGCCGCAACGCTTCTGCAAAGGGGTCCGTTCCGTCTTCCGCTGTCCCTTAAGCGCGTTCTTCCGGGCAGCAACCTGACGCCTGACACCATGAGACCGTCCGAGCCGTGGCGGCACGACGACAGGGAGGTATCGCGTGCGATGATGGTGACGCCTTGCGCGCAGTCGGAAGATTTTCTTCGACGGCCGCTTTGCCAGGGCGAGGTAAGCATCGCGAGCAGCACGCCCACGACGGTCAACCCATGCTGGGCGATGTCGGGAGCGCGGGATATCTTCGTCCATTTGTATAGCTATATCCATATCGCCCCCCGAGGCGAATGGAGCATTATAGAAAACACCTGTAGGAAGTTGCGGGAGAGCGATAGGCGTGTTGTACTGGCTCTGCTCTCCGGACGGCTGCCATTGTGGGGCTGGGGCAATCGAAGTCGGCCACTGTGGGACGGAGGTGGGGCCGAAGGCGGAGTGCACGGTTTGTTGAGGTTCGTCCTCCATCGGTGTGTCATCCATCGATGTCGATTGATACGGCTGGATGCTGAACAACGGCGGTGTAGGTAACTGGTTAGGCTGTGGCGTGTTCCATTGCATGCTCTGCATCGAACAATCGTAAGTGAAAGTTGCACAGGATAAGCCAAGGACCACGTACAGAGGGAGCGGGGGTAGACTCTTGTCCACTCATGGCGTCTCGCTTGTCGTCCTTAAAGACGTTCATGGGATCGGGCCCAGGAGCTGTCGGTAATGCCTCAGGCCATCGAATGGGAGCGGGTTCGGTGGGAGGCTGCGTGGTGTAGACTTTCTTGTCTGCGGGAGGCGTAGGCACTACTGCAGATGGCGCAGAAGACATCACAGATGCGAGTGAGTCTCTTGGAGGGGTGGACACGACGGTCGGAGGGGCGGGCGCAGCAGGCCGAGGCCGAGTGACGGAAGCTGCAGGAGGAGGAGGAGGAGGAGGAGGAGTAGAAGCTGCGGGAAGAGGACTGGGCTTCTGTACGGGCGCAGGCTTTGGTGTTGCAGAAGCAAGAGGTGCCGCCTCCGTACGGGGAACGGGCACACTCTGGGCGCGAGGAGCGGGGGTGACCACAATGGAGGGCACTTCCTTTGTGGCGTCCTCCTTTGTGGCGTCTTCGACCGTGTTGACAATGGCAGGCGGAGGCGACAGACGCCTAGGGGAACGCGGCGGGCGGGGAGGGGCCAGCGACAACGAGGCCATGCCCATGTCGAGACCGAGGTCATCTTCGACCGGCCTGTCGGTTGTGGCGTCGTGCGTGAGGGACAGTGACGCCAGACCCAGATCGAGGCCAAGATCGGGCTGGGTGGATTTCTTTGTAGTGGTGTCGCGTCGTCCGAGCGATAGTGACGCTAGAATCGACTCAAGCTCGAGCTCGAGCTCGGCTGGCTTGTTCTTCTCTGCCTCCGTCTCTTCTCTGAATCGTAGCACAACCGGCGGCGGAGTCTGCAGCCTCGGAGAAGGCGACCTGCTGGTATCTTGGCGGGCCAACCCTGGCGGAAGCTGCGGCTCCGGTGAAGGCGCTGCAGAGCGGCGTCCTTCCGGCGACGGCGAGCGGTAGCGCTCGGAGTGGGCCGGAGACACCTGTGTCGAGGTGGCCTGTGTATCCGCCTCTAAGTCCTCTGAATGAGGCGGCGGACCGGCCGGAGGAATCGGCACTGAGGCTAGGAACTTCTCGACGTCCTCCTCGGATGCAGGTTTCGTCGGCTCCGCCTGTGTTGAGTCTTCATTATGGGATATGGCGTGCTGTCGCGCTGCGTCCTGCCTTTGTTGCGATTCGTTCCTGCGATCGGAAAGCTCGTCCGGTTTGATCTCTGCGAGGTGCTCAGATCGTTGGTACATGACGAAGGCCGGAGACAGCTCACCTTTGCCTTCCTTATCTTCGTCCTCATCCTCGTCTTCATCTTCATCCTCATCATCGTCCTCATCGTCCTCGTCTTCATCCTCATCATTGTCCTCGTCTTTCTTATCGTCATCTTCCTTATCCTCCTCATCTTCGCCCTCATTTCCGCCTTTCGCGGGCTGGTCATGGTCCCCATCTTGATCCTCTTCATCACTAATCCCCCAGTCGAGTACTTCGTCGTCATCATCTTCGAGGGGTCTCCTGATCTCGCCCACGGTGGAATTCCGTGCCGGCTGGTGTCCGCTGCCGGCACCGTCTGCCGGCTGTGTCACGTCGCACTCTTCCATATCGTCGTCATCCTCGTTCTCTCCGTTCGCATCTTCAGCGTCCGTTTCGTCTCCCTCGCCCATCTCATCATCTTCATCTTCATCTGCGAGGGCCGCCATCGCCGTGGTGGGCGACGGCATCGGCGTTGGTATATGCTCTCCACCCGGCGGCTGTGGTGGCTTGATCTTGAACACCATCTTGCCTGTCACGGCGTTGACCCCAACGGTGAGGCGCTTCGCATTCTCAACCCCGTCTGTTTGCGTGCGTGGCTTTGTGGTTCGTAGGTTCCGGAGCTGCTGGGCGCGGAGGTCACGCTCCTTACGCTCGTCGTGGAAGTGGACGGTCGAGCGTTTCCGGTGCGTGCCATCGGAGCCACCAGACTTGAGGATTCCCCTGCGAGAAGGGAGGGGAGGTTAGTACACGGAAATTCTCGGTCGAAAAGGGATGCAAATGGGAAGGCAGAACGTCCCAAAAGACTGCAGCAGACTGTGAGGGCGAATATGAGTAGGGGCCCATCCTACGTGCGTGCGTGTCCTAAGCAAGCAACCCACTGTGCTGGGACACTGCACAGAACATCGCATCAAGTTTGCAATCATATTGTTGACGGTCTAGTGTCACAGAGACCGTCGAAGATCGTGGTCTGTGCGACGCCACAATGACCGGGACGTGGAGAGGGGGCGTTCTGACGCGCCATGGACGCGTCGATACCGCTTCAAGCGTGTATTAGGTGAGGCGCGGTGTCCCAGATCTCACTCATGGAGATGTGGAGCTCAATGGCCAACATAACTTGGACCCGTAGCGCGTACATGGCAGACGCATGTGCAGACTGCTCAAAGCGCCACAATGGTGGGCTGCGAGGCAGAGGCGGACATACGGACAGACCAGGCTTATGATAAGCTCGTTTGTGGAATAAACATGAGTCGCACGGAGATGTGGCGTCCAACACCGTGTACGATGACCAGCGCGGTGAGCCCAGGCGAAGCCCGACGATTCAGGGAACCGTCATGTATGGTGAGCCAGTGCACGCACGCCCTCGAAATGTCAAGACAGTGAGGAAGAGTGAGGCAAGGAGAGGTCATGACAGCACAGTCGGGCGACCCCAAATGTGGCGTCGGCGCAACGAGCACATTCAGTGCGTTGTAGGGCGCGCATGATGCAGCACAGCGGCAGAAACGATGATGGACGTCGCTGCCGTCCCTGCGGTAGCAGTCATGCGCGAAGCAGGGGCGGGAGGAGAGCGGGAGGAGAGCGAAGTAGTCATTCTCCACAGCGACGCAGGCGGCCACGAAGATGACAGATGTATCCTCGAGCGGTGTGCTAGACTCAATCGTGTCACGACGCCACCATACACGCGATCGCTGTGAGAAGCGTTCGAGGTAGAGGGAGGTTTGTCGGCGACACCAAAAACGGCGAGTAGCGCGCACGGCGAGCAAGGATGTCGCGCGACACAGAGGCGCAGGGCCCTACGATCGTCTGCCTGACATGAACAAAGCGGACATACCTTCCTGGAGATCCTCGAGCCATGTTGCGGTATGAAGTGAGGGTTGTGGCGTGGCCGATTGAAGGTGGTATGTCGATCTCGCCGTGCTTGGGTGCAAGCACGGCCAGGGGGACTGTATGTATAGGAGGTTGCTTGCGAGTCGCGGGACAATAGCCCGTGCAGAAGTTGCGAGGGGAGGGCGAAGGTATTTGTCGGGGGAGTGGTGGTGGGGGAGGAAGAACAAGAAGTGCGTGCATCGCCACAGTTGCCTGAAGAGGGACATAGCGTCGGGAGGGTGCGCTTTGACCGAGGAGACAATGGCAGGTGCGGCAGTCGGACGAGTGGCGGGCTGCTTTGGCCCAAAGCGCCCAGCGCGTCGCGTACCATCGCTCAGGCGCCCACCGCATCCCCACCACGGTCACGTGGAAAACGCGCTACGCGAAATCGAACCAACAACGTGGGATTATGTAAGCGTGGCTAACATGCGTTGAGCACGACGTCGCAGGCTTGCTCCTGCTTCTTCCCATCCATCACGAGCCACCCCTGCACCTGCGTCGACGGCGTCAGGCCTGCCCACGACGATGTCCGTCCCCCTCTACACCATGGCCCCGCCGCCGCGGCGAAACCCCCTCAGCACCGCGCCTACGAACCACCACGCGATTAACCAGCCCTACGCACCACCCGGGACACCCCCCAAGCCACAAGTCCAAGAGAAACACCGCAACCCTTCATCGCCCCCGCTGCCGAGGCAGAATATGAAAGTCACCCCGCCTTCACCTCCCAAAGTCATTACCGACAAGTCTCGAACGGTTGAATTCTTCCGCATTGGCATGCTCGGCGAAGTAAGTACAACTCGGCGGCTTGAGTTGTGCCTGTCCCTGCTATGATTTGCTTGCTGCATCTCACTGCCCTGTGCTTCATCCGCGCTGCTCGTTCGCAGCACGACGGATGTGGCGGCGTCGCCGTTGTCTGTTTGGAGTTGGGTGACGACCACATCTTCAATCGCGATTCGTGACGTGTAGTGGCGCCTTGCGAGTTCTTTTGCCTCGCGGGTATCTTTGTGTGCATGTTATAGGGACTCCACTTGCGGCATTCCTGGTGAGACGGTGTTGCCAGTCACTGACATTTGCATCGACAGGGTGGCTTCGCTCGCGTGTATGAAGTCCAAGACTCTCGCGGCTCAAGGTCGGCGTGTAAAGTTGTCACGAAATCCTCTCTCAAGACTAAGAAGGCGAAGACAAAGGTACGCACGTCGTCGTGGCAACTTGAACATCCCGTCTAACAGCCACACAGCTCTACGCCGAAATCAAGATCCACCGTTCCCTCGACCACCCAAACATCGTTCGTTTCCAAGAATGTTTCGAGGACGACGACAACGTCTACATGACCCTCGAGCTATGCCACAATGGCTCACTCATGGACATGCTGCGACGGCGGCGACGCTTCACAGAGCCGGAGTCACGTTTCTTTATGGTGCAGCTCATCGGCGCGTGCCAATACATGCACACGCACCAGGTCATCCACCGTGACCTGAAGCTCGGCAACATCTTCCTCGACCGTAACATGAACGTGAAGGTCGGTGACTTCGGCCTTGCGGCGCTCATCGAGAACCCGGGCGAACGCAAGAAGACGATCTGCGGCACGCCGAACTACATTGCGCCCGAGGTTCTCTTCGACACCGCAAATGGGCACAGTTTCGAGGTCGACACGTGGTCGATTGGCGTCATACTCTACACGCTCGTCGTCGGCCGCCCGCCGTTCCAAACCAAGGATGTCAAGGCCATCTATAAGCGCATTCGGGACAATGAGTACGAATTCCCCGAAGACCGCGCTGTGTCTGTGCTTGTGAGGGAGCTCGTACAGCAGATCCTCACCCCCGACCCGCAGCAACGCCCCACCCTTCACGAAATCGTTGAACATGCGTGGTTCACAACAGGCGTCGTGCCTGGTTACATCCCCGCAACTGCGCATGACGGCCCCCCGAGCTTCGCACATATCACGCGCTCGATCTCCGAGGCGAACCTCGCGCGCCTCAAGCGCTACGCAATGCTGGACGAGGATCAGGTAACCAGCATCAACGTCCCCGCGCCACCTGCGCCTTCTGCGGCTACGTCGAGCAAGAGCAAGGGCATGTCGTCAAGCTTGGCGCAACAAGAGAAGGAGTTCCAGAAGGCCGTGCAACCTGGTTCGCCGATCTCTGCCCTGCTCAGCTCCGCTCGTCAACCTCTGCTGGTTGCGCCCCTCGCTGCACCCCGTGGCGAGCCCCTCCTCCGCAAACTCCAAGCAGCCAAGGACCCGCGCTCCCCTGCACGCCCCGGCCGTACGAACCTTCAAAACATCGCAGAGCGCGAGGAAGACGAAGATGTACAGCGAGAGGTGATCCGCAAGAAGGAGTTGGAGAGCCAGAAAGCGCGCATCGTCGCGCAGATGGTGCCCGGCAGCGCGCCCGGTTCGGCGTACGGCCAGGAGGACCAGGAGAACGTCCCCCCTGCAGAGTTCAGGCCTTCTCGCGAACGGCGGGGAGAGTCGAACAAGGAGAGAGAGAAGGTGAAAGAGAGGCAGGTGCCTAAGGAGGAGTCGACTATTCCGGCCCCGGTCCCGTCGTCGTCCACTGAGAATGCGCCCGCTCTCCGCGTGAATGGGTTCGACGCCGCCGCGCAGACGCTCACTGTGGCGTTTGATGCGAAGGCTGCTGGACGAGTCTTCAAGGATCCCCGCGAGGAGGTTGGCTTGCCCGACCCGAAGGTCTTCATCGTATCCTGGGTCGACTACTGCAACAAGTACGGCATGGGTTATGCGCTCACCGATGGCTCTGTCGGGGTGCACTTTAACGACAGTACGACGATGATTCTCTCCGCAGATAAACAGTGCGCACCCTTTGGCCAGCTGCACGTCATTGCATTACTGACCTTTCCCACAGTCATTTTGATTACGTCTCGTCGAGGCGCCAGGGCTCGGTATACGTGCGCAAGAACTACACGGTGTCTGTATATCCCGAAGATCTGAAGAGCAAGGTGTATCTCCTTAAGCATTTCGAACGCTATATCATGGATCGTCTCTACGGCGAATACGACTACACTTACGAAGACAAGGAACGCACGAAGGGCATGGACTTCGTGCAGAAGTACCTCCGCATGAAGCACGTTATCGTGTTCAAGATGAGTCACGACGTCTTACAGGTCCGTCTTCGCGTCTTCTTGTCTTCTCTCGACGTCACTGATCGCTCGGTTTGACAGTTCAACTTCTACGACCATTCAAAAGTCATCCTCTCGTCCCAAGGCCTACTCATCACCCACATCGACAAGGACTACAACCTCACCCGGTGGACTCTGAGCGAGGTAATGGGCCTTGCACTTCGCCCACCGGTCTCGGACCCGAAGCAGGCCAAGTTTAATCAGCGCCTCTTCGACAAGATCAAGTACTGTAAGGAGGTACTGGTGTCGATCAAGAACGCCAGCTCGAGTTCGGGTTCTGGCGAAGATCAACAGGTGCAGGGGCAAGGCGAGGATCCGGAGGGCTTCGGGATGCCCGGCGGACCGCCACCCATGAGCACTCGCTCGTCAAAGCAGTCGTTGCGCTAGCGGTCCTCCTGCAGGTAGTTACAGCGGCGAGGAGGTTCGTACCTTGCTGGCGTCGTTCAAATCGTTAGCGCCGACGTCTGTTCTGGATATTTGCATTTGTACGATACCCTCCGATGAATCCACGACCGTATGCATGTTCACACGTCTCTTTATGATCATCTCATCCTCTCCTCTCGCTGCCTCTCTTGTCACTCTCTCGTCACTTCTCGTCTGTCTGGTCTCGCACATCACCCATTCGTAGCCCGCACCTATCCACGATATGTATTAGACGCATCTACTTAGTCACCGAACCCGTGGTCATGTACGTTGCCGTTTGCTCACAACCGTACGTAGGTGCGGGTCAGAATGACATGGCTTCTAGCCCTCTCGCACTCTACTACTATTAGTATAGGCGACGGCGGTGATGGCGTTCCAGTACTTGCTGAAGTTGTGTCTCAACATGTCCGAGTAAGTCAAGCTTTCCACTGAACTGGAATATGGGACGCAACATTATTCCGACTTGGATAAAGCTGCTTCGTATATTGACAGGAAGTGAGCAATCGAGGCCTGCGTTCAGGCAACATCTGGCAACATTCAGCCTGAGGCTGAGGAGGCCTGCCGCCTCAGGCTTGCACTGGCTGCCAAATATGGAACTATGTTGTTTGGCAAGAGCCTTAGAACCAAACAACCGCCTCCTGTAGGCGCCGGTGCTGTGCTTCTACAACACAATTTCCGATGCGCTCCACTCTTGTACTTTCACAGGACATCTTGATGAACGCTTCAACGGATTCTTTCTTGGGCTTCGATTGCTCTTATACCGCCACACGAGAGGTTTCGTGAGTCTACGGGACGGAGCACTCAGCACTGGCACTGCCAGTGGTGGAATGTGAACGGGCGACGCGTGTGGTCCCGGCAGACTAGTAGGCAGGAAGCTGTGCGCGAGAGCGCTATGGTACAGCATGTCTCTTTTTGGTAGCTCCGACTGTCGAGATGCTAATGAGACTTGAGTTGTTGAGATCAAGTGCGGTCACCGCCGCTGGCCGCGTTTCGCCAGAACGTACATCGCATTCATGCGCCCGCTGTCAAATCTAGCGGTGTACTGGGCTAGAAGCCTCCATTCTTGCAATTTTACAAGGAAAGGAAACGCTGGACGCTGTGACGTCCTTCCGGATCTGGACAGCTCGGAACGGACTCACTGGCAACCGGCGTGCACCTGTGGCGTTTCTTCAAGTTTGACGCGACGCAAGGGACCCATCAGGTGTGGGATGGCAATCAAAGGTTCTTCGTGTCTGGCTTTTCTGAGAGTCCGAGTCATGCTAACATACCGTTACCATCAGCTTCAACTCGATGGCATTTTGACCGGAATCGTCAACGTGAACCGTCTGCGACCGAGAAAGGAACGACAGTGAAGGCAGGCTGTGTGGGGGATTTTCACAGTGGCTCTGCTGGAAGTATACGGCTCATAGAACTCCGAAATTGTTACCATTATTCTGGGACACGGTGAGCCCTTTGAGCAGATTTCCGAGGTGCTTCTAGGTTAGTGGTAACTGCGCATATGGATAGGATCCGCTATGGTGTGAATCACTGTACACAGTACACTACAGCGGCTGAAATTTATAAAAGCCAGTCGAGGGTGGCGCTCCTCCACACAATCGCACTCCATATCGCCTGTCCTACCGTGGACGGCAGTCCTTTTTGTCTTACCCGCCTCACCCATCCCCTTGCGAAATACCGAGCCCGTTTGGACCGTTGCCCCTTGCATTCGACGACCCCATGTCGGCCTCAGACCTATACTCGATGCTTCTGTCAAGCGAAGATTCTTTCGCCACGGAGTACTTCGACACAGATGTGAGTAAAATGGTCGTCGTTCATTTACCCTCATGTCTCATTAGCGATGCAGAGTCTTTCTTCTCTCGGAAGTGATGCGAATTTTCCGTCGCCCCTCGACAATCCGACGAACCTGTCGGAGCTCCTACGAGAATTCGGTCTACCGGACTTGCCGGACTGGTCCTCGCAGTTGGCAGACGGTTCTTCAATATACCACGACTTCCATTCTCACTACACCTGGTCACCCCCCTTTGTCCCTTCGCCGCATCCACGGTCGCCACCACCTCTTCCTGCGCTGGTCCCCGAACCTGAACCCGCGCTTGCAACACAGGAGCCAACCTCGACCACGCTGTCACCCACCCCTACAACAAACGGCGACGAAAGCTTCCACATCGCTCCTAGCATGGACGACACGGGGCTTGGAAGAACCAAATCAAGTACTGTGGCGGTGGACGACTCGGGTTCAACAGCGCAGACGTGTGAATTTGAGACCGATCTCAGCGTCCATGGAACAGCATCCGAGTTGCACGATCAAAAGGATCAAGAACGCCAGACAGCGCAATCTCCACAAGTACTGCGCCAGACCTTCCGAAGGAACTTGAAAAGACGCGCGGAAACAGACGAGGAGGAGGATTGTGCCGGACAGTCTACCCTCATGCCTCAGAAGAAACGGCCAAGACGAAGATTGCAGAGCGATGACGAGTATCGCCCGAACTTGCGCCGTGCATCTTCGTCCCGCCAAAATACCCACATCAAATGTCCTTCAACGCACATCGCGTGTCGCAAGAGTGGCTGCCAGCAAACCTTTACACGAGAGCGGGATCGGGACCGGCATGAATCCGTTACGCATGAACAGCGCAGAGTCCAATGCCTGCATTGCAACTTGATACTCTCGCGCGCGGACTCTGCAGAGCGCCACTCGAGAAACAGACACAGGGGGAAACCGTTATGGATCGTGGCCGTCCAAATTGTTGAAGATGCACCATCCGCGGACGAAGTAGCTGCCGGCGGATGTGGCTCGACAGAAACCACAGATAATGCGACTCGTGTTGCCAGGCGAACTTCGACCCGTCCCAATTCATAACCATGGCCACTTACACGCTGCGACTCGGAGAAGTATACCTGCCGCGACCGAAGCTGCATAGCGGTAGGTCACTAAGCTGAGCAGGTAGTAGCCTGCGCCGGCTGGCGCTGTGCGAGCCCGTCCTTTGTCGTTACGGCATTTGCTCTGAGATGAGCTGCTTTACCAATGGTCAGGCATCCGGTGTGGCCTGGGGGAGGTATTGGCGGCATGTATACCCACAGAGCTCCGTTCAATTTGGTGCAGAAACATTATGCATAGATCTAGTAGTTCATAGTAGCTGCGTTCAAGATCATCTACTACAAGTTCTGTATCTAGTTTCGTCAGAGACTGATCAATATATACCCAATACTTACTCGCTGTATTAGCCCGAGTGCGTCTGTTCAGACCGTCTACAGTTGATTTCGCAAGGTATATAACGCTGCTCGTCGCAGTACTTACAAGTTTTTGAAACTAGGTCATCTCGTACTACTGGCACCAAAGGCGGACTTCATAGCGCAAAGCATCAACGTCCGCCCGACGTCCGCCCATGACAATTCATCAATTAAATAACTGGCCTAGGCTCGAGCTAATACATGTGCGACGGAGATGGTTCGTGAGCGACAAGCATTTTCAAGTTACAGTCGGTAGCGCCGCTTTGACCGTGACGCTTCCGCTTCAGCCCACTATGTAGTAGCGCCCGCGAGCTCAACGGCATGCGGCCATGATGATGTACCGCACTGGCGTCTGATTCCTGTCTGTTCGTCATATATAACCATGGGCGTAGACATCCGCTCCTGCATCCCCAATCTTACTTGTCTACAGTACTTGCGCCACTCATATCTTCCATGCAGCCGCCCTCTAATTTTCAAGTTGCGCCTCGGGCATCCCCCGAGTCCGCCGCGCTCTCCGCCACGTCTCATCCGCCTCGCCACTGCGTGCGGTTTGTGATGGAGGCGTCATTACCTGACATCGCAGCCAAGACTGGCGATGATAGCAATAACAGTGTACGATGAGTGCGTTCATGCGCGTGATAGTCATCATCTCACTTGGATCAATATTGTCTCCCATTTAGGTGCCACACAACGCCACTCCAGGTATCCGTCTCTCAGTCAAACCTGTTCCTGTGGCCGGTTCTACTGCCCTCAATTATCGGATGGTCTCCTCTAGCGCTATGATAGAGTGCGAAGACCCTAGTGCATTACAATCTCGACATCAGACGTCGTTTATATGCCATCCGGAAGGACGATCCGAAGCATTCCGAGTCCAGGCGACCTTTTCTGTGCGGCGTCTTCGTAATGACGAGTTTCAAGCCCACTCGATCAGGCCGTCTTCACTAGACCAAATCCAACCAGAGCATCGTCTCGAAGATCGACTGCTTGACGGACACGCCACACGCGATCGTGTACCCGACGCAACACCGCACTTACCCGGCCTAGCGGAGATGGAGCAGTCGGCGATCACCTTGCTATCGCGTATGCGCGCAAGCAGAACCCGTTCCGCGGTTGCGAATCCCCAAGCGCCATCGTCATCGTCAGTCCTGCCCGACGCAGAGGACGATGCCGCTTCTAGCGAATACGAGGACTCGCAAGACGGAGCTACAGGAGACATCAGTGACCATAATGATGTCGATCTACATCGTGAACCAGGACTTGTTGAGCCTGGGCGCATGAATGCCTCCGTGGAGCACCCCAGTGAGGCAGCACCGTTCCAGGTATACAGCGTTTCGGGCCCTAAAAGCAAGAAAAGGTCGAAACGGAGGACCCCCTGGGCTGAACGGCGCACATTGCTCGGGAGCCCACGCAGACAGGTGGGGGCACCCATCTCATGTGGATACAATGGCTGCAAGCGGTCGTTCTTGCGCAAGGCGGACCTCCGTCGTCATGAGGCGGCTCATGATCGCAGGGGCGGGTGGAAATGCATGCTGTGCGGCACCGTCCTTTCTCGACATGACGCCGGCATGCGGCACAGCACTGGGCGGCATAAGGGCGAGAAGCCACTCCTCGAGTTTCTCGATGTCATTGACGAATGAGGCCAGGCTTGAGCCCTAGCCGCCCGGCCAAATGAGCTAAGTATGCGAACCATATATTGACGACCTGTATGCCATATGCATATGCGTGCTGGGACAGTTGGACCTGGCGTTCTTGTACTGTCATGATGCTTATAACAGTGTATGCTTACTACAAAATTTTGTATTCGACTTCATCGGCTGACTGGCACCTCAAACCGGTTTCCAGACAGACGAGCTACTGTACAAGCAGCTGCTTCTGTCTGACTCGAGATGTCACAATCCAAGCCCGTGACCACGTCACAATATGTACTTTTGCGCGTCCGAGTCCGAGTCCCGAAGTCCGCATGCATTCATAGCCGCTGGCATGAGTATAAGTGCAGGCTTTGGCCCTCTCCTGGCAGAGCTTCATCGTCCATGTCATCGACTCTCTTCCCCTCGTCCTACTATGCCACCTACCTCCACCGTTTCCGACTCAGTAGAGTACGCGCACTCAGCCACGTCTTACCCAGTGGAGGAATCCATAATGGATGAACCAGAGACGAACCAGGGCCCGGGGCCGGAGCGTTCAGAACACCGGGATAGCGCTGTATGCCACTTGCTATCCCTATGCTCATGGTAGCCTCTGACCCACTTGGGTTGCTCCGCAGATTCGTCTCGAACGTGTGGCGCACAACAAGGCTACAGGTATTGGTATCGCTGGCGACGATCCCAATACCATCCAAAGTCCTCCAGACGCTCGATCTGGTTCTGTGGCACTCTCCGACGACCATGTCTCAAGCAATGGTCAACATCAAACTTCGTCCTATGTGCGGCGCCACCTGGATGGGCACTGGCGGTCCGAACCAGTCCTAGTCACTACTTTCGCTGTCACGCAGTGGCTCCGCTTGAAAGAACCGAACCAGGAGCATGGAAAAGCCTTACGCCGTGGCGCGCAACCTGAAAACCATGCCGAGGGGCGGGATGTACCTGCGCCATATCAGTTAGACCCGGACCCGGACCTGGAAGAAGAAGAGACAGTAATGTCTTTGCTGGCGTGCATGCCTGCAACTGCGAGGAGTCGGTCCATTGTTTCTCAGTCTGCTGAGGTCGCCTCGGCATACACGCCCTCCACAGTGTCGTCTGCACCTCTCGCGGAGACCGAGTCAACGCCACTCACGTCGACATCGCAGCAGTATGGTCCTATGAGCGAGCCCGCTTCCGATTCATCCATCTCACGGCCTAGCTCTCCCACGATCTCGCAAGCATCGTCAAGTGAGCTCAGCGAAGATGACGCGTACAACGAATACACACCTGAGGAGGATCCAGTAGATGTTAGCAGCAGCGGCGACTCAGGTAAAGCACAAGGCACCAGGGAAGTCGGCAAGGTCAAGAATCGCAGCGATCAAGCTGCTCGTAACGTCGCATCGGGATCCATGATGACCAGGAGTCGGAGTCGCAAAGCTGGCGCGGGACATGCTACAACTCGTGCCAAGACCGGCTCCAGGGTGAGAGTCCCGCGCGCGAAACCGCAAAGTGCGCACTCTGCCCCCAAGCGCGACAACACGCCGAGAAATCTGCTTCACTGCAAATATGTCGATTGCGATTACTCGTTCCTGGCGAGTAGAGACCTCAAGCGCCACGAGGCGACCCATACCGGCGAGGACAGGTGGAGATGCCTGCGATGCCAGAAGATACTTGCCCGACACGACTCCGCTTTGAGGCACAGTAGGCGGCATGAGGGCCGCCCTCTCCTCGAGCGCGTCGAAGCTGCAGAGGAGTGAGGGCACCGCCACCATCCTTCATACTGTGTCAATTCTCTTGATCAACCTATGCTATGTACGCAGGCAATGCACACACGGCCATGCATGACCTTTCCCCAAATGCCGCCACTAGATGTACGAGGACGTTAATAGAGTAAAATTTATACTATGACTGGCAATGTATGCTTACAGCACTATGGTCCCAAATCGCTTCATCTCCACTTTCTGAACCATGCCGGACTGACCATCAGGCTTACTGAGAACAGTGTACAACACAGCTTTATTTATCACACTACTCACTACCAGCTACATCAGAGACGTCCGTGCGCTATCGACCATCTCGACGTGGTCCTCTCGCTCGGCCGAGACCGCCTCCCAGTCGTCTCCGTGCGCCCACCTCGCGCGCAATCGTTCGAACCGGTCTTTCGCGATCGCTGTCAATGAGAGCCGGTCAGGCTCACAACAAGGCGAGCAGTGCTCTCGATGACGTACAGATGGCGTTCAGCGTGGACGAGAGCTCTTCGCGCTGCGTCATATAGTACACGGGGATGCCCGCCAGGATAAAGCCTGCACTTCGCGTCAGCATGAGAGAGGGACAGTTGAGGCACATATCAACCTATTGCGGCCAACGCCTGCGTCGGCGCGGCCTTGATGGGCATCGACAGCAGGAAGATGCAAACCTGTGCACTTTTAGTTGCGAATCACACGAACCGGCCATGATGAGTGACGCACGGCGCAGAAGATTATAGGCGTAGTAAGCCACGTCTTGTACGGCCTGCACGAAGAATGTTAACGATCAATCCAGCCCAATCACGACGCCTCAAGATGCATACCGTTCCAATTGCGGCTCCTTCATACGCAGCACCAGCACACCCAGGACCTACACGGCCAGCGCACCGTCAGCCTCCGCGGACACCACCCGACCGAGCGTCGCTACTCACAGTGAGGAAGTAGAACGTCCACGCGGCGACGACCGAGAAGTTGATCAGCGACCGAAAGCCGCCCCCAACGACGATGAACGTGATCGTCAGCGTCGCCTGCAGGCCCATCGCGTTGAGCGGTGTCTGCAGGCGCTTGTTGAGCTGCCCGAACACCGCGGGGAGGTAACCCTCCTTGCCCGCGGCGTAGATCAGACGGGACGAGGTGAAGGCCGAGCCTGCGCGGTGTCCGTAGTCAGAGTCATTCTGAGTAAATACTCGTTTATCATGGGTGAACGAACCGTTGAGGGCGCCGAAGCATGAGATGGCGACCATCAGCGCGAAGACGATCCCGCCGACGGGACCGAAGAGCGCGCGGCCAAAGTCCAGGGCCACGGTGTTACTGCGCGCCAGGGTTGCCTGTGAACGTAATACGGCGTTAGTGCGATGTCAAGTCCGTCAGTCCTGGGACGCGCCTTGTCGAGCACGACAAAGTACGATAGGTTCGCGAGGAAGAAAAGGATCTACACCACGAGTCAGCAATTGAACGTGGCCGTGGCGCAAGACCACACTCACGATCACAGCACCCATACTACAGTGGATCGCCCTCGGGATATTCCTCTGCGCGTCCTTCATCTCGCCGCCGACGTAGTTCGCCTGGTTCCATCCGTCGAACGCCCACAAACCCGAGTAGAGCGCACGCGCAATCTCAGAGGGCCCTGCCTGTGCGAGCGAGCTTGCGCCCGCGCCGGAGAGTGGCGACGCGAAGAAGGGTTCGGACGTGAGCGAGGAGGACGCCTGTCCGCGAGCGAGCTGCACGAGGCCGAGGACGGTGATTGAGATCTGGAGAATGCGATGCACAGTTAGTATCGGCATCTCTGCGAACTGCTTGGGAAACAATAGACACAAGCTGACGTACCAGAGCCACGACCTGGTGGTTCGGAGTTAGCGAAGGCTCCTCGATGAGTAGGAGGCGCGAACCTTGACCGCGGTGAACATCACCGCCATGCGGGGCGCTGCGTTGGGAGTGGCAACGCATATGAGGAATACGAAAAGGATGGCAGATACCGCAGTGAGCTTGACAGCCCATTGCGGGATACTATCGGGGGACGCATCCGCACTCGTGCTGTGCCAGAACAGCCGATTGAGGTACTCCGCAAATACCAAGCTGATTACAGCGTTCCCGCCTGTCAACGCCAGCAACGTCCCATTCAAATATCAATTTAAATCAGCACTGAGTACGAGAGACGAGATACGGGAGACAATTCACCAGGGCTGAGGACGATGATAGCGGTCCATGCGAAGAGATATGCGACGAGCGGGCCGTACGCGTAGTGCAGGTAAGCTTGGGCGCCGCCGTTGACGGGGATGGACGAGCCGAGCTCCGCAAAGCTGCTCGCGCCGGTCCATGCGAGCAGACCCGCACCGAGCCATATGCCGAGGCTTGCACCGACGGAGTGCATGTTAGCGATGACGACTCCAGGGGCAGAGCTGTGTGAAGGTGATCGTTAGCATGCTTCCAAGGTGATAGCATGACGCTCTCGGATGAAGGAGGACGTATGTGCACTGTAGACGGTGGTTCCGCAGAGGCCAGTTGTACCAGCCGTAGGCCCAGGACCTCTTAGAACCGATCCGATCAAGAGGATTCCGCCGTTGGACCCACAACCAGTGATCGAGACATTACACCAAATTGCCGAAGCCTGCTTCTACGTTCCTGAGATGTAGTCACAACTTGGCATACGGTGCCATTGCCATTGTCCACCAGTCTAAGCGACGATTGTGCACTTACAATATCCCTGAGCCAATCTGCAGCCCTACAATGAGGGCGATGCCTGCAATTTGTTGTCAGCGTACGTTCTACAAATTAGGTATGTGTCACTACCATTGAGAAGACCCAGCGTCTTCGGCTGTGCTGCGGCAGCAGCAGCGAACCCATCAGCATTGCTTAACCCTGCTGTGAGCGGGAGAAGATCGTGCTCAAAATCGAGGGGAGTGAGCGGATACGCCTTCCCCCGCGCACTGATCGGCGCATCGACGAGAAGGAGGCCCTCGGAGATCTCGAGGTCGCGTAAGTCAGAGTCATCGGAGTCGAGAGAAGCGCGAGGCGAGAGAACAGTTCGCTTGTAGCTCGGGTTCGGAAGATGGGGGCTCAAGCTGGAGGGCGACTTGAGCGCATCGAAGAGCGTGGACGAGCCTGGGTTCATGTGGCCGACTTTCGCGGCGATTTGGCGGTGGGGGCAAAGGCCAAAGAAAAGAGCCGATATCCTGTCCGCCAGCGGACGAGCTGCGACGAAGACAAGGGAAAGGAGGCCTACGAGGTCCGGGCTGGGGAAGGCTACGATTGTGGCGCGGTGGTGGTAACCATGGACGAGGCCTTTTAGCGGGCCCTTGAGGCTCTTTAGCCGATCAATAGCGCAATCGCAGAAGCAGCCCCCAAGCCAGTCGGCCTCCAGCCGGCAGCCACCCGCAAATGCCCCCGCGACGACGCGCGTGGCCGCCTTGCAACGCGTTGCGCGTCAGTCACGTGTATCGCAGACGCGACGCGTCCCCATTGGCCTGCGCTTGCAGGGTGTCCTGTGGTTGTCCTTCTCCTCTCCGTCGCGCCTCCTCCCGCCCATGTTTTGGATCACGGCATAGATCGCCACAATGAGCACAGTTCCTGCACCGCAGCGCACCCCGCTTCGTCGCGTCTCGCAGGGGTCCCTCTTCCGCCTCTCGCGCTCGGGCGCATACCCTGACGCGCCCCATGGTCTCGGCTTCCTCGAGCCCGCGCTCGGAGAGCTACTGGACGAGGTGGAGGCTCTCAACAACAGCGTGCAGGCCATGCGCAACCTTGGCGACGCTCTCAGCTCCTTCAATGAAAGCTTCGCAAGCTGGCTCTACGTAATGAACATGAACGCTCTCACAGTGGACTGGCCTCAGGTGTGTATTTCATCACGTTCCCGTGATAGAACCGGTAGAAGTGGATGGCGGTCTCCGCACAAGAACGCTGAGCATCGTGACCTTCGGCATCCGCATCATCCGCATCATCCACCTGAGGTCGTGTGCTCATGCCGGGGTAATGGCTTCCAGAGGAGAGGAGAATTGGGAAGCCACGGTTGACGACAGACTGACCATGATTTGCGATGGCATGTAGGCACCGACTGCTGCATCATACGAGCTCGCGAAACGAAGAGCTGGTAAGCAGACACGTCTCAGACAACCGGCAACTCCCTCATCGCCCATACAGCAGAGGAAGACGCTGCTGCAGCCCATGCCGCCGAAGTCGCCGCCAACCGCCCGCCCACACCCATCTCTCCCGTTTCACGAACAACCGCCCCATCTGCTGATGAAGCCGGCAACGAGACCGTCCTCGCAAACGCCACCGCAGCCTCCGCGACCACCGCTGCGTCTGGCTCGAAGGTACCCGTGAAGAAGAAAGTGGGCAAGCCGAAGTTGACTACAAAGGAGAAGAGGGAGCGCGGCTTGCTCATGGAGAAGGTCGCGAATACCCTCCCGCTCGAGTATCGTGGGAGCGAGCCGAACCTGAGGCGGTGGCTTGAACAGGTCATTGAGGGCTTCTTGGACCGCCCGGGGAGGGGTGTCGGCAGTGAGCAACGCTCTAGATGTGATGTGTTTGGTGTGTGCGCTGATGCGGCTGGTGGTACCGCAGTCGTCGAGCTGCTGAAACCGCCCGACCTCAACCAGGCGCGTGTGAACAAGTGTCTGATCGCGTTGGTGAACAGAAAGGTTGTACAGAAAGACAACAGCACCGTACGTGTGCGCTACCACATCATTTCACCATCATATCTGACGTTGCCTTGGTGCCAGGGTGCTGTTCTATACCACTGGCACGGATTGCCGGCCTGAAAGATATACCCATCGGATGACATGTAGCATAGGCTGTAGCGCGAATCCGTTTCCTGCCATTTTCTCCATCGTCTACCCAACGTCTACCCGACCACGCACGTATTGTCAATCTGACATTCGACATGCCCGCGGGCACTGTAGGGCCGCATCCCCACAAGGCAGCAGCCGTTCCTAATTTGAGTGTCTTAGCTGCTGCTGACCACAATCAAGTTGGTAGGCCAGGCTACGGAGAAGCAAGGCGGGGTGCGTCGTCATGTCATTGTCAATCTCTGCGTGTCTGGTCATTTCTGTTGTCGTTGTCACTTGTGTCCGTCTCTGTCACGCCCGCCAATGCGAAAGTACGAAGATGACGTCGAGGAGTGAGTCGTATGCCCCACTGCGTAACAGCATCCAACCCATTTATACTACTTAGGGTGTCAATGACACGTAAGTTATCCACAGGGCGCGTCCCGTTCAACGTTGAGTGAATGGTATGCAGTTTCTCTGCCAAGTATATGGAACACCCGACTCATGGCACGTCTCTATTTCGTATCGCAAGGCTGGCAAGCGATTGTGCGATCCTCGGAAACGTCGTCGCTGGCCGCCAGAACGTGAAGGAGCCAGAACAATTGCAGCATGAATGAGCTATCGTCCGTGACGTCCACTGTCACTGAACTACGAGGGCGCGGTGGGTGGGGTAGAGCAGACGTATCTGCCGCCTCTGCCCGGGAAAGATGATGCGGGGCTATATACATGGCTGCCCGACGGCCCACTACATACCGCGACGCTCCGTCAGCCAGAGACGCACGGTCCCTTGCCGGCCGGACGCACCACCCTGGGTATACGGTACGTAAATGCGTCCCGTGACCGCGATGTACTCTGACCGTGAGTTCGCCACTTGTTTGCCTTTGGCTCAGTGCTGCTCCCTCAAAATCACTATGCGATTCGGGCCTGGGGGCGGCCAGGAGTCGCCAATGGCAGGGGCGATAGGCTCTTGGCGATCTGAATCGGTGCCGGCCATGTATAGGTATGGCATCCTCGATATTGCTGAACCATCGTAATCCTTAGCTAGGCCCACTAGGACCACCGACGCCCGGAGAGTGTGCACGGCTGTGTGATGCTGACAGAGAACAGGAACATGCTCAGGCTGTCAAAGTTTTAATTCAAGCGTCGTCGTACTATGATAAGTACACCGATCATTTGACTGGTCTCGACGACGAATGTGGCTATACCAATCCCTCGATCCCTCGCCAGAGCAGAATTGGTATTGAAATGACAGGCCGATAGACGCTAGGCGGTTTCTATAAGGGTGGACACGAGTGGACAGGAGCAGACACAGCGTGCTCGTTTTCACGTATCCACTTTCCTGAGATCGACACCACTCACACAAAAGCTTGCAGCGATGGCGAGTGTCGTTTCTTGGCTCATTACAGGGTGTGTCCAGTCATTTTGGCCGCTTTCAACAGATGCTGACATCGACCGTTCATAGTGCTTCTCGCGGCCTCGGACTGGAGCTCGCGCGCCAGCTAGCTTCCACATCCAACAACATTGTGCTTGCTGCGTGTCGGAACCCCTCCTCCGCGTCTCACCTGCATGCGTTGAAGCCCGCGGAAGGCGCGGAGCTGCACATCGTGCAACTCGACGTGAGCAGCGAGGAAAGCATCCGCACGAGCGTCGCAACGGTGGAAGCAGTGCTGAACGGCCGCGGTCTCGACTACCTCTACAATAACGCCGGTATCGTGAGTGCACACTCGCTCTCCTTCACATTGGCAGGCGGGCTGACCGAGCCGGACAGTGCCCGCGCGACGACGCTTTTGACTTTTCTTACGACGAGCTCCTGGCCTCGCTCCAGACGAACGTCGCCGCGCCCGCACTACTTGGGCAGCTCTACGCCCCGCTCCTCGAGAAGGGCACAAGGAGGACGATCGTGAACGTCAGTTCTGCATTGGGGAGATTTTCGAGGGACAGCGGCGCCGCGGTGGCGACATACAGCGTGAGCAAGACCGCGGTCAATATGCTGGTACGTGCCCGATGTTGATTGTGCTACATGCTGGAGCCGCGAGGAGCACGCTGACGCCCCCGGCGCAGACGTTCAAGCAAGCGAAGGCCCGCCCGGACTTCATTGTCATCGCGCTGGCCCCTGGATGGGTGAAGACAGATATGGGCGGGGCGGAAGCCGGGCTGGAGCCATCGCAGAGCGTCGCGGGTCAGTTAAGGGTCGTGCTAGCGCTCAGGAAGCAAGATTCGGGGAAGTTCTTGTCGTATGACGGACAAGAACTGCCGTGGTGAACGTGGTGTGAATGTAGTATACAGTCATGGACAGTGCCCTGGTACAGGGCGTCATCGAAAGTGGCCCTTGGGTATCTTTCGCACTCACACCCACCGACGCCAATTTCTCGACGAGCAGTGAGCGTCTTGGTTGTTGTCGATCTGCTGGCTGTTATGTACGCCCATTAACATTCTGAAGATGGTCAGCTGTCAATTGGCAGCATTGATCAGTCTCTTGTGAGTATGACACTTGTGTCGCAGTTCTTACTCTCATGTTTCGTGTAATACTAGTTTGTCGGCGCTCTGATCTACACGCCACGCAAGTAGGTGGCCGCAACGAAGACTTACTGAGGTATTGACTCAAGCTTCGCGTATGGTAGGACTGGCATCGTCGACACCGGCCCCACTCGTACGTTGCTATTCTTCACTCGTACGTTGCTATTCTTCGGACTGACCGACTACTTACGCCACGTCAGTTTTGTCTCTCGCAGACGACGTCTGCGCGCAAATATGTAGGCCAGATCCCGGGCGCGTTCTATGACTATGACAACCTCATTGAGGTGATTGCCATATCGCCGGAGTCTGTTGCACCGCTGCAGAACCTCACGATCTACGTCTCGGGACTGCCATTTGTCCTGAATGCCGAGGCACAGCTCATACCAGCTGATTTAAACACCGATGTTGTCGACGTGCCCAGATATGCCTACGTCAGTTCGCTCGGGTGGAACTTAAGTGTAAAGGACAAGTGGCATGTTATCGTTGGGCAGAAGTTCGTGGGAAGGTGCTACGTGGTAGGTGCGTTATGAGTCTTGTCACACTTGGTACTGATGATGTTTTGCTAGGTGTTTGACGCCACGAATAACCAAGTCGGGTTCGCTTACACGTCAGTCTGCCCGAATCATCGAACGATATACCCATCTAATGTAGCTCCATTTTCGCAGGAGTCACGTTCGTGGCTGCAGTATGAGGGCGTACTCTTCGACTCTATCCTCATCCTGACATCTCTCGATACTACTACTTGTCGTTGGCCGATCGACCTGCTAAGGACGGGATGAAGAACTATGCTACACACACCAACCCAAATGATCGAAATGATGCAGCTCACCTGCATTGAACCATCGTGCGCGTTAGTTCGTCTCACTCAGATCCTGGGACCACAGCAAGACGGTGATGAAATTTCTGCGTGAGCAAGGCCGCAACCAAGTTGAACAGCACGAGATGGTACGCCGCCGCTTTGTACTCCCAAAATACGCGCTGATGTATGTTCGCAAACCTTCCACTTGTCATGTATGGCACAAGCAAGACTCAGCTGGTAGTCGCGTATCTCCTTGTAAGTATCCTCCTCCTCCTCCGATGCCCGTTGCATTCCTCAAAGCCCCAAGAGCAGGCTCGGGTATGGTACTGTCCGGGCTCCGGAGACGGCATCTGACTCAGGCTGAGGCATGCAAGGTACGCATTGTCCACGTGACTGGGTATCTGAGAAGCGCCGGTGGATCGATATAAGGCGCGAAAACTGGCCGTTTGCACGTTGTCTTCTACATGCGCACTCTGTGCAGTCCGGAGGCCGCGACACTCGCTACGTACAGGGCAGCCCCGTCTGTCCCTCTCGCGAGGAGGCCCTAGTCCCCACATCCTCCGCTTCGATCACTTGGACGCGTAACTCCTACTACCTACCGACGAAGCCTCCGGGCGGAGGCGGGTGGAAAGGGTCGAGTTCGGGCTCGTTGCTGGAGTGGGCCGCATCCTGGATGCCCGTCATCACCGTCACATATATTCTCTATCGACACCATTCTTGCGTTCACGCAGGCTGGAGGTCGGCCATCCTCCTGTTCCGCTTCTGGCATTGGGTCGGAACCGCCGCTCCCGCGACGGGTCTATATAAACCCCTATCTCAAGGTGTACAGTTACGGAATGGTGACGCTCGTATGCAGACGGGGTCTCTAACCCAGACAGACCGTTTGTCCTCGTTGCCTCCGTATGCCTGCGCCTCTGGTGTGCCGTGTTAGACACACCAGCGTACCAAACATCACCCCCGATTCATGCGCTCTGCGGGAGCAGAGCAGGGATCACTCAACTGTTGTGCTGTAACTACAACACATCAGACTACCGGTCCGCAATGTGTCCTGCTCCGGCGAGACATAGAGGTCCTTAGTTGCTGCTGAGGGTGTCCGCACACTCGGTGGCTCATCGATGCATGAGATGTCCGCTTTCACGCGGATTTTGAGGCATCAATCGTATCTCAACGTCCCACCGGGATCGCGAGAAAATTCTGGGAACGGCGCTGCGCGAGCAGTGAGCATTCCTAACCTGTTGGGCATCCGCTTCTGCGGTGAATGTCCCCCCTTGCCGGCGAGCCCGTCTCGCTGGCCCCAATCACTGGACGTTCGTACGGAGGGCACGCAGGCCAAGCGCGCTGTTCGAACGCCCGCCCCATGCCTCGGCATGTAAAACAAAACGCTTCGGAGTGGTAAGGTGCACGAGGGGAAGAGTGTGATGGATAGATGACGGACACGGTGCGGTCCTTGAGCATACTCTTCGCGGCGCAAGGTCCTCGTCGTACCTTTCGTGGGTTGACACTTTGAGGACACTTGCAGCTGGTTGGGGACTGCTCCTGGTCTGACACGCATAATTTTTGGAACCCTATGCCCCTCTTCGTGAGGCGGTCGCGTCTATCTTTTACAGCGCGAATGTGGTTGTTGTATTGATCCGGGTCGTACATAGATCTAAGGAGAATGTAGAAAGCGCAGCCTCGACTTGAGGATGCCGTTGAATTGGGTGCTATAAAAGTGATGTGTGTGAGGCCTAGGAGCCGCCTTCGCTCTGCGTGCTAAGCTCCAAATATAATCTATGCACTGGGATACGATGACCGGCGTGGCGGATATGAAGGTCACGTGTGAAGCGAGGCGTACCAGCAGCCCGCCTCATTATTACTGAGTGAGCTTGGATGGTCAGTTGCAAGAGAGCGAGAGGGGAATGATTGGCGGTGTGGGGCGCAGCCCGCAGGGCTGCCCGACTCGAAGAGTGTGCCTGGACCTGAGGGGCAACGGGTGAGCCGCGAGGGCGGGCGGGTTGATACCGCAGCCCTGCGCTCCCATTGCCACTGCTGGGCCGCAGGGTAGACACGTCGAGCCAAAAACAAACAAAACAAAGACAAAAACAAAACAAAGATATAAAGAAAAAGCACACATTGGGTTTTTGGCGGCGTGTGCTGCGTGAAGAGGGTGGGGAGGGTGGGGAAAACGAGAGCTATTCGAAGGGTGTAGCGGCCGCGGAGCCTTCGAGAGCGGTCGTCCGAGTGGGCGCGCAGAGGAGAGCGATGCGCGCCTAAATCTCCTCCTGCATGCGTAGACTCACTTCTACGCGACGCTCGTGCCTCGCTTCGCTTAGAATACCAGCTATGTTTGTGGGCCAACGAGGGAATTTTTATATCGCCCATCACAGACATCCACACGCCTTAGTGACTGGTCGGAGGAGCTTGAACGACGCTGAAACCTGTGAAGGATGCGTTGAATTGGGAGACGCGCTCGGCATTGTAAGGTTTCCATCACGTGACAGACGCGTCGCGACGCGACGATCTAAGATGTCGTACGTTCGACTTCGACTCGGACGCACCGTGACTTTAGACGCGCTTGACCACTGCCAGAAGTCACCGTAAGGACCTGAGTTCAGGATCAAGATAGCTAAGCAATCGCTTCTACGTATACTTTTGCCCAGGTATACGCACACGACGGCTCCCAGAAGACCCCAAGCCTGCACTCGACAATCAACGACGTCTACCTCCAGTCTCACTAGCTTACGATCATGCCGCCGAAGACATCTTTGGCCCTTCAAACACTTCATGAAGTCGTCCCAGCGATTTTCGATCAAGCGCAGCTGTCCACTGCCAACCATCGCAAGAACTGTACTAGCCTCCACAAGCTGCACCTCCAAGCCGCCTCCGCTCGTCAACCCGCCAAGAGTGGATCATCCACCGAGCTCGCTGCCAGCGGAGAGCACATATTCTGCGACATCTTCATCGACATGATGTCTCGAGTTCTCACCATCAAGAAAGGTTGTCAAGCTGCTGACAGAATCATCAAGTTTATCGGTTCCTACGTGCAATTCATCCTTCAGAAAGGTGACAATTCAGTCCGTACAGTCATACGTGAATGCCGCTGATTCTCGATGTCATACCCAGCTACGCAGCTTCAACAGGAGGGTGATGCCACGATGGACGACACCCCAGCTGCACGATTCACCTTCCGCGTCTTGAAATGGCTTCTTCAAGGATTCGATGCTAAGGACAAGACAGTTAGATTTCGCTCGGTCTGCTTGGTGACCGAGATCACAAGTCATCTCAATGAAATAGAGTAAGCATGTACCTAATTCTCGGAGTGACTGAGCACTGACGCCATATCGAACCCGTAGCGAAGATACTTTCTCTAGCCTTCGTCAATGCCTGGTGGAGCGAGTCTACGACAAGGAAGCGACAATCAGGGCATTTGCCGTCACCGGGCTGTCCAGGATTGTCGGAGGCGAGGATCCCAGCGAGCTGCCTGCCGATCAGCCAAGCATCATGGAGATCCTCCTAGACCGTTTACAATGCGACGATGCTGCGTAAGTGAGTCTCATGACGATGCTCATGTCCGCACTTACATGGCCAATAGTGAAGTGCGCCGTTGTGCACTTCTGCACATTCCCCTCACGCCGCGCACCGTACCGTCTGTACTCACGCGCAGTCGGGACGTGGATCCGGTGGTACGCAAGCTCCTCTTCTCCTCTATCTTGGCTATGGGAGATCCTTCGAGCAAGTCGAGATCTCGGAAGTACCAGTCTTCAAGCAAATTCGAACACCCGCGTCAACTTACCCTCGCTCAGCGGGAGAAGGTTGTTCGAGATGGCTTGGGCGACAGGGAAGATGCTGTGCGGGTTGCCGCTTCTCATACGGTCGCGGCATGGTTCGACATTGTGTCCACTGACGAGGAAGTAGACACTTCGCTTGGAGATCTCGTGGCGTTTGTCAAGCTGTTCGACGTCATTAGCCCGGAGGGGGTTGATGTGGCGATCGATGCACTCAAGTCGCTGTTTCTGACGAGGAACGTCGTCCTTGACAACGTCGTCTTTGATGGTAAAGCATGACTATCGGTACACAGTACCGTAGATGCTGACCACGAGCCCATTCAGATACGTTTTGGCAGTCCCTCAACCCGGAATCGATCTTCATTGCACGCGTCTTCACCGCCTACTGCCGCGAACTTGATCTGGAGGCTCACCTCGAGGTTGCAAAGGTCCCGGTTGTCACTGCGCTCGCCTTCTATTTGCAAGAGGCCTGCAACGACCTACTCGACGCTATTGAAGACTTGGAAGATGCCAGAATGCAGGCGGAATCTCGCTCCGAGCCCGCCGGAGCAGAAGACGACGAAGCTATGGAACGAAAGGAGGACGTCGTCTCGGAACGCGCTTTTGTCGTAACTGAGATGCTGCGATTGACCGCTTCGTCAGATTTCTCTGACGAGATCGGGCGGCGGAAGGCGTTCGCTGTCGTCCGTAAGTAGCATTCGGACGAAAGACGCCTCCCTACTGACTTCTGCAATGTTACACAGGTGAGATGCTTGCACATGAACTGCTCCCTGAAAGCCTAACGGAGCCGTGCATGGACGTGCTCAAGGAGTCCTCTCCGAGTGAACGGGAGCTGATACGTGTCATCGTCGAGATGATTGCTGAACTCCGCGATGGCGAAGAACTCCTTGATGTAGTGCGTTGCTATCTGTCTCGATCCCCGGCGCGGCCTATTGACATCGGCGAAGTCGAATATCCTACCAGACAGTAACAGCTCTTTGAACACTACACAAAGCTCACAGCGAAGCCGGTCTTTACGTCGCGCAAAGAGTCTTCTCGACATGTCCCCGGAAGAACGGGAAAAGGCGGATGTTATAGATCTGCGCTGTCTCGGGATCTGCATGTCCATGCTGAGTCGCGTACAAGGTGTACGTCTCCAAGAAGCTCGGCCCTCCACTGAGAATGGTTCTGACCATGAGTAAATATTTTTCAGAGCTTCGACGAGAATTCAACCCTGGAAGGACTGCTCGCCGACTTGATCATTCCGGCTGTTAAGAGAAAGGAGCTTGCCTTACGTGAAAGAGCACTCGTCAATCTGGGTCTATGCTGCCTGATCGCGAAGGTGCGTGCAGTACTTCCGCGTGGCAATATTCATCCAAACATGCCATCTCACGACCCTCGACTTCACAGAGCATGGCCATGAACTCGTTCCAGCTCTTCTTGAACCAGGTTCAGAGTGCCCCAGAGGATCTGAAGGTCAAGGTGCTCCGCGTCATCTTTGACATCCTCATGGTGTACGACGAAGAGCTACTCTTGCGATCTGAGGACATCGTATGTGCAATACACTACTGTGCGATGAACAGCGAACTGATGCATCACTTCAGGCTGAGAAGATCGTAACGTTCCTGTTGCAGACCCTCGAGGTAGAGGATTCGTCTGCGGTCCAGGCCGTCTTGTGCATAGGAATCTCGAAACTCATGCTCGCGGGCTTGGTCACCGACCCTCGGGTTTGTCCTCCGTTTCTCTCTGATCAACAGAATACTAAGTATAAAGCCCTTGCTCGCAGGTGTTGACCAGCATGCTCATGACGTACGTCTCGCCCACGACCGTGGATAATCAAGAGCTCCGGCAGTGCCTCGCATATTTCCTGCCAGTGTACTGTTACTCGTCTGCAGCAAATCAGCGACGCATGCAATCGGTGTGTATATAAGCTCTGTCTTAAGTAAAGATAGGCACTCATGAGTGTACGTGCAGGTTGCGATGGCAGCGTATGACCTAGTCGGACAGGTCCACGCGGAGCTGACGGATGGCGAAGAGATGGTCAGCTCATCCCAGTTCGGTTTGCTTCTAGTCGACTGGACGGATCCACGGAAGTTGGTGCACAAGTAAGATCTTCCGCGTAGTTGTGTATGGTGTTCTAGCTTGTACCTAACGTCGCTTTCTTGCAGAGATGAACAAGACCCATCCACGGCCGATGTGCACATCCACTTCGCTTTGGACATATTCAAGGCGTTGTATGCTAAAGACGAGACGGGTGAGTAAAGCACGTACCAGACAATGCCGATTTGATGACTGACGATGCGGTCCGGTCAGAGCAAGACCGGAAGGACTTGTGCCAGCTACTAGGGAAGCTTTACATTCATGACAACCCGGGGGATCTTCCTCTGCTTCTTCTCCACATGGTGCTCACGGACTTGAAAGATGTACGCCCTTTACGATACTCCAATACGAGCATGCACTGATTGATCACCTAACTCCCTCGTGTAGCACTGTCCGTTCGAGGACCCCGCTGCTGAGAAGATTGTGGACAAGTTTCGCGGTGGATTCGTCAAGCGGTTCGGCAAACGCATCGAGGGTATCGACGCAAGGGTACACGCCACGGATGAACGGTTCCGCGAGTTATGTGCACTCATCGGCCTGGAGTTCGAGGACGAGCGTATTGGCGAGAGTGACGGAGCTGCCCCCGAAGACGAGGAGGACGCGGAGGAAGAGACAGAGATACAACACATCCTCACTACGCAGGACAAGGGTAAAGCAAAGGAACGACCTCAGGCCACCGCACAGTCGATCGATCCTGATGAGTAAGTGTTCGCCCCTCCAGCGCAATCATCCTGATTTCACGTATGCGTCCTGATGCAGATCTGGCGACGACGAAGAGGAAGGCGAAGTTGAGAGAGCCGGGCCTTCATCTCGTCCTGCGACAACGCCGAAGCGCAATCCTGCTGTGAAGTCAGTCCCTATACTCCCAGCTCAAGCGTGTGCATCCGTGACTGACGATCATCCCAGACGAACGAGGAGTCCCGGCCGCACGTTCATATCGCCGGCCCACAAGAAGGTCGCTCACTATCAGAGTCCTAGGTGGGTGCTTGACGGCCCATTCACCGAGGAAATGACATCTCATCGCAGCATGAGCAGGAAGGCACAGAGCCATGTTGCGGACGACCCCTTCTCCGACGCTACGAATCAAAGGCCAGGCGTGGCGCACGCAGCGTCTGCGAAGGTGGCGAGGAAGGCGGCGAAGAAGAAGACACTCCGGAGGGTCGAAACATCATCAGATGCTGACTCGGACCGCGAGAACGTACAACTCGGAGAGATCGCAGTACGTTAAGGCTGTCTGTGATACATATTTGTTGTTCGTATCTTTAGACGTGGATGTGTGTTGTTATTCGAACTGTCACCGTGTTGTTTCGTTGTCATGTACCCTGTGAATACGCTATGCAGTGGATCATCTGCCAATGGCTCAGGCTAGAGCAATAACCATAGGAATCCGTGGGATGAAGCTTCAGTCGTGAAGGCAGTGGCGCCGAGACTGAAGCTCGACATGTTGTATGACCAGGCGCGACGTAGCAATGCATGTGAGCAACGGACAACGACGTCAAGACCTTGTCGGCATTGGATTCAGATCTCTCATTCTGATATCCATAACTTGAATGTCATTGCACAGCAAGGCGGATACACCCACACAACTGTATTGCTACATGCGACGGAAGTACTAAACTTATACAGCAGGAACAATGGAATCCTCGCGAAGAGGGATACTGAGGAAAAAATTTGAGTCGCAGCAGACAAGGAGTAGTCTGAATCGAGTTACACGTCGGCACAAAGCCGCAGAAACGTGCGCCGCGAAGTGCACTGAAGGACACTTCACCATCCGCCAGCACAAGGCTGCCCATGACTCCCATTCTCCCCTCGTACGCCCGGCCCTACAGAAGCTGCAAGGTCGCACCGAACAGCGGGTGCAATACAACACCACCCCCGATAGCATCCACTGCCCGAAGGTGGAGGTCACAAGCCACCGACAGTTGACCTCCGTCAAACCGAACCGTCTCGGTTGACGCGCGGCAGCTCCTGCCCAGACATCAACGCACGTCCTTAGGCCATAGCGGATTGTCCAGGGTGGTGTAGGCATGCATCATCGGCCAGCAGCACTTGAGTGCAAGCTGACACTCCGTAGTGTTGGAGTGAAATCGAGTCCTGTTGTACGCGTATGCTACTCGAGAGCGCACTCCGATCTGGGATATTGTTATTGCTCAGCTACTTAGTTATTTTCACTGGCAGGTCTCCCGAAAGTTTCCGATGATATCTGACGCAACACGTGCGCTCGAGCTGTTCTACGATGCGGAGCAGCGAATGCCAGATGCTAGCACCTTGGCCAGAGGCCGCACCGACCACGCGAGCGCCACCAATTACATCGTAGAGAGCCCTCCCGTAGGCAGCCCTTGAATGGGAAACACCCTACACCTAGGACACAAAGGCCTATCAAAGGTCTTCCGTCACAAAAACGGAGTGACGCCGATAGGGAGAAAACAAAACAGAGAGCCATGGGGGCAGATGATAGAAGAACCCGCACCTCCAACATATTTCGACCCGACACAGCGAGCGTAAAGGGGAACGACCTTGCGAAACCCTGGGGCGAATCCCGGTATCCGCCTCGCGATCGGCGTGTTTCTTGTATGTTGGGGGCAGCACTGGACGGGTCGCATCCAGGCCACCCGACTGCGTTCTGGATTATAGAAGGCAGCCTATAGAAAAGACTCAGAACTTGGCCCACTCGCGAGGAAAGACAGAGAGTCCTGTGCGTAGCGAGCGTCGCGGCTTCGAGTCTGTTGCGAGAGATGATGGTGGAGGATGAGCAGACGCACTGCCAGCACGTCTCGATTTTATATGCCGCCATCACGTGAGCAACGCGACGCGGTCGACGCGGCTTCGAGCCGTCCGGATAAGTTGCCTCTGCCTTCCATACTCTTCCCATAATACAGCTGCACCCGTTCGCGCAGATATGCATACCGATGCGCATTGGTGTGATGGCGAACCTGATACCTTGAGTTTCTTTCATCTAGCATGCTCTGCCACCAGCCAACACACCGCCAGGCTGCAGGCCGACCTTCACAACTTCCTTGCCATCGTAGTTGAATAGACGGCAGGGAGCCACCTGTCCATAGCCCTCAGGCTCGCATCGATCCACGCACACATGCGCTCCGACCAGCAGACCTAGTACATAGTCGCGCAGCGCAGCGGTCGCTTGTCGAAGACTTCGTGCGCGTCTGGCGAGTCAAGCATACTCTTCTTTGCCTCTAATGACTAGACATACTCACGCCTGTTGATGTCAGATGCCAACCTTCTCCGATATTGCTCACTTTGCATGTAGGCGGCTACAGTCTTAATAAGTAATTCGGTCTGCCCGCCCTTCCCAAGGCGGTTGTCAACCTTGTATATAAAGTCCCGATTCCTCAGTGGGCTCCTTGCCTTCCCTTACTTCAGCACCCTGTCAATAGGATGGGTGTCGCTGTACTTCTGCTCCTGACCCTATGCATCTTCTTGCTCTCTAGACTGCTCCGGCGGGGTCGTGAGATGTCTCTTCCTCCGGGTCCTAGCTGCCTTCCCGTAATCGGGAGCGCACACCGCGTCCCGTTGAGATATCAACAGCATGTCTTCATGGATTGGAGGAAGACCTACTAGTGGTACATAGCCTGTTGTCCTTGCCCGATGCGCACACATAGTAATGCTAACGACTCTCGCCTAGGTGATGTGGTGTACATGCGGATATTCAACAGGCCCACCATCGTGCTCAACTCCGCAAAAGCTATGGACGAGCTCCTCAACAAGCGTGGCTACAAGTACTCGGACCGACCGAGGACTCTTCTTTTGACTGAGCTGTGCGTTACAACGTGCTTCTCGATCTCTCACTATCTCTCATCCGTAACCATGATGCTCGTGGTGGTCTTCTCCCCTTAGGATCGGCTTCACCAACAACGTTACCATCATGCCCTACGGAGAGCAGTGGCGCCGCCAGCGCCGCTGGTTCCAAGCTGCCTTTCAATCGGCCTCTGCGCTCGAATCGTACATTCCCGTCCAGCGCCGCGAGTCGGTCAGGCTCCTCGCCGGACTTGTCAATGCGAGCCAGTCCCTCGAAGATAAGACCGGAGACCGGGCGTGCAAAGCACTGTTTGTGGGGCTTAAGTGGTGCGTCCATTGGTTAATGCAGCTCTTCAAGAACCGACTGGTTTTTACTGCATGAACCATCAACAAATGTCATCGATACAATGCGACTGGACATCTGCTGCTCGTGTCGTCCTATAAAGCTACGTGGGTGCTGTGATGGTCGACATCGCCTACGGACACGGTGTGCTCTCCCATGATACTCAGTTCATGGACCTCGCAGAGCGTGCCGTAGTCGGTATAGTAGAGGCCGGTAGCGCCGGCGCGAGCCTAGTCGACTTCTTCCCGGTCTGTGAGTCGTGAGCATAGCAGGTTGACATGTCGTCTTGTTTTGATCTCGCTTCACAGTGAGGCATATCCCTATGTGGGTCCCCGGAATGCACTTCATGAGAAAGGTGGCGGAGGTCAGGGAACTGACCCGCCAGATGATCGATGCGCCGTACGAGCGTGTTCATGCTGCAATGGTGCGTCTGACTGTCTGCGTTCTGATGAATCAATCATGGTGATTCGTCCCATAGGCCCGAGGAACTGCGCGCAGCTGTTTCCTCACAACACTCCTTGACGAATGCGCCGCAGACGGGACGATCTCTGACTATGATAGGGAAGACATCAAAGGTGCCGTCAGTGTTGTTTACTCGGGTACGCGCCTGCTATTCTGCCCAATCTATACCCCGACTGAATAACGGACGTCAGGGGGAACTGACACGGTGAGCACCGGAGGCTTGCCGTGCTGGACATCGTACCATGACGCCCGCGTACCGATAGACGGCTACCGCCCTTACGTCCTTCATGCTTGCGATTGTACTGCATCCCGATGCGCGTGCGAAGTCTCAAAACGAGCTCGACGCTGTTGTCGGCAGCGAGCGGCTCCCCGAACTCGACGACAGGACGGCTCTGCCATACCTCGAAGCTCTACTCAAGGAGGTCTACCGGTGCGTCCGATTGAGTTCCTCTATCTTGTATGATTCCCTGATGCCGGCCTCGTACTCGAAGATGGAACCCACCTGTTCCGCTTGGTACGTCGTTCAAGCCTTGCGATATGGGTCTATGGTTTCATCATCTCGTGTTGCGGTCGTTAGTCTTACCCCATCAAGTCACCGAGGATGACACGTACGACTCATATACCATACCTGCAGGGTCAATGATTATTCCCAATGTCTGGTACGGCCCATCCCTCGATATCGTCGATGCAGATGTTTTATGCTGATCGCAACAACCGCTCGCGCTGTGCTCTCACAGGGCAATCAGCCGTGATCCCGATTACTACGAAGACCCCGACGTGTTCAAACCCGAACGCTTCCTCACTGACAATCCAGACCCTGACCCTCGTGATTTTGTCTTTGGTTTCGGTCGGCGGTGAGTATGTCGACGGTGCTGGGTGTCCCACCACTCACCCTCGTCACCTATGCCCTGGCCAGGATCTCGGGGACTCCACCGTATGGCTCGCCGCATCCCGCATCCTTGCGGCGTTCGATGTGACGAAAGCACGCGACGCTGCAACGGGCGTGGACGTCGACTTCACGCCGGGGTTCATTTCGGGGATAATCAGGTAACCTATATTCCCGGTCGCGCTTCGGAGTTGCTGTAGCTGACACGCGAGCTAGTCATGTCATTCCGTTCCCATGCGAGCTGCGACCGAGGTCGGACAAGGTCGTAGCATTGATCAGGGAGTCTGAGGCTGTGTACTCGATATAAAGGTCGGTTCCAGGATCATCGTGATGCATGGTCGTGTTATGCAGTGGTTTGGTTCGTCAAGTGCTTAGATTTAATGTATCCTGCCATACTTCGGCTGCAGGGTGATCAACGGGACGACGATCGCTCATACATACTTAGCCCAATCCGCTTCTGGGTCTGTGAATGCCAGTGCGTAAGTTAGCGCGAACCTCAGCATGGCAGATACGCTTGACGTGTACTTGAGTCTCGGTAACGGAAACATATCAATTGTGGGTGGCATACCCTGTTTTCGTTCATCGGATGTCGATGTGCTGTGAGACTGCAACTGGTTCGTGTCGCCTATGCAACCACATGCTAGTCAGAACTCTGACGCACCTTGCTTGTGCAGAGAAGGCTGGCGTAATTGCTGTGTGGCTGTGTACAGTCTATCGCTACAATACTGTTCACTCTCAACGCGGCTGGATTTGACCATCCGGCTCTACGTAGCTGTGCACCATAGTGGCGACTGTAGTTTACAAGCTGACGTTCCACTACTCTGTCCGAAAGAAAGCAGTCGAGTAATACAACAAACAAACAAAATGCAATACCGTCACTGCGTCATGATACGCTCGATCTCCAGCTGTACACGGACACGCGCTGCGATGCCCTCTGACGATTGCCCCCCGAGCAGTCGTCCAGGCGCCCCCTCGAGCCCGACCGTCGCAGCCTCGTAAAGCTGGGCAAGCAGCTTGACCCACTGCTTGCCCCAAATCTGTTTCGCCCGCGCGCCACCGACGTCAAGCGCAGCTAGAGGGCGTCCGTTCGTCAGCATCACCTCGCTAAACAGCGCACCAGAGAACATACCATGCAACACACTCGGGGCCACCGAGCTCTGCAGCAGCACAGGCTCCGTCAGCATCCTCGCGAAGTACGTCCACACCCTCGGCAGCCGAAACACTGGATCGAGAGGGCTGTCCACCTCCGCGAACAGGATGTGGAAGTATACCCGCATGATGCCCGTCACGCGCGCCGTGTACTCCGCGAGGCCCTCGCCGTCGCGATACCCGAGCGCCTTCCGCCGGTCCTCCTTGCTGAACGGCATGCCGTTCCAGTCCGCCTGGGGCACGACGATCGGGATGGGCCACCCGCCTGTGCGCTGGCAGAGTTTCGCCCAGAACGCCTCCGCGAAGCCGGAGAGCTCGCCGAGGAGGTTCGCCGCGACCTGCGCAAGTGGGCCCGCGCTTCGCTTCTCCGCGGTCACTTCCGTCTCCGCCTGGAGGAGGATCGCCTTGGCGAGGGAGGAAAGGAGCGCGAAGTAGACCGCTTCCGGGTGCTGGGGCTTCCCGTAGACAACCTCGACTAGCTGTCGGGACTGCGGGGACGGTGTGAGTGCGTACGAGAGCGGGACTGAGGATCAGCTTACTATTCGGTCGATGGACTCGGGGTCGTTCGTTAGTTGTCCGACCTTGGGAGTGATCGCACGCCGCCCGGCACTCCACAGCGACTTGAGCTCCTTGTTTGACTTGACGGTCTTCACAGGTCCCGTCTTGAGCCACTGTGTTGACGTCAGCCACACGCTCACCGCTTGCTGCCAACGCGACCTACCTTCAAGTTCTCACGCGCACCCTGCCAATCCTCGCTGGCGGTCGAGAATCCTAGCTGATCCCTCTGCTCCGCCTCTGCTGCCTCTTTCTCCTTGCGCGCCTGCTCCGCCTCTGCTATCTTTCGCGCCTCTTCCTCTTCCCGCTCCTTCTCCTTCTTCCGTTCCTCCTCCTCTTGTCTCCGTTTCTCCTCCTCCTTCCTCCTCAGCTCCTCTTCCTCCCTCCTCTTCTGCTCCTCCGCCTCCCGCTTCTTCCGCTCCTCCTCCTCCTTCGCGCGCACCTTCTCATCCTCCGTGCGAATCACGCCCTCGATGTGCTCCCACAGGTGTTTGTTGCGCGTCTCCCACTCCGTCCTCAGCCGGTCCATCTCCTTGTCGCGCCGCGTGTTGATGTGCGCGACGTACGTCTGCGCCTTGTGGCGCGCCGCGGCGACCTCGGTGGCGCGCCGTTGGGCATACTGGGCGTGTGCGGCGAGCTGGGCTTTGTGGTGCTCGCCTTTCGCGAGGGAGTGGTCCAGGCGGGCTACGCGCTAGAGGGGCGTCAACTAGAGCTCATAACAGAGAGGACGTATGCGGTGTGAGACTGAAGCGTGCGGGCGATGAAGCGTGCGATCGTGAGGGGACAAAGGGTTGCATTGCTAGCGACGCGTACAACATGCCACAATCTATGAGGATGACTGAACACGCACCAAAGACTCTTCTTTGAGATCCGACTTCCACTCCTCGTACGGGTCGTGGTGGTTCGCGCGTAGGCGCACCGACACGAGCGCCTCATTGATGTAATGCTGCTCTGCAGGGCTGCGTTTCGGTCGTTCTTGCGTTCTACAAACCTCTCAGATATGTCCTGGCAACTAAGAAGCGCATATCAAGCGAACGTACGGTCGTGAAAGTGTCAAAATCTCCTGCAGGTCGTCCGAGAGGTACGTCTCGTCCTCCTCTGGCCCCGACGCGTCGAACGAGCTCCCAGATTCCGAGTCGCTCTCCAGCTCAGAGTAGTACTCTTCTTCGTCCTCCTCCGAGTCAGACGGGACACCGAACGTCGACCGGCTTCTGTACTGCCTGCTGGGTGCTTTGTGTGAGTATAGTGCGACGAGTAGTAGGCTCGGATGCGCACCTTGGTACAGAGGGCGGCGGCGGCGAGCGTGGCGCCGAGAACCTCATGTTGTAGTGTAAGTAGTGGTGCAGTCGGTTTTGCAGGTGCGTAGGGCGTAGGTAGACGAGGAGGAGGCTCAGGAGGACGAGGACGAGGACGAAGACGCTCAGACTCGGAGTCGCGACTTGCGGTCAAGTTGGAGACTTGGAGAGCGCGTTGCGTTCACGTGCCACACGCCCGCAGATCGAGATTCGGATTCTACGCAACGCTCTGGTGGGCCGCGACTTTTCTACGCAACCACTTCCAGCAGCCGACTAACCTCGACTAGCTCAGTTGGCAGGCGCGTGCCACTGTATACGTACGCGAAAGCCGTCGAATCTTTTGTCCACAGTGTAGTAGCAAGGCTCTCGCGGAAGGCGTTGCCGTAAGTATGTTAGGCCTGGCAGCCGACAAAGTCGCCTCCGGGTATTCACCTCTAAGCAAATGCCATTACGCACGCAGTGTAAGACTCAATACTGTCGGCCAGTCCGGCGCACCATCCTCGCTCCAACTAATCTCCAGTGCGCCCTCTAACTAGCCTTGCCAAATGTCTCCCAAAAGCTCAGACTTCCCGGCGCCGAACCAGTTCGGAGATCCTTTCGTTTTCCAGAGTTCCTGCCCACGTTTTACTGACGAGAGTGCTCTTTAAGGCTCTCGTCCCATATTTTCTGGTACTCGTCATTGGGCAATCGCGACGGCTAGGCGGTCATTGATAGGTTTCGCGTGCCGTGCCTCAATTTCCTCCGGTGTCGCTGAACTCGGGTGAGGGCTCGCGTCGCTCTCGATGACCCTCTCGTTCCGTAGCTTCCATTGCTGTATAAGTACATATGATTAACACCGGCCCTCAACGCAAACGCTGCAGAAGGGCCATGTATGTACATCCGCAAGAATTCGGAGCATACAGCACTAGTACAACCTGCCTGACATTCCTTCTGATGCGCTACTTTGTGTCAGCGTCATCACGTCTCGGACGTAGAGGGCGGCGACTTTGTTCTTCGAGATAGGCTTGCGTCTCCTTCCAGCGTTGCTCATCGAGCTTAGCGAGCCGAAGAGCGGTCTCCAGTTTGCTGGGCCGGGCGGACTTCGATAGCACCGGAAACAAGTGAACGTTGTAAGGCCGCCAGGTAGCATCGCCAGTCTGGGCGGCGACTCCGGACGTGGAGGGCTCAGTGGCAGCGGCGAGGCCGGGCGCGTCGGCAGCTGTCGTCGTCGCAGTCGTAGACATACTGACAATCGCAGAGGCGGTGGCGATGGCCTGCGTGAGGGAGTCGGGGAGAACGACGTCGGGCTGCGCGTCCACCATGTCCCGGAGCTTCTCGTTCGCGTCTTGACCACGGGAATCCAGAGATTCAGTGACTGGTGGCTTCTGCTCTGAAGCGGGGTTGGCGGGGCGGTTTGCGACGACAGCCGCACCTAGGAAAACGCACGGTGAGCAATGGTGCAGCGTTGTGTTGGGCAGAAGGCCACTCACCAGCAACTGGATGAGACTCAGCTTCATGCGTGGCGCGTGTGAGTGTGAGTGGGGATAGCGGTAGTAAGGGCACGGTACGTACCATGACTGTTGTTGCCTGGGGCGGGGAGAGTCATACTGAGAGTTTGGTGCAGAGTCGCCGCGCATACAAGGTGCTGGGAACGAACAGAGGGAGAACGGCGACTGTCGCCAGCTCAGGGTGCAGCGAACAAAGTCTCAGAGGTAGGAATGCGGCATCTTCCGATGGAACGGCTGCATATGCGGTAGGATATTCACCATTTGCAGTTGGCGGCACCGCATGGACCATGTCACCAAGGAAATATCCTCATATTCTTAGATGTCAGTGAACGACTTGCTCGGTACCGCAGAAGAGCGCAATATTTGGAGTTAATTGCCTTGTCATTGCGATAATCCTGACCGCCCGGCGGAAGCATCAGTGCAGGACACTCCATATATATGCATCGTCCCGCTGGGCTTAAGCTAGCTTCGAGGTGCGCCACGATGTGTATAGGGTGTCATGCATGAGGCAGCGAGACTGCCCTGTGCAATCTAGAAGCTGCGCGAACTTGACGAGGCGTCGTGGGGCTGGCAGCAATCTATCAGGCAGAGTTCCGAAACTTGCGAAAGACGACGAGCGTAGCTGTGGCAGATGAGCTAGTTTGACTCTGGAACATAACAGTCCATATCTCACCGCATGTGTATTCCGAAGGTGCGCATCGGGCGACCAATGGCAGGCGGATACAAGGCGGATAAACGGCACGGTCACGGTCGAGAGAGTTCAGACGGGGCAGCGATGCTCGATGCAAAAACCTGCATGTCCGAGTGCGAGTTTGATCACACAAAGGCCAGACGTCGGGGGCAGGGACTGCCTAGGATTGCCTTCGAGGTCGACTCCGACCTGACTTTGTGGTCGATCCGCGCGACACGGTCACGCCCGACGCGCGTGGACGAGCGCAGCGTCCACCCATGACCAACTGTCGGCCACTGGCATCGCTTCCCACTTGTCTCCGAACAGAGCGTATGCTTGGTCAACGTTCAACATCAACAGCGCAGACAGGCACAAATCAAAGGAAGCGGAATAAAGATAACTATAACAAGGGTATGCTACACGTAGTATGCGCTATCATCATGGATCGTATCACTACATGCGCTAGATGTAGGGAGTGGTCACAGTCGTCACAATCGTCTCGGTTCATCTACACTCGTATCGTACGTATCGTCGTCACCGCAGTGCCCGCCCGGGTCGACGTCGCCCGCAACAGCGCGGCTCGCAGCTAATGCGCCATGATGCCGTGGTGCCCCATCGACATTGGCATCGCCCGTCTGTCAAGGAAGAACACCGGCGCGGACACCGCCCGCCGCCCGGGGCTGTTCTCCAGGTTGATCTCGTCCCACCCGTCCTCGTCGCTCTCGTCGTCGCTGTCTCGTGCGCGACATCGCTCTGGCCCCAGCGCGTCTTCGTCTTCGTCTTCGTCGTCGTCGTCGTCGTCCAGCAGGAAGAACTGCGGCGTCTTCGGCCGCTGCGGCGCCCGCTCGAACCGCCGCGTCCGATCTCCAGCCTCCCCGCTCAAGACGTCGCCCCCCTCCGGCCTTCCGAGCGGCGCCTGCTTCCCCGTCGCCTTCTCCAGGAGGATCCGCCACCGCGCGAAGGACACGGGCGACCAGCCCTTCGCGCTCACAGGGAACGACACGTCCAGCACCATCGCCCGCTCGAACTGGTCGCACAGCACCCCGACCGTCTCCTCGTCCACCCGCGCGCGCGCGACCCTCTCCAGCGCGGACGACGGTTCGACGTCGCCCGAGGACGCGCAGTCCGCGGCACGGCCGAGCATGTCGTGGAGGTACAGCACCTTCCGGATCGTGTACAGGGGGAAGTTGCAGAACGCGCGGTCGACGGACGCGCCCCGCCCGTCGCGGATGCTGCTCATGTCCCCGAGCCGCGGGTAGATCGGCACGTCCGGGTCCGACACCGCGATCCGCGACTCCGGCGGGGGCGTCGCCGCCGCGGGCGGGGCGTAGTCCTCTGGCAGGGGGTAGTCAGGCTCGGACGGGGCGACCGCGATGCCGTCGTACGCGGTGGACGGGTCGGGGCTGCCTGAGTTTGGGTGGACGGGCCGGTGGTGGGACAGTTGCGCGCGCCGGGAGTTCCAGACGCGCTTGACGAGGGCGAGCGCATGGTAGGAGAAGCCGTGGTAGACTGGGGGCGTATCGTTGCTGAAGAAGTCGTCGTCAGAGATGGAGGGGCCTGCAGCTTGCGGGAGGAGGAGGGGCGCGAGGGAGTGCGGGGGGAAGGGCTCGGCGTCGGGCGCGTCCATGTCCGTGTCGTCCAGCCTGAAGCGGATGAGCTCGCCAAAGTCTTCGTCGTCATCCTCGTCCGGGTCGTAGAAGGTCTGCGGCGTGAAGGGCGCAGCGCGGCGGGCCGAGGAGAATATAGGGTCGTCGTCGTCGTCATAGTCGTCTTCGTCGTCGTCGTTATCGAAGTCGCGGAATTTTGGGAGCCGGTAAGTGGCGGAGGTGCGTCGCAGCTGTGGACGCTGAGACATTCTGCTTTCACAGCGCGCAGGCAGTTCTTCTGTGACGCGGAGGTGAGTGGGATGCTCAAAGCGGCAAACGAGCAAATTCGGAGCACTGTATATGAGGGTGCGCGGACGGCGGACGCCATAGAAAAAACCTGTGCGCAGGACACTAAAGACAGATTGAACAGGGCGACAGCGTCGCTGTTGCGTGCAAGCCGCATCCGGAGGCGGGCTGTGACGATGTCAGTGGTGGCCACCGCCTGTCACAGCCATCATTGCCACACAACTAACGCGATTAACAGGCGTAGTCAACGATGTACACGCTGCGTATTCCGTACGAGACCACAAACTGTGTAGCTGCGCAAAGGGAGCACACACCTGGTGACATGTCCGCGTGAATGGGTGGAAGAGGTGTGGCTGGGTGCGGCGATGAGGGTCGGTCCATATCTGAGGTTTCCGGAGAGAAGGTAGGGTAGAATGGTGGTACAGCTGTACAGATTTCGCGGGTCGCAGCGACCTCTGGACTCGGAGGACGGCGGGACAGCGCAGAGGCAGAGCGCGTCTGGGCGCCTCCGCCTCCCGCCACAAAGCGAACAAGACGTGACAGTCACGTGAGGGCGACATCAAACTCCCACGGGCCAGATACATGATCCTCCGGACTTGCTGGCGACTGCTGGCAGTCTTTCCTCTCAGCTCGCAGCAGACTCGAAGCCGCGACGCTCGCTACGCACAGGACTCTCTGTCTTTCCTCGCGGGTGGGCCAAGGTCTGAGTCTTTTCTATAGGCTGCCTTCTATAATCCAGAACGCAGTCGGGTGGCCTGGACGAGCTGTCCAATGCTGCCCACCAACATACATGAAACACGCCGATCGCGAGGCGGATACCGGGATTCGCCCCAGGATTTCGCAAGGACGTCCCCTTTACGCTCGCTGTGTCGGGTTGAAATATGTTGGAGGTGCGGGTTCTTCTATTATCTGCCCCCATTGGCTCTCGGTTTTTCTCCCTATCGGCGTCACTCCGTTTTGACGACGGAAGACCTTCCATGGGTCTTTGTCCTAGGTGTAGGCTGTTTCCCTTTCAAGGGCTGCCCTACGGGGAGGGCTTGCCTACAATTTGATAGTGGTGCTCGCGTTGTCGGTGCGGCCTCTGGCTGAGGTGCTGGCATCTGGCATTCACCGCTCCATATTGTAGAACAGCTCGAGCGCCCCTTTGGCGTCAGATCGTCGGAACCCTTCGGGAGACTTCATGCCAGTAAAAGCTAAAGGCAATTAGCTGAGCAGTATGATCCCAGATGGGAGTGCACACTCTCGAGCAGCGTACGCGTCAAACAAGACGCATGTATGTATGGCCTCGATTTCGCTCCGTCAATGCTGCGGAGTGTCAGCTTGCACGCCAAGTGCCGCTGGCCGATGATACATACCTACACCATTCCCAGACAATCCGTTGCGGCCAGAGGAAGCGCGTTGATGTCTGGGCAGAGGCTGCCGTGCGTCGACTGAGACAATTCGGTTTGGCGGGGGTTAGCTGTCGGTGGCTTGCGACCTCCACCCACGGGCTGTGGATGCCATCGGGTGGTGATGTATCGCATCCGCTGTTCAGTGCGACCTTGCGGCTTCTGTAGGGCCGGGCGTACGAGGGGAGAATGGGAGTCATGGGCAGCCTTGTGCTGGCGGATGGTGAAGGGTCCTTCAGTGCACTTCGCGGCGCACGTTTCTTTGGCTTTGTGCCGACGTGTAACTCGATTCAGACTACTCCTTGTCTGCTGCGACTCAAATTCTTTCCTCTATCCCTCTTCGCGAGGATTTCATTGTTCTGGTTGTATGAGTATTATACCACCGTCACATGTAGCAATCTAACTAGTTGTATGGGCGTATCCGCCTTGCTGTGCGATGACATTCAAGTTGTTGATACCAGGATGAGAGATCTGAATCCAACGCCGACAAGGTCTCGACATCGTTGTCCGTTGTTCACAACTATTGCTACGTCGCGTCGCCGACTGGTCGGTCATTCATGTCGAGCGGTCTCGGTGCCGCAGCCTTCACAACTTCATCCCACGGAAGACTGATCCTTATGATTGATTGCTCTAGCCTAAGCCATTGGGAGATGATCCATTGCACAGGACAGCGTATTCACATGGTACATGACAACGAAACAATGGCAGAATATATTAAGTCTCAGCACTGCACATTACGATGGTCCTTCACATCGAGTACGCGGCCTCAGACTCTCTGATCAACGCTACGACCTTGTCCGACCTCGGTCGCAACTCGCATGGGAACGGAATGACATGACTAGCTCGTGTGTCAGCTACAGCAACTCCGAAGCGCGACCTGGAATATAGGTTACCTGATCATCCCCGAAATGAACCGTGACTCCGGCGTGAAGTCGATGTCCATGCCCGTTGCAGCGTCGCGTGCTTTCGTCACATCGAACGCTGCAAGGATGCGGGATGCAGCGAGCCATACGGAGGAGTCCCCGAAAGCTTGGCCAGGGCATAGTCTGTGTGAGGTGACAAGGTTTAGTGGTAGGACACCCACCACCATCGACATACTACACACCGCCTACCGAAACCGAAGACGAAAGCACGAGGGTCTGGGTCTGGATTGTCAGAAAGAAAGTGTTCGGGCTTGAACAGGTCCGGATCCGCATAGTATTCCGGATCACGGCTGATTGCCCTATGAAAACACAGCGCGAGCGATCAGTGCGGTTAGCACAGAACATCCGCATCGGTGGTGTGGAGGAATGGGCTGTACCAGACGTTTGGTATGATCATTGAGCCGGCAGGTATCGTGTACGAGTCGTACGAGTCGTCCTCGGTGACTTGGTGGGGCAAGACTAGCGTCCGCGATACGAGATGTGGTGAGATGAGATCATAGGTCCATATTGCAAGGCTTCAACGACGTACCAAGCGGGATAGGTGGATTCCATCTTCAATTGCGAAGTTGGCATTACAAAACCGCACAATAGAAGCATATGATGGGACGCACCGGTATACCTCCTTGAGCAGAGCTTCAAGGTATGGCAGAGCCGCCCGGTCCTCGAATTCGGGGAGCCGCTCGCTGCCGACAACAGCGTCGATCTCGTTTTGAGACTTCTCTCGTGCATCGGGATGCAGTACAATTGCAAGCATGAAGGACGTAAGAACAGTAGTCGTCTATCGGTATGCGAGCGTCACGGTACAATGACCAGTACAAAAACCTTCCGGCGCTCACCGTGTCAGTTCCCGCTGGCGTCCATTGTTGAGGCGAGGCATGTATTGTGCAGAAGAGCAGGTGCTTACCCGTGTAAACAATGTTGACGGCACCTTTGATGTCTTCCCTATCATAGTCAGAGATCGTCCCGTCTGCGGCGCATTCGTCAAGGAGTGTCGTGAGGAAACAACTGCGCGCAGCTCCTCGAGCCTATGCGACGAATCACCATGTTCGATCCATTGTAACAAAGTCAGACACAAACGTACCATAGCCGCACGAACGTGTTCGTATGGCGCATCGATCATCTGGCGAGCTCCCTGACCTCTGCTACCTTTCTCATGAAGTGCATTCCGGGGACCCACGTCGGGATTTGCCTCACTGTGCAGAGCGAGTTCAGGACAAGACAACATGTCAACAAGCCAAGCTCACGGCATCAGGAAAGTGGCACTCGTGCCTAATCTGCCTCATTGAGGCATTTAGGCACTTAGGCGGGTTTAGACACAGTGCCTAATTTGAGTAGATTCATTTCTCATTGAGACAGCTATTAGGCCGTTAGGCAGTAAGACGACGAGGCAGCGAGGCAACTGTTAGACCGATGGGACTATGCACACGCAATCGCAATTCATACAAAACTCATTGCAAAGATATATTGAACCACCATAACTACTGTACTTATGTACATGTTTTCCAACAGCGTACTTCCCAAGCACCCTTCCATCGTCTTGAATAGGAGTGTAGCCTGATACAGAACCACCACACTACGAGTACGTATTTTGCACAGGTAAAGGCAGGTTTGCAGGCGAGCGGGGGTGAGGCAGACAGGTGGCAGAATGGGCGAGAAGGAGCATGGGCGGGAGCGAGGGAAAGCACGAGCTGGTGGGCAAGATAGAACATTGGCAAGAGGGAGCATTGACGGGGCAAGCGAGTGAGCGAGAGCGCAGATGGGCGAGCCGGCAGACGGGCAAAAGCGGGTAAGCGAGAGCAGGCAGGCAGGCGAGGACTTGCGGCTAGCAGGCGAGCAGGCATACAAGTGAGCGGGCAAGTTGACAGACGAGCAGGGTGGCAAGGGGCTGAGTTTGCGGGTGGGCAAGACAACGCAGACAGGGGCCAAGGGGCAAGATCGAGTAACAAGCGCACTCGTGAGGATGCGAGCGTGGGCGGACAAGAACAGGCAAGCGAGCGGACAAATGAGGACGGGCAAGCGAGCGGGCGAACAAGTAGGCGGGTGCGTGAGCTAGCAGGCAAGTGCGAGGAGGCAGCAACAGGTATTGAGCTAGCAAAAGCTGGGCGGCAGCAAGAAGGCGATGGCGGGCGGCCGGGCCAATGAGAGGGAGAGGGTGGGCAGGCGAACAAGCTAGCGAGAGGGGAGTTGGCAAGAGAGCGGACAGGAGAGCGGACGGGCGAGTAGGCGGACAAGCTAGTGAGAAAGAGCGCAAGAGTGAGCGAGCACCCGCCCGCTTCACGACGAAGCATCCAGTACTGGCCTACGTATCGTCCAGGCGGTTGCATGGGCTCTACACCAAGCCCGCGCGCAATCCTGAAACTGTCGACGCTGATGCGATGTACAGCTTCCTGTCTCGAAGCCTGCGTGATCCGTGCGCGCCGCCTCGTCACGGGCACTCGGTGTCCCCGCCTCATCTGCGTGCACCCTGACGACATCCCCGCTTACGTTCTCTTCACCTACCTGTGCGCACAACCATATGCGCATGCCCTCGCCGCTGACAAGCATGCCCGGCGCGCTCTTCTCCGAGCCCGAGCCCAACGCGCAGGAGATGGCCGAGCTGGAGTGGCCGACGTGTGTGCGTGCATATCGCACCCCGATGCCGGAGCTCAACATCGCATTCACGCTGCGGCTCCGACCCGACCCGGGCTCGGCTTGGGAGGGGAGGGCGCATCGCTTGTCAGGTTCTTGATGGCGAGATTTGGATGGCTTGCGTGATTGTTGTTGATGGTAGGAACACGGGGTAGAGGGAGGGGCTGAGGGTGTTGATGGCGCGAAGGGTGAGAGCATACAGATGCGAGAGACTTTCTGGCGAGGAAGTAAATGAGGAGTAAAAACTGAGGATATACAGATTCATCGTACTCACCTGGTGGCCGATGAGGCGTCCTCGCATAGAGGCAGCCACATGCAATGCTGAGCGAAGCACAGAACATGATGTTGACGGTGAGGCGCACGACGGCAAGACGTGAGACGAGAGTGCCAGCGAGGCAGCTCAAAGCGCTCAATTTCGGAGTTTGGAATGTGTTTAGGGCAGACGTCAGCAGTCTTGGGCAAAGTCCCCGTTGTCTTCCTTCCTGTTGAATGACTTGCTACGGCACGGCCGACAACACACTCAAGAACGCAACTACTTGACACCACAGGGCTCCGAGAAGCGCTTGAACGGTATCCCCCAAGGACCAAGCATGACTCGAGGAAAACGAGCGCGGACGAAGGAGATACAAGGACGAGGGGCAGGAGCGAAGGACGAAAGCCAAGCAAGGGTCAGAAGATGACGGTAAGCAAACTACAATGTACCTACTTCCGTTACTAGTCACCCTGCCCGACTAGGTGCATCGTCGAGCAATGGGCTCGCAGTAACTAGTGACCACGCGTCCGTCCGCGCATACGGCTTGTCCGCTCGCTTGCCCTCTTGCGCCCACACGTCCGCCCTCTCGTGCTCGCCCGTCCTCATCCACCCGCGTGTTCTTGCAGGCCCGCGCTCGTACGCGAGCCGTCCGTCGCACCCCGCTTGACACGCGATGACCCTGTACGCACTGTGCTACCCCCCGCTACTACACTACCTCCTTCTCGATATGTATGCGGGGCGGAGCTGTGCGCCGCGCCGACGCCCCGCCTCTGCTTCCTGCTGGCATCTCACGCCTGTCCACCCTCGTAGCCTTGCTCTGCCTGCACACAGCCGACGGCCTCTACCCATGCCTCGTTGACCATCCTTCAATCAAGCACGACACCCGGTTCAGCACCACCGTCCCTGCTTGCGCCATCATCACGCGTGTCTCACGCATACTCGCGATATGAGTGCGACCCCGGCCTCGTCACTTCTCGCCTGCCACTGCCGTCCCAGCACCCCGTGTTTCGTCCGCGACAAGGACTCTCGGACGCCCCGGGTCGTCATCCACCCCTCAGCACCATTCCGCCGCACAACCTCGACAAGCCCCCGGTCAGCCAGTCCAGCTCGTCCTCCCTCGCCTACCGTGCTCCTTGCCCGACACTCGCATGCCCACTCGCCCGCCCGCTCACACACCCGCCCTTGGCTTCTCGCGCGCCCCCGCGCGGTTCATCTCTCCGCCCGACTTGCCCACTCGTTCGCTCGTGCCTACTTATCCACCTGCCTGCGCTCACCCTCCTGCTGGCTCGCATGTGCCCGCCCGTGGCTTCTCGCACGCGCGCCTGCTCTCGCCTGCCTGCTCTCACCCACCTACTCTCTGTTGAGGTCGCGCCGCGATCTCGATCTCCGCCACCGTGCACGTGACATACCGCCGGGGGTGGTTCGTCCGTTTCCGCCTCTCTCCCTCTTTCCTCAGTCGAAGTTGAACCACGACTGAGGTAAGCCCCCGCACACATACTATACAATACGTTCAGTAGCTAACTACCTAGCAGCGTCTGACCGAACGTCTAGGTAGATTAATCTAAGTCGAAGTTGAACCACGACTGAGCGTCTGACCGAACGTCTAGTCTCTACAGGTTATGAGCCCCGGGCGGTGTTTCTGAACTCGCCCGCTTACCTGAGACTTCTTTTCGGCTATTCAGACCCAGGAACAACATCGAGGCACCCATCAAAGTGTGCTTTCCCCGCATATACCCCGCATATAGCCAGCCAATTGATCAATGACGATCACCCCAACCTCGAGTCCCAGAGTCTCGGTACCCAAGACGCCGAGAACTCAAACGGAACTATCTCCGGCGCCCAAAATGGATCTCAAAGCGACCGCCAAGGAGAAAATCGAGCTCCTCCACGTACCGTCGTCCCTGCTCAACGGCGGCGTCATCCTCGACCGAAAGAAGGACAACTGGTACGATTGGAAGACCTACATCGAGAACTCCCTGAAGATCTGCTTCGCTTGGGGCTATCTGTCTGGTGAACAAGTCGCTCCCTCTGTCGACGACGACCCCAGCTCTGTCACCAACTTCCGGCGGAACGAGCAAGTTATCATCGCCTTACTCAGCTCGAAGGCCGCGAGGGAAGAGCAGCGCTTCATTGCCGGATTCATCGACGCACGCGCCTTATGGGTCGCCCTCTGTGCTCGCCACGAGAAACAGCCCGGCGCATATGCCCAGGTTCGTCTCCTCCAAGACTTCCTCGCTTGTCGCTACACAGCCGAGGAGCACTTCTCGGAGACGACCATGCGCCTCCAAGAGTTGGCCGAGCGCATCTTCCACATAGGCATCCCGAACCTCGAGGTCTTCATGACCATAGGCATGCTCAACTCGATGAACGGTTACCTCACGCACCTCCAATCGCAGGTCGGTTCGTCGCTCACGGCATCGGCCACCTCGGGCATTCCGTACACCTCCGTCGACATCGCCGCTCGCCTTGACCTCGAGCAGCGAATCCTCACCGACAGCAAGGCGTCCTCGTCAGCCACCGCTCTCGCCGCCTATTCCAAGCCGGGCAAGTCGACCTCATCGCAGAAGACTTGCACCAACGCCAAGTGCCCGCGCCCGAATGGGCATACTGCTCCGGAGTGCTGGGCCCCCGGTGGCGGCATGGAGGGTCGTCGCGAGGAAGTGCTCGCAAACAAAAGGAAGGGCAAGGGTCCTGGTAAGCCTGCCGTCTTTAACGCTCCCGACCGCGACAAGCAAGGTCGCGCGTACATCGTTGACGGCAAGACCGGCCACGCCTATCTCTTGAGTACGGTCCCGCCCTCGGCCACATCGACCTCGGAACCGTCTTCGGCGGATACCACCTCCGAGACTGACTTCGTTGGGCTTGCGACTGACACGTCCCCGGAATGGCTCGCCTCCGTCTCTGTCCCGGCGGACCTCTTTGAGTATGAGTCCCTGGTCTCTGTTGAAGACGAGGAGTCGGTTTCGCTCAACTGGTCTACCCACTCTCGCGCTCCTGCCGACCCTACCGCCTTCTCAGTGGCGCCGGTGCCTACGACGACTCGTCGTCTCTCCACTGAAGGGACTGAGCCTTTCGTGTTCGACTCTGGCGCGTCTACGCACTTGTCTCCTCGCAAGGCCGACTTCCATGACCTCCGCCCTATCTCTCCTCGCGGCATTCGTGGGGTGAGTGGATCGGTTATCTACGCTTGCGGCGTCGGCAAGGTACGCCTGCACATCGGTCGCGGCGCGTCGATCCTTCTCGAGGATGTCCTCTATGTGCCTCAGGCCACTGTTCGGCTCGTCAGCATCTCGTCTCTCTGCGCGTCTGCGGCTCGCTACTCGGTGCTCTTTCTAGTGCCGGTGTTCGCATTCTCAAACCGGGCGGGGCTGTCATCGCTACCGGTACTTTAACGTCCAAGCGCCTCTACTCTCTCGACGGCGCCTCTCCCTCCACCGAACATGCCTTGTATGCAGGCCGTGTGCCGACGCTCGATGTGTGGCACCGCCGCCTCGGACATGTCAATCATCGTACGATTCACGACATGGCACGCTTCGGATCCGCTATAGGTATGCCTATCGTCCTATCTCCACCTGCAAAATGTGAACATTGCATTCTTGGTAAACAGACCAGAACTGCAGTTCCTAAGGTGCGAGTGGGGGAGAAAGCAAAGCGGGTTCTTGGCACTGTGTTCGTAGATGTACAAGGGCAGCAGGATGTTCGTTCCGCTCTGGGGAACCTTTATTCAATGAATATTCTCGACGATTTCACGTCTCACACCTGGGCCATCCCCGTGCCATCCAAGGTCATCCTCGAGCGATTCAAGGCTTGGGTCCTTGCTCGCGAGGTCGAGACGGGCGAGCGTCTGGGCGTCGTCCAGATTGACAATGGGGAACTTCTGTCGAACGACTTCAAGGCATGGATCGAGGGCCGCGGTTCTCAATGGCGCACAACGGCGCCTCACACGTCCGCTCAGAATGGTCGTATTGAACGTTTCCACCGCACTCTCATGGACCGTGCCCGGGCGATGCGCTTGGCGGCTGCTGCTCCGGCGAACCGTTGGGACGAGTTTCTCGTCACCGCTAATTACCTGTCGGTGCGCACCCCCTCTCGTTCTTTGCCTCCAGGTGTCACACCGTATGAGATGTGGCATAAGAAGAAGCCGGACCTGTCGCATTTGCGGGAGATAGGTTGTCGGGCCTTCGTGCTCATCCAGAATCGGCATAACCCTAAGATTTATGAACGCTCCGTCGAGTGTGTTCTCATCGGCTACGGGCAGCACTCGAAGACCTACCGGCTGTACCACCGCGCGACTCACAAGGTCGTGGAGTCGTTCCATGTTGCATTCATTGAATCACACGAGACGTCTCCGACACTATCCTCCCCGGCCTCACGGCCTGTCGCGCAGGTCGCGCCTTCTATGTCTCCTCAGGCTGTGTCTCCCATTGCTGCGCCTCTCGACGTTCTCGACGATGATCCGCCGCCTCCCTCCTTGTCTGGCACCCATGCGGCCCCGGCCTCTCTTCCTTCCGCTCTGCCTCTGCCAGCTGAGGCGCCTCCTGTGCCGCCGCCTCTCGCTCCTGTGCCGCCGCCTCTCGCTCTGTGCCACCGCCTCTCGCTCCCGTGCCGCCGCCTCTCGCTCCCGTGCGTCGATCTTCGCGTCTGCCTCTGCTGACCCAGAAGAAGGCTGCCGCGGACGGTGTCCCTTTCATCTCGCGCCTGGACCGCACGCTGGGCCAGATACGCTCCGCGGCGCCTCGCCGGGTTTCCTCCTCGGGCATTCCTGCCCCGGCCTCTCCGGTGTCGCGCGCAGTCGCTGCCCCTCTGGGGCTACTGCATGCTGCTCCCGCGCCCCCTCCCGACTTCGCTGTTGGTGACCCGCCCGTCGACGCCACGCCGGACGTCGAGTCTGTGCTCGCGGCGTTGGCCGGGGACGATGTGTTGCCACTCAACGTTGAATATCCTGGGGACCCGGCCACTTTGGCCGAGGCAGAGGCGTCGCCTTTTCGCGAGGAGTGGCGTGCCGCGTTGCGCGATGAGCTGCAGTCCATCAAGGACCTGGGCGTGTACCGCCTCATTCCTCGAGCTCAGGTGCCGGCCGGGCGTCGCGTCATGAAGGGTAAGCCTGTTTTTCGCTTGAAGCGTAATGAGAACGGGGACCCGGTGCGCTTCAAGGCTCGATGGGTCGCGAAGGGTTTTCAACAGGTCTACGGGCAGGACTACAACCGGACCTCCTCACCTACCATGCGCATGGAGTCCTTCCGCGCTCTCCTCCACCTTGCCGCCTCCCTCGATTGGGAAGTAGAGCAGCTTGATGTGAAGACCGCGTTCCTCTATGGGATCCTTCCCGAGGACGAGTACTGCTACATGGAGCAGCCGCACGGCTTCGAGGAGCCGGGCAAGGAGGATTGGGTTTGGGAACTGGTGCGTGGTATTTATGGGACGAAGCAGGGCAGTCGTACGTGGAATGACACGATGAACGCGCATCTGCTGAGCATCGGCTTCACGCGTTTGCCCTGTGAATATTGTGTCTACTACCGCAAGTCGGCGAAGGGCACTGTTCTCACCGGCGTCCATGTCGACGACTTCTTGCTGACAGCTAGCTCGGCTGCGGCTAAGGAGGAGTTTAAGGACGACCTCCGTCGTGTCTGGAAAATCGCGGACTTGGGTGAGGCGCGTTTCTGCGTCGGCATTCAAATTGACCGTGATCGCGCTCGCCGGTCCGTGGCTATCTCGCAGACTGCCTTGATCGACAAGATCGTCAAGCAGTTTCGTCTAGACGGCCCCGACTGCGCGCCGGTCTCTACGCCCATGGAAGCCGGCCTCCGCCTCTCGCGCGCTCAGCATTCTCCGAAGACGCCTGCGGCAAAAGAACGCGCCGCTCGCTTGCCCTATCGCTCTCTCATCGGCTGTCTAATGTACCTCGCCATCGGGACGCGTCCGGACATCGCCCTCGCCATCCAGCATCTCAGCCAATTCCTCGACTGTTACGCCGAGATCCACTGGGAGGCTGCGAAACGCGTTGTGCGTTACCTCAAGGGGACCCGGCACTTCCGTCTGCACCTCGGCGGCGCCGATGTCGCCAATCTGAATGGGTACGCGGATGCGAGTCACGCCAGCTGCATCGACACTCGGCGTTCTACCGGTGGCTATTGCTGGAACCTGGGCTCCGGCATTATCTCTTGGTCGGCGCGCAAGCAACCCACCGTCTCTACGTCCACTACCGAGGCTGAATACATCGCGGCTGCCGAATCGGCGAAGGAAGGGGTATGGCTTCGCTTCTTGCTGGACGGTCTCGGCTTCTCCCAGCCTGCCGCATCACTCATGCGCGTCGACAGCACGAGCGCGATCACTCTCTCCGCTGACTCTACGTTCCACTCTCGCGTCAAGCACATCGACATCAAATGGCACTATCTGCGCGAGGTGGTGACGGACAAACGAATCGTCATCCAGCATGTCCCCTCCCATCTCAATGTCGCCGACGCCTTCACGAAACCTCTTGAACGGAAGCCGTTCCAGATGCTGCGTGGTCTTATGGGCCTCCGGCCTCCATGCGAGGAGGAGTCTTCACGGTGAGGAGGAGTTCCTCGAGAGGAGGAGTCTTTTCTTCCCTTTCTCTTTCATCTCGCCATGCATATTTTTCGCGTCACCCGCTCTTCATATCCTTACGATCCCACACGCCTTTCACTACGGTCTCTGTTTCACTTCATAGTGTTCCCTCATGGACTCATATCATTTCCTCATGCGATACCTACGATACATGCGACACCTTTTGATGCTACATCCCCCTTACGTACCTCACGTACCCCCGTCGTCTCTCTCGCCATTCGCGCCGAGGAGGAGTGTTGAGGTCGCGCCGCGATCTCGATCTCCGCCACCGTGCACGTGACATACCGCCGGGGGTGGTTCGTCCGTTTCCGCCTCTCTCCCTCTTTCCTCAGTCGAAGTTGAACCACGACTGAGGTAAGCCCCCGCACACATACTATACAATACGTTCAGTAGCTAACTACCTAGCAGCGTCTGACCGAACGTCTAGGTAGATTAATCTAAGTCGAAGTTGAACCACGACTGAGCGTCTGACCGAACGTCTAGTCTCTACACTCTCGCCCGCCCGCTCTCGTCCACCCGTTGCAGACCACCGAGAACGCGGCGCACGGGACGCAGAAGGAAGAGGAGGAGAAGGGGAGGAAGCGAGAGGAGGGAGAAGGGCATGTGACGAGCAGAAAGAACGAGCACGAAGGCTCAACAAACGCAGGTACGCCCTCGCTGGCCGTCCTCGCCTCGCCGTCTCCATGCCCAGTGTCTGCGCCAGTAGGTGTATCGACGAACGCAAAGCTCGCCGTCTTGCTGGCCACAAAGACGGCACTTCCGCTTTCCGGGTGGACCTCACCGTCGTACCCGCTGCTACACACGGTAGCACGTCTGGCGCGCAAGGCTGCACGTCAGACGTGCCCGTTCTTTTGCTACTGCCGCGCCAGCAGGTGTACCAATGAGCGAGAAGCTCGTTGTGCGTTCTGCTGGCCATAAGAGCGGTGTTTCCGCCTTCCGGGACGACCTCACTGTCGTACCCGATGCTCACTATCGACGCCGCTGGCAAGCGGGCTCGGGACGCATTGACGGCGGATGCAATCACCGGTACGTGGCTAGGTCGACTCGTGGCTTCGCGAGTGCTGTACTCACTGATCACTGCTTGCAGACGCGTCGGCGGTCTTGTCGGGACGCAACTGGTATTCAATGTAGTATTCATAGTTGGTACTGTACAGTTATCATAATATACATATGCCACTAGCGACTCTACCGAGGCTGCTCGACCAACTGTGAAGCTCAGAAATCGTTAGACAATGAGGTAAATTAGACACCCGTGAGACACTTTAGGCGTGTTTAGGTGCATTAGGCACGGTGACGCTTTCCTGATGACGACTCACAGACCGGGAAGAAGTCGACTAGGCTCGCACCGGCGCTACCGGCCTCTACTATACCGGCTACGGCAAGCTCTGCGAGGTCCATGAACTGAGTATCATGGGAGAGCACGCCGTGCCCGTAAGCAATCATGATGTCGACCATCACAGCACCCACGTAGCTACGTACGGCAACCGTGACGTGAGCAGCAGACGTCCAGTCGCATCGATGACATATGTTGATGGTTGAGATTCATGCCGTGACCAGTTGGTTATTGGAAAGCTGCATGCCAGTGAACCAAGGGACGCACCGCTTAAGCCCAACGAAGAGTGCTTTGCACTCCTGGTCCCCGATTTTATATTCGAGGGACTGGCTCGCATTGACAAGTCCCGCGAGGAGCCTGACCGACTCGCGGCGCTGGACGGGAATGTACGATTCGAGCGCAGAGGCCGATTGAAGGGCAGCTTGGAACCAGCGGCGCTGGCAGCGCCACTGCTCTCCGTAGGGCATGATGGTAACATTGTTGGTGAAGCCGATCCTAAGGGGAGAAGACCACCACGAGCATCATGGTTACGGATGAGAGATAGTGAGAGATCGAGGAGCACGTAACGCACAGCTCAGTTATAAGAAGAGTTCTCGGTCGGTCCGAGTACTTGTAGCCATACTTGTTGAGGAGCTCGTCCATAGCTTTGGCGGAGTTCAGTACGATGGTGGGCCTGTTGAATATTTGCAGGTACACCACATCACCTGAGCGGGAGTCGTTAGTGTTATCACGCATGTACATTAGGCAAGAACAGCAGGGTACGTACCATAGGTCTTCCTCCAATCCATGAAGACATGCTGTTGATATCTCAACGGGACACGGTGTGCGCTCCCGATTATGGGAAGGCAGCTAGGACCCGGAGTGTTGAACTTCCGACTTTCCAGTGTTATCTTATCTTATCAGTTACGTACATATATGGACTTGTGTTCTGCGATGTAGTATTACATACATTCTTTTGATGGACTCTGTCTGGACTCATCTTGTGACTCGCTCCAGACCGATCTACACTGTTCCAGACTTATTCTGGATCATTCCACTCCCTTCCGGCATGTTCCATGACCTTCCAGTACATTCCTTGATCACATGGACGCTTATGCATATCCCTATCTCTGGAGTTAAGGCTTACTCATTTCCCTAAAACTCGGACTTAGTGATTACTGATCTGCTTACTGATGTAGCATGTGATCAGTCCCAGACATGTATATATACTAGGGTGATTCCCCCCTAATGGATAACGATCTCTCCTCTCTTCTGCCTGCCTAGCATCAGAGTCTTCCCTCTGGGATAGGTCTGTTCACTCCACTCTACTGTCCTTCACTTCCACTGGCCTAACAAGCCCTTCTAAACCTCTTTCACTTCAACAGGTTATGAGCCCCGCGCTCTGATCGTTTATATCACCTGTACCTTTTGCGCAACCAAAGCCCAACTCTTGAAAGAGTGAGTTGGCATATTTTGTCCTTATTTGGACTACTGTTTAGCCGCTCTGTGACAAGTGCCCAAAGCCTTGTCCAAGCGCATTTCCAGGGTAGCTCGCAAGAGCAATTACGAAGTTTTTCCACCGTCTCGTCGTGAGAGATACGACGTAGGCGACGCCGACACTAGCGCTGTTGCTGAGCGTCATCAGCGTTTATACGGTCATCTACCCATCGATCGCCAGATCGATATCATCCTCACTCCTACCCCGCGCCCTCGCCGTCCCACCTATCGTCGCCCTGACACCTCTCGTCCCCCGAAGGCGTCCTGTCGCAAGACCCTTGAGCAGCAGCTTGAGGAGCTCCAGTTGAAGGCAGACGACTCTAGGGCACTCCTTGAAGCTCGACGTGCGGAGTACGCTGCTACGCTTGCCGCTGAAACCGCCGCCAAAGAAGCTGCCAAGGCTTCCCTTATCGCACGCATCGAAGGCGTACCTCTTCCCCTTCCTATCACAGCCCTTAAGCCGTTTGACGCCGACTTCAAGAAGAAGTCTCAGACGGAGAAGGCCGCCATCCTCACGAAGCGTCTCTTCGCCGTTCAGAAGCGCCTTCACCCTCTCTTCACCCACAAGCTGCGCGACACTGTTCGCTGGTCACTCACCGACAACCTCAACGCTTTTGGACGTCGGTTCAATTGGGTCTGTTCTCACTTTGAGACAGAGGGTCATTCGTGGTCGCACGACGCGCTCAACGACGTCAAGCTTGTCTGCGAGCTGATTGGGAAGATCTCCTTCAAGGAGCTTAGCAAGAACCTTTCTAAGGTTACTAGGGAAGTTGGGGACTTGCACAAGGGCAATCACTTGGCTTGGGTAGACAAGTATTTGTAGTCGCGTCACAAATTTTATCTTTGTTCCTGGAATATTTTTCAGTGAAGCATCACAACTGTGGCAACGTCTCAAGAGGAGACATTTGCAGAGACTCAGGTCTCTTCAGGCGAAGAGTCAGACGACTCATACGATTGTTCAAACCACTACCATCTATACGACTACGAGGAGGTTTGCGACGCTCATTATAGAGACGACGATCAAACCTGGTGGAACTGTGATAACACTCATTGTCCAAACCGTTACCACACACCATCTGGTGATTTTCCTCGAGGCTTCAAAGCTGGTATCGCTGTCGAAGCTTGGCAAGACAATTTCCTATTCGCCAACGAATTTTCGGAGTCACCTCCAAAACCTGAACATTTAATCTCGCTCCCTGAGTCGAGATCTCAAACACCTGAACCGGAGGAATTACCCTTCGAGTTATTTACACCAGAACCTCCTTCTTCGCCCGACACACAAGGCGAATTTATCCTCTTATCCGCAACCATGGGTGACGTCAAGCCAGACAATATCCCTAAGCTCTCTTCAGCGTCTCAATACGCTGACTGGTCTGCCGCTATGCGCGGTTATTTAATATTCATAGAGGCCTGGCCCGCTGTTATTGCAACAGTAACTACCGACACAGAGTACAAGAAACAGAATGCCCGTGCTCAGGGTGTTCTATTTATGCGGACTGATCGCTCGATGCATCATTTGCTCGAGGGATCTAGTGGTGAACTCAAGACCGCTAAGGAAATGTGGGCGGCCCTTAAGACAGCCTTTGGTACACCCGACACGGCATTCGTCTGGAGTCTCTTCCAGTCGGTGATCAAGTCTCCGGAGATGTCTGATTCCAAACCTCTGCAGGATCAGATCAACAAGCTGGTTACTCGGCTTAAGGAGATTACGGCTGGTGGCATAACTCTCGGTGAATCGACCCAGGCTCTTCTCCTTCTGTCGAAGGTGCCTGAATCCTATCAATCGATGATCTCTGCGCTCATGGCGACGCAGAACATCAAGGATCTCAAGGTCGACTCTGTTCAGTCGAAGATTCTTGCCGAAGAATCTCTCCGCCGGTCTGGTATGGGACAGTCTGCGTCCAAGACATCCCAGGTCAAGCACAAGTCATCGGGTCCCTGTGGTCACTGCGGTGGAAATCACGGCAGTGAGAATTGTTGGACAAAGTACCCGCATTTGCGCCCCCAAAATAAGGGTGGCGGCAAGGGGAAAAAGGACAACAAGGGCAAAGGCAAAGGGAAGAATAAGGGCAAGGGCAATGGTAACGGACAATCTGGTTCTGGTTCCTCCAACGCTGCTACTACTTCAGACTCCACAAATGTTGTAACTGTAGAATCCTCCGTGTCGTCTTCAGCTAATACTATGACTGCTTCCTGGTATACTGCGGGTCACTCCGCTTCTGGAAGAATGACTGACTGGATTATGGATTCTGGTGCGTCGAAGACAATCACCAACGACATGGCTGATTTTTGGGACTATACTCCTTACGAGGAACCCATGATTTTTGGTACAGCCGGCAAGTCTAAGATTGCAGCTTATGGAGAAGGGACCATCAAAGGTGTTGTGCACGTTGAAGGGAAACATGTTAAAGCAACTATTACAAATGTTGCTTACATCCCTGCCGCATCTGGTCGCCTATTTTCTACTGGTGTTATTGAGCAATCAGGTTTTACCCTAGTTCAGGGAGGAGGTCGTATGGTCATCTATGACCAACCTATTTCGCAAGGTCGAGTCTGTGGTAACATGATCATGGAGGCACACCATAAGCCCTTCAATAATCTCTATATGTTGTACCTAGACATTTTGACACCGCAATCGGCAAGTCTACAGACAAGTCGAATTTTCGTCTCTGGCATGAACGCTTCGGACATTCGTCTGAAGATGTTATTCGTCAGATTCCCAAGCACACTAAGGGTGTGGATTCCATTGGTGCCAAGGATACTTCTTCTCCTTGTGCAGGGTGTCAGTGGGGCAAGTCTCATCGCGCTCCATTTCCCCCATCGGCTAAACGTGCTACAAAGCCCCTTGAGCTCATTCATACTGATGAGGACGGTCCTATGCGTACCACTGCAATAGGTGGATGGCGTTATTTCATCAGCTTTCTTGACGACTATACTGGTCTTGGTCGTGCCTATATCTCAAGCACAAGAACGATTCGATCCAAGCGTTCGATGACTTCAAGGCATGGGCTGAGAACCAAACAGATGAAAAAATCAAGGCTGTACGCTCGGATCGTGGGGGGAATATACGTCTGCTGCTTTACCGAACATTTGCGCAAATTTGGTATTGAACATCAGTTCACAATGCCGTACTCTCCTCAACAGAATGGGAGAGCTGAGCGCTGGAATCGGACCATTGTTGAGAAGGCTATGTCTATGCTGCATCATGCTGGACTAAGCCATGGTTTTGGCAATTGGCTGTGGACACTGCGGTTCATATTTATAATCGGCAACCTATGCGACGCCTTAACTGGCAATGCCCCATTACTCTCTGGAATGGCACAATTCCGGACATTTCATACTTTAGGATTTTTGGGTGCAAGGCATTTGTGCATGTGCAGAAAGAACAGAGATCTGGGAAGCTCGACAAGAAGGCTGTTGAGATGATCTTTGTAGGCTATGAAGTTGGTTCCAAAGGGTATCGTTTCTGGAACCCGGCTACTCGAAGTATTGTTGTGTCTCGTGATGTGACCTTCGATGAAGAGACATTTCCTGCACGAAAGGACTTAGGCAATAATCCGAAATCCCTGGATGAGCCGTTTGATGAACCTCCTGAGGATGCCAACTCAGAGGATTTAGATTTTGAGGATATTCCTATCCCTGTTCCTGTCCCGCCGGAACATGAACCTGAAGAACATCAGGAGCCAGTGGGAGATAATCCGCAACAGCAACCTGATCCAGTAGCTCCTCCGCAACCTCAGTATGAGCGTCCTCGCCGTCAAGGTGCTGGACAGAACCCTCAGAGGAATAGAGACAATGCCTATGGTGACGAGCCACCAGCAAGTATTGACCGTCGTACTGATAGTCAAGGCCGTCAACAACCTGAGGCTGAAACTGCTCAATTTATACGGATGCTGGCGGAAGCAAACCATGGTCTTCCCCAAAGTCATAAGGAAGCCATGGAATCTCACGACCATGATAAATGGCTCGCTGCTGAAGGTTCTGAGTACAAGTCACTCATGGACAATAAGACTTGGGTTCTAGTTCCACGGCCTAAAAACCGGAAGGTTGTCAAGTGCCGTTGGGTTTATGCGATTAAGCACGATGGTCGCTATAAAGCACGTGTTGTCGCAAAGGGATTTACCCAAGTATGGGGTCAAGATTATACTGAGACTTTCTCTCCGGTTGCACGGTTTGAATCTGTACGCTACTTGTTGGCACATGCAGCCCTTGAAGATTGGGAGATAGAGTCTATGGATGTCAAGACGGCATTCCTTAACGGTGACCTTGACGAGGAAATCTACATGGAACAACCCGAAGGATGGGTTGTACC